AATAAATTATTAATAATAATTAGTAAATCTAAGAAAAACTTATATTTTCTTAATAGTTTTTAATACTTTCTATTTCTTAATTATAGTAATTTTATCTTATTTTATTTATATTTTATTTAATTAAATAGTATATTTTAAAAAATTAACTTTTTATATATAAAAAAAACTTTTTTCTAATTTTATAAAAAGTTTTATTTTTTCTAGTTTTTCTAAAACTTAGTATATATATTTTTTATATATCTCTAGATTATTAAAGAAAATTAAAATATTATTAAAGTAAATTATTATAAAGATATTAAAATACTTTTAGAGTATTTAATTAATTATTTATTAAAATATTATAAATATATTTATTAATCTAAAGAATATAATAAGATATTTATAGAAATTAAATTTTATTCTAAATATTATTTTCTATTTATCTCTTTTTTTAATTTATATTAGATTATAAACTCTCTTTAGATCTAATATTATAAATTATATTTACTTTATAACTAATTTCTAAATTTAGTAATTAATAATAAAAATATTCTATCTTTTTATATAATTTTATTTAGTTATTAATAATTAATAACTAAATAAAGTTTATTATTCTTTTTTAATATAAATATTATAAAGTATTTTATAGATAAAATTAATAATTATATATAGTTTTTTATTAATATATTATTAATATATTTATAAAGTATTTATAATTAAGATTCTATAAGATTATATAATTTATAGAAATTAGATTTTTCTTTTTTAATAATAGAGATTTTATAATCCTATTAGTTATATTTTAATAGCTTTATTTTAAGTTCTTTTATAAATAATATTTTCTTAAAATAATTATATTTCTATAGAATATTTTTAAAATATTCTTTCTATTTTAAATATTTAGCTTATTTATATTTATACTAAATATTCTTTTTCTTATTCTATTATATTTTTTATTAATTATTTATTTAGCTCTATTTTTAAATTTCTATACTAAATAGTTTTAAAAATAGTTTTTCTATTTCTTTTTATTATTAATTATATTTAATTTTATATTCTTATTATTATTTCTTAATTAATTATTTCTAATTAATAAATACTAAATCTATATCTAAAAGTAGTTTTTATTTCTATATTTAATCTAAGATTTATATTATTTATTTTAGTTTTTATTATAATAAATTTCTTATATTATTAGATTATAATACTATTAAGACTAATACTATTATATCTACTTATTATTATAAATTATTATAGTTTTTTATAATAGTACTTTTAAATATTAAAAAATATATATATTTTTCTAATATCTAATAAAATTTTAATTTCTATTAATTCTAATATTAATATATAAGAATATTCTTTTACTCTATCTAGCTAATATACTAATTAATTAATAGATTTATATTTTAAAGTTATAATAACTCTAGTATAACTTTATAGATTTCTAATAGTACTAGATTATAAGTAATATTAAACTTTCTTTCTTAGATTTTAATTATAAAATAATTAGTTTTAAAATTAATAATTTTATTATTATATTTAAACTTTAAATTTTTAATATTTATAATTATATAGATTTTTTCTTTCTTTTTTTATAATAAATAGAGTTAGTTAATTATTACTAATAAAATATAATTTTCTTATATTCTATAGTTAATAAATACTATAAACTAATTTCTTTTAATCTCTATTTCTATAAAGATATATATAGAGCTTTCTATTTTTATAGTTTTTAAAATTCTTTAATCTATTATTAATATTATACTATACTATAGCTCTATTATAGATAATTTAGATTATTTTTTATTTAATTAACTTATTTTTAAAGTTATTTTTAATCTTTATTATTTTTTAATTTATTTAAAAATATTCTTAAGATTTTCTAATTTTTCTATATAATTAGAAATATATTTTATAAACTTAATTCTCTAATTATATAATTTCTTAATTATTATAGATATTCTATTATTAGAATAAGCTTTATTTTTTTTTTATTAGTTAAAATTATTCTTTATTTCTTTATTTTACTATTATTTTTACTATTTATAGAAAATAATTATTCTTTTAAATAGTATTTTTAAAATTCTTTCTTCTATAGTTATTACTATTTAAAATATAATTTAATAATATTTATATTATTATTACTATTCTATATTAGTATTAATACTTCTTATTTAATCTCTTAATAGTTTTTATAGTTTTAATTATAATATTATTTAATATAGTTATTATACTTATATATTACTTAATCTTCTATTTATTAGTAATTATACTATAGCTTAATCTTATTATTTTTATAAATCTTATATTTCTATTTTTAGTAAAATTCTACTAGTAGTTCTTTATTTATATACTTAATAGAGTATTTCTATAGATTTATTTTAAAGATAGTATAAAATTCTATTCTATAGTATTAGTTAGTAAATTATTATATTTATACTATAATATACTTTATAGATATTTTTCTATCTAGAAATAAAAAAAAGTTATTTATTACTTTCTCTTATTAGTATATAGTATACTATATATTATAATATATTATTTAAGATTCTAATTTATAATTATATTCTTTACTAGTTTTTATATAAATTAGATTATTATACTTATTATTAGAATAGTATATAGTATCTATAGTATCTCTTCTATATAGTACTATTTTAAATACTTTCTTTAGATTCTATATCTATATCTTCTATTTAGTAATAAATATAGAGTTTATTATATTTAGTTTTAATTTTATTTCTAGTAAATATATCTAATCTTATTATAATTATAATATTTATATTTTTCTATAGCTCCTAGCTCTATAGAATCTATATATATTTTAGAGACTATAGATTATTATTATTATTATAATTAATTAGTATTTATATAATATATTATTTTTTTACTATAGATTTACTAGTAATACTATTAATTATTAATTCTTATAGCTATAATTATATATTTATAAATACTTACTAGTTTATTTTTCTTATAGAGCTTTTTCTAAACTTTTTTCTTTAGTTTATTAAAATAGTATAATATAGTATATTCCTAGTTCTATCTAGTTTTTACTAAAAGCTAGAGATATTTATTACTAAAGATAAAAATAGATTTAATTTAAAAGAGTTTATTAATTTTATATTTAGTTTTATATTTCTTATCTTAGATTCTAAATATCTATTAGAGAATCTCTATAAAGTAGTTAAAACTTATTATAATATTAATAGTTTATTAGCTTTTTTAACTATTAAGATATTCTTTTATAATAAGTTTAAACTAATTAAATATAGCTCTTTTAAATTATAAATAGATATAGATAATCTATTATTTATTATTATTAAGAGTAATAGGAAAATAATTAAAATATATTTAAAATTAGATTATAAAGCCTTAGAGCTTATCTTAGATTCTATTAAATATTTTAAATAGTAATAGTTTAAATAGTACTTCTAGTTCTCTTTTCTAAACTATAGCCTAAGCTTAAATCTAAAGATTAATATTCTAAGTAGCTTACTACCCTATAAGAGTTATTATATTTACTAATTCTAATTATAAGGCTATTAGATACTTCTAGAGCTATTAGACTTATTTCTATAAGAGCTTAATCTGAATATAGTTATTACTATTACTACTACTATTACTACTATCTTTATCTATAGTATTATTATTATTATTTAGAATAAATAGATTATTAATAATAAGATTCTACTATTAAGCTAGAGAAACTATAATAATTATAATATTTTCTTTATTATTATATAGTAATTAAAATAAGATAATTAGCTAAATAAGAGTTATTAATATATAATAGTTAGATAACTTATATTAAAAGAGATTTAGAATAGATTAGAATTAAATTAATTAGAATATTATTCTAAGTAGTATAATTAGATTATTTTAAACTATATAATATAAGTTATTATTAATATATAAATATTATAAAGCTAGTAATAATAGATATATAGATAATTATATTAATAACTATCTAAAAGAAATATTCTATCTAGTAAAATAAATATATATATATACTAGCTAGCTTATAAAGACTTATTAGTAATCCAGAGTAAATTAGACTAGGGATTATATAGACTTACTAATAATCTAGAGTAATCCTTCTCTTATTAGTATAAAAAAGTAGGGATATAATATATAATACTAGGGGTATTTCTTTATTTATAATAATTATATAATATTATACCTAACCTTAAATACTCTCTTTAACCTACCCAACTTCTATATTTATAGATTAGGCAGCTCCTGACCTACTTCTCAGAAATTACTAAGGTAGTAGATAGATATCTACCCTTCTAAGTATCTTCCACTACCTGGATATAGTTAAATACCTTATTTTCTATTATTATTATCTTATCTTACTAGTAGTATACTTAGATATTTAAGTATTAATACTTTTATTCGAGTTATTACTCTAATAATAGTTATCTTCCATCTGTTATTTTACTATTATTAATCCTCCTCTCCTTCTCTACTACAGTCCGATATATTATTATTATAAGGCTCCTTTTTATATTAGTAAATTCACCTTATTCTTTTATACTATAGTCGGTTACTGCACTTTATCCTAGCATAGCTGTACAGTATTACCAACAGCTATCCCAGAGAGAGGCCGGCAGAAGAGACTTGATCTCTAACTTGAGATTACTAGATTATTTCATCGGCACGGCCGAGCCTCTCTCCAGAAATAATCCACACTGGATCGGCTGGAAATATCCACTCTTATTTGTGGGGACCCTATCACAACCCTGGCTATGACATCTCGTAGTATTTATAATCGTCAACTGGTCCAACGTTTCGGGATCCGAGTTCCGGTCCATGTTCAGCATTCCGCGGAATCCAGTACTAACCAAGTCCCCTACAAAATGAATTCGGGCTTCATAAGTTCACCGAGTTCCGATGATTCAGGGTATGATATTGGTTCATAGATATAAGAATAAAAGCCCAAAACAACCCAGCCTGAGTAGTTCCATCCTCCCACCCACTCAATAGTCTATCAAGCAATGTATATATAAGTCAACATGCGAACATACATCTTGTCAACACTCTGTTTAGCGGCTAGCATAAGCTGCCTCCACAGCCCCTCTAAGAAGGTCCTCGGCGTCTCATCGCCCACTGCACCAAGTATCATCCATGACTTCGGACCTGGCTACTGGCTTGAGAACCTTTACATTCGATCAAACGGACAAATCCTCACTACTAGCCAATCTTCTCCCGAGTTGTACTTGATCGACACGTACACCTCGGAAAGAACACTGGTTCATACATTCCCCAATCGGTCTCCTGGTCTCACGGGACTCGGAGGCATTGTCGAGACCTCACAAGATACATTCGCGATAATTCTTGGAGATCTGAATCACACGACACTGGCTGGAGTTGAGGGCTCATTCTCGATCTGGACGATAAATCTAACTGGCTATCCTGACCAAGAACCGATTGTCAAAGAGATCGCTTCGCTCCCCGATTCGGCCTTTCTGAACGGGTTAACTACTCTTGAGGATCGAACAACTGTTCTTGCCTGTGACTCATTCTATGGGAGTATATACCGTATAGACACTCTCACTGGAGAAGTTGAGTTGGCCCTGGCGTCTGACAACACGACACTCTCGCCACCCGGCCAACAGTGGGTTATCGGCATCGATGGGATCAAAATTTATCGGCCACACGGTTCCGAGGTGGCTTATCTCTACTACACCAACTATATGGGCCAGGGTTACTATCGCGTGCCAATCGACCCATATGTCGGGACGCCAGCCGGTCCGGCCGAGGTCCTTGGAACCGGTTTAGGTATAGGGCTTGACGATATCAACATCAATAGAAGCGGTACGTCTTGGATCTCGGTTTCGCACGAGTCGAAGATCATCAAGGTCGAAAGCACGGGAGGCGTTCATGTCGCCGCAGAATCACCAGATTTGCGATTTGTAACAGCTGTGAGGCAAGGAAGGACCCGTGACAACTATACCAAGCTCTACTTTAGTACTGGCCTGGGTAAAGTTGGATTCATTGATGTCTCCAGGAGCCTTTAATGTATTACTGGGCTGGTCAGCTAGGCTACATAATTAGTTATTGAATGAAGAATGGCTTTCAATAATTCTCCTTTACCCAGCCATGCGCGGTATGTTTGTATGATTTTACAGCTACCTTCACTGCTCTAAGTGTGGATATTCTTATCGGATTATCGATAGCTGATTTTATCGATTAGTCAGGTAGGTCTGACTAATTATATACTTATCCAACCTTCGGTTGGAACCTTCTAATAGATAGCTTTTATCTTAATTATTATTACTTATTTACTTATTTTACTGCTTTTTACTTTACTATATAGCTCTTATCAAATTATACTAATTAGTCTGGAAGACTAAGATAGACTAATAGATCAGATTAATATCTATTTATTTTTCTATAATATAGTTAATCTTTTATTTAGCTAGAAAAGATTATTAAGACTATCTATAAGAAGATCTAGATATCTTATTATTAATTCTTTTATTCTATCTATCTATTTCTTATTATTCTATCTATCTATTTTTTTATTTTAATAGATCTAACTTATTTTCTATATATTTCTATATATTAGATATATATTTTTATCTACTTATATATTTATTATATTAATCTATTAAGTATTTAGTAATCTAATTATTATATTCTTTAGACTTCTTATCTCTTATTTCCTTTATTAGTTTATTTATATTTAGCTAGTTTCTATTAAAATCTAATATATTTATAACTTAATATATTATTAATTTATTAAATTAAATTATTTTCTTATTTATCTATTACTTAGTACTAGAAGTAACTAATAGTTTCTTTCTTAGTTTCTTTCTTTAGACTATTTATTATATTATTAATTTTTTATTCTCTTATTATATTAATATATTAATATATTATTATATTAAATTTACCTATTAATTAATTAGAAATAGTATAATAGATCTAGAGTCTAGTAATTAAGAAGCTAAAAACTAATTATTTTAAAATATATAATCTAGTTAAATAATAGTAATAAATTTAAACTTAAATTAATCTAATAATATTCTAATTTCTTCTATCTATAGATAATATATTAATATATTATTATAGGGAAATCTAATTAGTTTTAATCTAGTAACTATAATAAGCTTATAGAAGGTATTATATATAGTATATATAATAATCCTTTAGAAGAGAATATAGTATTATAGTTAGATTCTCTATAAGATTATATCTAATAAGTTTAAATAATAAACTACTAATTATCTTATTAATTATAGAAAACTAATAGAATTATTATAATAGTTTTTTCTTATTAATAGTATTTTTATTAAATAGAATAGTAGTTATATTAAAGCTAATATTAAATAAATATTAAGTAATCTATTCTATTTATAAACTAATAAAGAAGTAAGTAATATTAATAATAAGTATCTAAACTTCTATAAATTATTAAGGAATAATACTAACTTCTATATAGAAATTACCTATAATTAGATAGTTAAAAACTTTAGAGTTAAAATATTAGATATCTAAAGCTAATATAGTTAATAGACTGAAAATATATAGAACTATTATATATTAACTATTTAAAATAATAACTTAATACTATTTAGTATATTAAATAGCGGATTATATAATTAAGAATATCTATATAATAACTAAGATTATATAAGTTAACTATTAGGTTTAGATAAACTACTATTTAATTATTATTAACTAGTATCTCTTAATAATATCCTATTTAATAAATATAATAATCTACTACTAGATCTAATTATAGTTATTAAAACTAAGAAATTAATAGATCTATAGAAACTATATACTAATAATATAAAGTATAGTAGTAATATACTTAATATATTAGATATAAAGCTACTAATTTTTACTAACTATTATTAGAAAGTTAGTATTTACTAATCTAAATATACTAGTATATTTAAAATTATACTTAAGAAATAAATAGAAGAGTTCTACTATAATTATCTATATAACTATAGATATAAATATAATAATCTAACTAATAAACTATATATATATTTTAAAATAGACTAATAAAAATAGCTCTACTTATCTAAATAGTATATAATTATATTAAGATATATAATTAATATAGATCCTAGTTATTTAAAAACTAAATCCCTTAAATAGCTTATTAAATATCTTATTAAACTATAATATATACTCTTATCTAATTACTAGTTAGATAAAATACTATATAACTAATTAATTAATTATTATTATAATATATCTAAATATAGTATAAGTATTTTCTAACCTACTAAGATATTTAAAAGTATATATAATAAACTATATAATACTATTAGTATAATAAGCTATTAATTATAAGTTATATACTACTAAATATAGACTGGAAACTACTTACTATAAGTTATATACTACTAGGAAATAGAAGATAATAATAATCCTATTAATAATAAATCTAATAATAGGTATTTTACTAATTAAATATATTATAGTAATAGATATAATAACTAGTATAACTATTAAAACTTATAATAATATAGTAAATTATCTAATAAAAAACTATTTAGTTAATAGAATAGGAATTAATAATAATATATTAAAAAGTACTATATCTATAATAAGATTAGCTATTAGTTAATAAAATACTCTAATAATAAATAGAAAGCTATTTACTATTACTATAAAGAATTATCCTATCTATCTAAATAAATCTCTAAAATATACTATTAATTTCTTATTTAGTATAAAGATTAATCTAATAAAGATAATAAATCTAATATATTTCTCTAATATTAGTAAATACTTAATAGATATCTACTACTATTAAATAGTAAACTAATAAAGATATTAAATAATTAAACTTAACTAAATATTAGTATAAACTAATATTATTATAATATATAGTTTCTATTAGAATATAAATTAGATATTATATTAATCTTAGTAGAATAATTAATCTACTATAGTCTAATAAAGAAAGATCCTTATAACTAACTAGTTAAAACTAATAATATTAATAAATTATTTACTATAAATTAATATAATAAGATATTTTTTTAAGATATTATTCTAGATACTAGTATATTAAAGTATTTAACTAGTAGTTATAAATAGTTTAAAGTATTTTAATATATTCTTCTATCTATTTATATAAAACTATTAGATTTAGTTATCTACTTTAGATTAGATCTATCTATATAAGCTCTTAGTTTAACTAATATTAAAATACTACTTAGTAATATAATATTTTATATTATACTAACTAATATACTATTCCTACTATATCTCTAAGATATAGATTAGTTAGGTATTTAATATAATAATTTAATTAATATCTTATAGAAAGATAATATCTCTATTCTAGTTATCTATAAATAGAGCTATCTATAGTTATTATTAAATAACTATAAAATAACTACTTACTTTCTTATTAAAATAGAGATCTAATATATCTATTATTACTTTAGTTATCTATCTATTACTTATTTTAAATATATATTAAAATAGACTAGCTATAATATAGATAAATAAATTATTATAATAATTTTAAAAGTCTATTACTACTATTAATTATTTACTAATTAGCTATATTAATTTAAGTTTAATCTTTATAATAACTATAAGTTTAATTATAAACTAGTAGTTAATATTATATATCTTAATAGAAATAAGCTTATTCTATATATTATTAACTCTACTATATTATTTAATACTATCTATTTCTTAAAAGATATTTCTACTTAGTATATCTAATAAATATTATATCTTTATTAGATTAATATTTATCTAGAACTATCTAATTAGCTAATTACTAATACTAATACTAGCTTCTAAGTAATTAAATTCTATTATAAAACTTAAATAATAGGAATTTCTATTAAGAAAGTACTAATTAAAGTATATTATAGTATTAATAAAGTTAAATATTATTATTTACTAATCTATTAAATATATAAAATTATTAGATTAGAAAATCTATTAATTATATAAGAGTCTATATTATAAATAGCTATTAAATTAGTAAATAATATAGCTAGATCTAATAGTCTGATTTCTATACTTCTTATATTCAGTATATTTCCTTATATAATAGATAATTATATACCCTTACTATTAATAGTTAAATATACTAAAGCTTTATATAAAGCTATAGATAAAGTTAGATAATTAAAAGCTAAATATATAGTTAATAAAGCTCTAGTAATAAGAAATAGATCTAATATATCTAATATATTAAATCTTCTATTATAATCTAATATTTATATATAGAGAGAGATTACTAAATTATAATAAGAACTATTTAAACTTCTAGCTATTAAAGAAGAGAAATATATTATTTAGATACTATAGGGTTTATAATTATTCTATTTAATTATTATAAAACTATTTTATTATAATACTAATTATCTATCTGATATAGTTAATTAAAACCTATTAGATAATAACCTACTATTAAATAAAACTAATATCTCCCTATTTAGTAAATTAAATAATTCTCTAAATAATAATTCTTTATCTTTTAATAAAGATAAAGATAAATCTATATTAGATATAATTATTATTAATATATTATACTATATAATAATATAATAATAATATAATATTTAACTATCTACTACTTTTATATCTAAGATTAATAATTTTTCTAATTCTATTAATAAGCTGAATTCTATTAAATTTAATAATAATATTAATAGTTTATATCTTATTACAGATAAAGATAATACCTTATTTCTCTCTATAAAGGAATAATCTGATCTTAAGTTAGTAATTTCCCTCTAAAAGAAAGAGAAAATTTATATATTTAGTAAACTATTTAAATAGTCTAACTAAACTGAAATTAATACTCTAATAGATAGAGATATCTTTAAGATTATTCTATTTAATAAGAAGTTATATACTAAAATATATATCTTTAACTCTTATATAATTAATAAAATTAAGAGTAAAAATACTAACTAATCTTATAAGAAATTATAATTAGTTATATAAAGTTATACTAATAATAAGAAATATACTATCTTAATATAAGCTCTAACTATTTAATAAGTAAATTAATAATTTATTCTTTCTATTACTCTATTACTTTTATAAGATAATAACTAGATCTAACTATAGCTATATAATATTATATAAATATATATATAGTTATTAACTAAACTAAACTATATTATATTAGTTTATTTACTAATCTAAATCTATTATTTATATCTATTTAGATCTATTATAATAATTAAGAAACTACTTTATAGAATAGCTAAAGCTAGTACCTATTAGTAGAATATATATAATAAATATTATAGAAAAAAACTCTAGATAGAATTTTTAATCTATAATCTATATTTACTAATTATAATAGCTAATAATAACTCTTTTAGTATTATTAGAATATAGACTAATAATATAATTAGATTATTAAATACTAAATTTAATAAATAGAAAACTAATAAGTTAAAAAAGATATAGTTTACTATTAAACTAAAGTAATATCTTATATTTAATAATTCTATTATATTTAATAGAGGGATTATTAATCTTAATACTAATAGTATTATCTAACTTAAGTAAAAAGATTAAAATAGTAAATTATAACTTATTTAGTTAAATAACTAAATAAAAAAGTAATATATTAAATAATATATCTATAGTATATATATTATATTAATTTACTAATTAGAAGTATTATTTAACTTATCTATAGCTATATAATACTAAGATCTATTAGATATATAAGTTAAAGTACTAAATAGATATATTTAATAGTAAATTAATAATCTAGATTAAGAATTAAACTTTATTCTCTTAGATCTAAAAATAGCTAAACTCTTTATATTTATTAATAGATTATTTATTAATAACTAAGATTTAATATTATAACTTAGTTTTATTATTATCTTAGTAAATAAATATAAATATAATAAAAATAATAATTTATTCTAACTAATAGATAATATTATTTATTATAGTTTAACTAAATATAAATATATTACTTATTCTATTCTTATATTAGAAGTTTATAGTATAATTACTAGTATTAATATTATATATATAATTTTAACTACTCTTTAAATAATTACTAACTATTTATTAATTAATTATATTCTAATTATTATATATATAGATTTATATTTATTATATAAATATCTAATTAAACTTAGTATAATAAAGGAAAAATAATTTATAATTAATATAATAGCTCTATACTAATTATATAAATATTATAAATTAATAGAAATATAATAGATTAATAGTAAAGATAATCTTATTAATTATTTTACTAAATTTATTTCTAACTATTTATTAGAATAGTTTATTAATAATAATTCAGTTATTATATATAAAGAGAGATAGGTTATATATAACTAATATATTTAACTAATAGATTTAATAGATTCCTATTAGATAAACTTTATATCTAATTAATTTATATATTTATATATATTTAATTTATTATTATACAGACTTCTGCTTTTAGGAGGATATTTTTACCTATATTCTAGTATTTCCTTTTAATTAAAAGGAAAAATAAAAAGTTACCTGTATAGATATTCTTATTAGATTATTAATAGCTGATTTTATTAATTAGTCGGGTAGGTCCGACTAATCGTATATTTATCTAACCTTTGGTTAGAACCTTCTAACAGATAGCTTTTATCCTAATTATTATTACTCGTTTGCTTATTTTGCTGCTTTTTGCTTTGCTGTACAGCCCTTGTTAAACCACACTAAGGACTAAGAATACGCCTCTTTCTAAAGTAGTTTCCGTTCATCCGTACATTGCAGGTAAATAATTCTGTTCCACCCAACCGCTGCATTGCCCCAGAAGCCAAGTTAATGCCAACAGTTAAACATATCAGGCAGAAAATGTGCAATCCCAAGTTAAATTAAGAACTTCTCAAGTGTCAAACGTATCGGCATAAAATATCGAAAGCCTTGATTCGCCATGCATCGGATTGCAAGTGGCTCCGCAGAGAAACACTGAATACTATGCTCAGCGGATCATCATCTCAATCTACCGGCCAAGTGATATCGAAGTCAGGGGCGAATGCCAACATTAATTCTTCTCTGCTATCGAGTAGCTCTCAAATCCACGTTGCTTAACAGCCTAGCCACAAGCCTTCCAATATCCTGGTCCCGAGAAGGGTCGGACGCCCATGGCGGGTTAAATTAGAAGTTAAATAGTTATAAAACTAGCTTAATAAGTCTAAGTTTCGTTAATGAATGCGCGCCTTTTCACAGTCCTGATACTATAACATGACATTTCACTCTTTCTGGATATTTGAATAGCCTCCATACGAAAAGAAATATCTATAGTTGAATCTTCGCAGTACCTAGATGATAGTGATAGATACGACTTGACCTGGAGACTGCCCCTTGTTATTTGCAGTCTTGACCGTCAAATCGTGTTCCTGCTTTTCATTTAATAGCTGACTCGTTACGTCTTCGTGGCAAAGGCGTGTCAAGCCATGCTCAGCAGATGATAGTGCCTCCCCGATCGAATTGCCTACTTCTGTTTGGGAGATTTTCACACCTGGCAAATTCATAGTAGCATTATCAGCTACTTCTTTATTTTCTTGCTTCCGTTGTTGTGCGGAAGCTTCATTGGGGCCCCTTGCATTCAAATCCATCTCAGAAAGATGTTGTGCCTCTTCAAGGACTACTTCTCCCCATTTGCTGTAAAACCAAGATTTCTGGTTTCCCTCGTCAGTGGCAAGATCCATGCCTTCATTGGGAAGAGGTCTCCATTCGCCATACATGGCACCGTGGATGTAACAATCACCCTGGAAAATAAATGTGTTTGTTGCATTTGGCTCGGGCATCAGGACGTATGGAACAGGTCCGCGGTGCAGGATCCAGATTTCGGCATCAGTATCCGGTCTCGCCAGCACGATATCCAGTACTTCGCTAGAACACAAGCCCAGATATCCACTTTCCGTTAGGAAAGCTAGGCGGTTGTGAAATGTTGTTCGGAAACGCTGCGCTAGGTCGCTCCACGAGGCTAGGTGATAAGTCTCTTTAAATCTGGGAATAGCCGCACAAACGCGGTCAAAGAAGTTAAACCAGGATGGATCGTCTTTGAGCGAATGTTGCTCAGAACTAAAGGCAAACCAAGCTGGATGGTTTTGAATCTCATCGATTGTGGCCTGAATAGTTTCGAGAGACGGTGCCGGATTTTCTGCATCCCAGCTGCCTGCCTCACCCGCTCTGCGGATCAGATGCTGGCTATCAGCCCACCACTCCTCTTGCGTTCTAGGTAGGAATGTATTTTTCCTCGGATGGTCGGGTTGGCTTGGCAGTAAGCAACCCAGGGAGAATCGGGCCTCCAGCCAATTCGCAAATTCCTGGCCCCAGGTTTCGTCAATTGGGGCCACATCGGTGCTGTGATCCCAGACCAGTGTTTCTCGAATCGCTTCTAGGCTTGATTGGGATGTCCGTGCGTAACGACGAGGCATTTTGAGAATCATCTCCATGCATGTCTCGTGGAGGTTGTTCAGAGCGCAGACACAACGAGGACGAAAATAGGTGACTCTAGAACCGTCAACGACAAGGCTGTTGCCATCAATTACCAACTCATTCTTAGCACCAGTTGCAAGGGCCTTGCCGGCATTGAAAATTCGGTGGCTGGAAGGACTATCACCATATGTTTGACATACCGTAGTACTGCGCGGCACTGTGGAAAAGTCGGCAGCCCACGAGGGTAGACCATTCACCTTCTTCGACGACGGTGGTCCAGCAAAGGATATGAAGCGAGGACTACCAGTTTGGCTAATTAATTGAGATGACATCCATCTATAGGCCTCGCTAGCATCCATGGCGCTTGGCTCTAGAAAGAGCGAATCAGGGATTTGGGGTGGTCGCAGTAGGCTTGCAATGCCAAGAGTCGCGTTGACTTTGTCTTCTTGAAAGCCACATTGACGCGAACGTAGTTCGACACATACTTCAGTCCAAAGGGACAGCCAAGCAGCGTAAGTTAGTCTGGAGACTTCTGTACTACTTTCGCTCTTGGACTCAGAGGGGGAGGACGGTGCCACGGCCTGTAGTATATTGTCGCGCGTTCTAACAAGGCCCATGAGGAACTTGCACGGGTTATCTTCTGACCAGCCAGAATATCGAACCGTCAGAATGCTGCGCCAGCCGGTATGGTGCATTGTGTTGCACATATGGCCTACATGCTCGAGTGCGATGTTATTGAACTCAATTCCACAAACGAGTATGAGCTTCTTTGCTAGGATGGTTTCCTGGTATGTCCAGGCGCGTCGAAACCATCTCCGCTCGTCCAGAAACCGCCAATAAGACTCCCAGACAGCAGGCCAGCTCCCTCCAGGCGGTGTGAGAGATGGCAGGCGCGTTACCCAAAACTCGGGATCGGTCGGGTCAGTATCTGCTCTGAGTGCCACAGTGCCTGACTCAATGGTATCCCACAAAGCTGGCAACATTACATGGTGCAGCCAGCTGAACTCCTTCCAGTGGCTTGTGCTCTGTCCCAACCATACGAGGACCATATTTGCCTTGAAGTAGAGCTGTCCCATGAGTGGTATCTGTATTTTTTTCTCCTCGGCGTTGGCTTGGTCAATGCAAAGGGCATCGATCCAAACTTTATAGTTTAGGGTTAGGGATTATTAATAAGCTTTTATAAGATTTTATAAAAGCTCGTAATATTTATATAGAGTAAGTAATAGTCTTATTTTTACTTATAAGATTTTATAAAACTAATATTAGTCTTATAAAATCTTATAAGTAAAAATAAGATATTAGAAAATATATATAAATAAATATAAAACTACTATAATTTAAATATCTTAAAATAAAAAAATTAAAATTATTAAACTTTTAGATAAAAAAAAATTATTTATATTTTTTAGCTCTAATATCTAAGTAATAGTAGTATTCTTATTCTATATCTTATTAATAATTTTATCTAGATATCTTCTATAATATCTTCTTAGATCTCTTATTATTTCTTCTTCTTCTTTCTCTTTATAATATTTAATATTTATAAACTAATTCTCTAGTTTATTTTTTTCTTTTTAGCTTTTATAGCTACTTTAGTTTTTACTATATTAAGATTAAGAGTTTTACTTTTATTATTAATAATTTCTTTTTAGCTAGTATCTCTAACTACTATAAACTATTAATAAATAATTAGAATAATTAATTAGAATAAATACTTATTAGTATTATAAATCTAAAAGTTTAAATAAAATATATTAACTTTAAGATAAGAGATAATACTAATAAGAGTATAAAAATCTTTTAGCTTAATAATAATATAATTAGTATAAATTACTAGAAGATTAATTATTAAAAAAATATTAATAAGAGTATAAACTATAAGAATTAGTATAATCTATTACTAAAAGTACTAATAAGTATTAACTCTACTACTTTCTAGAGAGTACTAATTATATTTTATTATTAATAATAGCTTTTAGAATAATTAATCTTATATTAAATTCTTTATATAAATTATATAAAAGAAAGCTTAGAAATTAAGAGATTATATAATCTTTAGTAGTAGTAAATTTCTTAAAATATAATAGCTATTATAGATCAGAATTATACTAATTAATTATATTATTTAACTAATTAATTTACTATCTTTATAAAAGTAAATCTTTTTTTTCTTTATAAAGGGGGATATAAATATTTTTCTAGATACTTTAACTATAGAAGATCTTTTTATAGATTTCTTTTCTATTATCTTCTATCTAACTATTTTCTATAATATATTAATAGTTAATTAGAATAAATAATTAGAATAAATAATTAGAATAAATATATATTTATAAGAAAGATAAAAAGGGTTATTAGTTATAATAGAATAGGTTATAGTATATATAGAGAGTTATTAGAGAAGTAATAGTAAGATAAGAAATTTTAATAGAGTATATATATATATTTTTAAGCTAAATTAAGCTTAGTATCTATCTATTAGCTAATAGAAATATATTAAGATATATCTGGATCTACTTTTTCTATATATCTATTATTTTTCTAATACTAATTTAACTCTAATTTCCTCCTATTAATCTTATAACTATACTATTACTCCCTACTACTAAATAATAATATAATAAGAAATTCCTATAGAATTAAATTATATTAATTTATTATACTAATTATAAATTAGTAGTATATATAGAGATATTAAATTCAGATTAGTAATATAATTATAGCTAGCTAGTTAGTCTTTCTATATAAAAGTATAAAAGTAAGAATAAATTATTAAATAATCTATATACTAAATACTTCTAAACTTAAATAAAGAATATACTACTAAATAACTAATAGATTAAAAAGATAAAGAATACTTTATATAAATAAAAGATATATAAACTAAAGAATCTATAGAATTCTAATAAATATAAATAAATAAGTTTAATAATTTAGAAATCTATAGAAATCTAGCTAGAAGATTTAATTAATTAAGAATAGTTTATTTTTTTCTATACTATTTATCCTAATAAATTATACTAATTATTATTTAGTATAATAAATAGGAAGTATTTAGATATAATTACTAAGTAGCTTAGATATTAAATATTTAATAGATCTATTTTTAAAAATCCTAAAAATAAATAAAAGAATATTCTAAAGAACTAGCTAAGTAAATATAATCTAATTATACTTATAGTCTAGATAGTTACTATAAATAAAGAGACTTTAAAATTAGATATACTAGAAGTTAGCTCTACTAATTATAGGAATATAATCTAAGATTTTCTAATAGTAATAGAGATAGTAAGTATAAACTATTAAAAATATACTAAGTAATATAATTAATTTATTCTAGTTATATATTAAGACTATATATTTTAATATCTTAATAAAGATTATTAAATCTCTATTTACTCTCTAGTAAAAAATTTCTCTTTTATAGACTTATTCTACTAAATATATAAAAATCTAAAAGAAAATCTAAGCTCTAGACCCTAGATATAATTATACTCTTAATTAATTATATAGTACTAATAAATTAATTAGATTATTAGACTAGCTTTATACTATCTTTATATTCTCTTAGTAGGAATACTTAGCCTGGTTTCTATTATAAGCTATATATTAGAATTACTAATAAGTACTAGTTAGCTATTTATTCTAATTATTTATTCTAATTATATTTATTCTAATTAAAAGAGTAAATCTAGAAAGTACTATTTAAACTTCTATATAGTTAAATATTATTCTAAAGTATTTATTAAGAAAGAAAAACTTATCTACTATTTAAATATAGCTTTATATTCTTAACTTATTAAGGATCTATATAATATTTCTTTTTTTTCTACTTAGAGTAGATTTAGAAAGTCTTATAGAAAATAGCTAATTCTATCTAATTTAGTTTATTTATAGAATAATATAGGTAATTAGTATATCTTATATACTATTAAAAGTATATTAAAAAGTTTTTAATTAACTATTATAGGGTTCTCTAGTAATATTAAGCTATAGCTTATAGTTAGATCTATAATAGTATTAAAAGAATTTAAATTACTATTAAAAGAGATTATAAATTTATTCTAGTTTTTTATTTAGTATAATTATTCTAATCTAATATACTAATTAGTCTTAGAATAATTAAAAATTATTAAAAATTCTAAAGTATTACTAATTAAAATTAAAACTATTTATATCTTTATAAATTATTTATACTAATTTAATATTCTTTAGCTATAGAATAACTCTTTAAGTATAGATTATATAGAAATTTAAATCTAAATTTTATTAATTAGTATAATATAATACTTTAGTTTAGAATATTTTTATATCTAAGAAAAGATATAAAAATACTCTTAGTTATTTCTTATAAAGTAGTAACTATAGATAATTAAAACTAAAGCTTAGAATTAATTTTCTAAATAAGTTTATAAACTATTTATTAGAAATAAATATATAAAATAATAAGATCTATACTTTTTTAAAAATACTTAATTTCCTATAAAGTAACTTTAAAATATTAGTATATATATTATAATAATAAAATAAACTACTTATCTATATATTTTCTAAAATATCTAGTTTTTATTATATAAATAACTTTATTTATAGATATAGTTTTTCTTATAAGAATAGTTTTTCTTATAAATCTTCTTAGTAATAGCTTTTTACTAGTTCTCTTAGTAGAGAGTATTATTAGATTAGTTATATAAATTAGTATCTTAATATAGAAAAAATATCTAGTTAATTTTTACTATATAATATAATTAAATTTTAAAGTAAATATACTCCTAGGATAATAGATATATTACTTTCTCTTCTCTAAAATAAAATAGGTTTTAATTCTATATTTAGTAAGGGAGATAATTTCTAGTTTTAATCTTTAATATCTAGAATATACTCTAGAGTTTCTAATATTTCTTCTATATTTAGTAATAAAATATAAAGATAAGGAGGATTAATAATAAGGATAAATAATAAGAATAAATAATAAGAATAAGAAATAAGAATATATTAAGTTATATAGGAATTTTATTATATTATTATTAAATACTACTATATCTATATTAATATATATAATATAGATAGTAATTTTAATTAAAATTATATATCTATATTATATTTATTCTTATTATCTTTATTCTTATTCTTTATTCCTATTATTCTTTATTCCTATTATCTTTATTTTTATTATCTTTATTCTTATTATCTTTATTCTTATTATCTTATTCTTATTATTCTTCTCTTTATTATATTACTAAAATTATAATATATTCTTATATTTTATAATAATAGATTAAGATAAAGATAGATAGTATATTATAGAGGATTTTATTCTAGAAATAAATCTATTATCCTTATAATCTAATTATTAGCTAATATCTACTCTTTAAAAAGTAATTTCTTTAAAAGAAGTATACTATATCTATTCTCTCTATTAATAGTAGGAATTTTTATCTTAGTAGAAATCTACTTTATTCTATAATATTAGAATTAAGAAGATAGTATATATAGATAATATTTCTAAAGAGAGAGTATATATTATATAAAAGAAGTTTTTTTTATAATAACTTTATTTTACTAACTAATAAAATTTTAATAAAGTAATATTAATTTATAATAATACTTCTATTATTATTTATACTTTATATAGTACTACTCTTATATTAGTATCTAGTATAACTACTTTAATTTATTATTAAAAGTTAATAATATATAATAGGGGTATAATAAACTATATAGTAAATCTCCTCTCTATTTATTCTAATTATTTATATTTATTATTACTAGCTTTCTTAGTTTTATATTAATAGATATTCTAAATATAAGAATCTAATAGCTAGTAATATTTTTTATAAAGTTTAATTATCTAATTTATTTATATAAGTTATAGTTTAATAATAGTTATTAATAATCTAATCTTTTACTAGATATTAGTATCTACTAGTACTTCTATATCTATTATTCTATTAGCTTTAACTATATTTTATATAATTTATTTAGATATATCTTAATACTAAGTAGCTACTATTAAATATATCTAATAAATATAGTAAAGATTTAGTATAACTATTAACTTATAGATTAATTAAAGAAATAAGTAGTATATTCTAAGAATTATATATTTCTATACTAAACTAAATTAGAAAACTTAGTAATTCTATCTTAGTATAATTAATATATTAAAAGATTAGACTAGTATTATTATATAAAAGTATATTCTTAATATCCTATAATAGTATAATCTTCTATATCTCTATATTAGTATTATAGTAGATAATAACTCCTATATTAATATTTTATCTTTTAATAATAAGCTTTATTTTAGATTATAATAAAAAATAATTATATTATCTTAGATTAGATACTTTATATATATTACTAACTTAGTATCTTAATATTTATTTAATATAATTAAGATATAAAATCTAGAAATTAGTAACTAGATAAAAGATAAACTAGATAAATCTAATAAGCTTAAGCTCTCTTCTATTACTAATCTATTTAATTAAATCTTATTTAGTAAGAAAATAGAGATCTATAATATTCTATTAAATTCTATATTTCTACTAAATATTAAAAATTATCTTAAAGAAATAATCTTAAAGATAATTATTATTAATATATTTATTCTAACTATTTATACTAATTACTTATTTTATAGATATAGTTCTTAGTAAATAAACTTACTTATAATTTAAAGTTTAATATTTTATTTTTAAAGATTTAAAAAAGCTTAAAAGATCTAATAAGTTATTAGATATTATTTTACTTAAAATAAAATTATTTAACTTAATAGAATTTAATAGTTCTATTATTAATAAGAGTTAATAGACTTTATATATTAATTAAGAAATAGATAAGTTTCTAGCTAGAGTTTATTTACCCTAAGAAATAATAGCTTAATATAACTAATTAGAAGTAAATAAAATATCTAATTTAAATTAGAAGTATATTTCTCTAGATAATAAATTCTATTAGTATAGAAAAATATATATTTATAGCTATAATTTATTTTACTAAACTTATAAAAAGTAACTTAGAAAGCTATATAGCTTAACTATAAGCTATTTATATAAAAAAGTACTAGTAAGAGTAACTATTTTAAATAATAAGTCTTACTAAAAAGAAGTTATAAAAGTATATTAATATCTTATTATAAGATAAAGCTTATTTTACTATTAGTTTTTTTTTTTAAATCTATATTTATAGATTTAGAAAATTATTAATAAAATAGTCTTTAGTATATATAGTTAGATTTACTAATAGATAGTAAGACTATTATATAGTATATTTAAAATAAATATAAATAGCTATTTATATAATAGTATATTAGAGATTATTCTTAACTTCTATAAGATTAAACTCCTATAATAGTATTCTTAAGTAAAAAAAACCTTTCTAAATATAAAATAATAATTAAAATTACTAATTAGATTAACTTTAAGAAGATATCTTTATTACTCTCCTTATTATTTATTCTAATTAATTATTCTAATTAATATATTAGATTATATTATAATCTTAAGATATCTATTAATAAATATATTTATCTTTTTTTACTAAATATAAATTAATTCTTTACTATCTTTTTATCTATATATTAATATTAATTAGAGCTAAATCTAAATAAAATAATTTCTAAGTTTTAAAAAAGATTATCTACTATTAAAAAATATAAAGAAATCTACTATCTAGTAAAGGATTTTCTTTCTATTCTACTAATTACTATTTCTCTAAAAAGAGCTTAAAGTATATATAAGTATATTAATTTCTATAATTAATTTAATATATCTATTAAAACTTTATTTATTTATTTTATAATATAATAACTATTAATAGAACTAAATATCTTTTTAAATCTAATTAATATTAAAGATTTAATTCCTCTTCTAAATATATTACTTAATATAGAGATATTTTTAGAACTAGTTTCTATATTAAATATTAATAATTAATTAGAATCTAAGTAATAACTCTAAGATCTTAAAGTAAATATATCTAGTAAATAATAAACTTAAATCCTTCTAGCTTATAAAAGAAGAAAAAGAAATAATATACTATTTTTCTATTTCTCTCCCTTTAGAATTAACTCTTTTACTATATAATTCCAGATATTATCTTTATTATCTTCTTTCCCTATATTAAAAGATTAATAAATAATTTTTTCTCTAGCTTATAGCTCTATTTATTATTAATCTAGTAAATTTTTATAAGTAAGTATATAGAAAATAGTAATATAATAATATAAGAAGAAGTAGATAATAAAAAGATAGAGAATAAAGAGATAGAGGAAAAAAATACTATATATCTTAAGAGAGGTATATATAGAAGATTTTAAAACTTATAGTTTTAAAATTTAATTTTATACTAATATTCTTTATTTTTATTATTTATACTAATTAATTTATAAAATAAATAATTTAAATAAAAATAAAATAAGATTTTATAAATAGTAAAATTATCTTACTAATATAAAATAAGTATTTATTATTCTTAATATAAAATTATAAATAATTATAAAAGCTTATAATTACTTATAATTTTATTCTAAGTATAAGTAAGTATCTACTATTACTTATAAGCCTTTTTTTTAAGTAATATTATAAGTACTTATAAGCTTTGGTGATATCTATTTAGGGTTACTCCCCGCATCTCGTGTCTGGAGACTACAGCTCTCAGGTATGATGCCGCATTGCTGCCGATTGGCAATGAGCTGACGAGCAAAACTTGCTCAAGGCCTTCAGCAGTGAGGTTGAATGCGGAATCGCAAATTAGGACCCGCCAAGGCTTTTCGTCCGTGTCCTCTTCTTCCCCATCAACCGCGGCTCCCCAAGTATACGAGAGTGCCTCGTAGGGTGGTATCTCTGCACCGGCGAGGTCGACGCGCATGAAGGTTCCTACTAGAGACCTAGTGTTTGCATCGCATCCTATCAGACGGAACATACGGATAGAGGTTGGCGTTTCTAGAGGAGAGTATTGGTAGACAGGGGCATCGTCGTACGCGTCAGCCGTCAGACTTCCCGCCGCATCTGTGCCAGTAACGCTCAACTGCGAAGATGGCTGGCACAGTTGCCCTGTCACTGTGAACCAATCCAACCACACCGGGACAAGAGCGCTGCGAAATCCGACAGGGAAAATGGGTGTCAAAGTGTCCCCCATCCTCGTATACCCAAATGTTAAGTGCTGGGAATCTAGGCTCTCGAATGGAACCGGGATATGGAATCCAGTATCCATTGTGCAGATCTGGATCAAAGTGCGTTCTCGATTTCCTTGTCTATAGAATCACCACCCCAGGAATCTCAATGGTTAAAGGCTATTGTTGCAATGAGGAAAAATTCTCTTGCATATTTTTACAGTCATTGAGGGCACGGGGGGAAAACCCCAGGCAGCAGGCTTGCAAAGGTGGTGTCATGTGCCACGCTCATGATTTCCATTGGCTCTGATGAACCCCACGCTGACAACAAAATTAACACGACCCGATGACTCAGCTGGTGTGTATTCTGGAACGAGTAAAAAGGTGGTTTTGGAGACGGTGGCATCTTTCATAATCCTAGGATGCTTAGAGCACTTGTTCTTGCAGCTCCCCAAGTCAATGATATATGGAGTATACCTGCTGGGAATCGCGAGCATGATAAAGTAATCTGGACGTCCTGATGAAGGCGATGCGGTTTGTGTAGAACTAGTTTAAAGCAACACTATGAATGAGGATCCGCCAAAGTATTCCAATCAATTCCCTCTAACGAACCGAAGCTCTCTCCGGTTCAATAAGCATAGCTCTAACCCACTGTATCAACCCTGTTCTACGTGCCATACACAGTTCCATCCTCTGGAACAGTGCCATTTAACAAAAAGCCATCAATGGCCTTTTGCGTCTCTCCCATAGAAGATACCTAGACCTAGTATCTCAACACAATGAATACGAAAGGCTAAAATATGCTTTCGCTAGCCCAAGTCTGCAGCCGCATGAAGGAAAGCTCTGCAAACCTTCACGCCGATAACTCCTTTGCCGTCGAGACGAGCCGCTCGTCGGATCCCTATTTAACCTGCCCTCTTTTGTCTGTTCCTCGCTGGAGTTCTTCATGCACTGGGAAAGACACATCTGCTACCAGACCGTTACTTCTAGAGCGTTGACAGTCCTGAGTATCACTCTAGTCAACTGTCCGACCTCAACGGCCGTCAAACATCTTTATCTCTCTCTCTCTCTTTTACCTTAAAATTACAATCAATCACTTAACCTCGGCCTTGCTTCAGTATATAATATACCTTGACTTTCTAAAGTTCCGTTGAATACAATTTAATCAGGAGGACTACCGGCCCAACACGTCTAGGCATGGATTCATCTTCTTTTCTTTAGTAATAAGCTGCGGTGAGATTGTACGATGCACATTCGCCATTCAGAAATTAGCCCGTGATATAAGCTCTCACCCTCAAGCCAGCTTCGACCACTCCTCGCGCGACATGGTTGGTGTGTTGTGGGTGACTGCTATCCCCGCCGGCTCGAACTCATCCCCCAAGGCCTTCATCAGATCCCACGGATACCCATCCTCCTTCTTAGCATCCCACGAATCAGGCGTGAAGATGACGTGAATCTCCCGCAGCGGCGCCTTCCTGGCAATGGCCGTCTCCGCCATGCCTCGCAGCCACCTCTGCTCCCTCTCGCCAAAATCACTCCAATCCTCAGAGTGCTGATCGTAAATCGAGAAGTCGAGTGTGAACTTTCTGAGCTTCGGCGCAGAGAGCAGCTTCGCCTCTTCGGCCCGAAAAGTAAAGCGCTCCTCGGCCTCCGCCGGCCGCAAGAGCTGCCACACGGACAGCTGCAGATCCTCCAGGGCCGTGAACTCGAATAGGTCGAGGATCATTCCCCTTCCAGAAGTCGCGAGATACCCAATAGACAGCTTGGTGAGGGTGTGCTTGTGCTTGTCCAGCATGGTCGCGAACATGGGCAGGTCAAAGTAGTTGGTGTTGTTGTAGAAGCTGCCGAAGGAGAAGCTGGCCAGCTCTTTGGGCCAGTTGATTAGACGCAATGTGCCTTCAGCCCTTTCCCGATAGTCGCTCAGAGCCAGCTCTGTGATGTTGGACTCTCCATAGTCCTAAATGCGTGTTTAGTGAGTTGTCCTCTCATGCCAGGACAGCAAAGTGCGGCAGCTAGGGAGGAAGACACTCAACACCTACTTGTGATGCCCAAAACGTCGCGTCATCGACGCGCTCTTTGGAAACCCCATGTAAGGACAGACTTCGGATCGAGGGCGATTGAAGTGTCTCCATGACTCGATGGACAGTAAAGCCCTCCAAGCCCTCCCTACTCAAAGACACCTCCCGAAGCGAATGCATTGTCCCTATACAGCGACGAAGCGTATCAAAGGTAAGCAATCCTTTAGCCCCTTGCCATCCCCCGTGGATATTAAGCGATCTAACGTTGGGAAGAGAAGCGATAATCTCGTTGAGAGCCTGGTAGTCTGCCGCCGTGAGCTCATACTCCTCGTTCATCCTGATGTCAGTGATGTGGAACAAGAATGCAAGGCAGTGCCGGCCGAGGTCGGGGTTATCCTGGAGCGCCCTGTGCAGCGCCATCACCTTTCGGTCCGAGGGGATCACAGAGTCTGGGTAGTCATACTTGATCGAGCGCCAGTGAAAGGGGACGGCCAGCTGGTAGAAGCGGCGGCATGTGCGGATGATGGGCGCGATCAATCTGCTGCGGAGCACAATTTCGTCATTCCTCCTGAATGGGCTCTCATTCCGGCCAAGGGAGGCGTGTTCAAGTATCTTGACCAAGACTTCGTTGGGCAGATTGAGGATGGAGCCAGGTCGTTCGGTCTCATGTCTGTGAGCGCTAGCCATGATTTTTCCGAACGTGGAACCTCGGTCTAGTCTTCTCTTCAGGTAGCTCGAGTCTAGATATGATCACTCCATGAGGAAGAGAAGGCGTTGTTCACGGCAACATGGGAGTGCGCAAGGGGAATGGTAGATGGGGCGGGGAATCAACACGACGTAAGACGACCAGGGCTACTGACCAATCAAATTACTACACGCTTACAGGGCAGACGTCCCAGGTCCGTTTCTATTTTTAACACGAGTACTGGCTAAACATGAGGCTTCAGATGGAGTGGTTGACGTGATCCGAACACAGCGATGGCAAGAGTCTTGTAATAATATTGAAGCTACGCTGCTCTAAAAATAAAGTGTATATAGTTCTTTTGCTTACCGCCCCGTTATGGCTAGGCCTGAGGCTCATGAAATATGTTTCCTCGCGTGCTCTTAAACTCAAATGTGACCCTAGGAGCATCAGTGTCGCTCAAGCATGGCGGCTTGTTTCGACTCTCCTTCTCAGGTTTAGCTTTACCCTAGGAGGTACTTGGGTTGTCGCCGGCCTCGATTATGACTCATGATACAGCAAACCAAGATCAAGGTTTCGTACCTGACCAAAGTATCCATCAGTGTTGCTCATTTCTGGCTTCAGAATGATGCTTAAAACGCCCCCTTCTGTCTGAAAATCCTCGTTCTTTTCTTCTCTCATAACGATAAGCAGCGACCTGACAGTATCTTCATATTAATACCTACACCGCACCAAACAAAGCAACCATGGTCAGAATAAGACACATGAGAAGAGTCGAGGTGGCATCTTGGTGCCGGCTTCCTGCTGAAATACAGGCCATGATCCTGGGCGAAATCGTGGCGGAAGCGGATGCCACCTTGAAGGTAGATCAAGCCTCAGTCTCAGCAAAACCGAACCAGGGCATCGGTCGTCTGGCAAGTGTATGCCGAGACTGGCAAGGTTTCTTTGAAAGGCACACCTTCAAGCGGTTACTGCTTATAGAATCAAACCTATCGGGATTCGAACAAGTCATCCTAAGCAGGCCTGTTAGGTTAACTTATATTCAAAACCTGCTGCTTCGTATCAAGTTGTCGGTGTACAATTGCAAGGCCTGTGAGCAACCAGAAGACGCGTCCACAATTAAACTGTAAGCAAAACATCTTCCATTCTATGATTTGGTACCAAAACTGACTAATTTTGGAACATAGAAACAATGCAATATTCTCCTCTTGTATCCAGCATCTTCTGAATACCCTCGCCTCCTGGAGTCCTGAACCTTGCAACTCCTCCAAGCCAGGCTTCCATGGCCTGACCCTGGAAATTTCCGTATATTCCCCCAGCGACAACAACCACCGGTTCAATTTCTGCGCTCAAGAGAACGACTACCCATTCCGGACCGAGGCGGACTTGGGCAAAACACCGAGTCTCCTAGAGTACCACCGACAAAGGGCGGCACTAGGCCCCACGGCCCAGCAAAAGGAGCACGAATCGGGTACTTTATTCCTATACAGAGATGCAAAGAGGTTATATGGGACACCTCTAAAGCTAGGATCAACAGCGCCCGTCCTCCCGAGGGCTCCTATTGTGAAGGGGCTTCTTCTCCGCCGGTCCACGTGCAGAAGCATCGACGTGGGGGCTCTCGCTCAAATACTACGGCAAAGCCTGGTAGCCCTGACATGGTTCCGATACGAGAGCCGACGCCCAGTCTGTTATCTGGAACTAGGGGATTTCGCAGAAGGTATATAGACAAGTGCAGAGAAAACGACCGAGTACAGCTACTAATTCTCGAGACTGTAGGCTTCCGGAAAACGCTAGTACCTGCTCTCCCTTCATCCTTGAGACGCCTGCATTTAAATGAGACGCTGGACTTTTCCACATATGAAAAGCTGGCAGGGCTGCCTCTCGACGCAGATGACTTGGCATTGGCTATATGTATTAACCCAGCACTTGGACAACTGCGCGAATTCAGCGCCGGATATCAAGTCACTGCGAGGGAGGTCCTATCAGAGCTTGGGCAGCGCCGCAGATTGTTAACAGCTACGATACCCCTCCCAAGATGTAGATGGGAAAACCTGGAACTACTGTGTTTGGCTTCATACACACTTGCTTCACCCTGGTCATCCAAATCTGCTATCGAAGGGGTTATGTACGATGGTGCGCAAGCGGCCTTGAAGTTGCCAAAGCTACGTATCATGGAGGTATGGGGCTCCAGTTCTCAAGGATTTGCCCATCTCTTCCGCTACAAGCTTGAACACAGGGAGGCTACCATCACCTGGAAATGGTGCGAGGGCAGGCCTGTCGAGCTTCCTCGCAAATACGGCAAGCACTGGAGAAAGGTGGTCTTTGATCGAGGTGGACGTCTGCCTGTGAGGGTGGTCCAGAGCCGTTTTCTCGAATCCACGGCAGAAATTCAAGATACACAGGGCCAGTGTATACTCAAGCACCTGGAATTAAAGCACCTTTATCTTGATCCAATAACACTGGCTCAAATTGAAGCTGACGAGGCTATAAGGAGCGGATCCCTAAATTGATCGTGGGAGGAGGATTACGCATGCACCAGAGACTTGGATAGATTACCACCCCGCGTATGAATAAATCTTGGAGAGCCTTTAATGTCTCGTTCTGTCTACTGGAATGATGATTTACTGACGAGAGTACCCTTGAACATTTTACTTGCTCGGTCTTTCCAAGTTAGGAGCAGATAGAGTGCGCAGACGGTGCGCCAAAAGAACCACCCCCTCTGCCTCTCATATCGCACTCTGGGCAGCCTATGTCTGCTTGCATTAGACTAGAAGGTGGCCCCTTTGGCTGTTGTAGAATTAACAAGGCGTAAAGCGCTCAGCTTGCTGATTGGGGGAGAAATTGATAATAGGGAGGAAGCACTGGTTGTGATGGGCAATGGGTGGGAGTCCTTCAGATATGTCGTGAATCGCTCCTGACATTACCACAATAAACTAACCACACTCGTCCTACCAGTCCTGATTCAAGACGGGAAAGTGCTAGCCATGGTCACAAACCCACGGTTTGTAGTTGGATTAGCCAGCCCAGTCTCGTCTTTCTGGCTCTAGCGATGATTCCGAATCTTCGTCTTCGAGCACCAGCTCTAGTATTTCAATCAACTATATTCTTAATGCAACCACTACTCCTATGGGCGCAACAGTTATCTCTAGATCGTCGTCTTCTAACACTTTTGTAGGCTCCAATAATACCACCTCTACAATTAATTCCGATAGTGCGGGTAATACTAACACCGCGGCTTCCGGCGGTAATAATCCAGTGGTTGGCACGGCTATCGGTTTCGCTAGCCTTTTTGTTATATTCTATAATTGATGTTGCTGGATGGCTTGGGAAGCTTTTAGTCTCTGAAATCATATCCCTGTTGCTGCCTCTTAGGATATGCGCCCAATGCCAAGCACTCTCCCAGAAGGCCTGCTCACATTCATTACATCATATCGACTGCGTCTGGATTGATCTACTCGCGAACAGTACATGAACTGGCAATGCGGTAACTGTGTCAAGGCTTCTCAGGACGACTCCTAGGGTCCGTTACTGAGCTGCCACTGTACAAGGCGGGATTGATACATTTGCGTCCATACAAATTGTCAATATTCATTGTGTTCGGATACCGGGTCTGGCATCTTCTACTGTTGTAACTTTATAATCGAACTCTCTCACCCGTGCAAATTGCCAATCTACTTCTCGCGGCGGCATCCATGGCTTCGCACCCTCTAATGTTGCAACGGTTATCGCAAACTGAGCAGTTCAATGCAATATCTTCGCCCAGTCCTGCTTGCGTAGGTAGTCCTCAATGCTTTCGAGGCTCGAGGGTGAGGCAAGCTTGGTTTATGGGTTAGCGGACGTAGGCAGAATTATCTTGAGATATGGCTTACAGCTGTTGGGTGAACAATTGTATGATCATCTCTGCCCTCAAATCCAAACTCGTTCCAGTAGAGAAAGTTGTCAGATAGCTCCTGGGCCAGCTCTGGCGGCACTCCAACAAGTGGTTCGCTCTTGGGCAGCGTGACCACCTCCGCCTTGAGCCCCGTGACTTTAGAGAGTACCTGCGCAAGCTCTTTCATAGTGGCCCATGTTCGATATCCTTTTAAGTTCTTGCCCGGCTCATCCTCCACAAGAACTTTGACCAATGGCCCCGAATCTTCATCGGGAGCTATGATAGGCAGCTTCAGATCACCGTCGATGAGAGTGATGAATTGAATCGTATTATCCGCCATATATCATGTTAGAGGGAGTAAAAATGCAGCGACTACAGGGATCTCACCTTCTTGGGCGTCATGAATTGGATTCCCAAGAAAATTGGTAAGGAAGAAACCAGCCTGGAAGACACTCGTCTTCTTCCACAATTCCGAATATGTTTGCTCTGCATACTCAGTCGCAGCGGCTTTAGAGTCAAAGTGGTATACGTGAGTGTACTTCCCCTTAGACCACTTAGTTGCATTGGAGAGCGACGAGATGATAAATCGGTCGAGAGTGGTAACCTTCGCCGCAACATCCACAACGTTCTGGAGCTGCTGGGATTCATGCTCAGCCCAAACATTCAACGGCTGTTCAGGATTGGGCTTGTCCTTATTTGCTGGGTCACCGTAAAGGCCCCAGAAGTCACTGACGGCAAAGATCACGTGAGCTCCCTGAAAGGCCTTCTCGAGTGACTCGGGGGAATCCAGGTCAGCTTGAACAACTTGAGCACCTTTTACTGTTAAGGCATAAGCTTTATCGCTTGAGGGATTGCGTGTGATAGCTCGAACATTCCATCCGGGACTTTTCAAAAAGACGTCGGCGACGGAACCTCCTTGGTTTCCGGTGGCACCAAGAACAGCGATCAACTTGGAAGTCATAGTGGTTTCGTAGAGCGTTCGCAGAATGTTGTTCGCAATCAGATTAGCGTAATATTAAAGCCATTGATAGGACCCTATATTGTTCAATGATCTTATATTCAAGGCCAGTGAAGAAGCTTAAGTTGAAGGTACCGACGTCGCGCTTGGGTAAGCTGTTGCTGGTTTGTCAGCTCGAATCATTGTAAATCTAAATCATGATTTGTCAGTCAAGGTTTCCGAGGATCGAACGCATTCAGCTGCAAATGAGTGTCCCGCTTCAAACGGATGACGGCGGGTAACACTGTGTACTTGGTGAAAAGCGGACGAGGCGGACTGAAGCGGACAGGGGCGGATGAGAGCGGACGGAGACGGTTATTACATCTAAGTGATATAGTGCAACCGAAAACCTCATGCATTTAGTCAGTGATCACGATATACAAAGTGTGCTTTGAGATTGATAAGCCACCCCGCTTGCTGCTTTGGTTGCGTGCCTGCCACAAAGCACGCAGGACTCGACCGCCACTGAAAGAGTGATTGTTAGTCGGTCTTCGCTACGGCGGTAATCTTCCCAGCACCGTAGAGTCGATCTCCAATTCTTACTAGAGTGTTTCCTAAGATATTCAATCCCATCAATAAAAATAACGTTTAGTTGGTGATCTCTACCAGGGTATGTCCTACTTCTAATGATCCATCTCTTAGGTTGAAGATAAAGGAGCATAAATCGATAATTACCTTCCTCCTCCTGGACTCATGAGAAACCACCGCTGTTCATTCGTCTTGCAGGACGCGAAGACCTTCCTAGAAAGGAGATCTTCCTTATAGTAGCAATGGTTTCCCGTTGGACTACGCCGGAATTTGCGTAATGAGAACTCGGCAAAAACGTGCTGTGTTTTCCAATCAAAACGGTAAGCGGAAGCTGATTGAGCTCTATATTGGTGCTATATAAGGCACCGTGTAGCTCCAAGGCACATTTCGTCTAAAGCAGCTTGTCTCTTACACTTCTAAAGTTTATATCTATCAATTTGAAAAACCAATCTGAAAACTCAGTCTTTCCAACCTTGACCTGCGATTAAACAGCCCATTATGAAGGTTAGTTCGTCACCACCTCATCCATAACCTAATTGACAAATGAGTATATAGTTGAACCCTACAATTACTTTTCTTGCAATCGCTACAAGCAGCACAGCACAGAAGGCTGTCGTCCAAGAATGGCTTCGTGGGGATTGTAGTGGCCAACCTTTTCTCACTGCGAACCTCAACGGGGGGCCTGAGGAAACCACATGTGTCAATGTTGAGCAGTTCCCAGCTACAAATGTTAACGTCAGGCTCCTTGAGGGATGTGTCGATGGCAAGGTCCCTACTGTCAGGGTTTCCACTGAAGTTTGCGCCGATTTCGCAGCCGTCACTACCTTGACCGTTGATACATGCATTCCTGTAGCATTTTCGCCGCAGGCCTACTCAATCTCATGTGATTAGTTAGCACCAACTTCATAGGAGGCCGGCAGAAGGGGACATTCATGAGATGATCAAGCTTGACTTCAGTGTCAGCGTCGAAGATACTACGTTTATATACATGTGATCTGAAAAATTGTATATTGTCATAATAAGTAGGTATTTGCAATGAACCCTTGTTCTAGAGATACTGAAACATAACTTATCCCACTACTCTTATGCTCAGTGCCGGGCAAATTTATAAAATAGATATAGTATAATCTTGAAAAATAACTTCTTCTAGAATTATAAAAGAAGTACTAATAAGACAATAGAAAAGTTATAAAAGATAGATCTTAAATTCTTCAACCTATATATAATCTATATATAAATCTAGGAAAAATTAGTATTTCATATGAAATTATATTATTAGGCGGTCCTTTGGCGGTCTTGCTAATCACATCCTAGTACTGTTCATCGGTAACATGAACCTCCATATGAGGGCCCTTGTACTCCCTCTTAGCCCATAGCATATAGTACACAACCGAAAGCAGCGCGACTCCACCCGTCATCAGCGAGGCATAGTTCATCGTGGAAGCGTCAGCGGGGGTCTGCGGAGGCCAGAAGCTGAAGAACCAGATGATAAGCATGAACATACACGCAAAGGTGTTGTTAAGAATCCCAAAGATGCCGGGGACATGCCAGGGACCCCATGCGAGGGTCTGGCCCTCGCCGGCGGTGGTGTCGGCCAGGGCGGGAAGGGCGCTAGGGTCAGGGAGCTTGTAGCCCTTGCCGACGCGGCGGTAGAGGAGGAGGGAGGCGGCCATAAGGTAGGAGGAATAGAGGCCGGAGACGGCGACGGAGATGATGGCGTTGTAGACGACGGCAGAGCCGATGTTGATGAGGCCGATGAGGCAGGCGATGACACTGGTAACGGTGATGGCCCAGACAGGAACGTTGGTACGCTCGTCAACCTGGAGAACTTCGTTAGTTGGCTCACTTCTATGTAATTTGCTCGAGCTGGTTGGGGGATGTTACCTTAGACAGTGTGGACCAGAAGGGCAAGGCGCGATCGCGAGCAAAGGCAAAGCACATTCGGGAAGTGGCTGCAATGACACCAACAATAGCGGAGAGGGTCATGACAATGATCAGCGAGGTCATGGCAGCAGTGCCACCTTTAGAACCAGTAGCTTGGTAGAAGATCTCGATGTAAGGATAGCCAGTGGGGGAGTTGATGGCGGCATCGATGTCAGAAGCACTGTAGAGCATGGCGATGACCATGGCGAGACCCATGCAGCCGTTGATGGTGACACTGGTCATGATGGACCGGGGGACAGCGACGGAAGGGTTTCGGACTTCCTCGCACATCTAAATAGAAGAATAGTCAGCAACCGAGCTTTCAATGGACGCGAGATGAGGGTGGTCCTACGTGAAAGGAACAGTCGACACCAGCAAACGAGAAGACGCAGCCCAGTAAACCGACGAACCATGACAGACCTTGGGATGGCCACATCCCCTCATTGCGGAAAGTCAGGAAGACATCGGCGGCAGATGCATTCGCGCCAAACGTGGTCAGTGTAATCAGAATGGCGAAGAATCCAATAATGTGCAGAATAAGAATCATGCCCTCAATCTTGGGAAGCAGGGAGCTAACAACCGTGTTGATAGTGACCGCAATCAGAATACACATCCACAGCATCAATGTCCCCTGCCACGTCTGCGCATTGTACGAGGGCACCATGAATGTCACCAGACCCTGAATCATGGTCCCAGTCAAGAAGCCAGCAGCCGCTGACGTGCCTTGCCATCCAGCGAGTGTCAACCAGCCGGTCAGGTAGCTGAGAAACTTGGAGCACCATCGGGGCGCGAGCATGGCGACCCAATGGTATTGACCACCGGAGGTCGGGGCGATGGATACGAGCTCGCAGAGGGTGGAGAAGACGCTGATGTTGCCGATCCAGACGAAGATGAAGCCGTAGACGAGACCGCCTGGCCCGCCGTTTGCCAGACCGGGCGCGAAGTTCATGAGAGTGCCCTCCCATGTTACGAGAATGGCGCAGCTGAAGCCGAGAATGGTCAGGAAACGGAAGTTTCTCTACATAGACTCCAGGTCAGCTTTTCTACATTCCAGGGAGGTCTCACTGATTACAAGCGCTGAGAGGTGAAATATCATACCTTGAGAACAGACTTCTTGCCGAGCCTGGCCAATTGCTCGCGATCCAGTTCCTCGCGATCAATGGATTCCGCCACAGGCTCGGCCTTGACCTCTGGGGACTTGCCGCCTTCGCTCACATCACTGAGCTCGCGGCCCTCCTGTCGAATGCCGCTCATTTTATTGTGGTGGGGGAGGGAGGGTGAGTGACAGGCGCACTCTGGGCACGAATGACGGTTTCGGAGGAATATGCGCAGCTGCTGAAAATTACGATAGACACATCAGCGCATCAGTCGCAGGGGATATCCTTTGATTTGAATGAATAAAGATGAAGCTTGATGACGCTGAGTTGGGGGAGGGTTGACCCAGAGAAGGGAAAGTGTTTGAGTAAGGATGAAGCACCTGCAAGTAAGACGAGACAAACAGACGGACATGTGGAGGTAATTATTAAGTACAGCTCGTACATGCAGCAGCCTATGAACCGGGAACTATACATGGCCCCTGGCTGGAGCGAGCTCTACCGAAGGAGATGAATTGGAGTCAATGCAAAGGCTGCTTGCTGTGGGTAATCGGATGTAACACAACACAGGTGAGTTCTAGTGCAGCACAGATTCTTGGCTCTTGTAGGGGTCCTTGGTGCCTCCAGCTCTCTTGGCCATCGCCACTAGCAACCAGCCATTTCTTCATCAATCAATCAGACCACTCTGCTGAGAGAAGCAGCACAAGATCGGAAACGCAAAATCGTAACGGAGTGGGGACAGCGTGGAGCAAGGGCAAAGATCCAATCCCTAGTCCATGGATCCTCCCTCCTTGCCGCACCTTGTACCGTGATCCACGAAGGGGGGGGTGTGGTTTGTTTAGTGTTGAGCCAGGTCAGTTGCGGGGTTTTCAGTAATTCCAACTTTTGAACGGGTTGAGCTTAGCTCATCCTTCATCTTCTCTGCCAAGAATCATGCTCCTGGGGCATTGAAGTACCGATTACCTGAATTGGAACATATAGCGAACGTTCTACTTCTTGGCTTGCCGGTCATTTCACGGTGGAAAACAATGAGCTAAAACTAAAAGCCCACAAGACCCACAGGGAGCCTTCAGGAATCCCTCGCGGCACTTGTGTGGCGATCTTCCCTCATGCGTACATAATGGTGTGCAGCAATTTTGGGCAGAGCAGGGACGAACAGGCGCAGTGCAGGTTCCAGGAGAACAGGGGATGGGGGACCATTGTACAATGCACTAAGGTAAGTAGCTACGTAAACTAAGGGACTCTTCTTCAGGTGGCCAAAGCCCGAGCGACCAACAGACTGTAACATTCGGGCTTGTTTCGCCGAAGGCTGTGCTTGGCCGTCACTCAGCATTCCTAAGAGGACCCCCCTGTCGCTGATGAATGTCATTCCATTTCTGCCCTTCAATAGTACCATCGCACATAGACATGGAATACGTAATGCTGGTCCTGGCAAGGATAAAAGCGGCTAAGATTACCGAGCAGGCCTACATGCCACTGAGGTGAAATGGCCAGCACAGACAGCTGAGTAGGTAATGCAAGCTCGCCTCCGACAAGATTTCCTGCGTCAACTATTGCCTGTCGCTCAGGATACAGCGGCCAGGGCGGTCGTGCCTCGACCAGACAGACACACTATAGAGCATAGAACGACCTAACAAATCGTTTCATAGCAGATTCTCCCCGTCACTCACACAACACCGCATAGAATGGCAAAGACAGACAGGGATTCCAAAGCACGGGCGGAGGCTGTTCCTCACTTTAACTTTGACCTGCCCAAGAGGTTCTTCAACGTCAGGGGGTCGAAGCGCCTTGGTGATTGCCCGCCGAACACGGGTCTGCGTCCGTCCCCGTTTACTGTCTACCCTCTAGCCCAAAATTTGGTTATCAAGCTCAAAGCTCTGGGAAAGAGGTCACCGTATACATGCCAAATGGAGTGGTGTCGAGGCCCGTCTTCCCGTAGGCCCTCGGACCCCAACATAATCATATCTGGCTACCTATCTCAGCCCCTTCCATGCTTCAGTGACTAACAAACAGCCAACGGTTCTCGTGTTTTGTGACCAAGACAAGGAGCAAACAAGGAAATCGGCATCGAGGCACTTGCAGGGTTGGTACCTACCCTAAATTGACTGCAACTTAGTTATGAGTTCTCTAATTCTTTATTTGGTATTTGCCGCGGTGGCATAGTTTTCATCCTTGCCACTCTCCTCGACGTCTACACGCCACGTTGATTGAACGAGCACCGTTTGGCTCGTGTGGCTCTGCCCATCCCAAGACCTGTTGTTAGGGCTGTTACTGGCATCCTCCTTGTTCCCCGCCGTGACCGTAGTAATATTCTCCTCAACCCCACCGGCGCGGTCGTGATTAGCGCTCATGTCCATCATTTCGTACTTTTGTAATCTGTGGGAGGCCCGAGTGGCAATGGACGTAATACCTGCCCCTGTGCCTCGTAAGCTCCTTGGCGGCCGGCTCATGCGAGCAGATGCGTAGGCGCTCTGGCTCCTGCTGTTGCTGCCCTTGCTCCTGGTTCCGCGATAGTCGCCGGCGGCCATCTGCCCGGAATTGAGGCTGTCCATGAAGGGCTTGAGGTAGGGGATGCAGGTCGCCATGATGCTGAGGCATTGGATGACCTGCACAATGACTGTGGGCTGCCACATGTCGAAGAGGGGGTTCGGTGAGTCGGCGATACGCTTAAAGTAGTACATGTGTGAGACAATCGGAGGAATAATGCTGTGTGATTTGGGGGTCAGCGCATGCTCATGCTATTGAATGAGTGGGTGGATATGTGGCATACAAGACGCGACATCCGAATACACCGATGACTAGAATTTTTTTGGACGTAGATGTTTTGAGCTTGATGAACATCTCGACGAGGATGCCTGTGATGGCGAGATCTGTTACGATGTTGAGGGCATCGACGTAGATCCAAAATATTGACTGTTATACCCCGTTAATTATACACCGCACCGAAGGCAAAAGAAAGATAGTAAATTAGCGAAGCCTACCCGATTGAAACATTGACCGTGAACGAAGTCCCACGGCTGCGGGAGCGAGCACTGAAACAGTGACGCGAGAATAGACGATGAGGCCCAAGCAGCAATGAGTGCCTCAATGGCCCAGATTGCTTTTCTGCGCTCTCGCGGCGCCATGCCCCAGAGTGTCCTCGTTGCAGACACTTTGGATAACAGCAATGCGGCAATGTACAGGATGTCGGATGCGTAGTGACTCTATGAATTCCACTACGTTAGTCGTCTCATCATCGTCGAGGTTTGGGGGTATGGATAACGTCCAACACACGGCTGGATCGCACCTGTTCATCATGTCATTCTCACCTACCTTTAAGATGTACGATACCTGATCGGGGCCAAGGCTCTCGAGCTTGCCTAGGCCGTTCGCCCCTTGAGATATCACGGCGGCCGACTGCGCAATGACTACTACTGTGGCTGCTGCGACGAGCTGGTCGTCTTTCTTGAACGCTCCCACGGTGAGGAATCGAGTGACGATCCGGGTGACGGCCGAGAGAATCGCAATCACCATGAGCAGCGCCGCCACCGCCCGAATCACCGGTGCCTTGTTAAAAGGCGTCTCATGTTCGCGAGGCAGGATCATCTTTGCAGCATGAGTCAACGCTCTCCCTACGAGCAATAATGTCGAGTATACGAAAACAAAAACAAGATCAAATCAAACAAACAAGGCTAAACTAAAAGAAAGACAGGTGATTGAAGGTGGTGTTGAGATAATAAAGCACCGTCATCATCTATACCTGCGCCACACGCAATGGTATCGTTAATTACCTTACCTAGATAGTTAGTTGGGCGGGCATGTACTGACAGGAATCACACTCCTTCATTTTAGGCGCACGTCTCGGTTTCTGCCGCCCGAGAAGTATGGAACGCGATTTTCCCTTTATCCTCCTCATCTCCTTCTGATTCAATACCAGCCAATTACTTGGCTTGTCGAACCATAAGGCCTTTGTCCCGTAAGCGGCCCCAACGGCAAGACACGAATCGACTCAATTCAGCACGGAGAAGCCCATGGCCGCCTCTGATCGGCTATATCCGGCAACACGCCCAGAGGAGCCGTGGACTTTCTGCCTGTGTACACCTGGCAACTGCTTTCAGGAGAGGTTCTCGGCTGAGACTGTCCCCATAACTCTAAACTAGAAACATATTAGAGCTTGGGGATGGAGGGGCCCCTGGACTTCGGGCGCGGATCTGCACCCCCGGGGCTGGCTCCTTCGGATATTTATGGCTTAGCCGATGTCACTCTTGAGCTGATAGCCTCCAGGTCTTGGCCAGTCAGAATCCACAGCGCGGTCACTGCCGCAGCTCTAGAAACTGCGCTAGGGAAGCTCGGATGTTGGCCTTGGTTTTCTTGTTTCTCGATTTCAAAATACCTATGTATGTTTCAATAGTGGGTAATGGCTTTGAGAGGGATCAATATGTGGTCACTGGTATTGTCGGTGCTAGGTGCTAACTGGTAGTTCGCCTTCACCGTAAGGCACGATGTTACTGTACGGACCAACAGAAGTTTTTTTTTTTTGGCCCCTCTTAGTAAGAATGCATACTTTCCTACAATAGGCAGGAAAGGGCTTTCGGTCTTTCCAAATTTGTTTCCAGATCGTCGCTTTCAGAGCGGGTGGCTGACTGTCAATACGTTTGACCTGCCTAGATGGTCGACGATCAGACTTTGACAGGTCGAATCGAGCCAAGCTTAAATAAATCCTTTCTCTTTTTGTCAATTCGTCTTCTTGCTTCAAAAGTACAAGCTAATTTTTAATTTTTTTTTGGAAAGGTCCATCGATATCGATGGGCTGCCTTAACCAACACCCCTCTGCTTTTCATTTCATCGCATGGATGTGAGTGACCGCATCACAACGTATGTGTATCAAATACTCGCACGCCAGACCCGGGGGTCCCACCGTCACATGATACGAGCTGCAGGATATAGTTTCATTTATTCAGGCGGGTTATTTTTTTTTTGTAGTTATCATGGTCCTGGGGTCGAAGATAGTCCAAACGGTGGTTCTTGCGCAAATTTTTCTTTTCTTTTTGTGCCTCGGCATGAACTCCGGCGACGAACCATTGACAGATGGTCACAGACCTTGCATATGACTCTTGGCTAGAGCCCTGGAAGAGAAGAGATTTGAAATGATGGGGCGTCCGGTTATCGTTCCTTATGCTCATACACTTCTCCACTACATACTGAGGCCCGGCTATCGTTCCTCATTCCGAGTGGGAGTCTGGCAAAATCCCTCTCCTTCAATCGAGTGATGGTAGCCCAGCCGTTGGGCTGCCTCTTGGGGTGCATGCGCATAAAGTGGGATTTTACTTTAGCGTTATGCGTAGTTAAGGGGGTTTATTCAATTTGGTCCCCCGCTTCTGTAGCCTTTTGCTATCCAACGGTCGGACAACGGCACTCACGCCACTCACTCTTCAATAGATTAGCCCCCTGGGACATTTCGATGTCACTGGCCTCTTTTCCCGGCAATCAGCGGGCTGTCTGTCTTGCAGATGTTTTAGATCTTGTTCCTGTTCGCTGCCCGTTTCGCTGCGCCGATCCCCTCTGTCGATCAAGCCTGGGTCATCGAGCGAGCTAGTCAGTTCTCTCCTACGTCGGCGAGTAACAGATAAAGTAAGAAAATAAGCGCGGGGATGGGAAACCAGGAGGTACAAGAAGAGGGTGCTTTCCTCCGTGCTGTCCGGACGGCCCCTATCATTGACCATCATGCGCACCCGCTGTTGACTCGCCATGCTACTGCGGCTGGCAGGTTCCCCCTGCAGACTATTACGACCGAGGCCGAGGGCTCTGCACTAGCTGCTACAACAGCGAGCCTAGCTCATGTTCGGGCTGTCAAGCAGCTTGCCAGTGTGCTTAGCTGTGAGGCGACATGGGGCTCCGTCCAAGCTGCGCTTGAGAGTAAGCGTCAACAGGGAGAAGTGTATGAGGATTGGGTCAAATCATGCCTGTCGAGCATTTGCACTATTCTTGTCGACGACTCGATTGGGGGTGAGAGAGATCATGAGCCATATATTTACTTTAACAGGTTCGGGGCTGGTTCTAAGAGGCTGGTTCGGATCGAGCATATGGCAGCCAATTTGATCAATCAGGCTTGTCAAGAATATGATCATCCGGAGATGGCTTTCTCCTCGTTTATTATGAATCTTAAGAACGCTATCACTGCAAATTTAGCTGATCCTATGGTGGCTGGGTTCAAGTCTGCGATATACTGCCGGACTGGTCTCGGTATCTCCCACAACGAAGATAAATACCAAGCGTTTATCGCTTTTCAAAAGATCCATACGAAGAGGAGGCGTATCGAGGCAAAGCCATTTTCTGGGCTTCAGGACGATGGACTTAATGAGTATGTTGTCCATTGTCTGGCCAGTCTCATCAGCGAATTGGATTCTCCCTGTACTAAACCGATCCAATTCCACACAAGTCTGGGTGATAACGACATCACAATGACGCAAGCATCACCGTCCTATTTGCAGTCATTCATCAAGCAGTACCCAACGGTGCCTATTATCTTACTACACTCTGGCTACCCGTTTGTCCGCGAGATGGGATACTTAGCCACGGTGTACGCTAATGTGTATGCTGATATTGGTCTGGTATTTCCCATGGTCAGTCGAGATGGGCAGGAGAATGTTATCAGGCAGATCTTAGAGCTTTGCCCTTCGTCCAAGGTTCTTTGGAGCACAGGCGGGCACTATCTTCCCGAGACACATCTCCTTGCCGTCACGCAGATGAGGAAGGCCTTTGAGACTGTTTTGAGTGAATATGTGAAGAAGGAGGATCTTACTTGGATGGAAGCAAGAGACGTTGTTGAAGATATTCTCTTTCGCAACGCTAATAGGTTATACAGTCTCGGTTTGGACCTTAACTCTCCACTACCAGTTTTGACACCACAGAGTGAATCCGCCCAGGCAGAGCTAGACAAGGCAGGACCAGATCAGGAAGAAAGAGAGCAATCGGAATCTGAGTCGCAATCAGACCAGTCAGATTCAGATCGGCCAAAATCCAACTTTGACGGACTGGCAAAACTCAGAAGTGCCGGTGACTCCATTCAATACGTACGCCTGTGCTGGCACGACATAACCGGAACAACAAGAGGGCGAACCATCCCTATAAGACGCGCCATGTCAATACTACAGTCCAAACCGGACTTCAAATTCAGCGTCTCCACGTCAGCATTAGCACTCCTTCAGACGGACGAAATGCTGCCCGGCGTATCTCCAGCTAAGGAGTGGGATCTCTGCGCAGATTTTAAAAGCTTGCGCGTAGGTCCGAGGAAGGGACTGGTCACAGTCATGGGCGACTTTCAGGAAAAGGATGGATCCGGTGTCTTTCTATGTCCGAGGACAACGCTATCAGATACTCTGAGGCTTGCGTCTAGTCACAATCTTGAGTTTATCCTCGGCTTCGAGATTGAGTTCGTGCTGCTGAAGCGGACTGGAGTAAGACGGTTTGAGATGCTTGATGGCGATGCGCATAGCTGGTGTTCTGTTGGAGCCGCAGATCATGATGCAGCTATTGCTGTTGAGGAAGCGGTCAGCAAGTTGGACGAGGCCGGCATCTACGTTGAGACGATACATCCGGAGAGCGCGTTTGGTCAGTACGAGATTGTACTGCCTGCCGCGCCAGCGCTCGAAGCTGTTGACACCCTCATCTTTGCCCGGCAGGTCCTCTCGGCGTGTGCAGATTCTCGTGGATACAAAATGACGCTCCATCCTAAACCGTATGCTAAAGCCACTGGGACCGCAGCCCACGTCCACATGTCCATTTCTTCCCCTCGAGGATCCGACCGAAATACTTGGGAGTCGTTTTACGCTGGAATATTGAAGCACCTTCGAAGTATTCTTGCCTATACATGTGCAAGTCCTGTTAGTTATAGCAGGCTCGTCGATGGCTGCTGGGCTGGCGGGACGTGGGTGGCATGGGGGTGTCAGAATCGAGAGACGCCGCTGCGTAAGATAGAGGACAGCCACTGGGAGCTGAAATGTATGGACGGTTTGGCTAACCCTTACCTGGCTATGGCGGCTATCTTCTCAGCTGGAATTGATGGGGTTGAGCTAGGACAGCAGCTATTGTTGGCCGAGTGTACAGACGACCCGGCAACTCTAACCGAGGAACAGAGGAAGAAGCTGAACATAACAGAGAAGCTACCTGCAACGCTGTTGGAGGCGCTTGAATCGCTTGAGAAGGATGACTCTTTGCGTGAGATAGTTGGTGAAGATTCGGTGAAGAGGTACATCGCGGTGAAGAAGGCGGAGATGAAGATGCTGGGTGCCATGGATGATTCTTCTCAACGGCAGTGGATTATCGAGAGGTATTGATGGTGAATATAATGAAGAATCGGTTGTTGAGTAAGAATTATTTCTTGGTGCTATATCCATTCCGGGTCCGCTAGAATTTGAACTACCTTGACTTTAGGTGCTTGTATTTAGAGAATGGTTAACAACCAAAACGCACTAAATATGACGAGTACAATAATCTTTCCCAACACTTTAACAAGGTAGTTCGTCTCTCCAATGCTCCCCATATCAAGCAAGCATAATAAGATTGTAGGGCACTCCTAAAGTTTGATCTCGGTTCTACGTTTCCTCGACTTCGGCATATATCTACTGCCCGCCTACAAATCCGTGCTGCTGCAGGATAGATTCATATGGTCCCCAACTAGCCTTGCGGATGCGGCGCCCCCAGTAGGTCAAAGGAACACATAGCAAGCAGACTGCACTGCTTACGCACCCTCCAATGACATATAACTTCGTCAGCCCGGCAGACTGTATCCAAGAGACGACACCAAAGGGAGCCCCAATCGCTGGGACGTTGCGGATAAAGGTAATCAAGATGAATGCTTCAGCAGTCAGCTAGGGAGGGAGATACCGTTAGAAAATCTATACCAAGTGTAGAGTGGGCTTGATCAACGTAAGATCTAGGGAAAGGCTTACATTTTGGTATATGTCAATGACAATAGTGCATGAGACATCCATCATCGCAGCAGCGCCGAATCCAAATATGGCGCCGCCAATACTAGGATATATCCAGTGCCAGCCCTGTAGAGAGTTGTGAGCTTTCTGGTTCTATATCCGCCTGTTAGACCATTTGACTTACACGGTCAGCAGCCACCCCATATAGGGCGAGACCAGCACCCTGACAGATGGCCGGAAAAGGCAGGATGTAGAGGCGCATCTCGGGCTCGAATATACCACCATTGCGCTTTGCCAGGCGGACAACGACCCAGTCACCTAACAGGCCGCCATACAAACTACCAAGTATGTTACCGACAAACGGGCCCATTAGCATCAAGCCCACCCCCGACGTGTCAAAGTTGTATGGTGCGGCAGAAAAGACCATAGAGTTAGTCGAGGTGAGCAGGACGATGAAGGCGAGGGCATTTGCGACTTGAACGGCTGTGAAGAGCACGTGAGGGAACCTGGCCATCTTGAAAGGCGTGATGTAATTTCGCCGCAGCGGCTCGTCAGTGTTGGTGATGAAACGCAGGCGTTCCATGTAGGACTTTTTGGCTTTTGGGGATTGTGACTCGAGGCTAGGTTGATCTTGGCCTTGGATATCATGGGCAAAGTCCAGCTTAGAATGTGGCGGCACGTCCTTGGCCGGGAACGTCGAAGGATTGACTGCTCCATCATCATCGATTTCGATAGGCCGTCCAAGCGCGTCGTCTGGCGGCTCTGCGTTGCAAATGGGAACGTACTTTGTCTCCTCGAAAAAGAGGCAGAAGAGGAGGAACAACACGGTGAGGCAGATACCGACGGTATAGTAAGTCCACCTCCAGCCAAGTGCAGCAGCCTGGACGCCAGCTATTGTAGGACAGACAAAGTTTCCGAACACAACGGCGACAATGTATAGTCCGTTGGCCGTACCGCGTTGGTGAGTGAAGAAAAGGTCGGCAATCTGTTTTGTTATACGTAGTCAGTTTTTTTTACGTCCTGATAAACACGAGAAAACAGCAGCGCTATACCGTGATCTCCGAGATTGTCTCGTTCAGCGAGCCCACCAAGCCAAACAAGAAATTAGTAATATATATCTCAGTGGCTGTAGTCATACGGCTACTCCACCAGGCAACGCCGGCCATGACGGCCGTGGAAAGAATATAGGTTGACCTGCAGCCATATTTCCTCGTCAGAGGAATAAAAAGCACACAGCCTGCAGCGAGGCCAGCTGAGTTGGCAGCGACTCCAGCATTGAGCTGGTCATATGTGACATCGAGATCAATGATAATCTGCTGCCAGAAGACGACTTGCATTGTTATTCTGACAAAGGTGATGCGTGTGAGCAATTTGTTGACGAGGCTTCAAGGTATGTTATATAAACACGTACGCAGTAAATATGGCGATGGTCAAGGCGAGAACAAAAAGGAAGTTGATGCTTTTGCGAAGGAGGCTCCAGTTCTTTTGTCATTAGGTGTCACGTTAGCCCAGAAATTCGCACACTCTTTGTGTCCGTCTCTACTAACCAATGGATCATTCGGGTCTTTGGTTGGTGTTGGTATGAGAACGATGTGAGAAGAATCTAACCTCTAATGAGCATCTATCAACATTAGGGAGACTTTTAGGCGAGCCTCACCAAGAAGAAGCTGGGAAGTCCCCGGCGGGTAGCGGGTGGGAGTTTCGCTGGGAGACATGGTGTCCTTCGGAGTGTCTCAGGCAAGTTTGATCCAGCCGCTGAAGGATAAATCTGTAGTCAGTCGGCTCATGGCGGGTATTTGTATTCGTCAACCACTGGATTTGAGGTTGATATCGGGTTGACTTCTCATCACCCATGTTATTTGGGTTTGCTCTTATCTCCCCCACAAGGTCGTGCCGGAGAAGCGAGTCCAGATCTAATTGGCTGCGGATCGACCATCCTAAACAGGTCTAGGCAAAGACCGTCAGAAGAGCGAGATCTCCAGCCCCCGTTTCCGCGCTTCCACGTCGAGGTCCACATTGTCGTCACCCTGTTGCAGCGCTAGGTCGAGAATCTCTCTGAGGTGGATAGCATTGGGAGTTTTATGATACGGCAGGCAAGAGCTTTCATACCTAGATAATGCCTCGACCCAAGCCGGTTTTGTTTGGAGCACTGCTACTTCGAGCCGGGCCGCGGTACACGGATATAGGATGCCGTTCCCGGCCAGGTTGTGACTGTGTTCTGACCGGCCCTGGCACTCGTGGAGGGCGTCCAGGACTGCAATTAAGCGATGGACGAGAACCTCGGACGCAGCAAATAGGGCGCTTCCTCGACCGGCCTGATCCCGGGCCTCTCCCCGGAATCGGCGGCCTATCAGAATACCTGCCAGGCGATATGCTTCCCACAAGTGGCAGTGGGGCACGTCTCCAACATGCCCCGGCCAGGTTACGAATGCCTCTTCCGCCGATTGATTGCCAATGCGGGCAAAGATGTCAATCAGGCTGCGTGGCAAGCCTGACACGGTCTCTACATCGTCAGCCATGCCCTCTGCCGTTGCGGATTGCTCCGCTCGAAGGCGCGCCCAGAGTCCCAGCGAGGGGATCTGCCTACCCCTCACAAAAGTAGGGATGTCGATGGTGGCCATGGCCTCGACCGGGGCCCGGAGCTGGGGGTTTTTGCATATGGTCTGCCCAGCGTCACGCAGCTTGTGGACCCTATCCAGATGACTTAGGTGGCTGGTCCACGGGGTTCCTTCGAATAACTAGTGCCTGTAGTCAGACTATAGGTAACCAAGTCCGAGGTGTCAAAGCAGGTGGTAGATGAAACAAAGGAAAGTGACTGCGAGGACTAACATGTAGTGTGCATATGAAGAGTCCCGTGATGAGCATCCCTGGATCCAAGGTATGTTGCGAAAGTTGTAACTGCTGCTGATACAAGTGCAAACCTCGGTTGAATGATTCATGGAACAAGGGCGGCGGGCTGCCGTGGCATGCACAGTAGATGTGAATAGCCACGGTGATGTTGTAGAGGGCTTCAGATTGGAGAGCAAGCCTTTCCACAGAGGCTCGGAAGGGGTCATGGGCCGAAGTACTGTACAAGAGCGTAACCGTCGTCTCGTTGACTTGATAATAATATTAACGTTAGGTATTGTCTGGGCCGCCAAAAAATATTGAACAGTTCTAGCCAGGAGAGCATGAGAGGTAGACTTACATTGCTTGAACAGTTGCCGCATCTCATCATCAGCGACTGCATTCGCAGACGCGACATGGGTGGCTACGGGCTGGCCCAATGAACCACTACCCAACGGTAACGGAGCCTTGTTAATCCAAGCATTCGAGTCTGAAAACATGGGCCCATGAATCAGATCGGTCACCCTGTATCGTTCCAGCGAGCTCGCCGACGGAGTCACTGGGACCGTGGCGCCGCGCAGAAGGCCTCGCGAGGCAACACCCACTTCCCATTGGAGCTTCACCTGGTAGCCCTCGCACTGCAAGCCATTTTCACTACATTCATAACACGTCGGCTTGGCCTCGTCGCATTTGCGGTGGCGCTTCTTGCATGTCGCGCACCCATTGCGAGAGCGGGGCATGGCCGTTCGATATTGGATGAGCACGCTGTCGGGGTGTCAATCCAGCTTCAAAGATAAGTGTATGATTTGAGTGATCTAGTTTTTTCCGGTCGTCAATTTTGACCGAAACGAAAGGGTGATATTTGTCATCCGTGTAGAACCAGATTCCTGTTCGTCATTCGACCAGGTCTACCGATAAAGACATTAACCGAATTAATAAATCGGAGATGCAGCTCCCTAAATACCCACTAGATGGTAACTCGCTTATCAGGCGGACCAAACTACCTGCAGTGGGTAGTAATTGATTCAAGGATTGTCAAAAGATAAGCCCAGAGTTTGGGGCTAGTTACTGCGCTTGATATAGCTTCCACAAATATGCTGTGGTAAGATACGTCCGTGAGGCAATGCAATTGTCCTAGTATTGGGTGGGATTGAACTCTTTGAGTTGCTCACCTTCCATTTGACTGCTGCGGACCTTGGATACAATTCTGAAGGCCTATGAGATGCAAATACCTAATGACCAGCATATACACTCAATAGCTCACCCCAAGTCATTCCAAACAGGCCGTCCATCCAGCCAGGTGCCAACTACTCTACAGGTGAGGAGAGAGGCAGGATCATGTCTCCAGTCACCGACCCCGTCCAGGACAATAAAGTCCGCCCGTTTCCCAGCCGCCAGGCTCCCGACCATGTTCTCCGCAAAGCACGAGTAGGCACTCCCCATACTAGAGGCAGCCAGGGCTTCCACCAAGTCGAGCTTGAAGTGCTCATTGCACGTTTCTTTGTCGTGCGGCCGCTGGTACGTCCTGCGGGTCGTGGCGTTGAAGAGGTTGTTCCACGGCTGGTGCGGTGCCGTGGGCGCATCCGTCCCGATGGCAAGATTAGCCCCGGCATCGAGGAATTCCCTGTATGCGAACGCTCTGGTGTAAAGATCTTTACCAATCAAAGGTGGCCAGAGAGTGTTCTGCTCCGGGTCGCAGTGCACGGGCTGGACGGAAGCCGTGATGCCCAGCCGGCCCAGGCGACGGGCATCCTCGGGCTTGGTCAGCTCGAGATGCTCGATGCGGTGACGCCTCCCCGTTGTACCCAACGACTCGAGGCCGTCGACGGCCAGTGTCACCGCCTCGTCCCCTATGGCATGGAGGGCGCATTGCAGTCCAGAGCCGTCTGCCGCAGCAAGCACACGCTGCAGAGCCTCGGGCGTCCAGATGGGCTGCACAGTCTTGCCCGTCGTTTGGTACGGCTTGGACACGGCGGCGGTGCATGCGTCCACCACGCCGTCGCAGATGATTTTTATCCCGGCGACTCTCAAGTCGGGCGATGTGGTGAGATTATAACTTTGGTGCAGCTTGCTGGCGTGCTCGACCTGAGCCCTCTCCGTCTCCGCGTCGCCCGTGGGTAGGACGAGGAAGTGAGCCGCGACGCGCAGCTTGAGCTCCCCAGCAACGTGAAGCTCGTGCAGCAGCTCCCAGTACTCTTGAGTTACAGCCATGTCGATGACCGTGGTGTAACCGGCACGGTTGTAAATCGAAACGGCTTCCCGGATCCGATCCAGCTTCTCTGCGCGGGACATGAGGTCGGCAAGGAATGGCCAGACCAGGCTCACCACCGCGCCCTCTTCCAACAAGCCCGTGGGTGTGCCATGCTCGTCACGATGGATGATGCCGCCTGGCGGGTCAGTTGCAGGGAGATTCAGCTCGTCTAGTGCAGCGCCGTTGCACCATGCAGAGTGCAAGTCGTGCGCGTCAATGTAGATGGGTCGCGGGTCCAAGCCCTCCAGCATTGAGCTCGTAACCTTGCCTGGTATGGCAGACTGTTTCCAGCGGTGGAAGAGTAGCCGCTTCGCATCAGGTCTACTGGCTGCTGCTGTTTTGATGGCTTGACGAATGTCGTCCAGGCTGCCGCGGTCTCCCAGGTCGATCTTGGAGAGGGAAATTCCAAAGTGCAGGAGGTGGACGTGGCCATCCACAAACGCAGGGAGGATATTGCGGCCGCCCAAGTCGACTTGTTTCACATCATCGTGGCGCAGAAAGTCAACGATGGCAGCGTCCTCCAGCTGGCCTCTGTACTCGATTATGTTGTCTCGGATCGCTAGGCAGGACAGTGGTTGCTGCAGCTCAGGAGACTCTCCAGTAATAATCCGTGCGTTCTTAGCAAGGGTCCTCATGTTGTATCAGGAATATACCAAACAGGTCACTCAATCTTCAGCTTTATGGACGATTCCATGCTGCAAACGAGTGACTTGTTGTCTTCTTGCCAATAAATACTCCGGAAAAGCACTGACTAATGCTTCAAGAGCAAAGCACAGCTTGTGATCGCCTTGCGATTGACCTCCATGAGCCGAAACTCTCCTGGTTTTGGGGGATACGGGTCAGATCGACAGGTGCACCATGCCGCTTCTGGGCAATGTTCGCGACTAAGTGGGCTCTTATACAAATGTCACCGAACCGGCGGAGCTGGTCTAACATCAAACGATTCGTTGATGCCCCTAGGTTGGAACTGCACGGTTTCCAATTTGACCCACAGGAACCCTTCCCTTCTGGCCCTACCCTATAGCAGAAAAGTAAATCTAAGAAATCAGTAGATAATAGCATCAGATAAATAGTTTAAAAAAAAAAAACTGATCACTACATACTAATATAGAGTACTTTATTATAGTTTGCTTATAATTTTATCCAATTTATTCAAGTATATCTGTTGGAAACATAATTTGAGTGCCTCAGGTGTGTTTTTTCATGGGAAAAACATGTACCTTGGTTAAAGTCCCAAAGATCACGTGATTATATTAGTAAGCTAATGTCTCGCGACTGCCTATTTTAGCCTAAGCGACCTCCTTGAATAACGCGTCGCGATTGACCCACTTGACCGCGACAGCCTCATCCCGCTGCAGCAGCTCTTCCCTGACTGATCTATCGCGATTGAACAGCCCGACTGCGATAGCTTGATTGGCCGCAGTAGCTGTATTCCTGACCTAGCGAGCTATCGCGATTGAAAGGGCCTGCCGCGACAGCTTTATGCGGCTGCTGCGGCTCTCCCTTGAATAACAGCTCCTCTCTCAGTGTCGTCGTGCTTTCACCCTTCACCACACATCGTCGATGTGTTCATGAGATTGTCACCATCTCTTGATCGATATAGATTACAGCTTCTTGTTAGGTCATGAAATTAACTTGTTAATTATACTGTATTATTTACTAACCGCTTCAGTTGTTACACTAAGGTAATTCAGGATGGTCAATACTTTCCTCTCAACCGCGACATTTAACTGGCTTTAGATGAACTGTTCTATTGTAGTGTCTAGAAATTCTCGCTGCTCCTCAATAAACTTCTTGACGCTCGCAGTGTCAAATGGTGCGCCAGCCTCCTTTTGCTCGCGAAGCCACTGAGCTTGGAGTCGCATACGCTCCTGTAGAAGCTCAGCACGGTAGAGGCAGTAGTCGTAGAAAAGTCGGCTGTTGTCGCTGATGGCAACACATGTCGTCAGTACCGTCTCGTCCTTGATGAGCGGGTTCTTGGGTCGGAAGGGGGTGATCATGGTGGTACGCTCCCGACCGCCCAGTGCCTTGAGAGCGGCATGCTCAATGTAACGGCCCTGGAGAATCACGGCGGTTCCCTGCGACGGTCAGTATGCGTGAATGAGGTAGTATCCGGCTGTTCTAGAATCACTTACCATGGTAGGTCCTCGGACCTTTCTGACCTCGCCGTCACCGGTGCGAAGAGCAGTCTCGCCGCCAGTCATGCCGGCACAGTCAGAGAGCATAGTGACGCACACAAAAGGGAAGCTGTCATAATGCCAGGAGAAGCCAACGCTGTCCTCAGCCTTCTCTTCCTCACCATCCTTATTGACAAGTACATTGACATGGGCGATCTCATAGTCAAACACGGGAACAAGCTCAATGCCAGCAACCTGGGAGACGGCGTTGGCGACTTGAGGAGACTTCCACATAGCGTGGACGAAAGGGGCATCCCTACAGTACATTAATTAGTTGTCACATTGGCGGTGGCAAGCATCACACTCACTCAGCAGAGATACCTCGAATCATATTCTTGGTAAAGGTCGAGCTGAACTGGTACTTGTCTAGGACCGTTTCGCTGAAGATTTCGGCGCGGCACTGTTGAACGGCTTCCTGGGAGAATAGCTGGAAGGGCTCGGAGGTGGCGATGGGGGAGATGCCGCAGCCCTCCAGGCCAATCTCCTTCATGGTATAGACTCGCGAGGGGGGCTGAAAGGTGACATGCTTCTCAGCGTGAAAGGGGACCTTTTCAATAGCCCGAGCAGCATCAAGAAGAGGCCGTGGGAGTTGGTTGCTTGGCCGCATGGGCTTCTTGTTGGTAGGGCCGACGGGTTTCGGGGCTCCCTTGATAGGGGACACGATCTGGAGGACTGAGCTGGCCATTACGATGATGTGTGAATAACTGAGACGAGAAGACTCAATAATTCTCCAGTGATGCGGCTAGAGGAGGAGGCTTTGAGCTTTGGAAAGCGTTTGATAATGCTCTGGTCTGTTCTGAAGACATAAGAACAACAGTATAGCAGAAAGGCTCGTTTTTATAATGATTATACAGCTATGGTGTCCTCCACATTTGCCCCGGCATTCCGGGGAGAATAATACTAGAAGGGTCGTTATCAACCGTAGGATGGGGGCGGCTGTTGGGCATTAGCTCCATAGCGATATCATGATAGTGTCCAATAACTGTCATGCCTAATCTTGATTGGTATCAGAAGCACCATGAATTGCATAGCAGAGGTGGGGAAAGCCACATGGCCACATGTCAGGGCTCAGATTTATCATGGCTGAGCGCCCTCAATCGTACTAGATTGACTATATCCGTCTCTGAGGCTCCTCCGGATTGGCTGTATGCATGATTTAACAAGCGCATACCAGAAACGGAGAGTTTGTCCGCTAAGATCCCATCTCCACTTGAGATAGAACGCGTGACCATCGTAAACTTAATCCATGGCCGACAGGAGGTTAGCATCCCGGCATCCTCGTTTTCATGCATACACTAAGGGCTGAACCTCCGATGCTAGCAGAATGCAAGTGCATCCTATTTGTGATAACAACGGATAGGCCTGGGTGAAGTGGTGCCCTGGAAAAGGTCCCACTACCGTTGCAAGCGGCGTGAGGATCTTAAGCTCTTCCATCTTGTAAAGCTTATCGATGGCGTGAGTCTTGTTTCCAGGATTCCCTAGTAACCGAACACAATCTAAATGGGGCGAGAAAGCGAGATGGGGATAGCAGCCTTCCTCAGAGGACAGATACGTGTAACCCTCAGACAGCTGCCACCGAGTCTCGGCTTCGAAGCCGAGACGATGTTGTTGACGGAAGCCGATACCGAACCCAGCAAGTTGGAATACTAAATATGTGCCCAGATGTAACAAAGCAAGCCAAGGATAGCGAGTTCGATGCCCGTGGACTTGTTTGTTTGTTTATATAAGCGTCCCATCAACGGGATTTGATCAACAGAAGATCTCAAATTGCTGAGTGGCCTGTAACTGTTCCTTATTTCTGGCTAAAGATATGCCGTTGCAGCCCATCTGAGGCTCCCGTACGGTGTAGTGGAGGCCCGAGTTTCGCAGGTTCCGTACAATCGGACTCCGACGCGATATGATACTTGCTCCTTGTTGCCATACCCACATAGATCTCTGGATTCATTCTATACTGACAAGATTAGTAAATTGATACAATTCACTCTTGAAATCTTGACTTATCTTGAGCTCTTTCATACCGAGGCACAAGTGAAATCTGCTTACAACTTGTGATTTGTTCTTTAGAGCAAACTCTCAACCAACAGCCCGTTTGCGAGAACCTTATGTCAATATTTGACAGCCGCGCCCTTCTTCTCATCCGTTATGAATTCAAAATCATGTCTCGTGAATCTTTTCGTTTGGTTTTGCTATTTACTAAAAGGAGATTTTACATTTCTAGCAAAAGCTTACGCACCATTCCCGATCTAAGAGTAAGTTCTCATAATTGCGGAACCCGTTGCTTATATCAAACACGGACTCCGTACCCCGGCCCCTCGCTTCGTAATCTATCCTGGTACGGCTATGGTAATATCCAATCAGCTTTGTTTGTGTCAAACTAAATCCGCAAGACGTGCTGTCCTGCCTCGGGAAATGGACCACTTTGTCCATCTAGATCGATGCCTATTGCCCAATTTGACAAAGATGCTCACCCTTAGTCTGTCTCGTTGTCGGCAGAGAGGCCTATCAGCTGGCTCGATGACGATTCAGATTACGCATTCCGCGGGTACGAGCAATTCTTTATCATAAAATGCGGTTGTAATCTTTGACACTCCTCGCTCTTTCGCATGCTCGGAAAAGATTAATCTCACCCTGCTTCTCATCCATGCCTTACATGACTTTCTAGACCTAGACCAAAGAAAGCTGAGCACTGTGCTCATGCACCAATGACATCGATTCGCCGCAAATGGCATGTCAAGTCTCGAAATGGCTGCGACACTTGCAAGATGAGGAAAATCAAGGTGAGCGTGCAAGCAGTATCCACCGTATTGGTACGACTAACCACCCTCTATTCAATGCATAGTGCGATGAGCTTCACCCCGAATGCTGGAACTGCATAAAAAAGGGTCTAAGATGCAATTTCAAGCCATTGCGGCCAATGGCAGTTAAAGAGCCACCAGATATCGAGCTTGAGCACCTCGAGCATCTCGAGCTCCTACACCACTTTACCATTTCCACTGCTTCGACACTTGCAAACGAGTCCGAAATCCGTGATCTGTGGCGCGTATGGGTGCCGCAAATCGCATTGTCCGTCCGTTATGTCCTTGAAGGCATACTTGCGCTTGCGGCTCTACACAAGGCTCGTTACAATCCCGAAAGAAGAGAGAGCCTTGAAGCTCGAGCTATGGAATACCACAACGCTTCGCTGGCAAGGGCTCTGCCGCTGGTAACTCATCCAAACCGGCACAACGGTGCCCATCTCTTCCTGTTTGGTGTCTTGACACTCCTATTCAGCCTTGCCAAGCCGCGCACGGCCGATGACATCTTTCTTGTCGGCAGTGGCGTCGTACCTGAATGGCTCTATCTCCTCCGCGGAATCGACACAGTCATCGAGGCCGAGAGCGCAATTGAAGCGTCCCCCATCTCACTTATTTTTCGCGCAACCAACCCGAGCTTTGAGTATTGGCGATCCCACGAGCCCGTGGAACATGGTGCCCTTACCGCCTTGAAGGCCAATATCCGTGCTCGTGCGCAAGCCTCGAACCAAAAGACCCTGCTGGATGCAGTGGAAGCTCTGCAAAGAAGCTTCACCATTCGTTCCAGAGATACTCTGCAGTTTCAACACAAGATGCGCGGGTTCTACACCTGGTTGTACGACATTAGTGATGAATATCTGAAGCTGCTGCGGCAAGGAGACTGCGAGGCCTTGTGTGTGCTCGCTTTCTATTCTGTGCTCCTCAAGGACCTGGAACGGCACTGGTGGCTCGAAGGATGGGCTGTGCATTTGCTGCAGCGTATTTATTTGTTACTCGACGAGGAACATCAGTTATGGATTCGGTGGCCGGTTGAGGAGGTAGGTTGGGTTCCGCCTTGTGTTCCAAGTGTTAGCTACCAGACATGATCAACTCCTGATAGAGACATATCATATTGAATCCATTTGTTAAGTGGCGGCAGTGTTTTCGGGGTCGTAAATTAGAAAACTCGGGATCTTTTGTTATGATATAAGAGTGCAGACAGGTAGAATAGAAACTCATACGATTGAACTTATATGAATCAAGTCTTTGATTTTTCTACCTATCTAGTTTGGCGCAAAGCAGTATATTAATACAATTGAAGATTGGGAACCAACCTATCTTTCGCACAAGAATAACTAGGGGTCCTGGTATTCAACCTTTGCCATCCTAGTTATAACGAGCGTTATACTCCCCAATTCCCACGATGCGCCCAAAGTGCGTTGCCCAGCGATAATGTGAGCTGAGAAACTGTCACGGATTTTCTATAGGCTCAGTCAAATACTGGCCAGAGATCAGAATTGAATTCCTCAAAAGTCAGCTAGAATTTCAGCGGCCACCCGCTCTCCTGCTCGAATAGCCCCGTCCATATATCCAATCCAATAAGGCGCTGTCTCCGTCCCAGCGAAATGAATCTTGCCAGCAGGAGCCCTAAGAAAGGGTCCTAACTGGGTTAACAGTCCGGGGCCAGCATTGGCAACTGGGCCTCCACGAGAAAACTCCTCGAGATCCCATCTCTGTAGATAAAAGCCGGTCATTTCTGCCGCCCTAGGCCCAAGGTATCGAACCAGATCCTGGGCAACTAGGCTCTGAATCTCGGACACGGTCGCGCCATCAAGTGCGCGCATCTCATCAGCTTCAATGAAGCCCATGATGGCGCCAAAGCTGGCGTTGGCCGGGGAGTTGTCAAATGTGACGCGAATGACTCCGCTATCACTGACCACTCCGCCGTTCAGCCCGAGGCTCCGCCACCATGGATTCGGGTATACTGCGATGGCCTTGCCCACTGCGCCCATTGGCATGCGTTGAGTAAGCTGATCGCGGCCAGCGGGTAGCGGGGGATCGTAGACAATCCGCGATGCAAGAGGGGGTGACATGGCGAGGACAACGTGCTTTGCCTTGACTTGCGTGGATTCAGTCTGCAAAGTATAGCCTTGGTCATTTGCAACGACTTTACGCACGGGGTTTGAGAGGAGAATGTTTTCCAAGCCAAGCTTTTGGGCCATCTTGATGGGGATGAGCTCCATGCCTCCATTGACGCGACTGTCCTGAGCTCCTCCCCTGGTACCCATCAGTCTCTCGACAGTACCGGGCGTCGTTTCATTACCTGCGGCTGCAATGTATGTCGCAGCATAAAGCGTCGATATCTCGTTAAGTTCGGTAGAGAAGATGCTTCCCATAGCGGTGCTAATTATCGGGCGTGAGCCGTTCACCGTAGTCTTGTCCTGAACAAAGGTTTCCAACGTCATGCTGTCGAGATATGTGGCATTTGGGTGATTCCAGGGTGCCATAATATCAATTCCAGCGGCGAGCGTGTCGAGTTCCCCCAGGACACCGAGTAGCTCTGAGAGCACGTCGGCCTCAAAGGGCGGCACCCCACCAGACGAGGTGTCATAGTGATATGGAGTGGCGTTTCCTTTATAGTAGAGGGTGCTGTTGCCAGTCGTATATGCCTCATATGTGGTGAGTCCCAAATCTGCAGCCCACGCGAGGACGCGATCTTGAGTTGGGCCAACAAATTCGGCTCCTAGTTCGGCAATACCCCCATAAGGTATTTCTGCGTCCAGAATACGTCCCCCGACACGATCACGGGCTTCCAAGATGATAAAAGTCTTTCCAGCTGCGGCAATTTGGTGTGCAGTGGCAAGGCCTGATAGCCCTGCCCCGACAATGGCGACATCGACGTCGAGGGTATCTGCCAAAATCATAGTGGCAAATGCCAGAATCAGATACATTAAATTGGTCATATTGGCTGGTCGAGTACAGAGTTGCTGAAAGGCAAGGTAGGATAGCTTATGTAGATAGGTGCAGAAACCAATGAGGATCATGGCACTATTTATCTTCATCTCTCACAGCAATTGGGTTGTAAATCATATGTGGTATGCCATTGCATTTTTGGGCGTTTCGGACTGTCGTACAGTCGGCCGTCTCGGGTTGTCGTACCCTCGGGCACCCTGGCCACACGTCTTATCTGTACCTTGATGAGAAGTGGCTTGGTAGCTTTCTTCGGCTCAATTCTTTAAGACTAAGCTATATCCATAAACTTGGTATAATGCATCGCCTCCTGAATTCCCCAATTTTAATTAAGAACTCGCATCTTTTCGGGTTCCCGCTTCGTCGGAGTTGTGGATATCTCACATGAAAGGGATTTAAAATCAATTCGCTAAGCGGTCCCTTACTGGAGGCTTCCATTGGCAACTAATGCATGTCTCAGACCATCACAGGCAGTGCAACAATTCAAGCTCAGTATGCACGAGCGTCATGAAGAATGCTCCCACACTCTGACCAACCTACACCTGGCTTGACGAAGTAAACGCTGTCGGAACGCCGGCTCGTCTTACTTGTTTCTGGGATACATGTGGAGCCTTCACCGCAGTTATGGTACTTAGTGAAGGTACATAAGGTAATAGAAGTCTCTTCCTCAAGACATTGGTATAACCAAAGGTCCAAAACCAAGCACTAAAACCCATCCAACCGCATGCGTAGCATCGCATTCCAGTTTCACGGTAGGATTGCACATAGCTGTTGGTACTTTTGGTCTCTGTTGGTTGCGGGCTGACCAATGTCAATATCAATTCTTGTTGCTGCGCCACCTGACGTCGCAACACAGGTCATGGGAGAGGCAAGATGCACTTTTCGATGTAACATAATAGTTGCCAACAAAGCCTCTCAAGGAAACCCGATTTGTTCTTGGCAAAACACCCTCTTTGCAAAACACCAATCTCCGCACCTAGCTGTAACGTAATGCATTGATCCTGCGTCCATTGCCTCGGACCGAAAATTGCTTTGGTAGATGGATGACTACGCCGCCCGCTTTCTGTAGACTTTTAGTTTTATTGTGGCCTGCCCTTGTCACAAGTCCACACACCGTAAGCTGCATTGGCTAAGATGCGATGTTTCCCCGAGACACTAGAATTAAGGCATCCCAATAGCCGATAATCACTATTTTTAAATATTGCATCTTAGTCCACAACAGATATTGTTTTTGAGACATGTCTGCAGAAACATATGACGTTGTCATCGTTGGGGGCGGCGTCTCGGGTCTGGTTTTGGCTAATCGTCTCTCCGAGGACTCCAATCTTCAGATTGTTGTTCTGGAGTGCGGTCAAGACCGTAGCGGGGACGCAAATACATTGACCCCCGGCGCTTGGCCGTTGCTGACCAACTCTCCGTCCGACTGGACGTTTCAAACGGTTCCGCAAAAACACATCACGAGGCAGATCACGGTCCCCCAAGGAAAGGCTCTCGGGGGATCTAGTGCTATCAACAGATTCCTTTTCACGTCCACCTCCAAGGCGACCGTCGACGGCTGGGAGAAGCTTGGCAACTCGGGCTGGAACTATGCCACGTACGAGAAGACCTTACAGAAATCATTTACCCTGCATAAGCCAGGCGGTGTGACAGAGGGCAATGGTCTGCTTCAACTCACTCTCCGTGCCGCCGAGAGCCCTTTGGAGAAGGCTTGGATCGAAGGCCTAACGTCGTTAGGATTTCCTGTAACAGACCCTCTCTCTGACCGCCTCGGTGGGCCAAGTCACCAGCAGTCCCACCAGCATATCTTGCCGCGCAAAAGGAGTTTGTGTACTCTATCTTGACTGATCCCTCTTCGGCCCTGGGTAACTACGTCTTTGGCTTGGCATATGCACCATTTGATGCCCCTAGCCCGAATTATCATGCACCAGGCAAATATGTATCTGTAGCCATCGAGCTATCGCATCCGCTCTCTCGTGGTTCAGTACATACAACCAGCGCTGATGGTGCTAGATATGCGAAAACAAGTGAAGGCGTTGCAGTTGACTTCTGTTACTTGTCTAATCCACTCGACCTGGACGTACTAGCACGGCAACTTCGTTTTACTGAGGATGCTATAACTCGCACAGAGCCTATCACGCGCTACCTCAAGCCATACACCAAGCGTTTTGAGGACCTGGATGTAGCTAAGGAATACTACACTGTGTACAAAGCATACTTCTACAATTCCGATCCGCCGAAGTTCTCATCTTTTCATGGATCATATTTTAGAACTGCTGGGCCGACTTTCATAGGTGAAACAAATCGCATAGGGATCAAGCCAGGAGTAAACCCCTACTTCCCCCCTTTCAGTAAATACAACGACACGCCTGCACGACTTTATCAGAATACCGCTGTCAATCATAGTGCCTTCCTGTATGCCCCCAGTACTGGGACATATCGAATCACTGTGCCAAACTCTGACGAACTTACGCAATCTCCGGGTGGACGGAGGGGAATGCTGACCTAGAACAAGCATATATTTCCAAGGGAACAGCCACTCGGACATTTAGCGTCAACCTCGAAGGAGGCTCTTATACATCCTTTCGACTGCTGTGGACGGACGCGCAAGGAGCGTTTTCTTTCATAGCCGAGGTTCGAGCTCCTGACAATAAAATCATTGTAAACGGCGAGGGAGCGGACAGCAAGTATTTTGTTCGGTTCGCGTGTGACAAAATTACACCAGAACCCCCCCCCCCCCCTCGGGAAGGGTGGCTGAACAAAGATTATATACTAAGATTAAATATTTGAACAAATCTGTAATCCTTATATCACGCGTGATATTGTATGGGGAAGAGCTTGGAAAGCAACCTCAGGCACAGGAGAAAGTCGTGGTCTTCGAGTTAGCAAGAATCACAGTAGGAAAAGAGGTCACATGCTTTAGATGAGTATATAAGTATCCATTCATAGAACCCTCAATATTCACGATGACGGTGCCTTCTTGAGCCAATCCGACCCGTTCAGCGCCTTAGTTGAAGCCCATTAAAAGAGCATCTTCAAGCCTTTGATGACTTTAATAATTCTAACAGGCACCATCTATCGAGAGGGTCCAGATATTCAGCCCGCAGCATTAACAACTATTGCAGCAGTGGAAGGATGCCTCCAATATCGGGTATGTAATAAGGGGTAGACGTGGACTTTTGACCTATTAGTTTCTTAAAACACAATAATGCAGTCCATACTTAGTGATGCAGTCATTATTATTGCTAAATCACTGTGGCTCATCTAATTGCGTTCTGTTTCTTTGAACAGGGTACCTCGGCTGTCTTTTTCTTCGGTGCCCCTTGACTAACAATAGGTCAATGGGTCCGGTGTAAAATTCTGGCTCACGGGACTGCGTCCTCAACTGCAATCAATTATACATCCGAAACGCTGCAGCGGAAATGACTCCCAATATGCTTAGCCTCGTCTGAACTCTGTGCGCGAAGCGGGTTTGTGGGAGCCGACGACAAGGGTCTCGGTCCAAGCCAGCCAACCATTTGCACCCTGTCTGTCACTTCGGTAAGTGGGCAGACTTCTTATCATTCGCCCGACCTTGCCCTGAAACGCCAAGTCTGGGCCGAGAACCTTGATTTATTCAAGCTGGATACGCTTATACGCTTAATCATGAGCCTCATCATGTTGGTGCTTCACTTTGATTTAAGCGCTTAACTAGATCGTCGCCCAATACGGCAATATGCCACCGAGGACTCCGGGCAGAGTCCGGCAATGTGGTCCATGATTCATGCGATGGCGGCGGTCTCGAGCGTTATAAAAGGGCCAGTGAATCCATAGTGCTCAAGTCTTTCTCTTGGTAGTAATAGCCATTGCATCACCTTTCTCTTTCTATTGCTTTGTTCTTGACCTATCTACCGTTGACCGGTTCTTCATTTCCTCAAATCCCACCAGACCAGCCTCGTCAGAATGCACGCTCCCAGCTTCATCGCTCTTCTCGCCGCCGTCCCTTCGGCCATGGCTTGCCTTGGCTACACGGGCGGTGTGCCCAAGGCCACTGGGTCAAAGTCCCTGAGCGCGCCCAAGACTCTCAAGAAGGGCGAGGTCTTTGACGCCAAATGGGTTCGATACGACCGCGGTGTCAAGTGCACCGGTCAGAGTGAGGGTGGTAAGTAGTAGTCTCTTCCAGCCTATCCCGCGGCGGAATTATGTACTGAATCTCCATCTAGGCGACGCGGATGCCGTCTTCATTCTCGAGGAGGGCGCTACGCTCCGCAATGTTGTCATCGGTGCCAACCAGAAGGAAGGCGTCCACTGCCTCGGCGCTTGCAACCTCGAATACGTCTGGTTCGAGGATGTGTGCGAGGACGCTATCACCATCAAGGGCAGCGGCATTGCCAACATCATTGGCGGCGGCGCTTACCATGGCTCCGACAAGCTCATCCAGCACAACGGCTGCGGCCACGTCAACATCATCAACTTTTGTAAGTATAACCAACAAACCCTGCAGCGTGTTGCTGGAACCCAATGCTGACAACGCCACAACAGATGCCAACGACTACGGCAAAGTCTACCGCTCCTGCGGCAACTGTAAGGGCAACTCCAAGTGCAAGCGATCCGTCCACATGGAGGGTGTCACCGCCGTCAACGGTGGCGAGCTCATCGGCATCAATACCAACCTCGGAGACAAGGTTTGTGACAGGTCCGCCAGACTTTTGGGATGCGTTTATACTAATAACACGGACTCAGGCTACCTACTCCAACAACTGCTACCCCAAGACCCAGTGCCAGGGCTACAACGGCTGTGACAAGTCCAACGGCGAGTGCGAGCCAACCAAGGCTGCCAAGTGCTAAGCGCTTGCGCACTCAACTTAGAATCACCTTGGTTTGTCGAGCTTTCTTTTCCATTCATCCATTGTCGCTTTGCTAGTGGACTCTGAAGAGTCCGAGTGCGATGCGGTAAACTTCTTAAACATATAATCTTGTCAGCCGGCATGTATTAAGATTAGTTGGTAGATTAATAAACGCAATCCTCACCGTCGCGGCTTATGAGTGTAGTGTTTTGAGTGGTCGTTCCGCGATGAAGTTCGAGCGCTGCTGTAGATGCAAAGTACGTCTCTAAAGAAATACTGAAGTAGCGACTGCTAGTAGCTATACTAAAACCAAGGAGAAGATATGAACGGCCTGTAAACCAACCTAAGGCGTTTCTTCTCTGTGCGTGCTTATCGTCAGCTGGTTTAACGTTCCGTGTCTGGCTACTGAAGAGAGAGTACGAGAGCTACAAAGACGCAAAAAGATGCAATTTACGGACCCGAGGAATTAGAACCGACCCGATGGGGTCTTGTTGAAAGACCAAGGTTACGAGTATGATTGGGGACCTCTTCGTGCTTGCTGTCTCAGATGCCACTTTTGGTACCTTGGATCAACCGTGAAACAGGGTAGAAGCTTAAAATGGGGAAGTGCCGTATGTTGTTTGATCTAATGACTACTTGGTGCTCTTGTCATATAAAAACCTCGTAATCTCAATACGGACGTCGCCCTTGCCTTGAGAGAAGAGGCACCGCCTCCTCCGCGGCCTCCGCATTAACGTCCTAGGGCACGGTCTATCCGCTGTAATAGATTAAGATAGTATTTTGTAATATAACTACAGCTTATTGCTTGCTAGTTAAGGGTTAGAGTTTAAGAGTCTTATCTATTTACACTGTGCAAAAGGTGAAGAACTGGAACAGTAACATGGAGCAAGGCGGATGAACGATTTGAGTAAACCACTCCGGTCAAAGTAAGCCTGATGTACTCATAACACAATTACTATTTAAGTCAGTTAGGCTCTATTTCATAGCTTCTACACGTGATAAAGTCAACGAATGCGTAATCTCGCATCTCATCTCAAAACTACTGAGGCCCTCGTGTTTTCTTTTGATAAGATGCTGTCATAGAGATGCTAAGACCTACTGTAGATCGAGATCAGCCGTTGTTGCGCTAATGTATGTACGCTGATGCTCGCATAAGCGACAACCATCAGCATGGAGGAATGGAGGAACACGCTTGTTTCGGTCAACATCCAAACAGAAGAGCCCTTTTGAGAATGGTCAAGGTAAGCCCTAATAGAGAGACAGCACTAGCTACGACTATTTAGGGCGCAGTGGGCCTTTTAGTGATCTATGGTGTAAGCCAAGACGACTACATATGGTGATCTCTTCTAATTACGAGCTGTGCGGCACGGATACTGGCCTATGAGACTGAATCCCTATTGAGTAGTTCTCAGCAATGCGTCTACGTCATTCGTGACCTAAGTCTATATAATTATCCTACAGCCATCTTATTTTGCCCGAGCATGAGAGTTCTTTGTATAAATTACATCAACTCATAAAATACTCATCATGGCCCCTGAAGTTAATGGAAGTTGTAGTGGGCTCAGTTACAGCACTACAAGCCGCTAACTCATCCCCAGCAATGACACCCTTGCCATTGCAACCTACGGGGCGGGCTCGAATACTACTCTCCAAGACGAGCCGCGTTACCTCGCCCTCTCGAGCTGCTGCGACCCGAATAAAGCTTCAAAGGTTGACAGCGACTGCATCATATAGTGCAACCTTCCTCCTCGATACGTCAATGACACCGAAGGCTTCTCCAACTGTTTCACAAATATGTTGAGCCACTACAATAAAGAGAAAAACCAAACGGCGTCAGGAGGTTTCATGACCGTCTATAACTCTACAAGCCGAGATAAAGAAAGTGGTGGACCCTCTAAGTCTCCAAGTGTGGCAACCATGTTCACGCTACTCACTCTATTCTGCTCTTTCACTTTCCTATGATAATTGGATGGAATGAGGAATTACATAACTGGAGAGATTTATCTTAAATTGTAATTTCCTACCAAACCAATATATTTACTATCAATTCAAACTTTGAGATATACTTATTATCGTGCGCCCCTTAGCAACAGAGTTTAGGAAAACTGAGTTGATGGATTTCTTCATTTTAGGACGAAACTGCTTCCAAAGAAGCATTATATTCAAGTGTAGAAAGCAACGGCGAAGGCACCACCATGGATGAAGAAACAGGCAGGACTCAAGATTACCCGCCATAGGTGCTTGCCATTGTCCTGCTATCCCAACCACAAATCTCAAATCCCCGAAAGCCTGACTAAAGCCTGAGTGACTACCTAGCTTTAGATGACTACGTATTTGGGATGCTTTGTAACACCACAGACATACATACGCTCATCAAAGTCCCATTCATACATGTCGTCTTCAGAGTCCGGGTCGTCCCAACCGGTAGGATCGAAAAGTCTGCCCTCGTAATGCCCATCCTCATGTACCAGCAGCGTCAGATTATTGGCCATGAATGCGCCTCTAGTGACTTCTGCTTTGAAGTGCCTATCCCAGCCTTGGATAAAGTTATATCCACCATCCCCAGCCTCGGGGTCTTCGTATTCAAACAAGTTTAACTCGACCGTGATGTAGAGGTCTTCCCACTGATCTTGAAGCGCTGCGAGCTCCCGCTTCCAATTTTCGACATATACAGACATCTCTCCATACCAAAACACGAAACAGGCCATCCCAACATTGGGAAGATCAGACTTGAGACGAAGAGCAGCCCCGGTCAAGAGTTTGGCGAGTGCATTCGATGTCTCGCTACGGCCATCCCAGAAGCCGTAGTCTACAACTTGCTTGCCGTCTGGTGTGTATCTGTAGACTTGCTCGGTTTGCGAGATTTCAAAGATAATGTTGGTAGCGGAACCCTTGCGTCTCTGGGACAGTTTGGAAACGGGCAGGTTCAGTTGTTGGTCACCCTTGATATATTTGCTGGGCTCTTGTATTGGTATCACCAGGGCGTGGTTACCGTAAAGGCGATGTTGCAAGTCTTCTGTAATTGTTGGATGGACGTAGAGCAGTGGTGCCGTGGTGGGAGTGTACGCCGTTCCTCCGTCGTGAATATTACTTTCGGAGACATCTTCGAAAGCATAATCATAAATGGCCAAACGGACCTCAATAGGTAACCTTAACAGGTATGGCTCAGTCATTTTGGCGGGGGCAAATGGCTCAACAAACGGTTGATCGATTCGCTGCCAATGTAAGAATTCACAGGAGAAGAGCAATGGTGCAATATTGTGAAGGCTTTATATCTATGATGGCCAGTGGGTACCAGCGCTGTTGCCTGGCTTAATGCACAGTTTGGATCTTTGGTTGAGCGTGAACATTCCAGGGGGTTTTCCACTTATTGCCGGTTAATCGCACTAAAAAGTGATCACTCGTGTGACGAACAGGGTTCAAGTCGCATTTTAATAAACGCATTCGTGAATTTATACATGGTCTAATTATCCAATAGTGGAATGATCCTCCCGGCTCATATCAAGAGTCCATCATAATACGGAAACTACCGTCTGGAAGATGCCATAGCGTATTTGAGCATTCACACGCCGTTGAATAGGCACGCATCCATTTCTAACAAGGGACTAAATGCATTCGAAGCACAGCAAAGAAGGGCAGCAAAGAAGGGCAGCAAAGAAGGGCAGCAAAGAAGGACAGAAAAGAAAGCACGGGTGAGAGAGTTCGAGTATAAAGTTAAACAACAATAGAAGGTGCCTGACCCGACATCTAAACACAATGAATACGAGAGCTTTAAAAGCGCAAAGAACACACAAGGGTCAGTATACACAGGCTACTGGTCTTATTGTGGTCTGAGGTTTCTGAAACAACCTCAACCGATTATTAAACAAGAAGCCCAACGGAAACCTGCTGCGCTCATTGCCTGCGTTGCATGGAACTCTCGACAGATTAGTTTTTAGTCTGATTGAGCAAGCTGTGCCGTATGTTTGAACCCTTTGACGCGACGAACAAGACCACGGGGATCGATCAAGCGAAGGATTTCTCTCCAGAATGTGGTAGGCATCTCCTCTTCCATTTCTTCGTATACTGCAATGGCGTCTGCCTCCCACTTGAGATCGACTTCGCTAGGACAAAGCCACCTTGTCTTCTTGAATAGCTTCCAAAAAAACAAAGCACAATGGGTTTAATATCAGCATTGTGTAGGAAAGGAAAAAGCTAGACACGTCCCATGGCGTGAAACTCTTGTAACCGAAGCAAAAGACAAGTATAACAAACCAAGCAAAGACGACGTAGGCAATATACGGCTGCAGCTGACCGAGATAAGGAAGAGATGACCGATCGAACCCCTGAGCCTTGCAAGCTCGGTAAAAGCAAATGTATGTGACCATGATGATAATATAATCAATCAGAATGTTTGCCGTGGTAATGGAAATAAGCCAGTTTAGAACTTGGTACGATCCTCCTGATAATTGGAGCAAAGATAGCAACGAAAAGGCGATAACCACTGCGAAACAGTAGAGTGGAATACCCTTCTTTGTCGTGTAGGCAAGGAATTTGGGTGCACGGCCGTTGATTGCAAGACCATGCAAAGCTCTCGTAGCAGCATAGGTGTAGGTGTTGCCGGCCGAGAAGACGGACGTGAGCATGAGAGCGCTGCAAAGGTCAGGGAGGCCTTTAATCCCCAGATTCTTCATGGCTAGAATGTAAGGAGAGGCAGCAGCCGACGATTCTCCACTTGTGATGGCCTCGACTAAGCCAGTATCAGTATGGGCAATAATGATTCCAACGCATATGGTACCCCCAATGAAGAAGACGCCAAATCGCCAATAAACCGTCTTGAACGCGCTCTTGATATAAATACGAGGATGCTTTGCCTCAGCAGCCACCATTGAAATGTATTCCGGCCCGACGCATGTAAATATAGCGACCCACAATGCGCCTAGAAAGCCTTCGAACTGACCGAGGCTGCCATTATCGTATAAATTCGCGAAAGGTCCGGGATCTTTCCAGTATCGAAAGCCGTATGCGTCGTGCTGGGGATTGCCGCCAACCATATTAATAAAGGTGAAGAAAAACAAGATGAAGATCAAGAGAACTTTCCCCCCAGACAGCCAGAACTCAGCTTCGCCGTATGTTCCGACGGTAAAGAGATTGATTAGCCTGTATTTTTGAACAGTTAGTACGCTACTTCCGATGCAACACTAAAGGGACCAAAGTAATTCCATACGTGTACACGGCAATGCAGACGAGACAGACTGCGAGCACCGGGATGTCATCTCTCCAAAATGATAACAGGAGATTCACGGCGGAGATCTCGAAAGGCACCGTCAACGCCATATAAATGAAGAAATTCCAGCCGGCCATGAAGCCAAAGGCATCGTCAGCCCATTTTCCGGCGAGAGAGATGAAACCGCCATTCACAGGCATGTAGGTCGTCATCTCTGCAAGGTAATTATTGAGGAATCCAACCATGGTACACTCAATAATGAATGCAATCAACAAGCTGGCGGGGCCGCCGTTGTAGAAGGCAGATCCAATAGCTATAAACAACGCGGTTCCGATGGAGCCGCCGATAGCAACGAGCTGAATTTGCCGTGGCCCGAGTCTACAATGGAGGCCCGATGAGCCACCTTGAGCACGGGAATGGAGGACTACCATCAGCTCGCCTTCCTTTGGGTCGACATTAGACATGGCTTGAACTGGGGGCTTGTCGTCGGCCAATATCTGGCTGCCTTCTTTGGGGGGTTCCTGTTAGCCATTTGTGGGCTGCAAGGTCTGACTGTGTATCGATATCAGTTTGAAACCCAAAAAGAGGGAAAATTGGTAAAAGGAGAAGAAATGTAAGTTGCCAGGGAAGGTTGCATCTGAGGCAGGGTTGTGAGGAGTACATATAGATATCTTTGGCCTGACCTGCTCAAGGGAGCCCCGTGTGAGAACTTCCCTGGCCCGGGGAAATGCCAGACTCCATACCCCATACCCCACGAAATCCTACATCACAGATTAAGATCAGATACTTCCCTCAGCAGTTAGGGCCTTGAGGGAGACAATTATCATTACACCCCATCTGATTCGTCGGAATGGGGCGGTCGATGGAACGGGAATTCCTATGCAAGATCATCTCACGATTTCGCTTACAATGCTAAATGAAGCACCGTTGCAAATTACACTAACAATACCTATATGGGTAATTATCTGACATTTTGCTGGATGTCGTATACTTCATTCAGTGGGCATCAGGACGGATGTAAGCTCTTCCTTTATCTCAACCTGCTCCACAATACCTGAAAATTCCCACAAAAGGCAATTTGATCCCTGTGTCATTCTCATCCGGCATGGGGCAACCGGAACATTCCTTGCAACCTGTCCATTCCTAAAGTAGTAATTAAGTGCACCGACTCAACAGTAAACTCGCTGGACAAGGACCAGTTCCCACCCGCTAGGACAGACTTCCGTACGACCACAGAAGCTAAGAAAGTGCATTGTTAGCGAGACTAAGAGATTGTTGCAGACTAGCTCTTCTTAACTCTGATGGCCCTTTGTATTGACTTGCGCTCCTGGGGGAGACCCTTCGTCAGCAAATTGCATAAACTTTTCATAGTATCTTTGTGCCTCCCACGGACGAGAATAAACGATCATCGTTCATCGTAATTTACTACACTGAGCTTTTTTTTTTAAGGGTTGTGAAACTTACATAAGTCCTACACTCAGCCAAATCGGTATGCAAGCCGCTAATAATGTTCAAAAAAGTCTTACCAATGGCGATGCAAGCTATGGGGTTTGGCAAATGCTCCCGGGGTCCAACCTCACAAGGACCATGTGCCGGTCGGCCGGAAATATTGACTGGATCCTGGTTGATCAGGAACATGGAAACATTTCCGATGACTCTATGCATGCAATAGTAGCTGCTGCCGCTGCCTGTGGAGTGTCTCCTGTTGTCCGGGTGATGGAAGGGCAACGCTGGATGATCAAGCGAGCCCTGGATGCCGGAGCACATGGAATTCTTGTTCCTATGCTGGACACTGCGGAAGAGGCCAGAAAAGTTGTTGAATATTCCAAATATCCGCCGCTCGGCCGCCGGGGGATTCGAGCCCCTGCTCGCGGTGGACAAGTTTGTTGAGTAGCATCCCCATGGCGGTCCGATCAAACAGCTGACCGGCCTGGAATACTTGGCACAGGCCAACAGCTCGCTGGTCATTGCTGTGCAAATTGAAACTATGAAAGGTCTACGAAACGTCAAAGAAATCGCCGAAGTGCCAGGGATCGATGTCCTCTTCATCGGTCCCTTCGACCTGGGCCTCAATATCGGACACCCGGTTCCTGCCTCGGGAGAAATGGCTCAGGAGCTTGTCGATGCCATCAACAAAGCCAGAAGGCTGCTGCTGCTGCTGGAAAGCTCAGTGGCATATACTGTGATACGGGTGAGCAGGCTAGGGGCTACGCCAAACGGGGATTCAAGATGATAAGTGTCATCACAGACATGATTGCTTTGCGGAAGACGTTTAGAGAAAATTTGGATGTATTGTAAAGTTGAGCGATAATCAGACGGAAGTCTTAAAGATAAAAGGTCGAGAGAATGCAACTCTGTCTACCCAACGTTACAAAATCCTATAGCCAGTTTCAGAATGTAAGGTGCACATAATGCCAGAAGCGCCCCTTTAATTGAGCTAATTGCACATGGAGATGATTACCCACGTGTTAGGATCTCAGGCCTGCGTCGTGAGTTATGGGCCTTCACGCTGTCAGTCAAGTTACTCGAACTCTTACAGATCATAACAGAGTAATTAACTAAATTAAAGACTAAGCTATAATCTAGGTCGATACATATATAAGGGAAAGAGAGATATATCATTTCTTTGGTGTGTTACTGAGTCTGCCCATTTTGGGTTATAGGGTAAGCTATATATAAAAGCTGCTGCCGACGCCGTGCACAGGTAGCTTGTCGTGATGCTAAATGTGGGGCATATGATGCATTCGGTACGTACTTGCGTGCCTCCTCGTAGAACTCTCGAGGCTGGCTCTTGCTTTCATAACCTTGCATCATAAAGGCAGGATATTCTCACGCTGGTAGCAGTCGAGCACGTCGCGTAAGCCCTCTAAAGCTTGACAAGTGGAAAAATAGATTGGGACAGCTTTATTAATATCGGAAAATAAGTATTCTTGGATCAACCAGGTGAGTTCGTCTTCCGGTAGCTCTGTTGCAGTAACCTAGCCATAGAGCCACGACACGAACTTCAGAGGGATATTGCCAGTGTAGGGGGTATCTGCAAATATGTCTTGGGGGGGGGGGGGGGTTGAGAAGAGGGTTGAAGTGATATATGCCGCTCGCCTCGTCCATATCGGATGACACTCTCGGAGTGATTGGCAGCAATGAAGTCTCGAGGCTTGGCCAGTCCCACGATCGTGCGTTACCAAGTTGAAACGACTGATCCCAATTGTTTATGGCATGAAGTTGCTCAGATGCCCCCTCGTGGCTGTGATCACCTGGTCTCTTCCTGAATTGGCCGTATCCCTTTACGTTAATGGAGATGCAGTGGTAATTCTTTGACAAAGCGGTGCTTCATGGGTACTCCGTCTAGAACGTTGGTGTCCCCGTCTTCATTGGCATTTGGAGGCTTGACCTGGGAGAATCGGTCCACCAACTCTTGAATGTACTGATCCGGTGGCATAAAATTATCAGTGATGATGACATTTTTATTTTTTCTCAACTCCTTTGTAGGAATGTGTTGTCTTATTATTCTTTGAACTGACCTACTCGTCTTTTTATAATTACTCCTCACCTTCCGAGTATGCCTTTACCCGCAGGATGTAGTTAGGTTGTTCGCGTCGATTTCTGACAAATACTTTTAGTGTTTTGCCACGTATGGTTAAGGTTTTAACTTGACTTTTGGAAGGAGTCTACCCCTTGATTCGTGGGCTATTTCTCTCGAAGTTAGTTTGAAATACCTACTTTACTAGGCAGGAAACTCGTGACTTGGGGGAAAAGCATCCCCATATATTTATAAGTATTGTTGAAATTAATCCGTCCCTTTGTTCTCTCGCTACCTGACAGGCTTAGTAGGCGGGACGTTAAAGGCGCCCTTAGTAGGCTGAACAAGCTTGCAATTGCTTGTATTGATCTTAGGCTTTGCAATCTTGGCCGTGGTGATTTTCTTTCCCTCCATCAAGAGCACCCAGACCAAAGGCTTCGCCATAGCCTAGCTCTCCTTATTCGAGCAATCAAGAGCGGCTTAGTTTGCTATCGTAGCTGGATTTCTAGGGAAAATGTGGATGCACAAGTCGATCAGAGCATTCTTAACAGGTTAATTGTTCTCAAACCCACCGCCAGATTTCCTACTCTACCTGAGTGAGTATGAGTCTTCCAATGCTACGTTTCATGACATTGAAGGATTCTATAACAGGCCTGGTGAACTACACACTGTTTTTATAGTAACAAAGGACCCGATCATGCTAGCACATGTAAGGTATCGTCGACGAGGAGCAAATAATCTAATGATTATATTTCTCACATGTTCCACAGGAGGATAAGACGCAGGTGAAGCAGTCATGGAACTTCCGAATCTCAGTAGTGGACGTACTAGACAAGATACCTTACGCTGACCCTGACCTGCGAGAAATGCTGCGCCAGATCCACGTAAATGGTGCTATCGGCTGAGCTCTTCGGTGGCGTGATCCCCAAGCTCAATAGACGGCATCATGGGGGGCGGTTTACCCAACTCGGGGATAGTGCCCATTACTTTCTGCCTGCCTCGGACAATGGCGCTTCGCAAGCGTCTGGGGATGCCTTGTCCCTTGCCCACTGACTGAGAATTGCCGGCAAGGGTGAGGAGCTTGCTACAAAAGTACACCCCAAACTCCGCTTTGAGCGCGTATAGAATGTAAAAAAACATGGTGTTACTAAGTAATGCATCTCGCCGATGTAATACGGAATAGCGAAGAACTTGACTTGCTCGTAAAGGCATTGAACCCACCCGAATGGCTTTGAAGCCACGACTTAGGACAGTATACGATTTATCATTATAATGATTTCAACGAGCGTACATTGAACTTCGCTCCCTTTGAGAAGACTAATATTCCGTATAGGTACCAACCCTAGACTATAACAAAGGTGATGGCCGATCTTTGAGCCAGGGACAGGGTAATGAGAGAGACAAAAGAGCCCTGGCGGATGATCCACTAGACCCAAGCTGGGAAAAAGAGGTCATTCCTAAACCGCTAAGTGAATAGTCTTGAAACTGGCAAGATCAAGTGGAACTGACATCGTCTTTGCCCATGGTTGGCTCGTATCGGGTGGCTGCCTGCAATCTGGGGCTTGATGTTGCGCGAAGGTGTGTAAGGCCATACATGGATTGAGTCGATAACTCGCTATATACTTGCGTTAAGCTCCTCAGCATTGTTCAATTATCTATAAGAGACACATCGTTATAGTATCACTGTAAATTTCGCAATCATCTGGACAGAATAACTTATGGAATTACGCTTGGTCGCTGAACTTTAAAGCAGAGATTTCTTTACCACGGTATGCTACTTTTGACGCTAGAGCTATAATTCTCGGTCAAGTACCCCTCCCCTGCCTTGAGAAAGTGAGCATCTCAGCAAATTCTCGGAAATATCGGTTAAGTCCATGATGCTATTGCTCTAAATAGTCAGATTTACAAACTCTCGTTCTAATTTGTCTTGTCAGCAGATGATTAAAACTGGGTCGCCAAGGACGTAAGTATGTTTTGATAAAGTGGTAAGTGCTCCAAGGGACCAGGTATAGTCTCGTGTTCCATAGTACCCTAGTTGTAAGCAAGCTCATTACGGAAGCTCAAGCTGGAGATCTCGTATTTAAATTTATGGAATTTTCTATGTTGAGTGGCAAGAATAAACCGTCGATGAGAAAGATCTTAATACAGCGGACATAAGTATAAATGGGTAGTATTTACACTTCCTATTATCAACCGCGTACTCCGGGGACTATACTACGAAGCCCCGAAACTATGATTGCACCTCTTAAACTTTAACCCCCTATTGCTATTTAAATTTCTAAACTCTTCGCAAGGTTTCGAGAAACAATATGCTTCAATACAATAATATGCATTGGGTCGTGCTCTTGGGTAATCTACTGGCAATAGTGAGCGCCCGCCCATTCGAATTTGCCAGTAGAGACAACCCCCAAAACGAGTCATACGTTCTTGAAAAATTCCTGGTAACAACCACGGATGCTGCTCAGGCAGTACGCGATTATTGGACACCTGAGCGTCTTTCTTCAATTGACCATGATCCAATTTCAACCAACACAACACCAGTTCCTGCGAATGAAGAATATCGTGGCACCGAGTTCAACGGACAAGGTGATATTCCGCATACTGTTGGACGACTATTATACACAGAATTGACAGAGGAGTACGGCTGGAGAGATTCCTCGTGCACGGCAACTCTTGTACAAAGCGACAACAAGGCTACCATCGTTACGGCAGCGCACTGTCTAAAACCAAACGTCATGACTCGGAATCATACGGAGTGGAATGAGAATATCCTCTTCCTCCCGGGTTTCCGAGATAACCTGCCCCAGGTCAACTTCACCATAAATCGCGCGTATCTTGAGAGCAGTTGGGTCTACGAAGGCGTTACCTACTTCAATGATCGAGCTTTCGCAGTTCTGAACTCGGACTTAGCTTCCGGAAAAGCTGCAGGGCTGGTCATCGGTGCTGCTCAAGATATTCAATTCGGTACTGAGCCACCATACGGAACTCTGTACAACCTTGGCTACCCTCGATATTCATCGGACAAGGAGGAGTTTCGTTATGGTTCGCCAGCCTTTACGGGACGTCGACTATCAGCCTGTTATGGTGAGGCCGAAGACTGGTGGCGATTCCCTTCCGATCTTGCAGGATTTCCCTGCCAAATGAGTGGTGGATCTAGTGGTGGCCCTCATCTCGCCAACTTCGACATGCAACGAGGCGTTGGGACAGTGGTTGCAGTTAATAGTATCCTCGATCAGAATGCTCCTCCACCAGAAGGAATAGTATATGAGTACGGCATGTCGGTCACTACCAGTTTTTCGAAGCTTCTATATGAAGCTGCACAGAGAGTTAAGCTAGAGTTAGCCTAGGCTCACGTTTCAAGGGCGGTATATATATAGTCTAATGCTATATTAGTACTGGGTAGGTGTTAAGTAACTTTATATTTGACTAGTTGTCTATAAAAATACTTGTATATCTCGCTTTCCTTAAACCGAGAGGGATGTTCAGCATTTCATCGACCATATCACTAGGGATTGTAAGCTTGTAAAAGTTCTTCATTCTATTGCCCCCAAGAAAGACGTTTTTATCCTTAGAAGAAATATCTTCAAAGTACTCATCGACTTTAGCGACGCTCGCTCTAAGGCCCTATAAATAGATACACCAAAGAGCCCACATTTGTCCTTAAAAGCCCCTTGAAGGGTTCCATTGCCACCGCCGCAGACGTGACAAGCGTCATCTACTACGCCCTCCTGCTATTCAACTCATCGATGCTCGGGAGAAAGACTGGGCCATTAGTTTTGAGTATACTCTCGTAGAATATGCCTTCAACAGAAGTATCATGGAACTTGGTCATAACCGTGGGCACTTCAATTCTACGGTCAGGAGGTTGTATGGGGAGCCACACGTAAGGTTATGAGAAATATCTACGCAGCCGTCACGTGGCTTGTAAACGAACTGGTCGAATTTTATGTTGGCTTTGAGGCTGGCCATGTTATTGAGTTTGGGCCCACTTGTCAATTTGGCCAGGTTAGATAAATTAGTTACTTTTCGGCATCCGTAGTAAAAGATATCCTTTTTCCCCCTTCATATTTTTACTTTTGAAAATCCCCTCTTATGAAAGATATATCTTTTAGCAACGTTACGGCGGCTATAATAGATCAATTAACTAGCTGTAAATATAAACTATTTAGTTAAATGAGAATATATATAAAACTCAAAACCTCCTTTTTATAGGTGTTGTGGAAGATTGTTAGATTTTGGTATGGCTAGCAGTCTGCATTTTCAAACTCGCAAGCAGCCGTGGTGTTGTTCGTTTTCCCCCCAACATATTATCCTGCTTGGCAGCTGGTTGCAGGCGAGGCGGAAGGAGAGCAAAGGTCGGTAGGAAGGACTACACGTATAATAGGTGGGATACAACTGTATTTCATATAGCTTCGAGGCACAAGAACGGGTAGATAGATATTTCTTCCAACAGAATGGAATAATTATCTCTGTTATCGGGTAGAAACCTTTTGTAGGGCAAAGATAAAAGTGATGTGGGAAGGGAGGGAAGATGTATCGTCAATGTAGCCGCTGGCGCTGACCGAATGCCCTGACTGTCGGGAAAAGAAATTAAATTGAAAAGGGTCACGGGATGCATTTTTATCTGATATATATGTACTTTGATCTCCTACAGCGATGGTGAATCAGGTACCCATGAAACCTTTCTCTTAACAGCACCTTTGAAGTTGGATTCTTAGGCAGTCGCGTTCTCAGTGAAGAATCAAGTTTCATATTTACGAGACAACAAGGTGGCAGTTTATCACTTCATGTTGCATTGGAATACTGCAGATGCTTAAATGTGGTTGAGCCTTTCATAAACTGACGATCTTTCTACGTAAGACTTAATAGTACTTTATTCAATCTGAGCAAGTCTCAAAGCCAATTTCTCCATCCAAAAAATTGAGATATGTTTACAACTGATCAAATTTCTCTCCACATTTAAAATTTTCTTCGGAAAACAATTAATATCAAAGCAACAGTGTGCTCACACCTCAACTTCTTCAGCTGTTGTGAGCAGTGGCCGCCTGGATTATACGTCTCCAAGCTGGTCTTTTCCCTGCTTGTAGTGATCACGTCGATCGAGAAGCCGCGGGCTACGTCTCAAGCGCCGCTGGTCAAAGCCTTGCTCGCTTTGGACACCTTCCCTTGGAGCCACTGACTCGCTGAGAGGGTCTGCAGACGAGGGCTTGTCAGAAGATCCGACATCCAAAGTCAATAAAGCCTGATGAGCTGCCACCCCGGGAGCTTGTTCGCTAGGTTGAGCGGGGCATGCTGAATGCCGGGGTTGCTGGGAAGTTAGTGTAGAGGGTTGTGTATCGCGTCGACTAGATCGAAGTGTCCGATGGCTTGAGCCTGCGCCAGTTTCCGATTGACCGATGGGATTCCAGATCGCCTTATGGACCTTTGAGGGCCCCCGGGGGGTGACCGAACCCTCAGCAGGAGTGGGAGTGAGGTTGCGAAAAGTGTTCGACTCAGTTCGCATTGTAGTGTTAGTGGCAAAGGAGCTATTGTCACTGGGCTCCTGCTCGTAAAGTGCCAAGTTCTGGTCACAACATCCAGACATAAGCAGGCCGTAGTCGCGCATTGCAGAATAGTGGCACTCTTCAGAGGAACAGGGCTTGTTCTCGTCGACCACAAGCATACGATCAAGAAGAAACTTTTTCATCTTCTCTTCCTCTGTCCACATATGTTGCACCCAAGGATTATTCTCAACGGGGAGTGCTTGTCTGAGCTCATGTCACGAGGGAAGTGGAAAATTCGTGGACGAGTTCTGCCACAACGACACCAAGGGACCAGACATCGACCCTGGTGCTGTTGTAGACCTCACCAGAACGGCACTTCAAAATCTCGGGCGCCGTATATTCTCTAGATCCACAAAAGGTCATGGCGTTCGTGGTGTCTTTGGCAAGCCCAAAGTCTCCTAATTTGACACAGATGTGTGCCCTGGAAGACCGACTGTGGACGAAAAAAAAAACCTTTGTCAGGCTTTGAACAGATCCGCGTTTGAGCCCCCCCCCTTTTTTTTTGTGTTAAGGCTTGAGAGATTCTGTGGCTTGAATAAATAATTGTTCGCCCTTGCATATTTCTTTGTTTGTGGCTTGTCAATACATTTGTAGAACTTGTAGGTCGCACAAAGAGTCGATTATCTAATGAAGCAGCCAGTGCCAACATTGAAGCCTCGCGATTCGCGTCCCTTCAACTCTTCTACTCGGTGACAGAGCGCGCACACGCATCAGGGCTCGGACATTTCCGACTGCAATGCAACAACATGAGTCAGACAATCACGGACGAAGACGCGATTGCAGCTATGGAGGCGTACAGGGTGGCCAAGGCAGAGCTGCGCGAGTATCTCGAGAAGGAAAATGGTCCTAATGGCGGACGATGTCCCTCAACCGTCCCCTATAGGAGCGAAGGAGATCTTTCTCAAGCCTACCCACAATTTGAGGCACCCGATTTGAGGCAAGGAGATGCCATCACTTCACAACCACTGGCAAGCAGAGAGTGAGCCGCCCAGAAACCCCAGACTGACTGAGCCCGACAGAAGATCTTTTTTTGGCGAACGTGTGCTGACAGGATCCAAGTGGCGAGGAGATCGAGGCCATAAAAGCCGACGAGCTTTGCAAGCGACTGCAAGGCATCCCCCCTGATAGCGACGACCGCAGCATATGCGCACCGAGACCCTCCGCGCGCGCAGGGTCAGAGACGCCCCTGCGCGCAATCACTGACGAGGATGTGAGGAATTACCGTAAGGCGAGCGAGTACGGCGACTACCATCTCCTTGTTTCCGACGGCGCACGGCCGGCTTACTCCATCGAGATGGTCGAAGCAGTACGACAAAACCCAGACGAACACTTTGAGTTGCTATACAGGTGGAGCCATATTGAGCCATATGATACCAGTCCCTACCAATGGGATGTGTTTCAGAGACAGTTGGTGCGTTGGGAGCATTTTCGCGACTGGCAGTTGAGACAGCGCGGCAAGATTGATGAGCTCTCGCTTGAGAAGTTCATCGAGAAAAGGAGGACCGACTCCAAGCTCCAGGCTGATCATATGCCCGAATACAGGATGCGTCCGATTACTCCGAGTCGGCCCATTCGCAAACGAGTGTATAAAGAGTGGCGGCTAGATCAACGCTTACGACAGCGGGACCGGGGATTTATTCGCCAAGAGGCTCACAAGCCCGTCAACTTTGCACACAATGTCGAGGCCATTAGACGCAGGCTGTCCGAGAACGGGTTCACCGGGCAGATCGACTTCGACATTGACCCAAAGAAGCAAGGCCAGCTGGCGACATACTGAGTACGTCGACTTCGAACTTCGTTGGCTCTCTGCGTATGAGGCTGCAGTGGAAAGAGCCGCATCAGATGTCGAGAAAACATGGCAGAAATACCATGAACAAGGCCAATTTTCCAAAGAAGAGACGGTCCAAGTCTTGCAGTCCAAGACTTTCAATGATCAACTTCGGCGACAGACCGATCAGAGAGCAGAGGACCAGGCAGCGGCCAGTGAGGCTCTGACGGGTCTCCGTCAACGGATCGAAAGTCATTCACTAGACATGGCCGACGGCAAGCTCGAAATGCTGCAGGCTGCCGAGGAGAGGTCTCGCAACGCAGACGAGCTTTATATGCGGGCTGTCAGAAAGAGCGCCGCTGTGTCTGAAATCGTCAATAAGGGGGGGCATCAGAAGTATAAAGAACTCGTGGCTAAACAAAAGGCACTCGCCCAATGGTCTTGGGACCAATTGCTGTTGATTGAGGGCGAAAACAAGCTCACCGACGAGACAGGCTCAGTGGCATCTGGGAAGCGAAAGGCGAGAGCTGTCAAACTGAGCCAAGGGTCCACAAGTTGTTTGAGCCCTGGAAGACAAGGAAGTCTACCTCCCACTGTAAGCGATTCGGTTAGAATTGGGGAGCACAAGGCACATGGCCATGTTTCAATCCCTTCGACAGCCCGAAGGCGCAGGACAGGGAATCCTGCATTACAGGAGGCAGCAGTGGCGCAAAACGACACAGGTCTTTCAATTGGGATTATGCGTCTTGGGGTACATTCTGTTATCCATAAGCCGAAGCAACCAAATGTTCCTGAGGGTCAGGAAGCATCACCCCCCGACGCTATAAAACCGCTGGTAGCTGGGAAGCGCAAGGCTGAGAGCGGTGATTTGAGCGACTCGGTAGGTCATTGGTCAAAGACGCAGAAGGTTACCGCTCAAAATGCTTCTCGCATCCTAGACCACACAATGACCGCACACAGTTTGGCGACCTTGGAGCAGGACGCGTCGCGGCAAATAGATGTTCGCCAAGTGTCTCAACATGACCACGTTCCGGGGGGAGTGGATTCTCAGGAAGAATCAACGACAGCGAAGACGAGTCACAGGCGAAAGCGGGCACGCACTACTGAGAAAATGGAAGCGTCAAAGAAGCGTTTGCAATCCCTGAGGGAAAAACCCCGTATAAATTATTTACAGTACTTGTAATTACCCATCCAATCAACAATTTTGACTTCATTGCCAATTTCGAACCAAGTTGGACCTTCCTACATTGTACCACTCTTAATACCTACTTGCCACTCTAATAATAGCCTATGAGCATTATGTAATATAAATAAATGAAAATAAAAGTAGTAAATTTTAGAACAAATTTTCTTATTACTAACGTCTTATTACTAACGTTGATAATTATAGTGAGTAAGCTTCGAGGTCTGGTAATATTATCTTAAACTACTTCTCTATAATTAAATCTTTTAATCTAGCTTCAATATAGTTAACATTTCCCTCAATCTTCCTTCACTAAAATATTGTATGCTATTATTCCGGGATTATCATGCAAACAGTCAATCCACATAACTTCCTTCAGGCAGCAGCGGATCTCCTCCCATGAGCTCTTATGTACGACTGTTTTTCTCCACAATGCAGGTACTTGAAGACTGTGTCGGCTCTCAGTAAATATAAGTCGGACAATCATGATCCAGATACTAATTTTCTCATGTAGGTGAGCGGTCTCAGCGTTATCGGAATTTAATGAGAGTTGGAGCTTTTCGAATGTACCCCTGTATGCTCGTTGTACTCTGAGGCCGGGAATTCGAAAGGTTGTTGCCAAGAAGGCCATCATGCCCAAACGAAGAGTTTCAGAAAATCCATCTGTGAAACACCCATCAAGTTCCAAAAGCTGGGAGTGCACAAACCCCAAACACTGCTGAGCAAATCTACCCTCGATCCGCTCGTTTCTGTAAAAATGCTTATTGAATAATAACGTTGTATCTTGAAGGGTGCGGAACACAAGCTCCAATCTCGAGTCTACAAGGCCGGTGACGGACACTTTCTCATGTGGGTAGCCCATGTTGGCGAGCTGGGTTATGAATGTGGGCTCTTTCCATATGGAGCTATCATAAAGCGGCGTCCATTTCTGGGTTGCCAGGGCATTGGAAAAGTTAAGGCTGTAGAAGGTCAGTGCCCTGCGGCCATTGCTGTCTTCCCTGATTGACATGTGAGACTTGCCGGTCTAGCGAGAACTGGACCATATGGTTGTGATCTAAGGCCCGGAAGCCGCCACGGAGGTGAATAATCTGTCTCAAACCCACTGCATGTGCTGCCATGGCTGTCTGGTCGCCAAAGAGAACAGCTATTGAGACCATGATCCCAACGGCAAACAAGATCAGGTCGGTTTGATGAGAGGCAGCGTCGGAAAGCCTGGAGTGCAATATGGGTAAGAGCAGCCGAAGGTGGGTGAGTGTACCACCTGATAGCGGGCGCTGTATTATCAAGTCCTCACAGGCTGAGGTGAGTAGCAATGTTGCTCGGAAGCAAAGCATGTCGCCGGTAAGCGCTCGAAAGCACTGGAATGGGTCCTGGCCAAAGTCGATGAACAGATTGAAAAGCTCGAACGGACATATAGGATCCCTGATAGGGTTGCGAACAAAGTCTGGAAATGGAATTATTATTAGTCGCTATAGCCACCACCAAAAAAATTTCACTGACATTTGTGCATCAATTCCTGGGAAACAGCATCCAACTCCCCGGGAAACCGGAAGAGGGCCCAGTCAGACGGTGGCGGCGGCGGCACGGCTGGTTGTTGCGCAGTCTGATTGCAACTCTCGGCCCCTGGCCATTCTGGGCGCCATCGAGCCTGACTCACATTATTCGTTGTCGGCCGTGGATGGATCTTCCTCTGTCTATTACACTCAGGCTTGTCTTTCATGGCTCGTCTTGTCTTGCGAGCTGTTTGCCGAGCACGACGGGAGTTAGGCAGTTTGTTTCTTCCTTTCATGCAATGATGACGGATGAGTTTCCGCAAAGGAGAGTGAATCATAGTGGAGCCGTCGGTCGGCACAAAAGCGAATTGAGCCGACATATCGAACCTCGCAGAGAAACAACCAGTCTCGGCAACTGAAGAGGTATCATGATACGACGAACTTGCATTGGATTGAATTGCAGCGCAGGTCTCGAGGTTGACAGACGACAGGTAAGCAGATGAGATTGGACCCACTGCAAAGATGAAGGCACACATTGTGTGGATAATACCACCTGTCAATGATTGGAGCAATGAAACCAGACTGCTGTCCAAATTCGGAAAATACTGGGCTTTTCAAGACTACGTGGACCAAATTCAGGGATACAACACTGTGTCTAAACTAGGCATGGAGAGACTCAGACCCTGTTCCCAACTCTGCTTTGTACGAAATCCATGCCGCTTACGGCCTCGCTGATATTTTTGTTTCTTTTAAAGAGCTAGGCAAAGAACCCCGAGTCTGTGTTCAATTCTATTCCTTTCTCATCTTTCTCTTTTATTTTCCGTCTTTCCCTTTGCAAGCCAGCATTTTCAATCACACATTACATCAACCGCGTGCTTCAGCTATAGAGCGCTTGCTAATAAGATGGGTTCCATTTCCTTGCCCTCTCCACAAACCACTTTTCTCCGGACTCTGCTCAAGCATCAGTTTCTACCGTCAGCTAAACCGTCGCTAGACTCAATATGCCTCATCGGGAGGACAGCGGTTATCACTGGTGGGAGCACAGGCATCGGTTTAGCATGTGCAAAACTTCTACTCTCGCTAGAGCTTCCGCACCTCATCATCGCTTCCAGGTCCTCTAAAATAGGTACAAAGGCTGCGTCTGAGTTGGTCGAGCTCTATCCGAAGGCCAAGGTTGAGTTTTGGTGTCTTGATCTGAACTCATACGAATCAATTCGACTGTTCGCTCACAGATGTGCGGCCCTAAGCTCTCTCGACATAGCCATCTTGAATGCAGGCATCATGAAGAACGAATTCCACGCCAATATGTCTACCGAACATGAAGAAACATTCCAGGTCAACTACTTATCGACCGCTCTTCTAGCGATATTGCTCATCCCAGTCTTGAAATCGAGCTCCCATCACGGTCCAGGTAGACTCACAATTGTTTCTTCCGTGGCGGCCGTGACAACGGCCTTTCCTGAGAAAGACTTTGTGCCTATCATCCCAAGTTTTGACAGGCAGGACAACTGGAGCTCCTCTGTCGCTAAGCAGAGATACGACGTAACGAAGCTGCTGCTGCTGATGCTTATGTTTAAGTTGAGCTGCCTAGTGAAGGCAGAAGATGTCATAATCAACGCCGTGGATCCGGGTTTCACGTTGGGAACGGACCTGTTTCGTGATATTCCTTTAGCATTAAAAGTTTCTATGTGGCCGCTCGCAAAGCTGATGGCTACTTCACCGGAAAAAGGCGCTTGGACCTATGTCGACGCATGCATTCTCAGAGGCACCGAAAGCCACGGAAGCTTCCTAAGCGATTGGCAAGTTAATGCGTATGTCTCGAGCCCCAAAATGTATCATGGGATAATACTAGTTTCAAGTGCTAACGATATTAGTTTTCATCCCATTATGTACACGTCGGAAGGCGAGTTAGTTATCGAACGGCTCTGGGAAGAAACCATCAAAGAATTAGAATGTGATGAGATATATACTATCTTAGATTCTAGGTAGAGATTTGTTACAGTGGGAAACTCAGGTAGTGCTAATGCGAGTATGAGCCCGACTTCTAATAGTAATAGAAGTACTAAGAGTGCTGCACATATTAATAAAGTATTTAAGTAGTAATTGTATATAGAAATATCCCCTTATTATTAAAGAAAAACTGTATATAGATAAATAGGTATAAAATTAAAAGTTATCTCTGTATAATAAAAAAATCTAATTTACAGATATTAGATTTTATTAAAATATCAATATTTGTATGTTTATTATATATTTATATAAATATTATATAACTAAAGATATATTCTACTAATAGTATTATTAGAACTTTTTTTTCTAAATAGAAAAAGTAGATATACTTTTTTAGCAAATTATATTCTATACTATTTTCTATATATATTAGAGAGGGGTTATAGGATCGATATATAGCAGCAATTAAGCAAGATATCGAGAAGTCTAATCTCGGCGCTCCGAAAACCTTACTCAGGCAATCGACTGGCTGTCCGTGGGTAGTATCATGCATTCTGGATAATGTGCTAGTTTCGGCATCGCCGGCAATGTGGTATAATAAGATTCGTCACTCAATGACGAATTCACTCCCGAGAATTTCTAGCAAGAAATTGCTCAAGCATCAACGAATGAGACACTTAGCTTTTCAAGGGATAGCGATGCGACTAAACTCTCAAGGATCTGCAAGGGCTATTTCTCGAGGTATTAAATGCGGGGCGTCAGTGGTATCTACCAAGGAGCTGCTGACAAAATCAGGAAGTTACCGACGCGCGCGGCAAGTTTACAACTGCGGACCAAAATCCTGATCCTTGAGCGTGCCCACATATGCTAAGCATTTCCAACAGCACAGAATGGATATCCTCCTGTATTGCGATTTAGCATTCCTTCTTTGGGTATAGATAAACTGTTATGGTGGCGATCCAAGTAGGTGTGAAGGGGGCTTAAGTCAACCAAAATCGGCATTATTGCTTTCCGCCTCCTTTTTACGGGTTGCCGTCGGCCGAAAATCCGGGCGGACATTAGTAAACCCCCCCGTTGAATTTTCCCCACTGTCGTCGGCCGAAACCCCGGGCGAACATTGGCGAAATCGGTGATACATCGTAAACAACACCTTAATCCGGAGGGGAAAAAACTTGCTGACCGTCACAAGGAAGAAAGTAAGGAACGAAGAGTAATGAAGATAGATTGATATTACGAGGAACTTGATCTTGCTGAAATAAGCAGTTTTAATTAAGGCACTGATATAAGTCGTAGACGAGCGGCGTTAAGTAGCTGTTGAACCACACTCAACTCTGCAAAAGATTCAAGACGATCATTGCCATCACCATACTATTGACTATCGCTCACCATGCGTTATACCGCTCTCGCTTCACTCATGGCTTTCGCTAAGGTCGTTTCGGCCTGTGGCCTTGCCCTTCCCCCTTCAGTTCAGCTCAAGGCCCGTGGAGAATATGAAATATTGGACAGCTTCGACAAGCGTAAGTCTTCCTCGGAGTCATTCTGCTAGAGACTATAATCTAAAGACGTCCCGATCTCCAGGTGATACGAGTGATGGGCTTTTGCACCCAGTCACCCACGATAGCAAAGTCCACTGGACCGTAGACCAGAACACCCGGCAGATGCAAGTCTCAGATGATGCCTTTATTGCTCGAGACTTTGCCCGCTTCAACCATCATCCCAATTCGACCATGTACTACACCGGTGGAGTTGTGATGAACCTAACTCAACACATCGAGGATCTTCGTCTGACCTTCTCCACGTACTCTCACGCGGCTCCACACAACCACAACTATAGAGTCATCTTCGGCGAAGGAGACTGGACTGTGGCACTAGCCCATGCCGGTGGCCCCAACGATGGTCCTCTTCCCGACCTGTCTGGCAAATTCTTACCACCGACCATGCGGACCGTCAGCTTTGACCTCATGACGATTGCCCGTTGGGATGGGGGATGGATGATGGAGGAGTACTTGTGGTCAGACACTCCTATTATGTACCGCCAACTCGGTGTCCTGCCAATTCCGCCGGCCGACGATCTGCCGGATATCGAGCTCAACTCCTACACTTCCCCGCTTTCTACTCAGCCAGATGTCGACAACGCCGAATCCAACAAGGCCAAGACGACTGAGTCGGATGATGCTCTCAACGCGGGCAAGTTTGATGCCAAGTCTCTTCATCTGTCCGATGACGTCAAGGTTTATGGACTCACCGATCAGCCTCTTGATCTGTACGGCTTCCTCACAGAGCTGAAGGATCTTAAGAAGGCTTTCCCAGACCTTCGCCTGGAGAATAAGCCCTATAGACAGATTATCGCGCAGGGCGACTGGACTGCTACCGTCGCTATGCTAAGCGGCTCCTTCAAGGGACCCCTAAAGCTGCCCTCGTACTTGGGTTCGTCGCCTGCCGAGCCGAATGGCAAAAAGTTCAATCTGCTCCACTACACTATCTGCCGATGGCAGAATGGACAGATTGTGGAAATGCGCATTAACGCTGACATCTTTGGCATTGTCGGCGCTCTTGGAATCCCGCTTTAGGGCATTTACTGAAGTCAACATGAAAGGCAAACTTGAAAGGCAATCTCTAGATTGCTGATGAAAAGTCCTAATCTCGGAATCTTTTCTTGTCTAGATGGAGTCGGAAATGGAATATTAGATGTCTATCGGGACATCTTGAGCTACATCTGTACACCTCTGCAACCACCGCTTCTCTTTTTTTTTCTCTATATTATTGTTTTATATATATATACATCTTCCAATCCATGTCATTAAATACATTTGGAGGATCAGTACCTAAATAAAACTTGTTTCGTACCCCTTTCTGATTTGAATAGCACATCAAGATCTCCATTCATTCTGAAGTAACGCCCAGTAAGTCGCGTCTATCCCTTGCAGCGCCCATGCATCTGCTCCAGCCATTACGTCGGTTACAATAGGATTGCTCTGTTGGCTTTCAGGCTCGAATTGAATCGAAATGAATGGTTCCGTAAGGTGATCGGCTGGAACGCTGTTGGCCGGTTGTTCAGGCCTGATTGAAATGGTCGCGGTCTCGATACGCCCACTCATGGGTGCTAGTACACTGTTCTGTGCTTCTTGAATTTTTTGACCTGCGTTGGAATGACTGAGAGGTACTTTGATCTGGATTTTACCGAAATATGGTATCTCCAGCTCAACAGTTGGAGGGATGATGCTGGGAGAGGTGGGAGATGCCGACGGAGCAATGTCTAAAATGGGCAACAATCGATCAATGATGGTCGAAGATTCCGTAAACAAGCTGTCGCTGTTAAGGTATGCGAGACTTTCCATCCTGTCTTTGACTGTGCATACGAGTTCCCTATCCACACCACGATGCCTGCTCATGTCATCTGTGGTAGGCTCGAAAGGGGGCTGTGCATGAGCTATCAACAAAGTGGTTGCTGCTATGAGGGCCGCATAATCGACATGACGGCACGCAAAGGCCGAGTCATTGATCTGTCGGAAGGTATTGAATCTTTCCAACACCTTCCGACTCGAGCTGGTACATATCGTTTCGCTGCTTTGATGATCATGCTGGAACGAGGAGCGCCTAAGCATGTATGGAATATGTACAAGAATCAACAGCAAATGGTGATTCATCTGCAGGATCATCTGACCCGCCGCCTGAAATGCAGACCTCAAACTGCAGAGAGGATCAATGATAGGAAGTTCCCACCATTCCTCCCCCATAATGCCCGCGCCTGCCAGGAGATCACCGCTAATCATGAGAGTCAAGTGGTATGCCTGTTCCTCACTCGAGGCGTTGCGCTCAATAAGCTTTGCCGAGACCACTGTATGGAGTTTCTCTAACTTCTCCCATGGGGTATCTCTCGCCGTTTGTGCCTGAGCAGCAAAGGAGTTATCCTGGCTGCCCGCTGGAAGACCAAGTAGTAGAGAGAGGTAGCGATCACACGCGACGGATCGGTACCACATTATGCTTGGTGATGGTGGGTATTGGACGAGTAGAAACGGGCTTTGAAGGATGCTCTTGCCAGTGTCAATGCCTATGAGTTGTCCGACACTCAGTGCCCTTCGAAAGACTAACCAAGCCTTTCTGAGGTTTCCGGCGTTTTGTTGCCAATAGCCCAGCAGCAGAAGACACTCGAGTCCTTCCAGACTGGTCACAAGACGATCAATAGACATGAAAAAGCCATCCACGGTACCAACGATCTTTTCCATGGTTCTTGAGATTGAATCAGGGATCGAGAGTGACGAACAGTCGAATTCAGGGGAAAGCTGTTGCATGCAGATAGCCAATTGCAAAAGGCGTTTAACCAGAAGAGTAGGTCGACTTGACGTGAATGGTATGGCCGCAATAGCTTCTGGAGGGTCCGATTTGCCTTCTGCGACGTCAGCGTAGCAATGGAACAGTGTCGCGACAAAGACTGAGCCAGCACTAGATCCAACGATGGCATCAACATCCCTTTGAGACGGATAGAGCCCATAGAGCGTCTCGATAAGAGAAGCCTCGCCGGGGAGACCCAGGCCCAAATGACCTTCATGAGCTTGGCTGTACCTGAAGGACGAGGGTGCGCTGCTAGCATTGTCCATGTTCGTTACCTTGGATGTGACTGGGTGATCCGAAGAGTCCTTCAACGTGCTAAGATCTCTCTGTTGCGCTCCATCCACCATATCTGCAGGCAAGCTAGCCAAGCTGCTCGTGTAGGGAACTGCATGTAAATCGGACGACGGCTCAAGAGCTACGCGCTCCGCAAGCTTTCCCATCAAGTCCTCAAGCATGCTCAAACGGTGCGCGAGATGTCTCATGGACAACTGTGATGCCTCTGAATCGTCGGCAAACTCCTGGCCGCGACATACTGTGCCTCGGTTTTTGCATGGTGCACACACAAGATCGTCTTGGGCCCTGAACTGACATCGAACCTTACGGCGGCGGCCTTCGGCAAGTTAGTAAGTGAGGCTTAGGGTTAGTCTCATGGATGGTTGACTTACACTCCCAGCAGCTATGTGTGCCTTTGCGAATCTTCCTGTGCTGGAGTCTGTTACTGTTCATCGCTACGAACAAGGCGGTTGAGCAAGGATTGGGCTTTGCTCGGTCGCGTCGGAATTGCCCAGTCAATGGCAATTAATATGGGCGGAGCACTTTTAGCGCTTTTCATTGGCCCAATTTCGTCCTGTTAGTGTAACTGTACGTACCAAATTCTGTTGTATTGTTGCTCGTGGTGACTAAGATTTCCTCGCCATCCGTATTAGCTGCGGTCTTTTTGGTCTGAATCCCTGTATGGACCTCATACTCCGTATGGTTCATCTCGCCCTTCAATATGGCAGGGCCGGTGGGACAGCACAACCATGTCGCTGTGGCCCACAGCAACACAACACAGAATTCTACAACACCCTTGGATCGATCTGCTGCCGTTTCCTCAAATGCGGGATAACATCTTGCTGGGAATGGAAGCAGGAACTGTAGATGACGATGAGTTGTCAGAAGACTTGATGGAATTCGGCAGTGGCGACGCAGACTTGGTAGAACGACCAGCCATGATTGTGTGGGGGCAGTCGGCAGCTTGCAGCTCGTGGGAGATCAACGTCGCATTCTTAACGAAATGGGGTCATCTAATACGCGGATGTCCAGAAATCATCGCCTCAACTAATGACTGGAGGTCGAAGAGGGGCGAGAAACCTTTGATTGTCTGATTACACGCTGGCCACTAAAGGCATATAGAAAATCCTTTACACCAGTACCGAATCCAGTTGACCGTTTGATATAAATGATAGGCATTCCTTCGGTATGTTCATCGCCAACTTGGTCCGCGTCATCGCGGCTAACTGCCAAACCTCAACAGCCCATAAGTAATCTAGCATTTACAAATATACTTTACGCCTCTCTCATGTTTGTTCGAAAGACATTTTCACAAATCTAGTGTTTGTAACAGTTTGGTAGACTATTGACTAATTGAATTTTGGAGGAGTAGGTACAACGAGGAACTGGCTTGCAGAAGACGCTTTACTACACGACAATAGCCCACCAACAAACAGAGTAGTCATTGATACATACTTACTCATTCTCGAGCAAATCTGCCGTCGCTTTGTGGCTGGTCACAAAAGTCGGCAGAATCGGGAAGCCTCCAGGAACCCGGGGGAAGACTGACGCATCCACTACTCGAAGGTTGTCCACCCCCCGGACCCTGAACTTGGAGTCAACGCAGGTCGAGGGCTCATCGGCGGGGCCCATTGGACAGCTGCAAGATGCGTGGTGGCTCCAAGACTCATACTTGATGCGCTCGCGTACCTCGTCGTCATCCTTGCTGGGGGGCTCGGTCACGTTAACGGGCGCGTATGGCTCGTTCAAGGCGTCATAGATATCCCGCGTTAGCTGCACGGCTTCTCCAATGGCCTGTAGGTCATTTTCCTCTCCCTCCTTGAAGAAGTTGAAATTGATCTCTGGCGGATCTTGTGGTCGTTGGAGCGCAGCGTGACAGTTCCGGCCTTGTTTTGCACTTGCATCTTGACAATGGACCACCACCAGGTATTAGGCGGAGGGGTCAGGCGAGAGAATCCAGGAAAGAAGCCGCGGAGCAGGTCGTACCCTCCTCCAAAAAAGAACAAATCGGTATCGTTGTTCTCGCTCGCGGAGGATTCATAGAGTAGTCCCACTGGCGCCGCGCCAATGCCGTACGGTCCGCTGCCATTCTTTTCCTGCCACTCCCGGAGGCATGGGTCTCCGGGGGGCATGAAGGTACAGTTCTCCAGAGGGTTCAAAAAACCCTTGGATGCGATGCCCTCAACGCCAGTTTCATAATTGTCCTGTAGGTTGGTCCCGACTGCAGGGACGTCTGCCACCACCGAGATATTAAACTTCTCCAACTCATCCCGCGGGCCGACTCCGCTAAGTTTCAGGATCTGCGGTGTGTTGAACGCTCCTCCGGCCACGATGACCTCCTTCCTCGCGTACGCCTCTGCTTTAACCCCCCTTTGCGTTCCGTCGTAGCGCGGGTCGGCTCTATAGAGTCCTTGGCCGGAGAGATATTCAACACCAATAGCGCGCGGCCTTGCGCCGGAACTGTCGAACAAAACCTTGGAAGCCAGCGAGCTTGTGAAGATTGTCAGGGGGAATCGTGAGGTGCCATCTTCGTTGAGTTCATTAACCGTGTCAAGGAGGTACGTTTGGGAGCTGCTCCTCCTTCTATTGGCATCGACATGGAGCGGGATGTTGTATAACCCATTCCTCTCATAACGCTTGGGATCCATGCGATTCATGTCCCGATTAAGGAGACTCAAGATATCGGCCGAATTGGTCATGTTAGAATCTCCGAATATCCGCATCCCGGCTTGGACAATATCCATGTAGCCGTCGTCCCCAGCAAAAAGGTCCAGTTCGTTTTGGTTTGACTGCTCTCTATTAGCATCAATAAAACATGACTGAAGCAAAGACTTACGCCCAACCATCCAGAGAAACCGTGTCCTTCAGATCCCTCGGGAAGGTAGTTGCACTTCTCTGCCTCCTCAAAATACTTTCTCATGTTAGAAGCATTCCATGAACTGTCCCCTGTGAGGTTCGCAATGTAGTCCCAGTCATTATCCGGTGGAAGAACAAGTAGCATAGCACTGTGGTTGCCGCAACCACCGAGCGTACCACTTCGCGGGTACAGAATCCCGAGGGGTTCCGATCCATCCGGCGGATTGGGACCAACGTGGTATTCACCTGTTGGGGTTTTCCGGGTAAACTTGCTATCTTTCTGGGCTTCCTCCGGGTCGTTGAAATGTTGCACAAAAAAATCCCATGACAGGTTGGATTCTCAGCGACAACGTTTGAGCTGCTCAGCGTTAGCTACTCCTTGGTCACGTCACGCGGATAGTTCTCTGGATACTCACAAAGGAGGGACTTGCTGCAGGAGGCTTGCACCATTGTCCTCACCTGCCTCCAAAACCAAGATCGAATGACCCTTGTGGGCAAGATTGGCATTATTATTAATATCAGAAGACTTCTTGTATAGGTGTTTCATAAAGGATTTCTTACGCTAATGGGCACCCTCCAGGTCCAGATCCAATAACAACCAACATAGTCGTATGTGTTGCCGCTGGTTTGCTCGCTGAAAGCTAAAGTGCTGAGAGCTAGGATATTTAGGATTCTCAAAGATACCATTATGAGAAAATTGTATCGTAGAGTGAATAGTTGTTTGGTTAGAGATATAGAACCGGTTGATTTCAGGGCGCTCCAGAGTCTTTATATAACATTTCTAGCACTCCACAAGTCTTCATTACTCCTTCTCAATAACCTCGGCCTTAAGCCCAGGACCAAATAGTATGAAGCGGACTTAGCAGGTTTTATGAGTGTAGTTTTGACTATTGCATGTTGGGCATTCGAGTCTTCCCAATTTAATCGCTGGGAAGACTGTTCTCGCAGATTATCCCCTTGCATAATCCCAGAGCAACCCCTATGCCTCTAACCTATTGAGTGTTAACACCAATCCCTGACTGCAGCTTATGGGCAATAACCTTTTGAGGAATTGTTTTCCAGCATCTCACACATGATGCTTGGATTATTTTATGACTTAGAACTATAGAGACTTGACCATCTGTCCTATCTTTTATACACAACACATCACATGTCCACATGCACATTACTAGTAGGCTGATTACATCAACCCCACTTTTGTCTGAAGATTAGCTTAACGGCTTTTCATACTGTGACTCTAATCTAATTTGGCAAAGGCGCACTTCTTCAATGGATCAAGTCAATGCAGGAAGAGCTGAACACCGAACTAGTTCTCAGCGCCTCTTGCTCCTCTGCCCGGTATCCTAGCTAAATGGCGCCACGAATGTAAGCGCGCCAACGATATCCTAAGAACCCTGGGATACGAGACGGCTGGAGCCTGCCGAAGTTTTACTTGGGTATTCTTAGGAAGCTGCTTTCATGGCTTTGTGCTCGGTTCCGATGAAGAGGCTGTGGCTGGGGTAGGAGTAGTGTCGGGTGTGGCTGTTGAGTCACTTGATAATAACCTTGCCCGTCGTAGCACATTCCTAGGGGAAGAATGGCTGGCTGGTTGATATCACATCTAGGGACTGCAATGAACCAGATTGAATCTCGCCAAGCTCTTGAGCGTCTTGACTACAGTCTTGCTTGCTAATAGAAATACTAATCAGTCCTCGTTTTGTAACGGAGTTCCTGGTGACGAGGACGACTGCGCGTATTTTGATGGTATGCCCTGCGCAATCATATGAAGGGATTCATCATTTCCGGCACCGCTGTATGAATACTAAACGAAATTATCCAGGCTTCGATATGGCTTGGACCACTCGAAAAGATGCTCCATTGTCTGTCCAGATTTAGACGCAGATTTGCTACCTGTTCTTAGGTTAATCTCAAGAGGCGAGAAAGAAATTCAAGACCTTGAAAACAAACGGGATGGGAGATGTTGGGGAGAGTCCTACTGTGAAGTGTATCAAGAAGAATGCAGCCGCATGTGAGCCACACCTGCTATAGCCTGTTGCTCGCTTTATTGTCTCACCTTGCTGCCTAATGTACTGAAAATGGTGACTGATCCAACGGCTCCAAACTGGGCGACTGATACGCGGATCATGTCGCGCCTAGGTAACCTGAACACGCAAAAAGTGCACGCGGTGTCTCTCAATCACGGTCAGCTGTCAACATCTGAACTGATTCACAGATTAACAATAATCATTCAGAACATGCATTTTGGTGTCGCATAGCTTCCCACTCCCACGAAGGTATAGTACGGCTTAACTGGTATATATTCTAGTTTCAAACCCTCAACAAGGCACAAACTAATCTCCGCCAGTTGCACGCAATACGATGGTCCCTTGTTTTCCACTTTCCGAGCGTTATTACTACCATCACCATCAGCCAGAGTCGGCCCGGCACCCAGCCTCTGAGCATGTCGAGGTCACATATGACGGTTCGCCTTGGCACGAGTGACGACCTGGACAGTCTTGTCGATCTTGGCCTGGAGGCTATGCCCATGGATCCGCAGTGGGAATACCGTTACCCCCATCGGTTTGAATATCCTGACGAGCATCGCATTTGCACCCGTGAGCGCTGGGAACGGTTCTTTCGCCCTGATCCGAGCGGAGGAAGGTGGGTAGTTCTCTTTATTGACTACTCCAATGGCTCTTCTCACTTAACCAAACCAATCTCCTTTTCTGTCTGGCACTTTCCCTCCCAAACACAGCAGCAGGGCCAGCAGGGCGATGAAGTGTAGGAACAATCAGGTGTGTGCCAATTGCCGTCATTCATCATATTATTGGCTCGCGCTTGATTCACTGTTGTCCCCTTCTTTAACTATTTTCCCCAGTTTTGTCAGATGCCTCACATTTCCCCCCTGCCTCTTCTACAATGTGTGAAGGTCGCCGTGACTGGAATCCGAGGCACGTCGAGGCGTTCCCCCGCGCAGTCCGTGCCGCTTCAGATGAGAAGTTCGATTCAAGATACGGCGAGAAACAAGTTCATCTCCAAATCCTTGGTACACATCCAGACTACCAGCGAAGGGGGGCAGCGTCAACTCTCCTGCGCTATGGAATACAGCAAGCCAGGGAAGAGAAACTTCCTATCACACTTCTTGCTTCTCCCATGGGCCAGCCATTGTATGCAACCTTTGGATTCGAAGATCGCGGGAAGGTATTTGTGCAGCTAGATGGCGAGGAGGACAAGGTAACACTGGACGCTATGGCATTGGAAGTAGCTAAATGAATAAGGCTATGTTGATTTTGTGTGGGACTACTAGAGGGGGTATGATCTTTCAAGGCACTGAGCTTTGATTCAGCCTATTGATCAAAGATCTGACGGGATCTACTCATCGAAGTAGATGTCCCTGAATGCATTCTTTCTGCTACACGCTCTCCACGCGGATTGTCACTCGGGAGCAAACTTGTTGTGCAACTACCTCTTATGGTGTGCCAATATTAAATTGATTCGGAATTCAAAAAGGTCACCGGTATTCTTCAAGAAGAGGAGTGGTGGTTCACAAAGGCTCCGCAAACCATTAGCAGGTAATTGGTCCACCCATTGCTTCATTCACTACTACCCTGTAGATTCACGCAAGCTTTCTGCGCCATCTTTCTTAGATTCTGCTCATCATGAATCTGACATTGTTGAATGCAGATTACACTATATAAAATTGAATTACTAAAAACTTTGTAAATATTTTTCGATATACGAAAGGTTATTGGCTCTGGGAAAACAAAATTACATTATCTCGTCCGATATGTTATTAATGATTCATGTTGAAATAGTATTCATGGATGGAGAAGTCGATGTATAAAGCGAAGCGAAGCAAATGGGCCCCATTAGGCGTCTAAGATAGTAGGTAGCAAGCAGTGTTCAAGCGAGAAACGGGATAATACCAATCGGACAGCAGCTTTCGGATCAAGTCCCAGCTCAACATATCCTTCTCTAGATTAGACTTGAATAATTTGGTCATCCACTACCCTAGGTCCTAAGAATTCCCTTATCAAGTCTATAAACTCTCGCCGTTGTTCGAAATGTGGGAAATGGGTTGACCCTTCGAATTTAACATGTATGCAGCCATCTATCTGCTTGAAAATCCTGATAGACTCTTCGTGGTCGCTCCCTTCGTTAACGCCAGTGATCACCAGTGTCTTTGCTGCTATCTGCTGGATGTCATTGACCGCTGTAAAGTTGGCAAGGCTGCCCGTCATTTCGAATTCGTCGGACCCGAGTCTACCATCCAAAGAGAGCGACATGATCGTTAATACAGCCTGCTTCTCTTTTCTGCAGATCTAAACCAAAGTAGTTTTATCTCAAGAATCGGGAAATTAAGACTTACGCGCTCAATGAGGCAGTGGGGTCTTCTTCAATCTCCTTCCAACTTCTCTTCAGTTCCACAGGCACATCATCTAAATTGATAAAATGACGTTTGTAAAAAATCATCAAAGCATCCTGATACTTAGGTTCCATAGTTCTGGGATCCTTTAGAATAGTACGGTAGGGTTCCGGCATAAGTTCTCGATACTCATAATATTTTTCCTTCCAGTATATACTAGCGACTGGAGCATTGGCGACTATTAGTCTCGCAAGGCCTTGTGGTTGTCTCGCCGCATGTATTGTGGCCAACATTCCACCCCATGAGTGACCAAGCAAGTCATAATTGTGCTGGATGCCCAGATAGTTCACCACCGCTGTTACCTGGTCGAGAAAGAACTCCTCGGACCAGAACTCGTAGTCGAGAAGTCGATGGCGTAGATGCGTCGATTTTCCTGATCCTAGCTGATCGAAGAATATCACAGTGAAATTGTATGGTGCGTTGCATAAATCTTGGAGAGGGAGCATGTAGTCGTGCGTGTACCCGGGCCCGCCGTGTAAGGTTAGCAAAGGCCTCGATGCGCCCACTGCTGGCCACGGGCCGCTAATTTTGTACCAGATGGAACAAGAGCAAGGTAAAGAGACATTTTTAAAATCGATATAGCCTTCTTTTGGGATCATATTTGCTCATGTGGAAATAAGAGCTTTGGCCTTGGTGGCCCCAGCGATAAGCATTATATTGAAATGAACAAAACTGGCCCGGGGCACGGAGTTTCATGCTGGCACACGGACCGTCCAGCTTCCGGGCGGACCGGTTCCGGATGTCCTGATTGGTGTTACTAGCGGTTGCTCGATCCGCTCATGTGACTACCCCAGAACTCAAAACTCAACATAAGATACCGCTATAACCCCGTGAAGGCTGGCCCTTCCTTCTTGGAATGGGGCCATTTAATTCTTGTAACCTTTATTGAGAATATTCTTTTGAGACCTATGCCACGATGGAGTATAAATCTCAGGCCGACCGAAAGAGCATTGCGGGCTCAAGCAAAACCGTGAAGGCTGTAACTGATGCGGACCTTGAGCGACCCGGAACCCCAGGCGGCGCCAGCTTTTCCGATGGAAAGATGGAGGTAACTCATCAGTTTAATGTAGGTTAAGTCATACCAAAAACAAATCCAGGGGAAAGAAAGGAAGCCTTGGTTTGTCTGATTCATGATGCTGATGCGATTGGAGATCACCTCAGTCGGACACCGAAATGAAGAAGCAATTTAGCAGCATCGCCACCCTAGGCTTGGCCTTTTCGATTCTGAATTCGTGGGTCGGTGCAGCTGGAAGCCTTCTGGGGCCAATATCTCTTGGCGGTTCCGTGACCGCGATATGGGGGTGCTTAGCCGGGGCAGCCTTCACTACGATCCTATGCATGGGTGTGATCGAGATGGCATCCGCCATGCCCGGTGCCGGAGGCCCTTACCATTACACCTTTGTTCTGGCTTGGGAACACAATCGGAAGTTCCTCGTATGCACTGATTCTTTCGAAATACCCTTGTGGAACTATATCATCCCATCTGACTTTGCCATCTTAAGAGTTTCTTCGTTGGCTGGTGCAATATGATTGCGTGGTGGTTTGTGGTTAGGTAACTATCTTTATGGTCAAGTTTTATTCCAGACCGCTGATGAATTTTTCTCTCTACTTAGTTCTGGGCTTCTGTTTATGGCCACCTTCTTCACAGGAATGGCGGTGCTCTACCACCCTAGCTATGTTCGTGCCACCTCAGTCGGCGCCTCTACCCAACTCTCGTCGCAGATAATTGACCAAGTCATAGACACCGACGACGTGGCATATCTATCTCATATTCTTACTCATTCTCTCGGTGGGCACCGCAGTCGTCATCGGGGCCAACCACATCATGTCACGCCTGACAGCCATATCGTGTGAGTACGTCATGACCGAAAATTAGCGCTCAAATTTATTAACTCAAAGGCAAGTATACTGTTGCCTACTGGTGTTTCTCACCTGTATCGTAGTCCCCGTCGCCATGCACGCTGATCTACCATATCAAAGTGCTTCGTTTGTATTTACAAATTTCTCCAATCCATCAGGCTGGTCGAGTAATGGAATGGCATTCGTTATCGGTTGCATGCTTTCCTGTTACAATGTAAGTTATTCTAGGCCACTATCTTAAGAGATGCAAACCGACTTGTGAGGGTAGATTCATGTTCGTTTTCATCGCCTCTAACATCTTCGATAGTTTATCGGAATCGATGCCGCAACTCATCTCTCGGTATATTACAAAGGGAGGCCTGGTTTGGGTTTCGGCTAATTTTACTCTAGGAGGAGATGCCGAATCCAGCGTTGAAAGTGCCACAAGCTATGGCCGGAGCCCTCGCCACCGGGTGCTTTACCTCATTTGGTTTTCTTATTGCTTTACTATTTTGTGTAACTGATATGGACGAGGTTCGATTTGCGGTTACACTTCAGTCCTAAATTGCAGCCTTCTGTTCTGACACCCATCAGGTTATTACAACACCAACTGGTGTTCCCATCCTAGCTATCTTCTTTCAATCCACCAATAGCAAGGCTGTGAGCGTCACGTTGCTAAGTCTCATCATTTTTTGTCTTGTCTTTTCTGTTGTCAGGTCAGTCCCGAGTCGTTATCGGAAAACCTAAGTATATGCTGATTGTCAAAGCGCAATTCTTATTTGTGGTCGGACAACGTGGGCCTTCGCAAGAGATAATGGATTGCCCTTTTCCCAATACTTCAGCCATATAGACGAGAAGACAGGCATGCCACTCCGAGCCACCTTACTTTCTTCAATTCTCTGTATGATATATGGTTGTATCTACGTTGGATCTACTGTCGCTTTCCAGTCCATAGTAGGGTCGGCTATCATTATGCTGTTCGCGACCTATGGTTCGTATATACGCTTCTGCTACCTTTACATTGTTGAAGTTGATTACTAACTACTACATGTCCAGCTATGCCCCAAGGGATTCTAGCGATCAGGGGTCGGCATCACTTGCCAGCCCGGCCATTTGATCTTGGAAGGCCTGGCTTATTTCTCAATATTTCTGCGCCGATTTTGTTTTTGATACTTACTGTCTTTATTTGCTTTCCATATGCACTTCCAGTCACAGCTCAAAATATGAGTAAGCAACACTCTCTGGCTATCATATCAACTGGACTTACCAAGTGCTAACGATCAATATCCTTCAGACTACCTGAGCGTGATCGTGGTTGGCTGCTCGACGCTTATTGTATGCCTCTGGTACGGAAGCAAGAAAGGCGTATATAATGGGCCGGTAAGATAGCCCAAGTCGAAGGCTTTCCAACTTACCGCTAACCTCTGACTACATTCAGATTCTTGCATGACTGAACACCGAGGGCGAGCCACTTATCCCTCGCGACTAGTTATACCCCTCCTAGTAATATGGTACTTGTTGGAAAGCGTGGGTGATTGATCGCGTTCGAAGGTGTCAATTGTAAAAGCTTGTAACGTTGATAGTTGTCATGACCTAGCTAGAAACCTGGGATCGGTTATACATCTGGTTCTAGAGCGGTCGGATTGGTCAATACCACTCTGATCCCAGTGTTTAGACCAGTAACTACTTCTATCGATAGATAGTATAACCAGATTACTGTATATTATGACATGATTCCACTATGATCAACAAATTAGCAGTTATCCAGTTCAAGGAGAGAAATCTAGGGCTTTCCCTTTATTCGACCTACCCGTCAACGCGGACTTCTGTGCCGTTGATATAAGTGGCCATGGGGGATGATAAGAACACAATAGTGTTTGCAACCTCCATTGGATTCCCGAATCATTGCATTGGGGTTCTGTTCAGCCCATATTCGTTGATCGAATCTATCCCGGGCCCTCCGAGTTTCATGATTGGCGTCTCAATAAACCCGGGGCATACGGCATTGATACGGATGCCACGCTTGGCATATTCATTTACGTCCTGCGATGCATAAGCTCTCTCCTCACACGGCAAAAGGAGAAGGAGCAACACGGCTCACACTCTTAGTAATTGATATAATCCCATATTTTGCTATAATATGTTTAGCATGGCTGCACGTTATAATGCAGGTGGTCAATATCTTCAATGCAAGAAAACTCACAAGCACCATAGGCTGCCATTGGGGGCGAACGCGTTCCAGCTAAACCCCACATGGATGAAACATTGACAATGGTTCCAAGGTCCTGGGAGAATCTATGAAATGACATGTAAGTGTGTAAATGATGCCATGCCCATTGAAAAGAAACCTACTCGTGGCTCACGGGCTTTTGTTGCAACATGTGTCTAATTTGTTCTCGCTGGGCAGTCCAAATGCCGGTCAAATTTACATCCAACAGTTCCTGGAATTCGCTCGTGCTAATCTCAGTTGAGGGCCCTAGGGGCCCAGGATAACCGGCGTTATTCACAGCATGGCGTAATTGGCCAAAGGCCGAGGTCGCCTTCTCTATCGCCTTAACTGTCGAACTCTCAGAGCCAGCGTCATATGAAACCGGGAGAAATTCTGTGGTAGGGAACTCTTGGCGAAGATTAGATACAGTGGTCTTCAAGAGGGCTTCGTTCTTATCAAGCAATGCAATCAAAGGGCTGCCGTGCTTGGCGAATGCTGTCGCTGTAGCACGCCCAATACCTAGATGAATATAATCTCAGTCCCACACCACGCACAGAAGGCCCTACGACTGAACTTACCTGACGCTGCCCCGGAAATAAGTGAAGAGCCAAGGAGAAGAGCTGCGGTCATTGTGAATTCAGTTACTGAGTATTGCTTCCTTTCACGCTTCGGCAAGGTTTCATTCTGATTGCTAACTCAAGCTCCACCAAGCTTCTTTTATAGCTACCATCGGACATTTGGGTCATTCCGAAGACCTGCTTTCTCGGCTTTAAGGCCTTCTATTAAGCTTACATGCATGCGGGCGGACGCGGACATTTTGTTAAAAAGGGGCCGCGATTGTGGAGACTTAGACATCGGTGCGGGAGCGTCGATGCGGGGAGGCGGGCTTTTTATGAACTTCCATCGTCCGTGCGGGCGGATGCGGGCTTATGCGGGTTTTCTTGCAAGGATGATAGCTTATTGCAGAATCCTGGGACACAGCTAATCATCAGCTTCTGATGCTCAAAGCTCGGGGCGGTTATGGATTGACGGGTCCTCTGGTTCGCTCTTCCGCTCACTGCAACTATCTATCAGCGCGACAAGAGTTCGCCTCGTGGCCTACCAGAGCAGCCTTGGTTAAATGATGTTCACTATAGCAGAATATTAACAATCCAGGCAAGGCGTCAGTATGTTTACCCTTCTTGTTCCCGGCCCACCCTATAGCTTAGCAATATACGGTTCGTCACAACGTGGACGTTTTCTAAAGTTCGTAGAATGACTCTTGTTCCGCTTTTATGAAATATTTATAATAATATTAGGTAGCGAAGTTTATAGATGGCTCGAAAGTAGTTTCCTTGCATTTTTCACGGTGTCCACCAAGTAACCTGTATATATTTTTTTAGATGCCTCGAACTATATCAACCCAGCCTCTCTATAATAGCGCTGGGCGCCTGGGTGCAGAGGAATACAAGATTGCGCCATCTTCTTCGGTTCAAGAGGATATGTCAAAGGGCTCTTTTCTGGACGGAGGTGGTGATATTGGCCCTCCAAACCAGCTCGCGTTTCGATCAAGCACCATGTTAATAAGTGTGCAACATCCTCCGCAAGGTCGTCGCGCACCAAGACGATGAAATCCGAAAAGTCAAGGCATGGTAGTGGTTCTTTGAGAGAAGGCCAGAACCCTGCAGGCAAGGGTCCAGCATCCATCCGGGCAGCTCCGGGGTTGTTCTGCTGGAATCGGTCTAACGCTTCCTTCTCCGCTGCTAAGGGGATGAACTTCTTCTTCTCAATCACGCTCTCCCACCACGGCGTCATTATTGCTTCTTGAAGCAAGGCGTCTGCCTTCCCTTCCATAACCAAAGCCATGGCCTGTTCTGGGCGAGTCGCCGTCACGTATTCCCCTCCCCATAGCCTGAACTCTTCATCACTAATACCGTGCGCTTTCAAGAGCTCACTTGCCACGTATCCGATGAAATTGGTGCCGTCGTTGGTGGACATGGCTATCTTCAATGGTGGCCTCTTCTCTCGCAGTTCCGCAAAAGAGCTGACATTGTGGTCGGGACTCAGAGCAAGAATCATACGATCATTCTGGGGCAACACACCCAGCGCGCGCAGGGACGGCATAGGTCCGTACCGTTCAAAGATTCCTTGTCCCGTCAGCGCCGTCGACATGAGCTGAGCAGGCGTCGCGATGGACAAATGGACCTGCCCGTCAAAGACTTTCGTAATGGCTTCGAGGCCACCGTCACGTAAATTCCATATCGCGACCTGGCTCCGCGGTCCAGACCGATCACAAAACTGCTGCGCGAGCCAGGAACAAACACGGTGGAAGTTGGCCATACCCCAGTCTCCCTGGAGGTGAAGCGTCACAGAACGCTCAAGCCGTGGGCCATATGCATTCTGGCGGTTTAATTCTCCCAAGTCGGTGGTTGCCATTGTTACTTCTATCTAGCTTTTGTGAGTTTGATGAGTTTGATGGAATCTATTGGAAAATATATGGAATTTATTAAAAATGGCCAAGAATCAGATTCCTACAGCTCTTTCAGCAGATACCAATTTTTTCGGGATGCCACAGCCGACATACCATCGCGGAAAGCACGAGATCGGCAAGAAATCCGAATATCCAGGATTTCGGGAGTGTCCTTTCCGACTGGACCACCAAGTGTTATACCCGCTCCTATGACCCAAACCATATAGGTACAAGCATGAAGTCTTTTGATTGGACCATGTCAGCTAGGTTTAGAAACCTGGCACACGTGCAACATTCTATGTGCCTTTTATGTTGAATCTTCGCTAGTCTATGGCTATATGTCGGCGTGCAGCCGTCTAGATATGCGTGTAAACGAGTTTGGCGAATAGAAGCTTTTACTGCATACTTCTTCTTCAATTGATGATAAATCTATGGTTTTTGAGTTTGTTTGATCTACTAGGTTGAATTTCGTGGAGCGCCGTTGTCCTCTATAATAAAATACTAGGCAGTATTGACATAAAGCCCGCGCGCCTCAACCTCCCGTACCCATAATTGCCATGGCCTCTGAACCGTCCTCTTCGTCATATCTTCCGCGAGTGTAGCCTCCTCATTATCTAGAAGGTGCAAGTCTCTGGCAGATCCAGCAGGGCCGTACAGAGACTGAAGCGTTGCAGCAGTGGTTTGAATCAGAGCGTTCTTCTGCGTGTATATCGCCCACATCACGGCCATTTCAATGCTGTCCGCAACCAAGGTGAACCCGTGGCCCCGCATGAGTGTAACACGGTTCGTCTCATCAAAGGTCCTAGCCAGGGCAGATCCCGTCTTTTCGGTTCGGACCAGCATATCAGCCCCAAGAGCTGGGTCTCTGTGCTCGGCAATATCGAAGACTGCGGCTCCCCTGGCACCCAAGAACCCTGCCATGTGGTAGCAAGCCCTCAATGGCGCATTGCTGATGGTATATGGGACTACTGCTTCCGAGTGACTGTGGACAATAGCATTGACGTTCTTGTGTAGTTTGTAGATCTCGGAATGAATTCGTCTTTCCTCATAGCCCTTGTACGGCGTGGGCTCCAAAGGCTCGGCGTCGCCAACCCTATAAGCGATCAAGTCTTTAGGCGATGATATGGTCCCTGGGGCGGCAGAGAGAGACATTATGAACACGTCATGCTGGCCAGGATGCCGGAATGAAAGATGGCCGAAAGCGTCCAGAACCCGACTTTGATGTAGAATATGACAACCATGGATGAATTTGCGATTATACGCCTGGAGAAGAAGCGCGTTAGATTCAGTCGCCGCCATAATGGGAATGGAAGAGTGGTCAAGGATCATACCATAAATCAAGTCTGTGGGTAGTTTGTTGCTGTGTTATATGGACTAACGATAAAGCATTTCGTACTGGGCGGCCTGGCTGCAAATTCGGATGACACGATCCGAAAAACAGCACGCTCTTTGTTTGTGGATCTGACGGCCATGTATGTTCGAATGCTCGGCCTCCAAATAAGATCTCTTGACTAAAAGCCGGAACCGAGCCTCTTAAACAGCAGATAGCGGATAACAGGGTTATTCCAATTGCGGACAACAATTGATATCAAGTGTTTTCAAGCTGCAGGGCAAAATATCTTGTAATTCATGGTATTCACGGCTCAATTCCGTCATTCTGTCACCCGGAACAAGGCTGTTTAAGACCAGATTTCTACTTATTCTGCTGTAGCCATTCTCGGAACCACAAGGAGGCTGCGTTCTTAGCCCTCTCCATGCCCTTCCTCTCCCCCTCGTTCCGAGCATCACCTCTGATAGCAAATCCGTGTTCAAGTCCAGGAAAGTACTGGTAGTCATAGGGAACATGCGTGTGTGGCAAAGTTTGCTGGGTGTATGCTTTCAACTCGGCGGTGAACATGTGGTCAAACTCGGGGGCCAAGATTTGTGTTGGGACGCTGGTGCCTGCAATATCCTCCTTCTGCAGCATTGACGGGTGCGCGGTGGAAATACAGTCGACGAGATTCTTGTCCTTGGCCGCCAAGCGAAAGACGGCCCATCCTCCGTAGCAGTAGCCCATGGCACCTACGCGCGAGTAAGACGCTCTCAACCACTCAGCAAACTTGATGATTACTGGTTCCCGTGTAGCTCGAGAATTGCGCTTAAGAAATGCAGGCAAGTCGATCTCGCCAAATCGGCTCTTGTCGAATAAAACGTCGGTCGGCAGGATCTCACCTCCGAAGCTGGAAAGATGTATCATGTAAACAAGACGGCATAATGATAAAAGCTGTTCATGCACTCACCAGTCAGGAACGTATACTGTAGCATTGACCTCATCGGCAAAGTGATCGGCGAGGATACGGACATTTTTGAAAGTCCAGCCGAAAAGATCGTGGATCACGACTATGGCAACATCTTTGTTCGTTCCTGTAATATAGCAGTCAAGCCCAGCGACATTTCCCTCTCGACCGGCAGTCTCAGCACCCCATCGGAGCCCCTTCAAACAACAGTCTGACATGATGGTGAATGAATATTTGAAACTGCGTGACTTTTAGGTTTGGTAAACTCGCTGGGAACGACCATTTGGTGTGGTTCTCTTGCATGCAAGTTTGGTGCATTTAAACAAAAGTCCCGCTTCTAAGAATCCATCAGGTCTTCTTAAGCGGAAGATTCGGGATGAATTGGACCCAAGCCTTTTTACAGGCAGGTGTTAGCAGAACAATCCCTGCCCGTGGCCTTCGGGGAAGTTGCAAACTGGTCCGAGAATCGGATAGTTGCAAGGTATTCCGAATCGTACGTTAGTGTAAGTAATCCTTGAAATATATCATATCTCCGAAATTAAGCAAGGGTGAATTCAATAGATATTAATGATATTTAGATTAAGGTAGCCTATGGTAACAAGTAAACGGCAACGCCAAGTGTAGCCTTGTGTGCAGCCCTGCCTTATTCGCGTATGCACATGTCCTTCTCAATTCCCAACACGTCTACTACAAAGACCTGGGTCGATGCTTCGGTCTTTGGATGAAATATCTCAGTTTGCCAGAGCCAATTCTACTACACCAGCAAAAACGGAGCGTGCTCGCGCTGATTGCTGTGCTTAATTGACTATATAGCCTGTCACTGATACCAACACAGTTATCTCCGATTCATATAGTTCTTGATTGGCCAGTAACCGGGCATGTACCCGAGAACAAAACCCCTGATAATCCGAGAGAACAGCTCGAATCCGTACTTCCGTAGACCCTCTCCTCCGATCGCGCCTTTGCTCGACACACCCACGGCACCGAGCCGGGCATATGACTCTTCCAATGCCAATTCGGCGAATCCTTCTCCCAGGTCTGCATAGGAGACGGCGACGCTGACCCATTCGGCACTGATGGCCATGCCTGACGGCTCATCCTGTACTAGAGCCGAGGGTTGCACTAATAGCAGTGACAACAGTTCAGATGAGGCTTCGAACATCGCCGTTGCCAGACGAAGGTCGAGATACGGATGGTAAAAGGCTGTCTTAAGAAGCCAGTTGACCACCGTCCCCTCATGTGAGGCGAATCGCTCATTCCAAGTCGAAGACGACAAAAGGATCACCCGGGGGAGCTTCCATTCCAATGAAGACGACTTCAACTCTTGAAGTGCGTCAATAATTGACTTGGCAATATCCTGGATCGGGCGACACCCGGGTATGTTATCATTTTCCCCGATCGTGCAGATAATAATGTCGGCATTCTCTACGCAGCTTCGGACAATCGCCGTGTCAGTAAGCTGCCCTTCGTGTATTATTAGATTAGACGTGTGGTGAAGCTCGGGGATGAGTCCGAAAAGCTTTGCCCTTGAGCGCACCATGAGCCTCAGCTCCAAGAGGGAGTCATGGCGTTTAAGCAGAGATCGTACTGTGGCACTGCCGGTGCCGCCAGTTGCGCCGAAGACTGCAATTTGTGTTGATTTTGTAGAACTCATGATTGATGATGATAATTTGAAAACGAAGAATCTTGCCGCCTGTTCTTCAATAAGCTTTGTACACGGCAAGAATACTGTATGGTAAAAACACGAGACTTGGGCGTCTTATATAGACCTAGTAGCATTGCCAGGCCACAGTCGCTCGGCAATTTCTATCTCCAACAAGTGTGATATTCCGTTCGGAATACGGTCACTCTCCACTTCTTGTTATGTGCTACTGATCAGTCCCCTTCCGGACGTTCCGTGTCCCTCGCAGTGACTATACAATCAATGCCCTAACTATTAATAGGATTTCGTGGGTTTCCTTTCTTAACCTTTATTCCTATTCAGTCTTCCAAATAGGAGATGTGTGCATACACTGAAATTCATTAGCCCAATATATTCCACATATGGTATTCCTAACGTAGCAGCCAAATTACCCTTTCATATAATGCCCTGTTTACTATGCGAGAGCAACACACGGTCTTTACTATACAAAAAACTCATTTCTACCTAATAACTATGCATTCAAAATTTAACTTTGGGGCAATCCAGCCTATCTATATATCTTAACTATCCATACATTCACCTATATTAATATCAATGGTTTGTAGTAGTACATAGACTTCACCGTTTCTCCCGCCTTCGTTTAACCAATTCAACAATGAACTTGCAACAAAGGAAACATTATAATCAGGGTTATCCAGGAATTATGACCACTTTATAGACAAAGATCAAAAACTACACATAACATACGTGAACAATGCCTTATCCTTGTCTTACCCAATGCAAGTATGAATCTCAACCTAATCAACTTGGCAGCCCTAAATAGCATAATCCCTTTAGAAGAAGTTCTTGGTTCTTGCTATCGATAAAATCACAGCGACTAAGGTATAACATCGACGCCCAGGCCAAACCCAGTCCACCCATCAAATTCCCTTATGAACTTGTCTGCCGCTTTTTTGTAAAACTCATTCTCGGATCCTCTAACCTCTTCGACCATGTTCAATGCCCGCACTACTTTTGACCAATGTACATCAGTGAACCACTGACTAGCCAGAGCATCCTGGTATATCTCCTTCCACCCTTCACTTTTAGCCTTGTAAGACCGAATGCTTGCAGAATCATAACTTGGAGTAAGCTCTATAAGGTAAACAAGAATGATGAATAGCCCGAATTGCTTCATCACTGGAACTTTGTGCTCTTCCGGAATATAAGGCATCAAGATCCGCAGCGCGTGGCCAACAGTCAGTATGTGAGCAATGTAGAAATCGTAACCGCCCTCAATTGTGACCGCGGTTGTCGCAAGAGCTGCAGCCGTCTGTAGCCAGTCTAGCAACTGTTCATCGGCGTTGTCTACAATCAAGGACGTGAAGTGCTCTCTCACCGCAGGCTCGAATTTACCAAACAAGGTGAACATGTTGGCAAATCCAAGATTCTTGGTGTAGTTGGCGAAACGCTCATCATTGCGGAGCTTCTCTAGAACATCAGCGATCCTCTTAGTTTTGTATGTAGATGTGTCTGGAGGCGGTGTGTCCAGATATACGTGCATCTGGTCATACTCGGTGCAGCCAAGACTCAAGGCCTCGGCAATAACCTCCTTGCTATCGAACTCGTACCCGTACGCGAGATGAATAAACGGATGTCCAACTGCAAAATAACGATTAAAAATCGAGTCTCAAGCAAGAGACATTCAGATTACTTACGTCCGCCGCAAAACGAGTTTACCAAGGGTTGCGTCCCGGAGTAAAGATGGTCTGCGACAACCTTCTTCCAGTCCCCGTTGACCCTTTCTATCTCGCCGTCAAAGTAGTCAACATAGGCAGCGGTGTATCTGTAGTACCTCAGGTGAGTGTCTGTCGCGGGGCTGATGAGGCAATGACTCACTGCACATACTTCTTCTGGCCAAGGAACTGCCTCCAATTATCGCGTGTGATGACATTTCGCACGAGATCAGTGGTAACGTCGTAGAGATTGGGCTTCTCAGCAGCGTAAATCTGCTCAAGCCTAGCGCTGTCGGCACCAAGCAAGTAAGAGGATCCAAGAGCCTAAAGACGTCTGAGCATTCGTAATCGACTTAGATGGGCAGGTTTTAGGCTTACATGAGGTACATGATTGTGGAAGAGCAACCTCGGATTACGAAGCACTGCATTTGACTCATGATTTGCCTTTAACAGCTTGGCAAGTGTCTTTGCGGGATCGTCTTCACGCTCACCCAGGCGATATACGGGTGCCTTTTCGAATACGGTTGAATTCGCCATTGTTTATCTTGAGTAGGACCGTCTAGATGAGATGAATGTTTGTGATTCGTGATTCGCGTGCACATGTATTTTCAGTCAGCGGATTACCATGTCAATAAATACCAGCATATCCATCCCTTGTCTCATTCATGTCCGGAGTTCACTGCATCCACATCCGGGTCTTCTTCCGAATGCCCGAGTTTCTAAATATGATGATCAGATAATCGAGCAGACGATCCATGGATTATCTTTATTCCCGTCCCTACGTCATTGGATGTCGGGCCCGGAAATTGCTACTTTGCCGTCGGACGCCGACGACATCGGGCTCGCCTTTAGGGAAATTCGGATTCAGAGCATGCCGACATGTCTGTAGCGCATTCCTAGCGAGCGAAACAACACCCAAGACTTTCTGGAAATGAGAAGTCGCAGGAGACGAGACCCAGAAGATGGCGTACGAGGCCCCGTAAATCCTAACCCTGCAACACCAACAGCTCCATTATCTCCATGTCTTTGACGCAAGACACCACGGCGCCCTCGCTGGAGGAGCCATCCAACTCGCCTGCTATCGATGGACCCATTAGTCCAGAGATATCTGTCCGGGCGGATGGGCAACGCAAGTCTGGATCTTCGCGAAAGCGACAGAAGATCAGCCTGGCTTGCGAAGAATGCCGCGTGCGCAAGATCAAATGCGATGGGCTCCGTCCCGAGTGCAGTGCCTGCAGACAGGCTCCCAAGGGCATCCGAGCTTGCAGATACCTGAGCGAGCCCTCCAGGCTCTCGGGACATAAGCGGTATGGGTGAACTGTGTTTCCATTAGCAGTCACCATAACGAAATCTAACAGGTCTATGCAGTGCCATGCAGTCGCTCCACGACCGTCTCGCCTATCTTGAAGCCAAGCTGCGGGAAGCAGAGTCACACAAATCGGTTGAGACAATAATAGATAGCAATAACAAGGAGCCGGACGAGGGGCCGGTATCGATACAATCGCAGTTGCTCACTTTAGATCCGTTTCCTCTTCCACGCACTCACTTCGATACAAGCCCACCCATCATCGATCCAAATCTACTGCCTGCTGCCCATGAGGGCCTGAAATCTCCGGCAAGTCTAGGGGCCAATGACATGGGCAATAGCGAGGGTTTAGTCTCTCATAATAATTCAACTGCTGTGAACGCCATGGGTATTACCTGCGTGGGGTCGGATGTCGCAACGGACACTGATATGAGCAGTGAGTTCTATGGCGAGCCCTCTGCGGCATCACTTCTTAATGACATCCAACATCATTCTCATCGGGCGTCTATACATTCAACACGGGGTCGTGACAGTCTCAGTCGATACCCTCAAACGCCCCGACACACACTTTCTATGCACCACTCGGGAGACAATGATGACTTTCATCTCCCTCCACGATTCGTGGCCGACGATTTACTCAAACTTTACCGCATAAGAGTGCAGAGTATTTATCCATTCCTGTGCTGGCCGATATTCATGGAAGCATACAATCGCCTCTGGCTCTCCGACTCGAATGTCAAAAATATGCCCCAGCTTACTGGCATTGGCCTCGGAGGGCCGAACTGCTCGATACCAGTGTTCTACTGCGCACTCAATGCAGCATTCGCCCTGGCAACTCATTTCACAGATGCGCCTGCCAATGAACGCAAGGAGAGAGCCGCCCCGTTCGTGAGGCGTTCCCGTCACCTGATGCGGCTTGACTTTTTGGATCACGGAGACCTATCCACCATCCAAGCGCTGCTCATTCTGGCGCGTTACCTGCAGAACACGGGTCTGTCCACCCGCTGCTGGAACGTTGTGGGAACTGCTCACCGCATGGCTCAGGGTTTGGGTCTGCACCTTGAAGTGAATCGCGGCGCGGCATCTGAGCTAGAAACCGATATACGGCGTCGAGTGTGGCACAGTTGCGTCTGTCTTGAGACGTAAGATTTGCCTGCAGTGAAACATGCTCCCGCGTCCTATCTTCTTCCCTAGTCTTAGCTAACTCCCTACATAGAGTCGCAGGCATGTTAACGGGTCGGCCATGCTCCAATCCTGATGTAGCCAAGGTCCCCTTCCCTGACCTGTTGGACACGGCCGTGTCTGAACCATCGTCTCCTCAGAGGACCAACCAAGGCGATCCAGACACCTCCTCGGCCATGTTCTTTAAACATGCTATTAAACTTAATCAAATTCTGAATAGGATCCTCAAAAAGGTATACGGTTCTTCCAGCATGGTTGAGGAAAGCAGTTTGTCTCACGATAATGAGGAATCGTACTTGGCACAACAGCTGGCATCAATTATAGTCCTCGACCAGGAGTTTGACAGGTTCAAGGCCGAACTGCCCGATTCTCTTTCCATATTGAAAGACACCTCTCCACCCCATGATGATGATATGCTAGCACACCAGAGGCATGTGCTACACACGAGGTAAGGCATGCACGGGATATTACGATTGCTGTCTAACTCGTCTCAACGTGTCTTAGATTTCTACACATTCGCTCATTACTTTATCGACCCCTACTTGTCCAGGTATACAGAAATATAAAGGCGGGAGGCAAGGCAAACTGGCATCAAACCTCGCTCAACTCGCTCAACAGAGCCTTTGTTGAGAAGTGTTCCCTTGCCTGCATTGGCACCGCCCAAGCATTGATCAACCACATCAGTACCACCGCAGGGCCAACATACGGTGGTTCGCCCTGGTTTACTAGCTACTGTATGACCCGGGATCCAATATATCTGTTCCTATGACAATACTAACGGTTTCCTAGACATGTACCATGCAGCTATGGTGATCGTTTTAGCCGACACATGCTATTCAGACTTACATTATCCGAACCATGAAAGCTTTCACAAATCGTGGCAAATGTGTCAAGCCTTCTTTCACCGAATGCTAGAGCGTGACTCTGAAGCTTCCCAATACTTTAGAGGCCTAGAATATCTCTCTAGGTCGGTCGGGTCTATGCATGGTAAGAGCCCCCTTTGGTACCCCCAAAACGAACCTAATACCAACATTGCGCAGAAACATCAGAAGATAACGAGACGGCGTTGGAATCCGGTGTTCTTCAGCAGTGGCATCAAGACTTTGCCTTCGACAATGTCCCAAACTCTTCCTTGGACCAAATACTAACTTTGGCTGATGGGGAGCTGGTACTGAGCATGAATAATGACATTGGTGCCGAACCCTCTGCTAATAGCAATCAACTATGGACACTCTTCAAATGAAAGCGAGAGGTACATTTGCTAGTCTATCGAGTAACGATAGCCATGTACAATAAGTTGATAGAAGGCCAGCGAGACGTGTTTTTGGCTCCTCGAATTTGTTTTTCGACAACGAGCCAGATGTCACTGCTAAGAGCGAGATGAAGAAGGCGATAACGTCTCAGCTTTTATGATGAGCGGCAGGGATGGATTAATGACGGCGTCGAAAAATGAGAAATTGCCTCAGGGCCAGATGCTGAGCGCGTGGTAGATACCAACTTTCGGCAGCCGGACATTGCCTGGGGCCTGGGGTTGGAGATGTCTTTGGTACGTTCAACATGTCGTTCGGATAAGTATTATGCGTCTCAGCTCGGGGTTATTCACGAAGACCGGCCGTTCTGGCTCTGTCGGGCAGCCCATGTACCTTGCAGGTCTCCAATATACCGGTTGACTTGCGCAAACTTCGTAAGATCCCATCTGCGCTGCATTTCGGCTTGAATGACTTGCTTGTCCTCAGCGGCTGACATGAAGAAGCCCAGCGTATATGTAGGCCAGTTGCCGATGAAGCATTTTGCCCACCCATCGTCATGCTCATATTTCTTGAAGACTTGAATCGCTCGTCTGATCTGCCAACAGTCGACCGATACTTCCAAGGGCGGCCCTGGCTCTGAACGGAGTAGCATTTGCTTCCACAGCAATGAAACGATGATGGCATAGAGAGAGCCCGCGTCCTTGTAGTATTCTTCTTGTATGGCTGAGTTGTCCGACGTGGACTGTGGTTCTTGGCTTCCCAAGAGCATCATTTCGTATCCCAAGACCTCAGACTGGATAGATTGCATGTCCATCGTAAGTGGCAGAGAGTTCCGGCGCTGTTGGCGGAGCAGCAACGCGAGCCGAAAGAGTGCAATGGGAATACCAATCACAGGACTATCTAAGCGCCTTGAGGCTGTATTAAACGAAGACTGATCCAGTAAGTTCTCTGCTTGATACCAGAAGTCAATGTAGGAGTCATGATTTGGTCCGGACAGTTCCGTCCAGAGGCCGGTCGTCATGTGAAATATGTGATACAAAACGCTCTCCACGGCCAAGAAGTCGAATAGCCGATCAATGCCCATAGGACGGTCAAAAAACCGTAATGCAATGATGCTCATCGCCGCATTTAGGTGTCGAGGTATATCGGAATACGTGCCCCAGCCCATACACTATCAGGGCATGAAAACGTTAGCATCTAGTTTAATACAATAGGGTTATTCGCAGGCCATGGCCAGCTTACCCCGTGGATATACAATAAAATAATCGACGTCATCAGGCCGTCGTTTGTTTCAGGCTGAGACGGAGCAACAAGCAATTGAGAGAGCTTCGTAATAGCTCTGGAGTAGTAAGTTAAAGCCAGCTCACGCATCTGTACACATTGATTAATTGAATGGAGGTGTGATGTAGCACATGCCAAGACTGAGTAGTACAGGGATTTATGCGACGCCATTAGACGCAAGATCTCGCTCAGCCATCCATGGTAAAAGCCCGAATGGCATCCAGGGAGGATTATGAGACCGTAGTATGTGTCAACGAAGTGACGGCAGATGATAGGTTCCAGGACATGAGCCGTGGCTTGGTGCGCCATGGCTGGCTCAAGGGAATGAAAAACGAGCGTTTGAGAGCGATCGACGGAAGTTACCAATTGGTCGTCATGGGGAGCCTCTTCCGTAACTATTAAAACATCGTCGTCTAACACTCTTTTGCGATGTCTTGATTGGCGATGAGACAAGAAGCGGCGATCGATATTGTCATTCGGCTTTGGCCATTTGCATTCTCGATTTGCAGATCCGCAACTTTGGCAGATGGGGAGCGTTTCGTCGCACTTTACTCTCCGTTGCCTACCTAAAAAGTTATCCAATTAGTCAATAGCGGCCGAGTTTGGAAGGCTGGGGGCGCTTCTAGCTCACAAGTGAGGCATCCGGTCTTTGTACGTAGTCTTGCTCGTCCAGGCCTTTTCATGGCGGTAAGATGTAGCGGTTTTCTGATGGGACATGAAGTTAATCAGAGCGGGGATGCATCAACCCCAAATTGCTGGCGGTGGAGGCACTTTATTAAACGCAAACGGTGAGTTAGTCAGCCTAATCATGTTCACAAAAGGCTTAGGGTCATTGCCTCCTCTCTATTGGCTAGCTGAGCAAATCCAAGTCATGCCGTTGACAGACTAACAGGAAAGGTGGAGTATGGCAATCGTCACAATGGAACAGGTCAACTTCAAAGACGGCTGGCTCTCTCATCTGTGAATTAGCCCCGCAAGGCGTGTTGATTTAAGTTTATGAGCTATAGCAAGGAATTCTAACTACTAGCACAGCTCATGGCGGTGCTCGAACCCGCATCGACAGAGTGGAACTACTGAGACGCTCAGCACCCGGCAAACGCGTATTGGCTTTTCCTTGAAGACCCATACGTAGATATATGGCAACAAGTAACTTGTCTTTGCATCTCCATCATGCATCGTAAGAAGCAATAGTGTTGAACCTCCTCATGTATACCCTCCCTCAATACTACATTATTCCACCTGTCCCCTCGCAATATCATCGTCAACAAGCTTCCAGTACTTGCTAGCACTCTTCACCCGGAACAACTTTCCATATTTAATCATGACTAGAAAGACAGATGAGGCAGCCATGCCAATGAAGGCGGCAGAGATGAAACAGTTCTGGTAGCCCAAGTTGGTTATCCATGGGGTAATGCTTGTGCCAGGATATATTTGTCAGTACAGCTTGAAATATTCTCATGGAAGCGTTGGGAAGTAGCACAACAATTAGTTACGTACCCGTAGCTGATAGCAAACGACATGGTATTTCGAACGATAATCACAGCAACAAGTGCATCAGAACTAATGCCGTGATAGCTATCGATCAGGTAGTTTACGCTGAGAGTAACGCCCATTGTCATGGTAAAGGCCAGGCATCCCATTGCAACACAGAGGCCCATCCAGTGAATCCCGTGCTGAGCACCGACACCCCAGAGAATCAGGGAGCTTGGCACTATGATCACACATAGACTGAAGGGCCACAGACGATGCTCCGCCTCCATGATGCCCTTATTTCGGCGGGCGAGCTTGATGGTCAGCCAGTCGCTCAACCTGCCCGAGGTCAAGGATCCCGCAATCACCCCAACGCAGCAGGAGAGATAGCTAAGTCCGACCATGGAGGAAGAAAAGTTGTACGGCTCCCCTGATAGAACGATAGAGGCAGTAGCACCGAGAACGTTGAACCAGATAAGGTAAGAACCGTAAGAGAAGCCGGCATAAAATATGACAGGCCATGAAAGAAAGGTGAGTGCCCTGACTACGCGTTGTAGCATGTTCTGGCCTGGGCTTGGATACCAAACGGCCAGCTTCTGAACAAAGGATCTTGGTGCCGCATAAACTTCACCATTTTCAGCCAAGGATGTACTCGCAGGTGGAATGTCGATCTTCTCACTGGCCAGGAGATCCTTGGCCTTGCGGTCTGTATTAGTTACCGGTCCTGTTTGGATTCGGGTTTCCTGTGCAGATTGCACCCGGTGGTAGTTTGTCTCTTCCATGAAAAGAAAGAGGAAGACGAAAGCAGCAGCGAGGAAAATTGCAGGCCAGTAAAACACCCACGCCCATCCTTGGTATTCTGCGATGAAGCCACAGATGACAGGCGCAAAGTAATTGCTCCCAGCCAGGGAAAGGGCGTAAATTCCCATATATGTACCGCGCTCGTGAGTGAAGTACTAGTCAATAGTATTGTTAGAGCTCCTTCTTAAATCCTGAATATATTGAACTCGCAGGTTTTGGCAAAACTTGTCACCGGGGAGCTTAGCCTTACAATATCGGTAACGGAGATCTCAGGAAGGGCTTCAATCGGTGAGATGAAGAATCCTTGCAGAATAGACTTGGCAATCCATTCCCCGTCGCTCTTGATATGTGCGCTGTGGGGAGAAGAAAGGTAAGTAAGTCAAGCGTCAACTCAAATTTTACAGGAGGTGAGACCTACCCCCAAATGCTTGTACCCTAGGGAATGAGGAGTTAGTATATAGTACCTACCCGATGAGGCGATTTGCTTACAATGGCACCGATCACGGAAAGAAGATAGCAGAGACGCTTGCCATAGCAAGCCGAAAAGGGCTGCCAGAATAGTAGACCCCATCCCAGGAATAGGTACATGTACCCGGTCCCCTCATTGAGGGTAGCGATGGAGACACCAGTCGCTCCAGAAAGCGGCACCAGGACCGAGTATACGTTAGAAACAGCGATTCCGGTAAACCAAGTAAACCTTTAACACACGTGAGTTTGAATACATTTGCATTCTAAGTTCTATACCACTCGACTTGGATGTGCTTACAAGTTCTGACACAGAAGGGAGAGCAACTTGCGCCGGGGAGCCCAATTCAAGGGGTCATTAGGGTCGTTGGAGGGCGAAGGGATCAAGATTATGTCGCCATCACTTCTTGAGTGACGAGTTTGCAGGTTATGATCCAAGTCGACGAGATGCGCCGTGCCTGGGACAGGAGCCCTGTTCGCCATGTCTTCCGGGGAATTGGGCATGCTTGGACTGTCTCATCAATGCTCAAAGATCAGAATGAAATATATTGTGTCAGAGAATGCAGTCTGGCGTAACGACAGCTTGAGTTGAAGGGTCCCTACACAGGGCAGTCACAAATGTTATATACACCTATAGAATCATATATCAAGCCGAGCCTGGTGTTGCTCAGGTTTCCCCGCGATAACAATTAATTCCGGCAACTTGGCAAGCGAGACCACATGGAGGAGGTGGAGCACGCAAATAACTGCCATTGGTTAACTATGAAGCTTTCAAGATAAGTCCAGGATTACGCCGTTGGTGATGCCCGGGCCTAGACCGACGATGATGAGCTGCTGATAAATGCTCCAAGTTTTGGCCGATGAGAGTGTAGAGCCAATCGAGTCTAATTACGAGTCTCCGTAGGACCGGCCCTGTCTCGACGAATAGGACATAATAGCGAACTCCGCTTCCCCTGCAGCCAGTTACATGGTTTGATAAATGGATCTGCTACCTAAACTAGACTTATTACGGCATCAGCGGGGTTTCGGGGTTTACCTTATAGATATGTCATGATCTTCTCACCTACTACAATAGACCTCCGCTACGATGAGTACCCCAATGCAATGAATTCGGGGCTTAATTAGTGTTTCCAAGCGACTAAGGTTTTTCCCTCATATATCAAACTTCTCGTAATAGCTTCGAATTTTCTTGAATCAGGTACTTGATTCAATGATGTAGCTATGTAAGGAGAGTAAGTATCACATACAGACATCTCGCACTACGCTTATGTTGACTGGTACCTTTAGATTGAGATTCGTTGTAAAGGAACTCACTTGTACTAGTCTATTATCCACTAATCAACAGGCTACCCTTGTGTATTAACTACGTCGCTTCTCTCCCCGGCCTACAAAGCTCCAGCCAATTTGATGGGCCATCCTAACCTTCACGCCAAGCTCCTGTGCAAACGCGCCGACCAAGCCGGGGTTCTGCTGGAACCAACGTCCAGCTAGGACGACATCGATGCCAGACTGCAGCGTGTCCTCCGCCAGAGCCCCAGTCTTGATCCCACCGACCGCTGCCACGAGCAGCCTGTTACCCACGGCTTTCTTAATCTCCTGCGCGAAGTGAACTTGATAGGCAGGGCCCGCCTTAATGGCAATGGCCGACTTGGCGTGTATCCCGCCTGAGCTGACATCAACCAAGTCGACTCCATGGTCGGCCAGACGGGAGGCGAACTGGACCGATTGGGAGACAGTCCAGCTGTCCGGAAACTCGGCCTTGAGGCTCGAGTCAAACTCGAACCAGTCCGTGGCACTAAACCGCACGAAGAGAGGCATGGTATCAGGGATGGCAGCCCTGATAAGATCGGCAAGTTCCATATGGATCCTAGTCCGGTTTTCAAAGCTGCCCCCATATGCATCAGTCCGCTGGTTGCTAATGGGGCTTAGGAATTGGTGGAGTAGATAGCCATGCGCCGAGTGCAGTTCGATGGCATCAAACCCTGCCTCGACCGCTCTCCTGGCCGCGGCCACAAAGGAAGTCTTGAGCTCCTCAATATCCTCTAGAGTGAACGCCTTGGGCACAGGATTGATTCCCTCCTCTTGTGGGATGGCTGAAGGAGCGGCAATCTCGTCCGGCCAGCCTCCGACCTCCCTAACCGCCACGGCGTTGGCACTCAGCCAGGGAGAAACGCAGCTCGCCTTGCGGCCGGCGTGGGAGAGCTGGATGGCAATCTTCTGACCTTGGCTATGCGCAAACTCGGTGATGCGCTTCAGAGGCCCAATTTGACCGTCCTCCCAGAGGCCAAGGTCCTGTGGCGTGATGCGGCCGGTCCGCTGCACGGCGGTAGATTCCATAATGGCCAGCCCTGGGCCGCGCTGGATGATGCCACCCAGATGCGTCAAGTGCCAGTCAGTAGCGTAGCCGTCCTTGGCCGAGTACTGACAGAGTGGCGAAAGGAACACGCGGTTCTGGAAGGTAGTGCCACGGATAGTGATGGGGGTGAACAGCTTCGTTGATCCGCCCAACCCGGTTCCGGCTGGAGGGTCCTGAGCCGGCGTGTAGTAGGAGATGCCTCTGGCGGCAATGTTGTCGATGATTTCTTGGACCATGATAGCGATTATCTGAGACCTTGGTGATATCTAGAAAAACGAGACCGTTAAGATGCTCCTAGGAGTCCCGAGTATGTATGTAATAAGGGTCAGAGTACAGAGTACATGCTATGCGTTTATCTTACCCCTTATGGTGCGAGGCACTATATTTATCCCAGCAGATTTATAATCACTCATTATTAATTCATTGAGGCATTTTCCATGAGATTGGGACGATTAATAATGTAAAACTATAGCTACTATGATGTGATGGATGTCTGTAGTTGATCTAATGATTTGTGCGTCTGCATGGGTGCCACCGAGTGTGCATGGAGGGAGGGGAAACTGGATCGGTACGAGTGACAATCGAGAGCTAGCGCTGAAAGCAAGCGCTGGTCATTTAATTTGTCAATCGAACCATTTAAACTAAGCCTTTTTTAATCTTTTGGTTTGTCACACTTCTGATTGCATGCCATCTGTCTCCCCCCTTCTCTCCTGCAACGTTCCTATCCAACCCTCCTATCCTACATTCAACCTTTGCATATATAGAGCGCCATATATGGCACCGGTGTACCGAGACAAATTGAATTTGATTATCACTCATGATTCAACGGCAGCCTAGTCATCTCCCCTCCCTTCTCCAGAACAAAGTTAAATCTTCTCTTTCATTCAACATCGCTTTGAGGACCTTTCTTTGGGAGCTTTGAAATGTCTTGGAAACCCATCGCCCAAGCATCTCAGACCAACTTGCTGCAATCTATTCCAGAACGTTGGCGGCTGGATCTGCATAAATACAAGTCGCTGAAGGATGTCACGAGCGTACCTCATACCTGTGGCATTCTGACTGATGCCCAGCTCAGGATTACCGAACTCACGGCAGTTGAGATAGTGAGAGACCTTGAGGCTCGCGAGCTCAAAGCAGTGCAGGTTTTAGAAGCCTTTGCTGCCCGTGCTGCCATTGCTCACCAACTGGTAAGACAGGACTTCCTGAGTAGAGAGTTCGACTAACGTCAGAGTAGGTCAATTGCCTGACCGATTGGTTCTTTGAAGAGGGTCTACGGCAAGCAGAAGAGCTTGACGCTATTCTTGACTCTGGCTGCAAGTTAAAGGGTCCATTGCACGGAGTTCCTATTGCTGTAAAGGTACGTAGAAGCATCCCATAACATCCCATAACGCGGAGATTAGTTGCAATGTACTCATGCCAACTTCCTTAGGACTTCCACTTTCTTAAAGGTCATCCTACAACAACGGGCTATATTTCCAAGAGAAACTTTGTTCCCGAGTATGACTCTGCCCTGGTAGCCACGTTGCGTGCCGCTGGAGCAGTGTTCTTCTGTAAGACAACCATGCCCCAGACAGGAATGGCTCTGGAGACAGCCAGCAATCTTTGGGGTCGAACCCTGAGCCCCTTCAACATTGACCTAAGCTCCGGTGGTAGCTCAGGAGGAGACGCGGCCCTGGTCGCGATGAGGGGCTGTCCGATCACACCGTCCACTGACATGGGAGGATCCATCCGCGTGCCAGCTGCTTTCAACGGACTGTACGCCATTCGACCTACTGCAGACCGCGTGCCAAAAGGCGGCATGGACAACATCAACAGCACGGGGCAGACAACAATTCAATTGTCCTGCGGGCCCATTTGTCACTCTATCAGCGACCTCGAGTTGCTTACGAGGGTCATTAATGCGTACCCGAACAATCAATATGACGTTACCTGTGCACCAGTTCCGTGGAGGAACCTGGATACCTTGAATGGCAAACTCGCCATTGGAATTATGAAGTGGGATGGTGTGGTTATGCCTCACCCGCCGATTCTCCGAGCCTTGGGCCATGCCAAACAGGTGCTCGAAAAGGCTGGACATCAAGGTAAGTCTCTCATCTCAGACGGTGGACTTAGCTCTGACCATCGCTTACCCGAGTCGCAGTCATTGAATTCGACCCGCCCTTTGATTGCTGGGACGCTTCTCAGACAACGGTAATAAGAGTGTCACCAATAAAGCGATGAGAAGTTCACTAACCAACGGTTATCTAGTTCGATATATACTACCCGTCAGGGGCAGGACAGACACTAGCCGCGGTTGAAGCTTCCGGGGAACCACTTTTGCCAGCCGTTGCTGATCTGCTCAAGGTTTACAACACGAGAGAGCTCTCTACCGTAGAAGCATTAGGAGTATGTTAGCCCGCTTAAAAGATGATAAGAATTTTGGCTTCCTAACCATATGATAGTTGAACGTCAAAACCAGAATCTTCAAAGAACGATTCCGCGATGCGTGGAGCGAAACAATCCGCAGAACGACTACCAGCCGTCCTATCGATGCACTCATCTGCCCCCCAGCACCATCAGCGGGCATTCCTCACAACTTCAACATATACTGGGGATATACCTCATTATTCAACCTCCTTGACTACCCCTCCATGATCCTACCGATCCCCAGGTTCAAGATCGATGCCCAGAAGGACCCTGTGGACGTCCACTACCAGCCGCTGGAAACGAATGCTTATGACAAGGCCAATCATGATTTGTGTAAGCCTACCAATTCTGGGCCCCAGAGTTGAACTCGCGTGCAATCACTGATGTCCTTTTTTCCGTGAACAGACGATCCAGATCTATTCTCGAACCAGCCGTCGACGATACAGATCGTGGGACGCCCTTTTGAGGACGAAGAGCTGATTCGAGTAGCATCAACTCTGGATACACTACTTCGCTCTACTTGAGCTAAGTCGCATGACTGGGTTCAGCAAGGCAACTGGCAGATGATAGTAGCTCAGTGAAGAATTTTTCGACAGAGACGCCTGGACCGAAGGGGGCTTGATAGTGCCTTCATTGAGTACATAGTAGTAGTGAGAGAGCTATGCAGCTGCTGAAAAAAAAAAGGGGAAATTCCCAAACACCAAGAATTTAACAACTTGACACTATACCCAGTATCACAACACATTAACTTCATTGAGTACATATGTATCAGCAAATCTATGGGACCTACGAGTGATCCATGATTGCTAAAGTCCGAAACATCAAATCCTTGGAGCTGCCACACGCAAAGAAGCACCAGCACATGAGACAACAACAACAACACAGCTCAACTCTTCCTTCAACGAATAATCACTGCTCTTACTGTCAGATCCGGCACTCATTTTCGAAAGAAACTTCTTTACCAGCCATATGAATTCCTAACCCGCCTACATCGTTGCGCTCAAACTTTCCCAAATTGTCCCGCCAGAATTTTCTCGTCGCTATTCACCTGGTCCAAATCTGGAACATCAGAGTGCTTCACGCCGTCGAATAATTCATCCACCTCTTCGAGCGTCTTGCCCTTTGTTTCAACCCAGTAGAAATAGACAAAAATGATGAACAGAAAATTCCAGCTCGCGTTGATGACATACGTCTTCCAGCCCACAGCGTCAAACATGTAGGGGAAAACCATTGTGACAAATATTCCGCATGCCTTATTTATGAGAGTAAAGAGACTCATCCCCGTAGCACGTAGTCGGAAAGACAACACCTCTGGGGGGTACATCTGTGTCAAAGGCGTAAGACCAAATGAGTAAAATCCCAGGAATAAAAACACTGCGGCCACTGTGCCCTGAATACCCGGAGCATATGAGCTTGTACCGTAGACAGCCGTGAGGACACCGACAATATAGAACATGGCGGTGCAACCAATCAGGGAACTAAGACAGAGCATCCGCCTTCCGAGTCTTTCCGCTAGAAGACAGCCGGCAAGAGCAATGACGAGTTGCCAAACCGATAGAATAAGGTTGATTTCCATTTGGGTCGTAGACGAAGTGATACCAGCCTGGGACAACATATCTCCGTAGTAGTAAGTGATGACATTGGATCCGGTTAACATTGTCACAGGGGAAACCGACAGAGCAAGAATAAGACGTCGCCTATTGGGCGCACTGCGCACCACTCCGATAAAGCCAATGCTCTTGCCTTCAGTCTTCTCATAATTTAATGTATCAACAATTTCCGTGTATTGAACTTGGACAATCGGGTCGTTAGGTGTGGAACCGTTGATGCGCGCAAGAACTTTCATGGCTTCATCCAGGCGATCTTTATGGATAAGCCAGCGAGGAGATTCGGGGAGGAACGGAGTAAGGACGACAATCAGTAAAGGGGCGAACCCCTGAAACAGAGATGGCACTCTCCACGCCCAATTTGAAGGCTCAAGTGCAGTACACTAAAGATATGTTAGGTTTTGTATCTCGCAAGCATGAGAAAAAAGGAGCAGCGGAAGGAGGGAGGAGTCTTAGTAACAACTCACCCCAAAAGATATACCAGTAGCCAGGATACCTCCCACGGCCCAGCACGTGTAATACAAGCCCAAGGCAAACGCCCGAATCTTTGGCGGAGTTGTCTCTGCCACATAGATGCCTGCAGCGGTTTGAGCGAGACCCATGCCCAAGCCGACAACCATTCGGCCAGCAATGAACATGGCAAGGTTTTGAGAACTGGCAGTGATCACGGCTCCGAGAATGTTGAAAAGTGCACTGGCCAGAACGCTGTATCGGCGGCCGAACTTATCAACAATAAATCCTGCGAAAAGTGCAATCAGGATTGCGCCCAAGGATGTGGCCGTAGAGTTGACAGCCTTAGTGGCCGTGGTTATTTCGAAATAATTGTTATAGCTGGGCATCACATTGACAGAGCCCATGACAGATCCATCGTAGGCAATAGTGACAGAGTCAACGACACAGGCCGAAATGACCAAAGCCGCTGTGAAGCCGATCTTGACCGATTGAGCGTATTTACCGAACATTATAGTCGACTTGGAGGGCTTCAAGCCCGAACAGATTTCTCTAGTCTTGAGGTGGAAGAAGAGTGCGTGCATCAATCTTGGCCTTACTCGGTGATGGGTGTGGCTTTTATAATTGATGTTTCCCGGGAAGAGGGGAGGGTTAGCTTGGTATCCTTGTTCTATCTTCCCCGACAACACTTCATTCCCCGCGTTTCCTAGACTGGTTCGCTATCTTGGTAAAGGCTCGTCGATGCGGGGTGAAACAAGAGACATTAGAGGACTGGTACTCTAGATATACCGACTGGGAACCCGTACCAAGTCAACCATCCTTAAATACACCTTGATTGGGTCAAGCCATGCCATTAGTTTCCTGATAAAACGTGATAAAGGCAGATGCTATCCAGATTTTAGATACCTTATCACTCTATTGGAGCAGGGCCATCCCTTTGCGAGGCACCACAAGCAATTTTTGGACAACTCAAGCTTTGGGGATAACGGGAGATACACGATGTGCATGACATGCTCCTCGTTGCGGCTAGACTATCAAAGGGCGGCCAACCCGACATCTCGCCGCTACAATCACCACCGGCGCTTTTTAGCGTTGGTTTGGGCGGTCCAGCCGATCATGCACTATTTTAGGTCTTTTTCTCTCTTCCTTCGGGTAGTAGACACCTTGGGAAACCCGGCGATGCGGATCAACTTATGGATTGCTTAGATATCTACCCAAGGTTGAGCACGAAGACGCCCCTACCCTTTGTCAGGTACTACGTCGACGAATTTGGGCTTGTTGAAGGCGGATGACGATGACAATTGGCAGGCAGCAATGCCAAGGTGCAACTAAATAATTAAGAGATAATAGATGGTTTCGCAGGGGGTCCTAAAGAGAAGGTAGGGGCTGGAGAGCTGCCCACACGCAGGGTATCCGATCTATCGGAGCAGCCGGAGGAGAAATTTGATATGCTCTTGTCAAATACCATCATGTAGAAACGGTGATAGGTGGACTGTTATTGCCTTGTTAACTTATTATCACGAGAAAACATGTTGGAGAAGTGTAATAAAATCTCGTACCGGTGCGCAGTAAGCAAGCTTCTTAACCCGCCTGTATCATGCTACAGCAACTACCATAAGATCCTCCCACAAACTTGCGAAACAAAAGCTAAGAATCTTCGGCACTATTTACCTTACAGTTTATTGCGTTCATTCAAAAAAATTTGGAAGGTGATGAATGATCTTGGTCTGATTTTGAACTTCAACCGAGTCCTCCCACAAAACTTCTTCTCTTATTGAGTTTTGCTTTTTCTGATTAAACAATCCTACTTGCCACATATAAAACAGAATTTCGCAAGCACTCTAAGTTGAAAATAATTGGCGCAAAAGTTGTGGCTAAAGGCTATATCCGGCGTCGATGATAATGTTTGTCCCGGTCATGCTTCTGGATTTTGCTAAGCCAAGGACTTGCTCCGCAACATCCTAATAGAATAATTAGAAACCATTACGCGAGAATCTGCCGCCTCTCGAGTCCTTACCTCGAGGTCGACAAAACGTTTCAATTTAGTTCCTTGTCGATGAGCTTCTTTCTGTTCAACGGTGAAGCGAGTTGCCCATTTCTACTCCACCCTTAGTTCAAATTTCTACATAGTTAATGAATAGCTCTTCTCACCGTTTGCAGCAGCCCTGGTGATACACTGTTAACACGGATCTTGGGTGCTACCATACAGGCTAGACCCTTAACCATGTGTAACTGGGCAGCTTTTGTGGTTCCGTAGGCCTAATGTCAAACTGTTAGCATCCAACCTGTGAGGTCCGTCCATATGGGCTTGGGATCATACCAAAGAGCTACCCACACCAGTCACGCCTGCAAGGGATGCAGTTGTGATGAAAGCCCCTTCCGTTTCGTCGAGGTACGGCTTGGATGCTTGCAAAAGCCAAAGGTGAGATTTCACATTCATGTTAAATGCTCTATCCCAGTCTTCTTCAAACACGTTATCGTCAATCGATGCTGTGTTGCGGAATTTGGTCCAGCCCCCATTCGACAAGACAACATCAATACGTCCCATGGCAGCGTATGTCTCCTTGACCAGACGTCGTATTTCCAGAGCCGAAGCCAGGTCCGCCTGGATCGAGATATATCGCGATATTGTCCTAATTCCCTCAACATCATCTAGCTTGGCATGTTGGGAAGATAGTTCTGTAACTAATGTCCCAGCACGCTCACTATCCGTGTTGTAATTGATGACAACTCTATATCCATGATGGGCAAACAGTCGAGCAACAGCAGACCCGAGACCTGCAGATCCAGCTGTAACAAGTATAACTGGAGACGCGCTCATTTCTTTTCCGTGCTTGCATATGTGTAGACGAGAGGTCAGTATACTAACATGGGAGTCTTTTTCTAATGAATAACGAATTGAGTATGTTCAAACAGAATCGCATGCATCATTAAGTCCGACATATGGCCTTTACCATTTCTGGATAGAACCCGGAGAAGGAGCTTTGAGTCTGCGAAATGTCACCAGAAATAAAGTGCCATCCAATCGCGTGATGCCGGTTATGGCGGCCTGCTAGTTACACATTGATCGCCGGTCCCAGCTACGGCACTGACTGCGCTTCGGTTCGTTATCATTGATCAGAGAGCCACGCTTCACCATTTCCGCGGAGACATGCCGACCCAATAGGATTCGTTATGTATCAGGAGATAAGCGATGGGCGGTCCTTCCGACATTTTGACACTTTTGACACAGTACTGGGCCTGATGCTGTCGGCACGTCCGACGGCACACAATATCCCCATGTCGACAGAGGCTAAACTTGTTTTGGGCACGTCAGCTGGTGAGTTTCGCGGGGGACGATGATGTGAAAGGGAAGCTGATCTCATCGTCCATGAGAGACACACATAAGAGTGCTGCATCAATGGTATACTTTGCATGAAGGTGCAACTAGTAATCTTTGATCAACGACAGTCTCTCTCGTGTTAATGACATACGCACGATTCCTGCCAATACTATGATCATGGATTCCAAGGCTGAAAGTATTCTGGCCCTCTTGCAACACCGATTGAACGGGTTTATAGGGAATCAGAACGCTGGGCCGCTGTTCACAGCTGTTGGGGTCATTCTTTTCTCCTACCTCTTGTACCAGGTAAGAATATCCCTGGTCTAGTCGCGCAAGATACCATTGGTTTTGACAACAACCCATAGGTTGCGTTTGCTACAGACATCCCATACATCAAAGGACTACCGGAGATTCCGGGGGCAGTGCCCATCTTCGGTCATCTTTTGAGCCTCGGCGAGGACCATGCGAGCTCATGCGAAAAGTGGTGGCGTCAGTACAACCAGTCTGTATTTCAGATCAAACTAGGCAACACTCGAGCTGTCGTCGTCAACTCCTTTGATGATTGCAAGAAGATGCTACTGGGCAACCAGAATGCTGTTATTGACCGCCCAAAGCTGTACACCTTCCACGGGGTCATCAGCAGCACCCAAGGCTTCACCATTGGCTCTTCTCCATGGGATGAGTCCTGCAAGAACAAGCGGAAGGCTGCTGGCACGGCACTTGGGAGACCTGCATTACGGAGGTACTACCCCATGTTTGACTTAGAGAGTTACTCTATTCTGCGGGATATGAAGAAGGATAGCAACAATGGGCATATAGAGATCGATGTCCGCCCTTACATCCAGAGATATGCTCTCAACACGACTTTGACGCTCTGCTACGGCATCCGTATGGATGGTGTCTATGACGAGCTGCTTCGAGAAATCCTCTACGTCGGTTCAGCCATTTCACTTTTGCGCAGCGCGTCTGAGAACCTACAAGACTATGTGCCATTCTTACGCTACCTCCCGACCAACACCAAGAATTCTCGATCAAAAGAGCTTCGGGAGCGCCGTGATGCTTACTTGAATCTACTCCTGGACAAAGTTCGAGCCATGATCAAGGAGGGAACCGATAAGCCTTGTATCTCATCCGCCATCCTGAAGGATGAGGAGACCAAGCTTACTGGGGTTGAAGTATCATCCATCTGCTTGTCACTTGTGTCTGGAGGGTTCGAGACTATTCCTGGCACCTTGACCTCGTGCATCGGTTCCCTGTCGACAAAGGAGGGCCAAGAATGGCAGGATCGTGCGTACGCAGATATCAAGCGCTACTATCCTGACGTTCGTGATGCTTGGACTAGTTGTTACATCGAAGAAAAAGTCCCGTATATCAACGCTATCGTCAAGGAGGCTGGGAGATACTACACAGTCAGTTCTATGAGTCTTCCCAGGAAGACGGTCCAAGAGGTGAACTGGAACGGGGCCATTATCCCACCCAAGACAATGATTCTGATCAATGCACAAGCTGGTAACCATGGTAAGATCATGCTTCGTTCAGTGGTCAGTGTTTTCTTATGTTTGACGCTAATCCCTGGTCTTATAGACGTTGATCATTTCGGTCCGGATGCCGGGAAGTTCAACCCTGAACGATGGCTTAAAAGCCTCGATCCACCTGCTGAGGCGGACATCGATGGTCTCAACCACCTGAGCTTCGGGACGGGCTCACGTGCATGCTCTGGTCAATTCATTGCATCTCGAATGCTTTACTCCGCCCTCGTACGCATCCTGTCGTCGTACAAGATTGTGGCGAGCGAGGAGATGCCACCCAACACAGATTATGTGGAATACAACCAGTTCAAAACTGCGCTAGTAGCTATTCCAAGGGAGTTCAAGGTGAAGCTAATCCCAAGGGATACTGATGTGACAGCCGAGTGTCTTTTTGATGCAGAGGAAAGAACAAGAGAGCACTATAAAGAGTAACGGGCTGTGCATGGAAAGGAAGAAAAAACGACAGCAACTTGATGGATGACGGCAAACTCGAGTATGCCCGTCCATGACCTGAAATAGTACTTGGAAATGTGAGGTAGATTGACTGAGACTAATGCGTACAATGATCTTCTGATAAACCGTCTCTAAATAATTGATCCAGCTCACAGTATTATCTAATTCTATTCGCGGATTTGCTTAGACTGATTCGGAAACTAAAAGGATGAAGAAACCAGACAAGGAATAAAAACGTCAATCTTCTCATCAACCCCTCCATTATTTGAATGCTGTTCCAAATAGTACTTTGAGCATTTTCACTACAGCCAGGAGGGAATAGGAAGACGATTCCTGCGCTACGTTCACTAATTCCCGCCTCCCGATGATTGTCGTCGGCGTGCCCGATGAGGAGTTTTTGAGCCAATCCCCCTGAGATCACTAGTGATATCATGTCATATTCTCTACCAATAATAAATAATATTCATAAAGCAGTCAAAGGAAGCTGAGTAAACCTACCTACGAAGCAAACCTCCCATCAAACCAGTTCTCTACCCAACCATGTCTTCGCTCGACATCAATCAGCTTTTCAGCGTCAAAGGCTTGGTGGCAGCAGTGACCGGGGGAACGAGCGGACTTGGTTTCATGATTTGCAAGGTGTGTCACGGCCCTTTTACTACGCTACAAATCACCAGCACTAGCTAAAGGCTGTACTAGGGATTGGTTGCGAATGGCGCCAGAGTATATGTCATTGCGTTGTCGTCTGAGCCCATTACCGAGAAGGTAGCGCAGCTCAATGAGCTTGGTCAATCTTCCTCTGGCACCGCCCACGGGTAGGTGCAGCAAAGCCTTCCTCGCGACGGGCATAACCTGGTAAGCCTATTGCTGACGGAGTGTTTGACTTTAGGATTGAATGCGATCTAACCGACAAGGAGAGTATTGCAAACGTAGCCAGACATATAGGCCAACGAGAGACATACCTTGACATTCTCGTCTCTAATGCTGGCATTAGGCGAGACCCAGTGGTTAAATGCGATGTACTGTCTGCCCCTTTATTAGACCTACAAGCATCAATGTGGTCGTCGAAACACTCGGACTGGGCAGACTCGTTTTGTGTCAATACGACGGCTCATTATTTCCTCTCCGTTGCACTTATGCCTTTACTGGCAGCTGCCTCACAGCGCAAGCTAGAAAATGGCAGAGTGGGAAGAAGCAACGGCCGTGGAGTCATCGTCATCACAAGTTCATGCGCAAGCATGCACAATGCGACTAATGTAGATTTGACGAGCTATGCTACGAGCAAAGCCGCCACTGATCATTTGGTCAAACTCCTGGCGTCCAAGTTTGGCAGATTCTATATCAGAGTAGTAGGAATCAATCCAGGCTGTGAGTTTCGGCTGCCAAACCATCTCGAGACCCAGGCGAAGTGTTGATGAATTCCTAGTCGTACCAAGCAAAATGAATCCAATTGGAGAGGAAGGAAACATGTTCAGCGCACTGTTTGACAAAGTGCCCGCTAGACGGTCGGGTGATGAAGAAGACATTGCCGGCACGGTCCTCTATCTTGTCAGCCGTGCAGGAGTAAGTCGCCTCATATCTGACGGTTGCATTGCCCAAGCAAAAGGGATATTAACATGCTATGAAAGGCCTATGTTGATGGAATTTCTCTCTGTGTGGATGGAGGACGAGTGCTCTTTGCCAATGGCCAAGAATGACGATGTCCATTATACGTGGAGGAGACGACTGGACGTGGAGGACGAACTCATAACCGGGAATACACCTTCAATCTTCTAGATACATAGAAAATTTGCCAATATTAAAGATCTCACAGAACAAATACCCCCATCATGCTACTTCTAGGTCTATCCATTCCCCTTGTCTTTGAGTTTAATAACTCCAGGGTGCTAGGGCTTGGACAATCCTATTCAATCTACGCACTTGGCCTCGGAATAATACCATCTGAAAGCTGGAATCAACTTGGTCAGATGAGCATGGAAATTCTAAGCTCGGTCATGCAGAGAGCACTGAGCCAATCGGTGGAGAAAGCGCATCAGCCTGCGTGTGCATTGCTTGTCGGAGCTTCCGATGGTAGCGATTGGGCGGTCGGTTCGTCATCTTATACTTTCCCATAGCTGCTTTACGAAGACACGGCCTAAACGACCCTGAAGAGTCCCCTAGCAACCAGATATCGCTGTAGCGATCAAGTCGTGCATCCATGTCTATCGTTGCAATCACTGAGGCCTCGTCGTAAGTATCATTGGATAGTCTACTCGTTACGTCGCTAATCAAATCCGGCAGCTCAAGTTTAAGTTCAGCCGACCTACATGAACTTGCAGTTCAATTGGGCATTGAGATCTCCAACAGTAAAGATTTGGATGATTATCTCTTGTTATTGAAGTCCTTTGAGGTAGTTTTGAAGAAAATCGAAGATGGGCAGGACTACGTCCATCCATCATTGAAGCCTCAAGCCGTATGTACTAGTCGGCAATTTTGGAGACCTGGTGCCCATGAGAACCCGTTCAATGCCTGGAGCCATCGGTGCGAACTTGTTTCCACCAACCCAAGCAGTGACGTCCTGAAAAATCGCACCATAGCCATCAAGGACAACATATCGGTTGGCGGGCTACCTACGACACTCGGGGCGCCTTCGACAGCACAATCGGCGAATCAGAAGCGTGAGCTGTCTGGCATTGATGCTACAGTGGTATCTCGAATTCTTGAAGCTGGTGCAGTAATCAAAGGCACGTCTACTTGCGAGTGTTTCTGCGCCTCTCCTTTGTCATTCACGTCAAATACGGGGCCGGTGCACAATCCACGGCTTCACGGGTTCACCGCTGGGGGGAGTAGTAGTGGTTCTTGTGTCCTTGTTGCTGCTCATCTTCTCGCTTCCGAATCTAATGAACACTGTGGTGAGACGGTGGAGCTAGCTATTGGCAGTGACCAAGCAGGCTCTGTCCGCATACCAGCTTCTTTCAATGGGATCTACGGACTCAAGCCCACTTTTGGCCTGATACCGTACACCGGGGCGGCTTCCATGTCTCCGATGATAGATCATATAGGTCCCTTGGCCTCTCGACTCGAAGACATTGCGATCTTGCTCGAAGTAATGGCGGGCTACGATGGGCTTGACTCCCGGATGAGCCCTGAGGCCCCTCTCCGAAACGGAGTGAAGCCGTATTCGAGGATCCTAGCAAACTTCCGGGGGCAATGCCAGTTGGAACCTAAAACGAAGCTAAAATGGAGCGTCGGCCTACTGAAAGAATCCTTTGAGATGGACGGGGTTACTCCCGAGGTTCGCAGAATAGTCCACGAAGCTGCAACACGATGCTTTACGGCCGCCGGCGTAACTGTTAAAGACATATCAGTTCCAATGCATCGAGACGGGCCAATTATTTGGACTGCATCAACGCGGCCATCCATGTCTGGTCCGCTCTGCCAGGGGAAGACACCTGGATATCTCTCATTTATACCTACGCATCTCAAACCTCAATGGCCGCCCTCCCAAGGCTTGTATGAGGCAATGACCAAACTGAACCCGGCTTTGGTTAACATTTGGTTCAGCGAGAAGTATACGGAGAAGTTCTCGACTCCGGCGGTACAGGTTAAAGCCCATCGAAAAGTTTTCGAGCTGCGGGACGCATATGACCGAGCACTCAACGAAGTTGACGTTCTCATCACCCCTTGCGCCCCGACAGTAGCCATGCCGCATCCCAAAGCAGCGGAGAGTGAGGACCAGTCAGCTTCTATCTTGGATCGACTCGCTACTGCGGTTGGAATTACGAGCAATACTTGTCCGTTCAACGTGACAGGCCATCCTGGGCTAAATGTCCCTTGTGGGTTCGCAAGTGTGCCGAATCATCCAGATATTCAACTTCCAGTCGGCATGCAATTAGTTGGGAGGAGATGGATGGATGAGCAACTGTTGCAGGTAGCGGCACTATTTGAAAAAGGAAAGGAACTTTGTTCATAGTAGATTTAGCTGTAATGACAGCTCACCGGGCTCTAATTCTAAACTAGATTATTTAGAAACTTTGGCAACATCTGGCTTCTACGTAGTAGGGAAAAAGACGGTCTGTGTCTTCAAATGAGCTGTGATGTACTACTCAATCAGCTAGAAATTCGCCGATTTCTCTATCCATCCATCTTGTGTCTTCTCCATTGATACCAAATCCTGCCAAATGACCCCAAACCGATGGTATGACCTTGAGAGTAGCACGAGGGATGTCGCTCGATTCTCTCTCGCTGGCCTCCCAGCGAAAGTATTGATCTGTCGAACATGGCATGAGTAGGACACGCGTCTTGATTCGTGACAGGGTCTCTTCCAACGACCGCTTAGCAGCTGTTTGGTCGACTTTTGTGATGTCCCCGCCTTGCCACATGCGTAGTTTTGCAAGCAAGTCGTCAGGATCCCAGCTGTCATAATTCAACCCAGCTACATGATGGTCCCAGTCATGGAAGCTTCGATAGCCCAAGGTCAAGTATAGTTCACGATCAAACCATTCGGCACTCGTCAACCAAGCCGAGTATGCTTTTCCAAAAGCGCGGAGGCCACGAATTGGTTTAGCAGAAGCCCCCGAGACGTGCCTTCTGTACGCTGGATAGTCGATTGAATTTTCGAGGGCAGTCTTGGGACCTTCCAAGAACTGATAGTTGTGACGACTTGTTCGAGCCGAGGCGCAAATAATGATAGCGTTTCGGACAAAGTCGGAGTGCATCACCGTCCAATAGTACGCACACTGTCCTCCCATGGAGAATCCCATGACGATATCGAGTGCTTGTATACCCAAGGCTTCTAAAAGCAGTCGCTGCGCTCGGACACAATCGCCATAGTCAATGGAAGTGGGAAATTCTATCGAATTAGAAGGGCTTGACGATTCGCCGTTTCCAAATAACGCGACAACAATGATCCTGTATGTATGGAGCGCACCATTCTCAAAGGTCAAGGTAGATTGAAGACGTCCTCTGAAGCTCGTGGTTATGAGCGCCGTTTTTTGAGAGCTCGGGTTGATGTCAAGATAGGCCAAGCGTGTCGTGGAGAGTGTCAAGCCATCTTGGAAGCGAAACCCAGCGATCTCGAAATAGTGGATGTCGGAGCTTATTGTGGTCGACATTTTTGATCTATTTTTGCTCTAAACAGTCCTTGAACTTGGATATGGAAGATCAAATTCGAGTCAACCACTGAAAGAGTGCGTCAAGCCAGTCAGTTATTATTGGAGGGACCCTTGGCTAGCATTTCGTTCGGCGCTCCCGACAGTTCCACTCTTATCCTGAGAGGTCCCAGCCTATGGCTAATTCATTTATTGATTTTTTTCTTCGTGAAGTTATGAGTTATTCAGAAACTTGCATTTGGACAGTAAGTAAGATTGACTTTGGTTGCAATTGTCAGGCGGGTTAGAAAATCGAAGTGGCGGTCGGGGTGCAATGGGATATCGCGAAATAGAAAGATCAACCAAGCAGAGTCACGAGACGATTAGAATACTAGTAAACAATCTAGACACGATTTATCTCCTACACAAATCATTTAATAGTAGTGACGTTTAAGAATAGGCAAAAAGATGCTGATAAGAAATTGTCTAAACACGATGACTCCCCCTCCCCGCAGTCAATGCCCTTTACTCAGACTTTACCAAGCAAAGTAAACATCCCTTTCCAAGTGCGAGAACTGAATGGTTTTAAATTTTAAACTAAGGTATTCTAATTCAGTCCTAGTTTTCATGTTGTGCATATTAAAGAAGGCTCAGAAAATAGTCCATATGCTTCTCTTCCCGCAGGCAATCCTTTTAGCCACTATGAGACAGATGAAGCTCGCTGCGTAACTTGCGATGGTAAATATAATCAGTGCCCAGTACTTACCACTAGCTCTTTGGAGAAGCTCGCCTCCTATTGGGGTAGCGGTGAAGGTGCTATGAGCAGTTAGCAGGTTGGTTTAAGGAGTGGTTGGAATAAGAACTCGAGACAAACCTCGCACTAACCACGACATAGGCCGTCGCATAGTAACGTCCATAGGCTTCGATTTTGCATAACTGCCCCACGCACACAGGTGCCAGACTTACAGTGCTACCACTGAAAAAACCGAACGCCAGGGCGAATATAATCATCAAAGACTGGCTTGACTCTGCTGGCAGCCAGAAACAGGCGTTACATACGCCGCACCCAAGGATGGCAAGAATCAAGATGTTGAATCTCCCAAACCTGTCTGCGAAAAACCCCGGGATCCAACGGCCAAATATGCCACCCGCATTTATGAGAGCCATCAGCATGTATGAGAAATTTGAAGATTGTTGATGGTCCAGAGCGTAGGAGGTGAGGTACGAAAAGGGAATAAAGAGTCCCCATTCTAGAAAAAACACACTCAGACTGGTAAATGTCAGCGCGCCATGACGGAAGACAGAAAATTTCGGACGAACAGAAGACAACATCAACGGCTTTTGGGGGAATCGAGGACGGATGAGGAGAACGGCGGAGGTAAACGTGATGGCGCAGACAAGGGCGGCCACCCGCACGGCCCAAACAAATCCAATGGTCGAGAAGAGTTTTTGCAGCATCAGGGGGAAAACGATCCCTCCGGCAGCGCCCCCAGATGAAGCAATTCCAGTGGCGAGACCACGTCGTTTGTGAAAGTAGTGGGCGACAATCGACATGGCCGGGCTAAAGACGAGGGAGAGACTGAAGCCTCCCAAAACACCAAAAACCAGCATAAAATGCCAGTATTCACTACATTGGCCCAATAGAACCAGGTAGAGCACTGTGGTAAAGCCCCCAACTCCAATGAGTTGGCGCGGGCCTGTCGCATCGAATATCGGCCCTACTTGGACTCCGAGTAGGAATGTCAGGCCAGTGTAAACACCAAAGATCCATCCAATGGCCGTAGAGCTTAGACCTTTGAGTTGGTTATGCGTCAGATATGCCTGGAATGTGCCGACGCTGTTCATAAAGGACATTGAGCCGAACAATGCCAACCAGCTTCCCGCTACAACTGCCCAAGCAATGCAACCACCTTCGGGATAAGTGATATCGCTTTCATCGTCACTTTGTTGATGTATCTTGGCCTCCTCATTTCTTGTCCTTATCGCATTTGCTTTCTCAGATTCTTCTAACTGATGCTTGGCCGCCAGGCGTAAATCGGCTTTGGTTTGTCTTGAAGTTCCCACTTCTATCCGGCCGGATGGGAGGTCTGTTAGAGGCTCGTTTGCCGATAAAGACATGTTTAGGATGATTGCAGAAAAAGAACATCCAATTCGTCAATATCGTCTGGTACTGATAGGGAGAACAGACCATTTTCAGGCCAGGTTCAAGTGATCAACGACATCAACACGAAACTAGAGCCTGACTCCAAAGCACGGTCTGCTTGATTCAAAATATCGGCTTAACAACCATAATCATGACCTAACACTAGCATCTGGCTTACGCCCGATGGCCCCTGGTCCCTAGTGGAGACCAAGCCATGAAAGATGAGTGGGATGTCGGACTGTCCGACACCTGTCAAGTGTGTGGGTGCACAATGCTCCACTCAAGTTTGAGGCAATATCAGACAACAGCCCGATTATGGATTGCCAGAGAGGGACCACAATGCGGACCCCCTCCAACTCGTCGGACTTGTCGCTTCTTGAGCTTCTTGACATCATGTAAGGAACTTGAACCTACAGGCAAGGAATGGTCAGACGCCGACTGTCATGTAGTTAAAAGAGTGATGGAATATGCGCCTGGAGTCTCGGTCGACACACGCACCCCAATTATAGCCTTACATCCAGAATTACATTCAATCTCAGCCCAAGAACCTTAATCAAGGATTAAGAACTATCCCTCATTTCTAAATGTCTCCCAACGGAGAGGCCTTTCTCATTAACCCTGACGCCCAAGAGGGTCTCACACGGTTCCCCCAAGCTCGGATCGCCTCAACATCCAGCAAGACAATCTACATCTCGGGCACAGCTTGCGTTCGACCGGACGGTACTTGGCCAGGGGTGGCGGAGAATCCAGACGGAACACACACGCTTGATATTCGAAAGCAGACCGCTGCGGTTCTAGATAATGTCGACAACATCATCAAAGGCGCGACAGGTGGGAAAGGGGGCATTCAAAACGTGATCGACTCGGTAGTGTATGTAGTCGACATAGATAGGGATTACACGGGAATGAACGAGGAGTGGAACAAGGTCTTCCTGGATCGCGCCAGTGCCCCCGCTCGGGCTACCATTGGGGTGAAGCAGCTGCCTGATCCCCGTATGATTGTGGAGGTCAAGGCGGTTGCCATTGTCGACTCTTAATAGGGGGAAGGGTCAACGTCTCGGACCATCTAGGTCCAAGAATGTCCCAACAAGTCCTAAACAAACCATGGGCCAAAGACAAATCGTCAAGGTGCTCCTTGGCTGACTGGGGAAGCTATCTTAGGGGCGGGGAAGCGGAGAAGGTCCACAGATAACTAGCTGTCATGTGTGGATTTGGAGAAAGATACGCGAAGCTCTATAAATATTTCATAGCCCCGGCTTCGGGGATCGTGAAAATCTCTTGCGGAGTCATTGAGTATGCGACCGGATCCTTGTCTGCGCTGTGTGTGATCATCATGTCTAACACAGCATCTCCCACAAATGCGGCGAGAGCCAAGGCATCATGCTCGCGATGCCATAGGAGAAAGAAGCGATGCGATAGGGAACTACCCGCCTGTAAAAATTGCCGATCTGCACGAGTCAAATGCAGCTTGACCGACGATAATTCCCAAACTGCATCCTACTCTGTCGCGTACGTCTCTGGTACTCTCGCTTTCCACTTTGCTTGTGAAACATTCGGGAGGCATTCAGAATGCATACTCAAGGAACTTATGTCTTCTTAGATATGTCCGTGGCCTAGAAAGACGCCTTCAAGAGCTGCGCAGTAATCTCGTGCCAGAACCGCAAATGTCGCCACCAGTTGAGGACTGTTTGATAGACACGGGTAACGATCAATCCTTTTCAGACTCGGCTGTGGCCGATATCATGGGCCCAAATCCGGCGTGCGAAGGACAAAGGCCAGAATATTTCCTCGATCCACTTCCTCCAAAGGACTTGCCGATCGAACCCCGTCTTCAAGAGTCGGAAGTGCATATTGAGCCCCTTGCTCCAGAGCCGTCCCCCACCTTTGACCAGGAACTCAAAAGCGTCTCGTTCAGTGTTGCCGCAGAACGTCATTTGGGGTCAACATCCGGCCTGTCCTTTGCCAAACTTACGCAGATGGTGCTTCGCCGCTTGACCCCCGATAGGGCGGATTTCGTCTTCGACAACCCTCAGCGTAGCTTCAACAGTGATCAACTTTTCGACTTTGACTCTTCGCTAGACTTTTTCAACTCACATGTCTTCGAAACGCTGAGCGAGTCCATCCCCAGCCATCCTACTCTCTTCGGCGACATCTTATTAGCGGACACCATAGAACCGACAGATGCGGTTTCCGGACTCAGTTTGCCGACGAATGAAGTGTACTCCAAGCGTTTGGTAGACTTTTATTTTGCTCATTCGCATACTTTGTATCCAATACTCGTGAAAAGCGACTTTATGCAAACATTGCAGCAGGTCCGGGACAACCCTTTGGATCCAGCGGCGCAATGCCCTTTGGCCCTCTTCCGAGTCTGGATGGTATTCGCCATTGGGTCAACGGCGTACTCTTCGGTTACCTTGATGGAAGAATCGGAATCTCGAATATATTATAGCAAAGCACTTGAGTATTTTGAACGGGCGATGGCACTTGGTGAAATGGTTCGTTCAACCTCAAATACCAGATGTTTTTCACAGTACTAACTCAGATCCAGGCCGCCCTAGAAGTAATCATGTTGCAAATCTCATACTCATTCTTTAACCAGCTTGGCCCAAGTGAGTCCAAGATCTAAGTGCAACATATTAATTATGCCCTAATTGAGAAGTAGATACTTGGTTTCTCGTCGGCATGGCAGCTCGCTTGGCCGTTGGGATCGGGTTACATATCGAATCAACATATGCGAGCTGGCCCATTAACATTCAGCAGCACCGCAAACGGATCTTCTTTTCCATCTACATGATGGATCGGTGAGTTTTTGTTTGCTCTAAATGTCTAATTCAGACCATCACTAACGAAATTTGGTTTGATAGCGTCGTCTCACTCGCATTAGGTCGCCCATTCGCTTTACATGATGACGACATTGACGTTTCGGTAATGAAGATTCCAAGAGACACCCAAAATCGAAAATAACCAAGCTGATCAAGTTGAGCTATAGCCTTTCACAGAAGCTAGCGAAGATGACATCCACGCTGACGGCATCCGATCCCAAGTCTCACTTACTCCATCCATCATCTCTGTGCCGCTCCATATCCTAGCCCTGCGAACAATCGCCGGGAAAATTGCTAAACAGGTTTATTCCAATCGACGTGCCCTTTCTCTGACTGTAGAAGAGCGTGAGGAGATCTTACATTCGCTACATAAAGAGCTCATTGATTGGCGGCGTAATATGCCATTCCCACTTCCCGACATCAGCGACCGAGTGCCACACTTCAGTACCAACTGGTATGATTTCAACTATTACACCCATGTGGCTATGCTCTATAGACCGTCGCCTCTGTTTCCCGTCGTTGACGAGAGAAAGATCAAGATCCTTGAAGAGGCATCATCCATGTCCCTTCGTCAAGCGTTTAATATGCATCAGCAGCAACGGCTTGCGTACAACTGGCTTAATCTTCTGGCGCTATTCACCTCAACCCTGTCGCTCATATATGCTATCACGGTTCAGCCCACTGATCTCGCTACAGCTTTGAAAGAGACGAGGGCAGTTGATGACCTTGATCTGTCTATTGAGCTCTTCGACACATTGGGAATCAAATTTTTAGCGGCAAAGAAAATCCGAGGGATGATTGCAGAGGTATCAAGAAGATACAAAGACCTACGGACGTCGTTGTAGTTTTTCTATTCGCGTAATTAGTATGATTGTATCGATTGATATTATCACTTATTAACAACAATGAAATTAGACCGAAGAGTTATAGTATCTGGAAAAACAACTACAACGTCCATAATGGCATCGCAAGGCGATGAGTCCTTGTAGAGTCAAGCTCTCTCCGCCGGCCTTTGGGTTTATGGGGCTCCTTTCACTGAACGGGCTATCCGGCGGGCTGTATGGCCTGATTCATATATCTGCATAATTGCGAGGACTAAAATTGTGCCTTGATTGAACTCGGGCCATTATTAAACCTAATTATGAATTATGATAATGCGTAGCACGGTTTAAGGAATTTGACGCGTTTTGACGCGTTGTTATTATGTCGTTATTATGTGGAGCCTCAAGCGAAACGTTTGTTTCTCCACTGTAGCTGAAAAGGCGTTAGTGTAGACGCCCTCCAAGACTCGCCTTTTGAATTGGTAATGGTGAGCTTCGTAGTCTCATGACATAGGTATTGAGCTGAGTCTGCAACAAATGCTGTATTTTCCTTCCTACGTAGAAATGGTAGGGATCTATATATTGCAAGCACATCCATAATCCTATTTTATCAATTGCTGCTCTCAAATAATTTACAGCGGCAAGATTACAAAATTCTCAGATGAAGATATCATCTCCGGACTGTACGACTCACGGTCAATAACATCGCAATCCATGAGTTCTCATTGAATACCTTTCGAAGAACTTTTAATTGAAGAAATTCACGGCCTACGGTTAACCTTTAAGATTTTTTCTGAGTATCATTAAGTTGGAAGGAATGCCCAATGGCAAATGGAAGAAATTGTTGTTGACGTTGGGGGATGGTTATGAGCCTATAGGGTAGGTGTGCCGGAAACTGACTGCAGAGCCTGGAGCGTTGATTGGGTGCGATAAGTAACCTGGCACTTCGACCTAAAAGAGCTTAGCGCGTTTGTCCAACCTGGGAACCTGAGTCTACTCCGTAATATCTCCGCGATCATTCTCTGAGGGCACTCATCACTGTGGCTGGCTAGGCCGAGGGGTGGCCACCCGAGGTGTGCTCCACTATCATTGAGATGTTTAGCCAATCAGAGGTACGTAAGATGGAGCATCGGTGTGGTCGCTTAGATCACTCGACATGTGCTCCGCCAAGGCTGGCTCTGATTGGCTAGTTATTCTTCGAAAGGTGGAGCACACCTCGACTCATCTCTCAACGCGTCACATCTCCTTCTTGATTCAAGTGGAGCACACCTCGAGTGATCTAGGCGACCACACCTCGAGTGAGGAGTGCCTCACTCTCCACTACTGGTCAGTAGACGGGGTTTGGTGACCGGCGTTTCGATATCTACGGAATTTGGGGCGAGGCGAGGCGTATCTTGAATGTCACGTGCTATCTTCGTCAACGGAAATATGTCTCGCTGAGAGGGAGTGATCTCAAGATTGGTGTGCAATCACACGCTTGACGGCATCACTTCTATTCTGTGCTTGTTACTACATATTGCCGGCAGCTCATGTGCCCACTTCCTCTATATTCCTGCTTGTCGGATAGAACCAGGCCATCACCCTCAATTTTCTTAGTCTTGGCTTGCTAAGATTTCGCAAAAGCGGCAGGCAGTATTATTCTTCCGTGTTACTTAATAGAGTTCTTTGACTCATACAAGTCCCAGCAGATATCATGTTCCAACAATATCCCAGCACCGATTCTCACAACGGTGTTGGGATCCGCGCCAGATTTCACCATCAACACGTAGCAAGGCAAAAGGTGATCCCCATTGTCTTCTTGCGTTTACCCAAGACAACGCAACGCAAATCCTGTAATGCGCATCCTACCCCTGCGACATCGAAACTAATATTAGCTAGCACCTGGTCGAGGCTGGACCTGGTCGTCAATGGTCTCACTTTGCTGACTTCAAGCGCTGGCATTCTGGTTTCACTAGTTGCTTCCCAATATCGCTTGTTGCTACTTTGAGTGAGCGATGCAAAAGGCGAGATGTATTCATTGGTCCAGTCGACCTCGTTGAACCCGACCTCAACGTACGTGATGGTCCCGCTGTAGGCCATCCACGACCACGAGGACAGGCTTCTCCCTGATGGAAACTGAATCCGCTCTAGGTATTTTGCCTCATCTCTTTTCCAGAGTAATCTGCGTTCCAAGTATGCTTCGAGGATACCATATCCCCCGCGTGTATCGTATGCGGATGTGAGCCGCCTTTCCAACCCAGAAATACCAACAGAGTGATCTTGGGAAAACTTGAATCTTAGTGTTGAATATTGCTTATACAAGTTTTGCATGATAACGATCTTCACCGTCTTGTTGAATGATTCGGCCGATCTCGGGAAATTAGAGTCGCCGAGTAACGTCGCCTTGCCACTGCCCTAGTGTGTTAGTCCTCATATAAGATACTCATGATGTAGTAGGTGTAGTTACTTGTTACCTTTTATCAAGCTCTCGCAGTGTATTCCGTTTCCACATTCAAAATATGCTTGGTTTTTCGTAAAATGAATTATCCGCCGAGCGAGCGCTCTCTCTTGGAGGACCCAGCCTCTTGAGTTGAGAATCGAGCGTTCCACATCTGTGTGGAAGTCATCTTTGTCTTTGCAAACATAGACTATTTTACGCCTTGGAGACTTGACTGAGACATAGGGCCGCTTCTCACGCGAGTTTTTGAGGAACCCCTCAATTGAAGAATTCGAGGAGGAAGCGGCGAGGACGCAGGAGGCATTGCTATACATCTGCTCCATTCGCACAGCTTCCCGTTTCCAGTCGTCGCTGTCCATTTGAACTATGCACAGTAAATCAATCCACAGGTATCGTACGCCCATTGCTTTGGCTATCTCGATGGCTTCTTGGAAGTTCCCTGGAAGTTCGCCTAGATTGATTCCATTGAACCGATGTTTTACATTGCTTGGCAGCGTGCAGCCGAATTGATGTTCATGCTTATCACCCCAACGATGACTTAGAGCGAAGAAAATCGGAGACTGCATATCCTTTCCATGGATGAGGCGTATGTTGTCTCCAATTCCACCCCTTACATCAATGAAACGAGTTGGGGGTCGACTAAGTGGCTCGTAGTTGATATGTTGTTGGGAATATTGGCCATCATAAATTGCATACCTGGACTGGTACTTGAATAATTGTGAGACTCTTCGCATGTCCAAATCCATTCCTTGAACAGTTCGATTTGGTGAATACTTCCATCGTCAGGTAAGTTGGGGGTCCCCAGTTGGATATCAGAGGTTGGCTAGCCTCCCAATTGAACCACTCTACCGCGGTTGCTCTCATCGCCGCAGAAGTTCCAAAGATTTCCACCTTCGGCCCATGGGAAGAGAAAATACCCTGACTTGACGGCCAACTTCAAGCTTGCGATGGACTTAACAAGGTGAGGATTGTCTATATTCCTGATCTTCTCCAGGGCCTTCTTTTCCCTTTCATAGTTTTCCAAACAAACAAGCAGATCTTTGAGAGCGGCCTTTGGTGAGCTCGGCTGGCCATACTTGAAACTCGTAGTTAGATCATGACCGCCATGCAGAAGTAATAAGCATAGATTAGGAGGCCTACCGTTGTGGTCACGCGTTGGTGGGACACATCCACGTGTACCTCGAGTACGGTGCTGAAACCACCTACTTTTGGCTGAGGGTTGGGTTCCATCGGTAGAAACGGGAGGGGAGTATTTGAGTGCAATTCATGATGAAATCAATCCTCTGTAAAGACAGGCGCAAGAAACAACCATTACTTTCTTTCGAACGCGCTTCTCATCAATAGATTTCAGTCGTGGGGGACAGGGAAATCTTTCTTCTCCCCCTCGTATACGCCAAGTTTCCGTGTAAATCCCTTGGTGTTAGGTTTGCGGATAATGGTGACAGGGAGGTAGTCATCGTTAAGCCCGAGATTCTTCATTGCCGGAAGACAGTGTAGTGCCCGGCAAAGGGCGAGCAAAAGCAGTAGTTTTCTGGCGGGCGACTGTAAAACGTATGAAACCAGATCGGGGACTAAGGGCAGTTCATATCGCGAGCCAAGGATGCTCTTGACTACCTTCAGTCGACCACCGACTGGATAATGCAGGAGCCTGAGGTCATCCTATCCACATGTCCTGAACCCACATCGTAGAGTCAAACTGGGTGGTCACAGTGATGTTAGAAGTTCAACAATTTCAAAACCGAAGAGATTGACTTTCCAGTGGTCAATGATCAGATGGTCTCTGACAACCAGGAATTCGAAAAGGGGATGCCGAGAACCAGCCTGGAATCAGCAGCGGCGGATATTGATATAGACACTCCCGATACGAAATTCGAGCCAGACTGGGGCAACGAAGATAGCGAATGGAGAATCACGATGTCAAACTTGGAGGCAATGATCAGGGATTTGGAACAACGGAAAGGTGCGCAAGTTGAATGCGGGAAGAGGAACCTGGAGGTGTCAATTCTTCCTTGAATGGCATCCTACACTCTCGCTGCAACTTGTTGAGCCGTGGCTCTGTTTTACAGTTGATTGCGAATCTCTTTCAGTGTATATATGCAATCATGACGCTCACTTATATTAACTTGTAACATGTTGCCAAAATTATTTCTTTAAGGTGTTGAGGGAGATTGCCTGTGATTTGTCTCAGTAAAACGCCGGGGCTCCTATATTCCAGTCATTTATATTTTCTCCCAAAAACACCAACAACCAGCCCTCAAAATCGATCCCAAGTGTTTTCTTATTTTCCTTCGAAAGCGATTTTCCGTCCTGGTGCATATACCCCTGTTTTGGAATCCCAAGCGCGACTTGTCTTAGTCGAGCGTCGTCACTTTCGATACCAGAGACTCTCCCGCACGCCCATTCTGCGCACGACGTTGATTCCCTTTATTAATGTCTAATTCCAGGTTAGCCCAGCTCTTGTCTGGCCCTACACTATGTGCAGCGAGGCATTTTCCATATCTCCGCGGACTCTCTTCCCAATCACGCCTTCGAAAATGCGGAGTCCGGGTCTTAAGCTGTTTTGGTGAGCTGCGCCCGTGCATTACTGGGAGAGGCAAGGATTTGGTGGTAGAGAACAGATTGGACGTGACGGCTTTCCCTTCGCCATTGCTTGATTGGTTACAAATTCGGCACGAGGGGCTCCCGCATTTAATAAGGTGGGGCCTGGCTGGGACTGTTTCGCGGTCCTTCAATTTCTTTCTAATCTTGTCTTGCCTTGCTTGCTACCACATTCTGTCCTTGAGCAGGCTCTTGGCTAGGAGAAGTCGCACCGAAGCCTGCCGAAAGAATGCCTCGAAACCTCACCTCAAGAGCTTGCGAGAACTGCAAGAAAAGAAAAAGAAAGGTGGGCCACCACACTCAATTCGTTCCTGTCACGGAACCTGGCAAAAGCTGCGATACAGGTTGACTGACTTTGCGTCTTCTGGCCAACCCAACCTCAATCAGTGTGATCAGAATTGGCCGACTTGTACCGCATGTGAGCGGAATTCCATAATCTGCTCAGGACCCTCCTCTCTCGTCAAGTTTGTCAACCATGGCGATGATCGAAACAAGTCGGGCATGTCATTGGAGACACAGCCGCGACAGAAACCTGCCGACCCCAACAAACCTGTGGCGATGATAGAGCGCAAGCCTTGGATCCGCCTCGGGGAAGATGGCGCATCTCAGGCTGTTTTCCGGCTCCAAGGCTTGCGGATTCCAGCTACCACCGTTGCAGAGCGCGTATCCCGCCGGCTGTTTGCTCTTCTGGAGGACGGGCATGAGACTGTCACAGTAATGAAGATGAGCTACCTGCCTCATACCCCCCAGCGGATAGCGCACAGCGCATGCCTTCGCGACTGCGCCGCGTTCTTCTGTTCCGCCTGGGCTGATTATCGACGGCGGGAGCCGGCCGAGAATCTGCTTGCGCCACGTCTCTGCGTCAAGGCGGTGAAAAGTCTGCAGCAGGGTTTGAACCATGGCAAGGGATATACGCCAGAGACACTGGCCGCAATGAATATGCTGGAGCGTGCCGTTTCATTATTTGGAGTTGGCAAGGCGCCTAATCTGGAATTGCACTTACGTGGGATTCGACATGTGCTTATGGAAAATCCTGCGCCGGATATCCTGGATCCCTTTGACCTTGGCGCGGCTTTTGAAAGTGTTTGCATTCTAGTCAGTACATCCTGATATCTTATAATTTGTGATAAATATGGGTTGAGTGAGCTAACGTGAGAACTACTAGCAATCGGCCGGCGTAAACGGCCTGGGTGATGATGGGGAGTTGAAGTCTCCCTGGAGAGAGGTTCTACACCACGCGAGCCAAGAGCATTTGAACAAGAACCAAAATAAAGACCTGAAACAAGCGGTCCTGGAGTTCTATGGCATCTTCGCTAATTTCTCTCAGTGGCTTGGGGATGTGAGGAAAATCTGGGCTAATCCGGAGGAGAATCGGCAACTCGCTAAACAAACCATTCAAAGCGTATCCGAGGGAGAGAACAAGATGGACACAGTCGTTCTGCCTATAATCGAAAACCTATCGTGTACTGGCGCCATCGTTCAGGTTCCCGACCCCCGGTCACGTTTCGGTTGGAAGCTGAATTTCAGCTCCGTCGGTCTAGCGCAAAAGTTTATTGAGATGCAGAGCTGTCGCATGATATTGTTACGGATTCTCTGGGACATTGGTGTGTGGTATGGTGAGCCCGATCAGGATATATACAACAAGTATCGAGCGGTAGCCCTCAAGTTGTGGACGACTGTTCCCTATGTCTTGACAACTGAACCAATTGAGGCTATGGACCTGTTCGAGAAGCTCATGTCTTCTCTAGAAGCCGCAGACGATGAAGAGATGGAATACCTTCTCGATCAGCTCCTGATAGCGGATAACTACCAGAGGAGATATCCGAGGGACAAAACGGTGCTAAAGCAGATAGCACTCACAGCTGCTAGACAGGTCACAGGTCGCATATGAATCGAGCAAGAAATACTTCAATAGGAAGGAGTTAGAGAGCCAAACGGCTCGTAAATTAAGAGAAAATTACTCGGATGGTGGCTATGATTCTTGTCGGGGTTCTGAAGGTCAGATTCCCAGACAAGACTTTTGACAGGCTTATTTGCGAAATAGCACGTGTGCTAAAAAGAAGAAGTTATATGGAGGGGATTTTGGTCAATTCACTTTTCCTTCCATTCCCCCTTTTTTTGTCGCTTAAAGTATGTGTTTGGCAAAGTTGGCTCGGACAAGAGTGATTACATTAGCCTCCTTTTATTGCCATTTAAATGCACATTAATCCGAGACAGTCTAAATACTGATCACTTAGCTGTTTAGTGTTGCAGATTCCGATGCTGGCTTAGCTTAGCACTGTCCTTTTTTTTTTTTTTTTTTTTTTTGCAAAGTTAGAACCCCCTTATCGTTATTAGCTCAAGTCTACAAGAGATGACCAAGATGCAAGTACGTCTGAGACTGGGTCTGGAGAAATACATCGATAATAAGTATGTTAAAAAGAACAAAACCAAAATATTTCCCTATTTCAATACTGAGTTAGATTTTGCGGGCTAAAGGCGCCAATAGCAACGTGTGGAACTGATGGAATACGGGTGCCGGGATGAGCTCTCTAGATTAACGATGCACTCAAGTCAAAGCGAAAGCGAGTTTTGGACCTGACTAATGTATTGATAAACCTGAGGTGGCGAACAGCGTTCGCTGTTAAAGGCCTTTTGCTTGTTTAGCACTTTTCTTATCTAACTTGTCCCTTCCTGTCCTCCTTCCTATTAAGCTATAGGCTATCGCATCATGGGGTAAGCAACTTCAAAGGTGCCTTGTGAGAGCTGCCTCACTGATACTACTGTAACATGGCGGGGTAAGCGAGCTTCAAAGGTGCCATGCCGATACCACTGTGACATCGCGGAGCGGTTGTTCTTTGAAGTGCCGTTTAAGGATTGCCAAGCTGGTACTACTGTCAAATCACGGGGTGAACATTTCTGAGGTGCCTCTTAGGGATTGCCAAGCTGATACTATGAAACCTCACAAAGATATCATGAGTTGGCCGGTTTGTGAAATGCCTTTTCAGGACTGCCAAGCTGGTGCTTTGAAATCTCACAGTGATATGAAGATGCGGATTAGGAAGGAGGAGTTGAGTGAAGCATCGTGATATGTGGACTTGGGTTCAAGAGAACGATATCAACAGCGTGATGCCGATCAGAACCATATAGTCAGGATAAGTATAAATGAGGGTGTATATCCTCATCCCATCCAGCAGTTCAACCCAGTATTCTACTCCCGTCTTCATTGCTCTATAGCATCTACAACATCGACACCTCTATATATTACATCCTGTCTTTGGAACGTTAGAAATGGAGCTCACTAGGTTCCTTGCTGCCCTGGCAGTCATCCTGCCCCTTGCCTACAGTGCCCCCACTGAGGCCGTGACAAGGCTGCACCCTGAGATCCTAGCTGCCATGAAGCGGGACTTGGGCCTGAACACCGAGCAGGCTACTGCTCGTGTTGCCCGGGAGATCCAGGCGACTGATGTCATTGACCAGCTGCGCAACTCCGTGGGTGCTCAGTTCGCCGGTGCTTGGGTTTCCAACGATGGAAACACCATCAATGTCGGTGTCACTGACGAATCCTTGACTGCTGAAGTGACTGCTGCTGGTGCCACTCCTGTCGTCTTGGCCAACAGCTTCACCAAGCTTGAAGAGGCCAAGTTGGCGCTTGACAACATCGATATTGACCAGGCGAGTGCTCTCGACACAACCTCATCCGGGTCGGGCATTGCCTCGTACTACGTTGATGTTGTGGCCAACAAGCTCATCCTGGAGGCACTGGCAGACAGTACCGCCCGTGCCGAGGAGCTGGCCGCACAGGTCGGACTCACTGCCTCTGAGTTCGAAGTGCGCGTGGTTGATTCCCTGCCTACAACTTTCGCCACGGTCCAGGGCGGCGACGCCTACTACATCAACCGAAGCGCTCGCTGCTCTATTGGCTTTTCCGTCACAACCGGCTTTGTTTCGGCTGGTCACTGCGGCAGTGTAGGTGCTTCTGCCACCAACTCTGCTGGTGCGGCCCTTGGAACCTTCTCTGGTTCCGTCTTCCCAGGCAGCGCCGACATGAGCTTCGTCCGCACTGTCAGTGGAACCACCCTCACGGGTTATATCAACAACTACAGCGGCGGTAGACTCCCTGTCTCTGGCAGCACCGCGTCTGCGGTTGGCGCCAGCATCTGCCGCTCCGGCTCTACCACTGGTGTCCACTGCGGCACCGTCCGCGCCCTCGGTGTTACTGTCAGCTACTCCCAAGGACGTGTCACCGGACTCACCCAGACCAGCGTTTGCGCCGAGCCCGGTGACTCCGGCGGTTCCTTCTACTCCGGCGCGCAGGCCCAGGGTGTCACCTCAGGAGGTTCCGGCGACTGCACTTCAGGTGGTACAACCTTTTTCCAGCCAGTCAACGAGATCCTGTCCACCTACGGTCTCACACTGGTCCGAGCATAAATAAGCAGCTAGTTAACTCGATGGTTGGTACCGCTTGACGTACCCAAGTAAAGCTTGAAAGTATTAATACTTTACATTTTGGCAATGATTTGTAAAGGGACACTAGTGTACTCAGAGCTAGTAAATGATACTTTTTTTCTATGACTACTTTGTCTCTTCATACGTGATATTAGTAATTGAGAGAGTTATGAAATTTATGTAGCAGCTGCGGGAGGAGAAGAAGGGGGTGGAGATACCCAAATACCAAGAAATCGACGAGTTGATGCTATACCCAGCGTGACACCACAGTCAACACATCAAAGCTTAGTCTTCTTGCCCGGTCTTTTATGGGGCAACACGTGATGTTAACTATCGCACAGGCCTTGCACTTAAAGATATTCTCTATTGAACCCAGCTGTGAGATAGAGAGTAGGAGCTGTCTTTTGGAAAGCCCTATGAAGGCTAACATGGGTTATCTCTCACGTCCGGAATTTAGGCTTGTATGAGGATAGCACGTTTCTATCCATTTTCTTGCGAGATGTGGTCCTTACCTTGGGGTCTTGGCCATTTCAGGTCTATGGATTGACTTATACGCAAGAGAAAGAGAGAAAAAGTCAACAGCAATGGAAGCTGCCAGGGCCCGACAACTCAACATGATGAATATGGATTGACTTATTTTCTGTTGAATTCTTGATTGAAGGAGGGACTTACAGTTTTTCGGGCCTGGTCTGGCCGTCTCGGACATATTGCTCCTTGGAAAGACGCGGAACGCAAGTTCTATTACCGGCGGTTGCGAATGTCACTCCGAGGGTAACAAGATGTTACGGTTACATTGCGACCCTGGAAGGTGAAATTACGCTACTTGCCCCTGGAACTGATCTAGAACACTCAACAAATTTCCCGTAACCAACGCATTAGATAGACGATTATCGAAACCTTCTACATTCATTACTTCTACATTCACTAGGCTTTCCCTTTCCCTTTTTCTATTCCTTTCCCTTTCCCTTTCCTCATTTTTTGTTCTTTCAAGAACATGAAGAATGATACGGCTTTTAGTAGGCTTAGTCTGAGTCATGCCAGTCGTGAGGGATGTGGGGGTGGATATGTGATTGGGCTGAGCCCCATCACGTACATAATCCTCCTTCTTAATCGGCCAAATCGCTCGTAGATCGACTGCAAGGACGCACGTACATCCAAATCGAGAAGTCTGCCACCCCCTATCAGTCCCAGGGGCTAGAAGTCTGTTGGGATTCGGAGCTCGGTGATAAGCAGTTCCAGCAGGTCCGAAAAGGATACATCCATGCCACCAACATTCGAGGCACGGGAAAATGAAGCTTGCGAAGATATGTACGCGCCCACCACATCATTAGGAGGCTTGGCGGCATTCTATGATACATGCCTCATAAGGCTAGGAGAGCCAAGCGTTTGATGTTACTCTCGTAGTCGGCCTTTTCTTAAAGAAGACTTAAACATGCCCTTTGATCGAGGGTGGTCTGACTCTTCCTATGCCAAGCGTTCTGTGTTGGCACCACCGAGGAATGTAGGTATTTATGGTTAGCAGATGACAGACATTGCAATTTCGCTGAAGTTGCTCGTAAAATACTTTCTCCTGATTTACGAAACTACGCAAGCATGTCATGAGGCATCTCTAACATATAGGAGATATAATTAAACAAATTCTACATGGCATGGATTAAGTTATCTAACAGTATAAACCCTGAGCTTGACCCCTCGATCTTGGAGCAATCCTAACAATGGTATTCAAAGGATGGCAGATAGCTCAGTGGCTTAAAGGATACATGGGATTAGAGAGATAATTTTATGTTAGCTTGGTCCGTTTAGAGAAATTTATCAAGAAGGGCGTGTTTATCTTCCCTTTCCTCGACATGTAAGTGGCTTCATTGAACATAGACAAGGCATTGCGGATTTTGGCTCCATCCGGCAAAGCTTCACATTGCCGTGGCTTTCCTCGCTTCTCTGCAAGAACTCTTCCTTCTTTTCTTACGAAGGAACACCAGCTACAGCGTAGAATTATTTGTTGACCAGAAATCTCATTATTTATGGAGATCAGCTTTAGCTATCTATAAGCGGTTGTCTAGATATAGCTCAATGAACTAGTCCCTAGAATCAAGGATGGTTGATAGCTAGAGCCTTAGCCTAATAGTCTAATCAAAACCCTTCGAACCTTGCGTTTCTAGTAAACCTGGCCAGCTTCCCATTGTGGAGTTATTTTTGTAAGATTATGACCATGTGTTCATCAAGCCGCCCTTAAGTTTAGATCCCTTGTGCTCACATATGTGAGGTGTGGTTGATTTAAGTGTGTAAATGATGAACGAATAGTGGTCTCGACCATGATAACTGGTGCTGGCGACGGCGTGCGTAGTCTTACTAGCTTGTGCTCTTGTGGCAACGACACTTGTGGTTTTGAAAACTGGGTGTTCTGTTAGCGATGGTAGCGATAATATGAGTAGTATAAATCTAGACTAATTGAATGCTAGAAAGAAGCACACTCAAGTTGGGTGAGTTGATTATCTATATGAACCACTAATTAAGCTGAAGGCGGCTTCAAAATAACGAGAAGGAGAGAATCTGGTGTTTAGTTAGAGGGTTCGTGTATGCTACTTCTATAGAGAGTAGGTCCACACAGCAGAGGGGGAAGAAATGTGTAAGGTATCTTGAATCCCTTCTGCCTTAGACCGCTCGTAACCAAAATCAAGTATATGATGTTTTCTAATGAAATTTCCATCGCATGAAAGGGCATAATGTGAGGCTTTATGGGTTAATACGTAGGCATATTATTCACCCTTTGCATCCTTTGCGTGACCGAATATGTCTGAATTTGGAGCGCAAATGAAAACAGGTATATAAATATTAATTATCCAGCAGATAAGCTGTCTCGAGATTTACCACGTTGTAAATCGCCATTCAAACCTACGTTCTCTCAAGAAAGAGAAGCATTGACCCCTAGAGATCCAAGAAGCATTCCAAACACGCCCCTCTGTGGCAGCAGAAATCTTGAAATGGTCCTCGATTCGTTTGTCATCAATGTAACTGGACACCGTCAACAACGATTTGATGCTGCTTGAACCTCTGAGAGGGTACCTTGTTTGGGAAGTCCGTCAAGGCCTTCCAGAGTCCGAAAACCGGTCTCAGGCACAACTAAGCAAGTTTGAATGATCACGTCACAACGCCCTTCTGTCCATGAGATTCTCAAGCATTCAATAGTTTTCTGCTAGAGTTTGTGGCTAGATAAAGAGTCACTCATAAATAACATTCTATCTCCCCAATACCCAATTTTGTGCTCTCTCATTCTGCGTACGCTCTTGTGCCTATATACCTTTAATTGTAACTGCTGTTTTTTTCTCATCGTTTTGCAAGGCAATCGTGTGCCTCCATAGCATAATTTGTCCCACTGTTCCTTTTGAAGAAATGCATTTTGCGATGAAATCGCGAAGATTAAACATTGAAAGTATCGGACATCAATGGATAGGCGTGAAACTGCAGCCTCGTAAATTGCATTCAGAAATCAACGCTGTGAGAGAAGGCACCATTTTTTTTTATCTACGGAAACCAGCCTATCCACAGTCTTCTGCGACCATCTGGCTGATCAGTACGAAAAAGCCTTCAGATATCGCAATCGCATAAAGAAGGATCACGCTTGTTCCATGAAGAAGTAAAAAGCCTCCAGATGGCCTGATGATTAATGTAATATTTTCTATGATAAAAATGATTTATGCTTTCATTCTTTATACTCAGTGGTCGGTGGCATGCAAATCCTGGGTTCGATTGGGTCTCGCTTCAGACCAACGGTTTTCATTACGCGCTCAGCCCATGCAGCCCCCCTGGAATAGTACACAAGCACTCATTAAGTAGACGCCCAGAGGGTGGCCCCTCCGAATAAGCCTAAGGCGAAGAGTGAAAGGCATGCTAAACATCTTAAAGAGATTGAGTGAATCATTAACAAAGGTGCAGATGATCGAGCGTTGTTTGCAAAATGAGGTTGCTTAATAAGCTCTACATAGGTGCGAGTAAGGGGCAGAAGTCCGGCAGCGGTTTTAGCCAAGCAATCGGTCAGGGGTTAAGACTAAAGGTAAAGCAAAGACAGAGAGTACTTCTCACATTATAAGACCTACCACGGTTCGCGGCCAGTCGGAGTCGCCTAGGACTGGACAATGCCCCAGCAGAGCGTTCTGGCCTATGACTTGCATTATACCCTTCCCTGCACCTCGGTGACTGCTGCTGACTGGCTGAATGAGCCTGTGCTGTGACACTCATGCACGGTTGGCGGTTGCAGATGTGACGCTTAGCGCTTGGTCCAACTGAAACGAAGCGATACGGCGAACCAGCCTTCAAGCCCACTCAATTGGATCCATCCCATGCCGCTCGTACGATTTACCGGACGAGTCTCGCGATCAGGAAAGGGAGATACATGACGGCTGTCTCGCATCCATTGAACGGGATCATCTACCGCTCGATCAATTGAGGAGATGAATTCATAAGTGTCGCATCTCCCTCCTCTTTCGCACTTCCACCTTCAACAATGATATTTTAAAACTCTGGTAGTTTTTTTCTTTCCTTCTATTTAAGTCATTCCCTTCGTTTCATACTTGAGCTGGTGTCTCATTATCAATTGCCCGTGGCTGGACCCCAATCGAGGCTATCATATTGTCCTTTACCCAAGAATCTCAGTCATTACAGATTCTTCCAAGTTTCACGGCCTAATCCCAATGCCAGGTAAGATCACATTAACCAAAAAAAAATATGTATAAATGCCTTGGTCTTCAGCACTGATGATCACCTTAGGCTCTCCCGTTCAAAAACTTATTTCCCAGTGGGAGAACCGCCGCGACGGCAAGGAGCAAGATGATGAAAAAAGTGCAAATTTCAAGTTCGAATCAGATCGCCGTCACTTCGGTAGGCGGATGAGTGAGAGCTCATGGATAGGCTCTCAATCCAGCGATACTGATTTTGAAGAGTATGAAGCCTGGCCGCCAGTATTTTGCCAGCCTAGCACGCATCTCGACACCAAGGTCAAGACTAGACTCTGGCGTGAAACAGTCGAAGAAATGACGCTTGAAGAGGCTTGTGAACGAGTGGCCTCGCTCTCGCTGGTACGGGAGTCGCTTACCACAAATGACCCAGAACTCGTGGACAAGCCACTCAAACGAGAGTCGGAGACCCAGCAAGTGTCAGAGGAGCCAGAAGTGGTGTATCCTGAGTGGCTGCAATATGGCTGTGCAGTGGTGTGGGAGTATCTTACTTTAACCCCCCAGTGAAGAGAAGCTACCAACGGTCCGGCTACTGTTTGGTCAGTTTATGGGCGGAGGTGTTGACCATCTCCAACGTTCATCGTATATTTCACTTATGTTCAGCGATGGATTTCATAATATATGCATAAAAATGCGCAAGCGATGAACGTGCGACTATGTCACCAATGTGTCCCAAGATTGTTGAATATAAGAGAAGATTCGAGCTACGGAATCATCAAACACCTGTGTCTTATCCCTTTCTTTCTTTTATCATCTTCAGCCATATGAAAATTCTGAATCGAGCATTGATAAGAAGTTACATAACTTGATATATCTCATAGAAATCTTATGCCTGAGCTGATGCCGCCATAGCAGCAGCCAGATCGTCTGCTCGGCTCGAGGGTTTTGTTGGGAGCGACTCAGCTTCGACAACCGACAGCATATTAGCGGCAATTGTCTCTTCCAAATCCCTAAACCCTGGTCTGCCCAGTTTGCGAAGAATCTCAATTGATCGCCCATTTTCCACGTGTCCAACATCGACTGCTGGCTCGTCAACGGAAGCCAAGATAGACTGGCGTTCGGGGTACAGCTTTCGAATGATCTCTAGAATCTTGGTCCACGAGAACGGCCCTGCCATAGCAAGGATACGCTCATTCTGGACCTCCTCCAGCGTTAAAGCCCCAAGATGGAGAAGAGCAGTGTCCTCGACGTTAACGAACCACTCGGAAGTAAATATCGCTGGCCCAACGGATATGCCACGGACCACAGACTCAATAAGCGAGCTACTGCTGATGAATCCCAGATGCTGAAGCGCAGGAACGGTCCCAAAGTTCAGGTTGGGCACGACCGTGTTGAGGACAAAGTTCGGCTTGTTCTCACGTACCCATTCGAATGCTTTCTGTTCAGCGGTTGCCTTGGCCACGCAGTAGATGACCATGCCGCGCCACAATGGATTCTTGCCATCGAAGGGAAGCTTGAACTCTTCCATTGCCTCCTGGTTATAGGTTTCCGGTGTGATCTGGTAGTTGATGCCTGGTTTAGGATACATGACCGCTCCTTTGGAGGATGTTACTACAACCCGTTTCACACTGGGCTCCTTGGCTGCAGCGGCTAATAGGTTGGTGACGCCCCTGACGGCCTCATCAACAAGTGCTGGATCGGGTGTGAATTGGGTGTTTGCTGCGACATGGGCCACTCCATCCACGCCTTTGATTGCTTCGTCAAATGCATTATCCGCAAATATGTCGGAGACTTCGACGAGAGAGAACTTGGGGCCGAAAGCAGAGAGAAGGGGTTGATGCTTCGCAACAGAGCGGACGGTACCACGGACGTAGTAGCCTTGGTCCAGGCAAACCTTTGCGAGCACACTGGCGACGAAGCCGCTGACTCCAGTGATGAGGATGAGGCCGTTGGCTGGGACGACAGGCATTGTGGTGATTGTGCGGTCTGACAAGACGTTGCTGAGCGCAGGAAGAAAAGATACTTAATTGAAGGGGAACCTAATGGAACTCGACTGGGATAGCATCTGGGAGTCTGGATTCCTAGAGGACAGGCGAATTATTTATTCTTTTCTGGCTCTTTTCATCTTCTGTTTCTACATCTCTAGCCACATACATTGCCTCTTACCTTATTGGCCCGTTTTACTTGAATCTTACCTCCGGCGGAGGGTTTGTTGGCCAAGCGTAAACTCCGCCTGGCATCTGTCGATGACCAGGGGATAAAGTCTTGCCATCCTTGTACAATGCCTGGGGATATACAACTTTTGGTTTCGGGTGAGCATCCTATGCCGGTTCCAAAGGTTGTTCGTTGACTTGGTAAAACAGAAGTTCTGTTATTGCAGATCTCAGCATACCCAAACAAGGTGCAATCTTGCGTTCCAAACTAGGTGCCATCTTGCGCTCCGCTCCGCAACTCCGCAACATCTGCCCCCAAAAAAGCCATGTTGATTCTGACAGAAACACCTAATAAATATGTCATCTGAGTAAGCGGAGGTTCCACACTCTATTTCACTGATTCAAGGAATTATTTTCCGTAGCAAGCATTTTAGCAAGCTCTTCATCTCTCTACCCGACAAATGAAGTTATCGTCAAAGTTAGGGGGAGCCTTTCGCGGGTGAGTGAGTTTTGAGAGCCTTGAACACGATGCTTTTAGCTCCGGAAACTGGAAGAATGCAGATCCGTTCGATGAGTACTCCGTGTCTAATTTTGGGGTGTAGTGACTTTCAGGTCTACTGGCAGCCCAAATTCCAAATCAAATCAACGAAAATGTGATTTCTTAGATTTTGAATCATTCTTTATCTAAGCTTGATTCTGCTTTCAGTGGTTGGCAAGTTGGCCTCAGGGTTCCTATTCTTCCCACCTAATCAGTACCTTCTGTACAGTTTGTGTTGTGACATGAATACCCATCGTGTCGGTTTCTAACGACTCTTCCGCCACACATAGGTTACCCAAGGTAATCAGGGCTACTAGAGACCTTTCTTTTCTAGGTACCAATTCAACCAGTCAATCTTAGCCCCCCCTCTTTTTTTGCGGTTTTCATTGTGGGCAACTGGAAACATCCAACTTCATCCTTGCCTCGGCGGATAGCTCTAGGCATAATGCCCTACTAATTGAAACAAAATTTCAACAGGCATGGGAGTAAATAAAAAACTCTAAGCAGCATATTGAGTCACAGACTAGAGTTGTCCTCCTTTGCGATAACCTTGATATATGACTGCTTCTGTACTAGAACAGCTGTCCTCACTAGTTTACACATAAATGCTATCATAAGTAAGGGGATCACAAGAACGGGCTGCATAGAATCATTATCTTATCACTGTGAGTAAGCTGAAGTGTATTCCGAGATTTGATTTGGATCTTTCAAGGCGATGTATGCTTCTACACATCTGTTGGACAGAATCCAAGTCTCTTTTATTTAGAACTATATAGAAGGCTAAGCTTAAGTATCGCTGGAGTAGGTTCTTCAGTCAATACTAATACACTCATGGGAACATTGGAAATCGAGTGCCTGTTAGTTGGTTTCAAGCCCAGCAGGGAATCTTGGTGTCTGTATCAGGCTACCGCTTCCGGGGAATGTTCCAATCGAAACATCACAGATGCCATTAACCAAGCGTCTTGTGAAGCCACGCAAAGATGGCACGATTCATCTCCATGTAGGCGCCAGGCTGGCAGTGGTAGCCGGCGGACCCGTTGAATGTATGCAGAGTTCCCAGGTCACCCAAGGCATCCTTGACCCTTTGCGGCTGTCCAGTGTAGATACCTTCAAACTCAAAGTCGGCTACCCATACGGGAACTTTAATGCGGCCAAGGATATCTTTGACAGTATACGGCTTGGTCAGTTGGAGGAAGTCATATGGTGACTTGACATTGAAAGCCCACAGCCCATATTCAATTCCCCATCGGAGCTGGCTCGACACGTTCCTGTCATCGAGAATCGACAGTGCAGCCTCATCGAACAAGTCCTTCTGTCCTGAGTGGTAGAGTTCCGCGAGATCGGTCGTGAGCTGCGCTGTATACCCCTCATGAAGATCATAAATGCCACCATTTAGCATGACAGCCTTGATTCTCGGCTCGAACGCGGCAGCCCGGGCTGCAAGATAACCACCCAAGGAATTACCAAAAAGAACAAGCCGCTCCGTGTCAATTTCAGAACTCTTATTTTCGAGAAGGTAGTCAACCGCAGGCGTAACAACACGCTCCCACTGGTGGATAAATCCCAGGTTCTGACTTCTCCTGACTGTAGGCTGTCCTGGGCCTTCATAGGTGAGAGCGTTCCATCCACGAGCCAACGCGTGAGTTGCGAGGGTATGGTAAATATCCTCCTGTGCAGCGTCAAATCCATTTCCTATGATCAATGTAGGTCGCTTGGTCGAGTTATCGGGAGACGCAGAGTACCAAATCGCCTCGACGGTAAAATTGTCGGCAGGGATCTGGATGCGTTCTCCAGGAACTGGCAGTGCCGCGATTCCTTGATTAAAGGCATTAAGCTGCTCCTCCCAGTAGGTTTCGAGGGCGGGATTTGACCAGTTGCCATGGAGAAACATGTCGGCTCGTCTAAAATAGTTTGCGGTCGAGAACCAAGTATCTCGTACATTGACGGGGTCATATGCATTATCGGGGTCCAAAGCTTGGCTTTTGGTTTCCTCGGCGAGTTTGGAGAATATATCACCGAACCGCTGGAAATCTCCTGGTATCACGTCTTTGGCAGCAGCAAGTATGGGGGAGATATCAGCTCCTCCACCGATCGCGTAGCCCATACCGCCCAGCATTTCGGCGTGGAAAGCTGAGTCTGAACTTAGTAGAAGTACTGGATCCGTCTCCTTCTCTTGCGCGCTGGAAACGCTCAAAAAGGCTGAGGCGGCTACAACGCCCGCAACTGGGGAGAATTTCATATTGATAACTGTGCAATTGGAATTTGTTGGGAAGAGATAGAGTGAAGAGGATGTTGTTGATGGTGTAGTTGAGAAGATTCAGTCTATTGAGCGAACATTTCAACATATATATACCTATGTCTGTCTATGTATATACAGCTGAAGATTCACATATATGATCATACCGAGAGTTCTGTTAGTCGGGTAGCGCTCCCGTGAGGTTTGGCGTGTTCGGCCATTGCTCCACTGATGATGACGAAGATGATGCTTTGGCGATACCGGATTAGGGGGTTATTCTGCGAGAGTCATTATGCATAATCGCTACTGCGCCTCTGACAGGTGAATCAAGCTCGGATCGCCGGTTTGTGGACCCGTCAGCGGAGCGGGTAATCAAAGTATTTAAAAGGCACGCGCCATCCTTCATCGCAAAGTTGTGCCATTTCGAGCCTGGCAGTATTTCAACCTCAATCTTCTGTCTGTCCTCTCCCCGCTACAGCATGGTTAACCGTGGTCGATCAACTGGGTGCAAGACATGCAAGCAGCGACGCGTCAGGTGCGACGAGGCGAAGCCGTTATGCCGCGAGTGTTCACGTGTTGGTTATCGGTGCCAAGGATATACTGAAGAGCCCTTACGGCTCAGGTTTCAAGTCCCAGAGATCAAGAACAAGGGCAAGCGTCAACAGAGCGTACGAATCCGCACGAAACGCCATCCGGTGCTTGTGAATATTGCACCGCCAAGCCCTTCGCCATTCAAGCAACGACTGTTGTTGGTGACCGAGAATGTGAAAACCGAGGCCGTCTCTACGTTTCTCGCCCACGTCGCCGTCTTGGGTCGCGATTTCGAATCAACACGCGGCCTTCTGGAAGTGTTGGTTCCGGCTCTCGCGGTAGAGAGTCCGGGCTCACCACTACCCTTGGCATTGAACGTAGCTGCTTTGCAGTTCTGGTCAATGGCTCATGGGTCTGGGGCATCCTCACCGGAAGGGATGCTGTCAGAGGCAAATGGATGTCTTCGATCAGCGATCCAAGACCCGGTTCAGAGGAGCCGCGAAGGCACCATTTTAGCCGCCCTCCTGCTTCAGCGTTACGAGCGTCTCTCTGCCACTTGGAATTCGCACAAACCATCTGGACTTCATCGCAATGGAGCATTGGCTCTTCTTCGACAGCAGCAGCTTGATGGGACCAAGTCAGATAATCACGGGTACTTGATATCACAAGTTCTCCATATTGAAGTTTCTGCCTGCATTCGGAAGAAAGAGCCTTTCCCGATTACTGAAATTGCGTGTATGGATAACCCAGCCATCTTACCAGCGAATCCAAGCACAATGCTTGACACTATTGGCGTATCCGTCGCGAACCATCAACACGAGTTTTCTCTATTTCTATCAGGAGACCCAGCTGTAACGACTTCTATATCGAGCATCGCACAATGGCTTGAGAGTATCCGGCATGCGGAGGCGCAGCTTCAGCAGTGGCCACACACGGTGCCCAGCCACTGGCACCCACGGAGCGTTAAAATAGACAAACATAACGACAATACCATTGATACATTCAGTGGATTTTCTGATGTGTATCCGAACATTCAGATTGCGGCCATTTGGAACGTCTGGCGGGTCTACCGAGTCTTGCTTCTAAGAATCAGACTCAGACTTCTTGCGGAATTCCCTGAACTGATTGTTCGCAGTAGCGGCATTGAATCAATCCCCTCCGATATCTCGATGCAACCTGCTGACCACGATGAGGGTCAGAATCTGCTTCTAGGGCTAGTTGACTCCATATGTCAAAGTGTTCCCTTTCATTTGGGGAACCTTCTCAAGCCGATAGGTCTTTCTGATCTCAGGGACCCGAAAATTCAGTTTCCCAGCTACCATGATCTAGATCCAACTGATCTTCATTATGTCAATTACCTTGGGAGCAAGTATTTCATGTCTAGGGATGACCATCGGAGGCATGCAATTGTTCAGGGCTCATGGCAAATGTTGCATACTCTCATTCACCTTGTGGACGTGTTCGCCGATGAAAGCCCCGGTGGTTCATTGGTTGGTTTCTTACGAAGAGGCCAAGTGTACTGGATTAGACAACAGTTCCTGCGAGTCCTCAAGTTGCTTCGTCTACAGCACGTTGGATCTGCCAATGATAAGAGTCATCATCGCACAGCAGGCGTCCTCGCTGATTATGATCCGACGAACGTTGAGATCATTGCGACCAGAGTTCGGGAGGCATTAGCCAGGTGAGATACACTCGTAGCTCGTTTCTGTGTGATGGGCGAAGGAGAGGGCAGCGTATCACATCCATAGATGAAATCAAAATATAATGGTTCAATTTGATTCTCCCATGACCATTAATTAAGAAAGGATGAATTTCATTCTCAATTCTTCAGGGATGGTTGAGAGATGATATGCCAAGGTATGGATGGTAATCAAGTACTGGTGGGTTGAACCTCCATTATTTCCACGGACCTTTTTTTCCACGGATTTGAATGACTGGACCGCACACTCCGCGGATCACAGGAAACCTTCACCTCGGCGTCTGACCAAGCGACTGGAATAAATCTTGGCGCAGCTTCGATTATCTAAACCAGATTTATAAGCATCAAAATGTTTCTACCGTCGGCCGCTGGCTGGGACATTTGCAGAGATATTTAAGCTTTCAAAAACGCCTGGCTTTGCTCATGAGATATTCGATCCTAGAAGGTCACTTTGTTTAATTGAACAACATAATCTCCTTTGCCTTCTTCTCCCAATCCAAGACTTCCGCACCTCCTACACACCCTATACATCAAAATGCCGACTACAAAGGCCATCATCGTCTCAGACCACAAAACGATATCTGTCCAGGACGTCAAAGTACCCCAACTGCGTGACGAATGGGTCTTAGTTCAGGTTAAGGCCGTGGCCCTTAACCCCGCTGACTTCAAGAAGATTGACTGGGGAGACGCAGATGCTGGCTCAAGGCTGGGATACGACTATGCGGGAATCGTTTCCGAGGTAGGCAGCAAGGTCACTAAATTTCAAAAAGGAGACAGAATTGCAGGATTCGTTCACGGAGGGTAGGTCCACCTCTAGCATCCCAACATACTCAGACTCGACTGACAAGAAAGTTCGCAGGGATGCTACCAACCATGACAATGGCGCGTTTGGCGAGTTCATCATCGCCAAGGCCTGCATTCAAATCAAAATTCCGGATCACTTGGACTTTATCGAAGCGTCAACGCTTGGGGCTGGCATGATAACATGTGTATGTTTTGGTCTATATTTCCATTAACAAAGCTCTAGAGTGTTCAATCATTTTAACTTGGGTAAACAGGGTCTTGGATTATACAAACATCTTCAGCTGCCACTGCCACCAGCAAAAGTTCAACATCCAACCTCTATTCTCATCCACGGTGGGAGTACAGCTACAGCCACCCTCGGCATCCAGCTCGCCAAGGCATCCGGGCTGCATGTCATTGCGACCACATCACCTTACAACTTCGATAATGTCAAAGCGCTAGGCGCTGACGCCGTGTTTGACTACCATTCCCCTGACTGCGGCGAACAGATCCGCGCGCTGACAGAAAACAAACTCAAACTCGCCTTGGACTGCGCTGGGGAAGGCGAGGTGATCTGCGGCAAGGCCCTAAGCAGTGTCGAGCCCAGTCTCTTCTGTACCATCTTCTACCCCATCAATGAGCAGCTTCTGAAAGATACCAACCCGCTTGCACAAGGGCCTCTTCTCACAGCCGCCTATAACTCTTTCGGTGAATCCTGGAAGCTTGGTGGAAATCCCATAGCCGCCAACATAGAAGAAATGGAATTCTCGGCCAGGTTTGTTGACATTGTATACAAACTATTGGAACAGGGGCGCCTTCATACGATAAAACCGACAGTGAATAAGTTTGGTGCTGGGCTGCAAGGTGTGATCAAAGGGGTTGATGAGCTTCGCCAAGGAAAGGTCCGTGGGACAAAATTGGTCTATACAGTCTAGGCAAGGCTTTTCAGCTCTGGAAGAGTTCTTAACTTTATGGCAACGAAAAGAATGCCTCCATCGCGTCACGATACTTTATCAAGGTATAGGCATAGATTAGCTAGGGCTCCTTGAAGGTGGTGAGACAATCATAACACACGGCATCGTAATCCCTTCATCATGTGGAGTGTTCTCTATAAGGCGAGTTTCAGGATAAAAGTAGTTCTGGTATTCAAACTAGTTAAATCTTGGACGAGAAGACTTCTTCGGAAACCTCCTTGGCGGCCAATCCGCCTCGTTCGATGGCCCCGTCAATGTATCCGCGCCATCCCATGGCCCAGTCAGAGTTTGCAAACAAGATGCTTCCTTGCCGTTTCTGCAGCGCAGAAAGGTGTTGGAAGCTATAGTTTGGCGGATACATGCACCACGAGCCTCGCGAGTAGGGATCAGTGCTCCAATTATGCCAGATCTGCAAGATGAAAAAGATATCATGGTCAGCATTTGGAGTACTAAGAATATGACGTGAGTGATTGAGAGCCTACCGTCTTCTTGACATCCATGTCGTGCAACCTCTTGCAATCCGCTACATAGTCTCTAGCATCCTCTTCAGGGGTTGAGAATGGCTTGTTGACACCGAAGCTGACAACGTGGGTGGTTCCTCTGGCGGTCGTGCCGTCACCAAATGCACTGCAGGCCCTTGTAACCGGGAAGGATGCAGAAGACCAAGATCGAAGTGCGTCGCCTTGTACTTCAAGGTGGACCTTTGCACCATGGTTGATGTTTCCGGGACGAGTGGCCGCCGTCATCTTTGCAGCGTCTAGAGGCGGGTCGAAACGGACATGTTGGAGCAGGTTGAGAGGAAGAGTGCAAATCAGTCGCTTCGCTTCCCAATGCTGATTGACAGTAACTCGATCGCCCTTGTCTTGGATAGTCTCCGCAGCGGTGTTGAACGAGTATGCAAGATTTTGAGTCTTGAGAGCTTCATCAAAAAAGCATCGTGCGAAGCTCGACTGCCCAGTCGGAAGCTTGAACTCGTCTCCAGTCTCGTAGAGGCCATCCATGGTATATCCACCCAACGCCCACCACCTAAGCACATCGAAAAACCCGGCCTTGTCCATATCAGCGCCATAGATGGAAGACAGGCGAGCTTGGAGGAGGGTGATCTCATCCTCGGTGACATCATGTCGGATCTGGTCCAGCCGCTGAGCGACCGACATCTTTTCCCATGCCTTGACCTTGGGGTTGAAGTGCGGATCATGCGGCAACGGCATGACCTCTCGTCCCAGCTTACCATCCACGTCGCAGAGCTTTCGGAAGGCTTTCTCGGTCATCGCGTGCTGGTCATTTTATTAGCGCAATCCCACACTTCATGACCTGCAAAGGAGGAGATGCCATTACCGCTTTCTCATGGTCAATGATCTGACGGTTGCCATTTAGCAACGCCGTATAGTAGTTAACACCAACAGATTTGTCGTGACTGAGTAACAGCTCAGTCAGGCCATAGCGGGACATTTCTCGATAGGTATGGGGCTGGTTCCAATGGACCCAGGTCCCACCCATCTCGTACAAGTGACCGTCGACTTCTGCCGTGAAGGTTCGTCCACCGATCCTATCACGAGCCTCGAGCAAGAGGACATTGAACCCTATCGGCCGCGATGCATCAGTACTGCCACCATTGCCCAATTCAGGTTTACCCACCAGCTATGCAAAGATCCCGGCAGGCAGTCAATCCAGAGTATCCGGCACCAACGACGATGACATCGTAGACTCGTGATCTCTTACCACTAACGTTCGTTGGCGGATTAATGGCTCCCGCACATCTCAGGCCCTTCTGGAGTAAGTCGTTGTCATTTTGGAGATAGAACCCGTCTCGAGTGGTCATTATTGGTCCTTCCGTTTGATATCGTGAGGTTGGTCTTGTCGAACGTTGCAGGTTGGAGGTGAATGGATGGTATGCAAACCAGTACATATATAGGATTATCTCGTGACTGTATTGACTTGCTCACCTCCTCGCCTACTAGCCGAGTGTGGTAGTAATCAAGCATTCTCGTTCTCACTACCTCTTTTAGATTAGATCTCTCAACTACGTGGTATCGACGACAACGGTTGGCAGCCCACCGCGCCTGTCGATCGCACCCTACAACCAGCCAGACACTGCCACTGGGTGCCTTTGTCATGTTGAGTTCCACTAGTCTTACAAAACCAGCAGCACCCAGAGGCTCTCATTTTTATTTCCTATTCCAGCTTAGACACTCTGTATTCACTCTTCAAGCATCACAAAATAGTAGTTTGTAAACTTTACTATACATCTAGTAGTAACGACCAAAAAGTAAGAATTAAACCATAAAATTCTCTAATCGATCCTGTTTGGTTTGATAAAGACTGTCGTGTATCTTCGGGTGACCTGGCCTGCATATGCATCTAAGAGTGCTCCCGGAAAAGCCCAGAAAGAGGAAAGTTTCGAGCCTGTTGTTTGTCTAGAATACCCAGCACCCTCCTCCGGTCCTAGTAAGACACCATCTCCAGCCCCATCGAGAACACCAACGGCATGATAACGCCGTTGAGCAACCCAACCCGATTCATCATGGTAGTGATACAGGCCATATTTTGCAGCGCGTATTTGTGCAGTTGGTCTGGTGCCATGACTAGGAGGTCACACTATAGCAATTTCCAGCTGTGGTGCCCGAGCAGCTGGGAAATGCTGATGAGGGCCCAGTAGCTGTACGGAGCGAGCAATTGGTAGTTTGGCTGTGAGGCTTTGCCGACCTGCAGGAAGCGTTGGAGCAATCTTAGCTGTAGTGGTGCTGCTTCGCACACGATTTCTAATCCTTTGACCTTCTGCTCGGTGTTTAGCTGGGGGGAGGGCCGATTTATAGTTTCGGCGAGCCAGTCAAACATCCTATCCAATTGGTTAGTGGACTGTTTGATTTGGGCTTTACATGTCAACTTCCATGCCTATCTGGAAGGTTTCCCCAGCGCCAAGTCGCTGTCAGTATGTAGTCGATATCGTTATTCAGGGGCGAAAGTATAGTGGCATCAGTGTGCGATGCTAAGAATATTTCGCCTAAAAGGAATCCGGTGGTAGAGTCAGGGTCAAAGGGATATACCGACCGCGAAACTGCATTTACAGAATCGGTCAAATGTGCAAGTCGTATCAGGTCTTCGTCAAAGGGAGACAACTGCGAACCACGTTTCAGCGTCTCGTCAACGAAGCCGGAGATGATTGGCATCTGTGATGCGACTGGATCGAAATACTTGTCTAGAACGGACTGCAAATAGTCAGCAATATTCACAAAACAGATAGTAACAAACAAAAGGGGAGGGTCATGGTTGATCCGGTGTTGGGTTTAGAAAGATAGGGGGAGGCGACCGTTTACATCTACTGCCATCAAAATCAGCGCGCAGGCTTTTTGGCCCACTCGCCCATGTCTTTTCCTTGCAGTAGTATCTCATCTGCCGGGCACAAATCTCCATTTACTTCTCTGCAAGGTTCCATAACCTTGTACGTTGCCTCTCAAGCTCGAATGGCCCGCTTGCTCGGATCATGTGCACCTCTCCGGCAAGCTCAATGACTCTGCTCACGCCATGGTCATGTTGGCTGAGTGCTAGTACTACCATGGCGTCGGACCATAACATGGAAAACTGTGGCAGATCCCCGAATGCATCTTCGAAACACACGGTTGTATGTTTCCAGGACGGCAGAATGATTGCCCTGGGAGGAGTGGGTAGCTTGACTAGCACCAACTGCATCTTGATCTCTTCTCTTGATCACCGTGTGGAATAGGAGCATTTCAAAAAACGGACTAAACAATAGGAGCAGGAGCTCCTTCCGGGCGTACCTTCGCACTTCATGCAGTATCAACAAGAAAATAGTTCAGTCGTGCGCTCTCCTTTGGCCAGGCGTACTTACCCGCTTGTGGACTCTTCGGCAGCTGACGCAACGGTGGCCTTCTCGCCGGTTGTCGACCACAGGCCATGTTTCATTAAAGGGGCACGAGATTTTGGGGGGGAACGGGTGTTAATGCAAGAATAGCATCAGCCGGTAGGCTTTTGACTCCGTAGAGAGGGTTGATGGTAACAGAGATCGGAATATTTGTTTGCTAAAGCGGTAATGTTCCTCGGGGGCTAAGCGTGATCCGAACAGGGTCCTATGTGCCGAGCATGGATAATGACTATCATTTCCTTTCAAGGCGCCTTTAGAGCGCCCCCTGACCATCTCACGGCTTCTTGAAATGGCTGACATTGAGGGGACCAGATTGATTTGGCTTTCCACGGGCAGTCAGCAAACACGATTCATCAAAATTGCCGAGGTTCAATGCTCTTACCTCAGTCTATATTGTCGAAAAAACATATCTAAACAATCTCAATCCTCAATTCATTGTCTAGAACTATACATCTTCCACTCTCTATTCAATTCAGCACATCTTTCAGCCAGCCATCACCATTCGCAATGCTTCCCCGTTCTCTGTTTCTTACCACGACGCTCTGCCTTGGCCTCACAAAGGCTGAGCATGCCTCTAACTTTGATCTACCCCCTGAGTTAATGGAGGAGCATGGCTGCGATGCCCAATGTCAAGCCGCCGTAGCCCAAGCAAACGCGGCCGACCTGCAGATATTCGGAACCGAGTTTGACTTTGAGTTCTACAGCACAGCGGCGAACTTCACAGCCTCCAAGCCTGGAGATGTCCTCAAACTCAACCTCGTCGATAGCTCTACCATCAACGTCGAGCCGGGCACGACCGTTTTTAAAATGCAGTATACGTCTGAAGACTTAAACAGGTCGCCCGTCCCAGCCACCGCGTTCATTGCGTTTCCATTAGCTGAGGCGGCGGACCCATACAAGCTCGTGGCGATTGCGCACGGCACCACTGGGGTTTTCAGGGGCTGTGCCCCTTCCGTGCCCAATGCTATGCCCAGCTATCAAGGCTGGGAGGCGACTGGATATGCCGTTGTAGCGACTGACTATACTGGTCTGGGAAATAACTACACGAGCCACAAGTATCTCAGCAATGCTGCCCATGCCAACGACGTGATTTACTCTGTCGTGGCCGCCAAGTCGGCATTCCCGCACCGCTTGACGAACGAATGGGTCTCCTTTGGGCACTCCCAGGGAGGGTCTGCTGTCTGGAAGCTCTCTGAGCACAAGCTTGTGCAAGACCTCAAGAGTGGTTACCTAGGAGGTATCGCCTTGGCTCCCGCTGCCCCCCAGACTCGTGAACAAATCATATCTGGACTCGACATGTTTCGAGACTCTACTGATCCCGCTGCCCTTTCCTACCTCCCCGCGATGATCGGCGTATATCTAGGTGTCAAGGCAGTCTTCCCCGACTACGATCCCACTTGGCTATCCAACGAGGCGAAGAAGATCTTTGAGCTTCCAGGGTTAGGCCAGTATTGTGTGACCGCCATGTGGAGCCTCCTTAGCACCTCGTCCCCCGACAAGCTTCTCGCCAGCTTCGACGCCTCCAGGGACTTCACGTCGATGCAGTTCCAAAAGATCAACGGCGTGGGACTGGGGTCGTCAGCCAGCCGACCGCTTCTCATCGCGCATGGCGACAAGGACGTGACTGTGTCCGTGAATAGTACCATAGCCGCTTTCAAGGACGCTTGCTCGCATGGCAACCCTATTCACCTGAGCATCTACCCCGGGCAGGATCATTCTGGGGTGGTTGCCGAGTCTAGGCCCGAATGGCTTCGCTTCATTGCTGATCGGTTTGATGGAGCAGAGTTCGACAACGCCTGTGCCAAATAGGTACTTTGAAGTAGGAGCTGTGTGAACCTGGATTTAGAACTTGATTTTTTGGAACACCGTTAGCATTAGGTTAGAGCAAAGGCTTCATTTTATCCTCGATAACGGTATTTACTGAGTCAGTAAAACAGCCGTCTCCAGATGCTTTGTATTGAGATCTCGATTGGCCCGAATCGATGTCGGACAAGGACTCGCTTGAGAAGCCGAATACAAGGCATATCATGCTAATACATCATGTGTAAAGCAAGGACCCTAACATAAGTAGGTACCAAGTGAGTGACATGGAAATTGAGATACTCAAACATTAAGTTGCTTATTTCGAGTCTACAACCGGCATTATCAAATTTTTGAGTGTCACTGATACATAATTGAGAGATAAAATACAAATATTATCACTTTTCTTCATTTTGTACTACTAAATTTCTTGATGTATCTTCGAAAGTAGAACCACTCTTACATTGGGTGTCTCATTTCTCCTGTCACCCATTTGGTAGGTACTAGTAGAATACTAATTGCACGTACTTAATATATTGTGCCTCTTCCCGCTATCCCATTTCCTTCCTACAGAGTGCAGATCCCAAGTCACAGCCACACAGCTTCGGTGATGACGCAATGAGTTTGGGCTAACTTGTCACACACTTTTAAAAATACCATTTATTTCTATTCATCGTCATTCAAGTTCATCTGATACTTTCTTAGTTTGCCATCATTCTTACTGCTAGGAGCATCATTTGCTCTCTTCAGCCCCACGTTCGTCTAGCCCCCCAGTAACCCCGATCCCAGTACCCAAGAACATCGAGATTTCCGTGCTATTGGCACAGTTCGTTGTACATCTTTCCAAGCATCATGGGAACCGACACTCTAGGCATCGAGCCCCCTCCATCCTACGAAGCCGCAACTGGGCAAGCTCCACACGAGCTCGTGGAACCAGCCAGCCTGGTATTGCATGGCACGGATATCGTCGTTGAAAACACAGGAGAAGATACACCGCTTTATCAGCTCAGTCGCAACATAAAGGCGCTGCCGCCAAAGAACAATTCATCGTCAATCCACTTGCATCGCGTTGAGCGGGGTGCATCCGAGAAAACAAATGGTCAGCTTGTCACGACTCACTTATTCCATCTTGTGCACCCCGTCAACGCGGATTTCCGAAATGATCTGCCACCGTACTACGTTACAGCTACCTCCTTCGAGGCCCTTGGCAACATTATCCTCGAGGCGAACAAGCATACGCTCCAGAGAACCGAGTTTCGTGCAAAGTTGAGCCGGGACACAAATTCTGGGACTAAGCCGCTGTTTCATGCCAAGGACAAGCAACAACTCGTTTTTTGTTCAAAGAACAGCCGGAAGGGTGAGCAGAAATGGCTTGACCAGCATGGCAAACTACTGGCCACTGAATGTCATAACGACCAACTTCCTACGTTGAAAATGGAGACCCCCGTGCCCAGAAACACACGGGATGCGCTGGTTGCTATGTGGTGCATGATGCTGTGGTACGAACTGGCCGAGAGCAGAGGGGCCAAGAGAGAGCGCAAGTGTAGCCCAACTCTTAATGTCGCCAAGATGTCTAGCTAACAATATCTCGCAGTTCTAGAGAGAATGACGGTCCCTTCAGATCCAACTAGTGGGAGGGCTGCGATGAGATCGGCCGGGTTAGGGCTTGCGGTAGGACTGAGTGGCGCCGGAGGTTCTGGCTGAATCAAAGGACTGATGTGGGATCTCAAGCTAGCTAGAGTAGAGGCACGGTATTGAAACACGATGGCATTTTAATATGTAAATCATTTACTCAAGGTTTTAGTAGCTTCCCGATGAAACTTCCATCGCCTATCACAACCGCATTATTTTAGACCCCAATATGTAGCCAAAAGGTACGGCTAGGTATGTGGCTATAGGGTAGTTAAGATGTAAGGGCATTTTGTAAGGAGCCGGATTGTCAGTACATCCGATCCGTTATTGTGAGCACAGCCGCTGATTTATATGTACTCTTGATCATCTAGCACCTTCGATTTGATGCTTTTACAAGGTAATGCGCACTCAAGAAGATAAAAATGTTGGAAACCCGCGAGCTTCTGCCACCGTCGGAAAGGTGTACGGAGTGATGCCCCTGGCTACAAAATAGAGTTGTTGACACCACCTCGTAATAACTCAGGCTAAAAGATTTTAGGTAAGGAGCTGCGGGTACAACGGCTGCTCAGTAAACTTCCTGTTTCAGCGCGTTCGTGTCGCAATTTGCCAATATTTGGATCCTCCCTTGTCGCCCTCGGACCCGTCGGTTGGGCAAAATGTTACGTTGTCATCAAAGCACAGTAGCCATTCATTATTGCTGACGGGCTGGCGATCACCGCGCCTCGGTGAATCTCGTGGGTATTACGTCGAGGGCATTTGATTCCCCTGTAATACATCACCGCCCGAGAACAGTCGAATAACCAACGATGGAGGGAATGAGTCAGCCCAGTAAGAATGAAACGACTAACTAGCCAAAGCCGGGCGGCAGAATGGATCGAAATTGGATCAGCAAGCTCCTCCCCAATTGTCTCGCACTGGCCGTGTTAATAATAGACCATTAGCCGTCGGCTGATCCTCCAAACTCCCATCCCAGTCGTGTTACCCACAATTTCACGCTCCCACAAGATCACGTTTACCATCCAGGAGAGGAGGAAATGGGCAAATGGAGAAATAGAGAGAGGGAGGGAAAAAGCAGATGTCGTTGGCCTTCATATTCAGCTTGTGAGCCACTCGATGTGTCTCACCTGCCTGGACACATCATAACATGCGTTTCTTTTTCTGATCCGCCGAGGCTTCGGACTGCGCCGCCAATGTTGGAATGGGGCACTGAATCCCAAAGGGACTTTGGTAGCTTTTCCCTGACGCTGATTTGCTGGACTAATGTGATGCTCGCCTTGGCATCTTGGCGTGTCTGGAGCCGGTTTGACATGATCGTCTGCTGTCCCCTCTCAGTTCATCTTGGCTCTTTCGTCATTCGCCAATTCCTTCTTCCTCAGCGTTTTTTATTCTCCCAAGCGATGCTTGAACGGCCCCATGACGGACTCTGAAGGCGAGCGATAGGTCGTATGTTAACGGAGAAGACTGCGACAACGGCGACAACAGCGACGTCGAGCGAAAGCGGATAGCGACCATGATGGCGCCGGCACGATTGCTTTTCCTTCTGTCCTGCCTGTTCTCGACTCTCGGCGCGACAGTGACGGAGCCGAACAAGTTGTACCAGCGACGAGCATACCAAAATGGTAATTCCGACTCCAGATTTATTCACTTCGAATAAAAACGAAGTTGAAAGGCCGCGCATAGCTTACAATGCATCGTTTTTATTTCTAGCTGTAAATATGGGCGGTTTCCTCTACCTGGAGGGTGGGGAAAAGTCATATTATCTCGACTCGGGAGAGAAAGAAACAGTCAATGGCGAACCGTTTGCCCTTGACTCTGATGGATGTGAGGCTCCTGAGAAATTCCCCCACCTACAAGGTAGATGAAGATAAAGTGCTGACAGTTGGCTCAATAGGGGGTAGCAACACCAGATTTCTTCCTCTCAACAAACGCTGGAAGCCCGCCGAGATCGAGTACCAGACAATCCCCTTCATATCTGGCCAAAAGACAGTCATATTGGCCAGCCTCTGGATAGGAGGAAATACATTGTATAGATGGGGTGGCGAATTGACTGGCGACCGGACGTATGAGAAGAACGACAAGCACTTCCTGACATTAAACCCCTCCACCAGCACCGGCGATGGAAACTGGCAGGCGTACACCGGAGAGGACAAGTTCAATGCGACTGGCAATGGAGCGACAACATCTTGCGACGGGGTCGGGTATGTTTTTGGGGGGATTTCTTGGAGCGGAACAAGCCCTTCCATCACGTCTGATGCAAAGGAGTCGCAGTCAGGCATGTTCATGTTCAATACTTCCACCAAGGCGTGGAGGAAGTCGACATCTGATCTCAACATCCCGGGCGCAACCCACAGGTCAGGTAACGCTGTCTGTCTTTCAGGATTCCTAGATTACTCTCTCGTCGCTCTCCTTGGTGGCACTGTCCGCAATTCGCAAACCCAGCGGTCATTCAGTAAGCTTACCTTCTTTGATCCGATCGCGGACAGATGGAGGACTCAGACCACCCAAAACTTCCCCTCGGAACGAGATAGCGCTTGTGCCGTGGGTGTGCGAAGCAAGTACGGGACATATGAGATGTGAGCAAAAGCCCTTGACGTCTTGGCTCCAGCCAGAAGGCAGTAACTAATCCGCTCGTTAGATATCTTTACGGGGGCATGGACAAGTCAGGAACAGCATATTCCGATATTTACGTCTTATCCCTCCCGTTGTTCAGATGGTTCAAAGTAACGCCGCCCAACACTCCGAAACGCCAACTCCACTCCTGCGTACTCGCTGGTCAGAGGCAGATGGTTTCATACGGCGGCTTGGACGCCAAATATAGCACAGATGCTTGGAAGAGCTCTGATCCCTGGGCCAACACTTTGGGAATATTCGACCTGAATACACTTCAGTGGAAGGACGAGTTCGACCCAGATCTGGGTGAATACGAAATGCCAGACGAGATTAAGAAGGCCTATGATGCGGGGTTTGTACACCTCGACCTGATCCTCATGAATAGTGCTAATCATTGAGATAGGGGCCTTGGCAATGTTATTTGGGACGATGAAGAGAACAAGAGCATCTTCATGAGCAATTGTATGTCTTCAAGTAGCTTCTCCGTCTTTTAACATGAGCACTAACTTGAGGTATAGACCTTGGAACCAACACTACCAACGCTACCAACAACACCGACAGTTCTGGTTCTGGTAATCAATCCGACAACTCGTCTTCGGGTACTCCTGCTGGTGCAATTGCGGGCGGCGTCGTGGGAGGCGTCGTTGGCCTTGCAATTATCGGCATCGCGGCCTGGTTCTTCCTCCGTCGGCGCAACCAAGGAAGAGAGCAGGTAGGCGAGGTTGAAGGATCAACAGAGCTTCCGAAAGAGCTTTACGGAGGCCCTCCGGTGCCAAGGACACCCAGTAGGTCTGCCAAGTCGCCTGCTCCTCCAAGCTACGTTGCCCAACCATCGTACAACCCAAACGAAACGTACTACGAACTCCATGATACTGGCGTTGCGTCCGAGCTTGCGAGCGACACAGTGGGCTCTCCCCAGCAGTCCACATTCGCCTCGACTTCACCGAGATCTTATTCGCGCTCCCCAGGGTCGGCATTATGAGATTGAAGAAGCAAACAATCGTTTCCTGGAGCGAACATGAAACCAACTTCATGAGCTAGACTTAATTTTCGATCGTATAATTGAACAAACCTTTCTTGAACTAGTTCCCTCTTCTGATTCGTGCTCTGCCTTGTCGTACAACTACCGAGCTCACTAGTGACCGCTTCAGCTAGATGGTCTCACAGGCTCTCAGGCGCTGGTTCCGTTTTGATGAAGGATGTATTCAAGGTTCATTTGTGCGCGCGGTTCTTCCTGCTGCCGGCGCCTTTGCCGAGCTCCGCTTCATCAGCCCCAGGAGGCGTGAGCGATGTTGCCTTGTGGCAGATGCCAATCGGGGGTCGTGAAGACGATTGTCCACTTTATAGGGGATGTAAGGAAAAAGTTATTATTAAATCGGCTAGTAGAGTTGCTAGAACCAGAGTTTGTATAAGATAGAACTCGTGTTCTCTGACCGAGACTTCTTCATTGCATTATGAGCACGCACAGCAAATCGGTTTTTGAGACATAGCGAATATTTCAGACGGCATGAAACGTCATTTTATACTACCAAGAAATGAATTCGACTGCGGTCTCCCCCTTCTCCCCGTTTAGTTGAAAACCCTGGATATAGCTTTCTTCTTTCATCAGATAGTAGAACTTTGCAGTATTCTTTTTGCTTTTACGTGTTGTGTGCCTCACTTTGTTCCTCGGCTGCTATCTTCTTCCACATCGTGATATTGCCCGTCTTCACTGGCCGGATCCTGTCCGCGAAAAGGTTGCGGAGAGACACCACCAAATACTGGAAATTGTCAATCGCTAACTTCCAGAAAGTGTTAACACATGAAAGTACACAAGGGAGGTACTTACAAGCTTCCATTTCTTCGAGAGACTTTCCTTTAGTCTCCTTAATGAAGAAGAAAACGAAAACGACCAGCGCGTAGTTGAAAATGCCAAACATGAGGAACGTCTTCCATCCAAGATTTTTCACTGCGTAAGGTGTTGCCAATGAAAAGACACAGTTGAAAAGCCACTGAGTGGATGTTCCGATAGCAATGCCGGCCTCTCGGATTCGGTTTGGAAATATTTCACCCATGTACGCCTGATCAAGTGAGAGTTGGTCAGTTGAGATGTTTCGTCGTGTTATTGGCTAGTTAGTTCAAGTACTCACCCACGGTACCGGGCCCCAAGATATATTATAGCTCATAGCTTCAAGATAAATCATCGTTAATGAGGCGATCGAAGGAGCTGTTAAGCCCTGTGTTGCATCTGGGGGAAATTTGACGGTGAGGATTGCAACGATAAGCATGTATGATCCCATGAGCAAGGCACCAGCAAGCAGAGAACCACGGCGCCCTATCCGCTCGATCAAGAACAGAAGGAAAAAGAGGCAAGAAATAACCTTGACGACACCAAAGAATCCTGTTATGAGAAGGTTATCTTGACCAGCCCCGACAAGAGAGAATATCTGGGGAGCATCTGGGAATTGATTAGAAGAGCGTTTATAGGGAAATTATTTTGGGTTCCCTCATTCTCACAGTAGGCCATTGATGTATTTCCAGTTAACTGAACGCCTGGCCAAATCAATTAGATCTCAATACAACAAGGACATATCTGGCAATTTCTGCGGATAGACCGACCAATTTGGAGAGCAACGATGAGAAAGACTCGCATGCGGTTGATGGGAAGAATTAGTTCCCTCCAACTCACACCTTCTTTATCTCGATCTTCCTCCTTGATTCCCGACAAAATCTCTTCAAACCTGCGAACATCATAGTAAGCGCCATGTTTGGATGTTGCTGTTGGGCTATGAAGATATCTTGACTTACTCTTTCCTCACTTCCTCAGATTCGCCACCCCGAACCCATGAAAGGGATGCCATAGCCTCTTCATGTCGGTCTTTCTGGGCCAGCCAACGAGTGCTCTCCTTAGTGAGAAGCATCCCGAGGCCCAAGATAGAACCTGGCACGATTTGAAGACCCACAGGTATCTGCCATTGAGCAGTCACGTCTGAGATATGCTTCTTGACCGCGTAGTCTATCCAGTAGGAGGTCATAACACCAAGAGTGAAGAAGAACTGGAACATGCTCCCAAGCATACCTCGAATGTTCTTAGGTGCCATTTCAGCCGAGTACATAGGAATGATAACCGTTGCCATGCCTACACCAACACCACTGATGATTCGAGCGACATAAAACGCGGCGAGTGAATGTGTGTTAATAGTCTGAATAACCGCGCCGATATTGAAGATGACGGAAGCGAGGATAAGGGACCATCTTCGGCCATACTTGGCGGTGAAAGGCCAAATAAAGAAACAGGAGAAGAATGCTGCGTAAGAGGACAAGAGTTAGTCCTGCTTGAAATGGATGATAGCTTTTAAACCTCGTGCTTACCGCCTGCTTGTAGGAGACTCGTCGAGTTGGAGCCGACAGATGCCCGCTGCGCCTCGGTATATCCAAAGTCATGCTGGAAGCTCTTGAACGTAAGGATACCCCCTATGATTCCAGTATCGTAAGCAAAGCAGAAAGAGCCCACGCAGCATAGAGCGACAAGGTACACGGCTCTGAATGTGCCCAATCTGGTCATCTTGATGTGGTAGGCGAACACAATCGATTAGATTTTGGAGGTCAATATTGGTTAAGCAGACCAAGCTGTAGCTCAGCGTAGCCTAATCATAGCCCAATTTGAATGAATTTGATGCACTTTATACAACTTCAAGTCATCAAGCACCCCCCCTAAGCAAGATAGGGTCCACTAGATGGCGACAATCAGGGAGGGTGTGGCGCAACGTCCGGGGAACGACGACAGGCCAGACGGTCAGGGAAGGAGAGGTCTAGCTCTTGGACTAGATTTTAATATATGTTCATTGAAATTTGAACAAAGGACATCTCATAATGGGATCATCAACCATCTTCCGAGAGAGTATCTATTTGTCGTCTCCTGAACTTCGGGATTTGGCAAACTTCGGTGTTTCTTGCATTCTACAACTGAACCTTCGCTGTGATAGCAGCACTCGCTACTTCTGCAGTATTGTTGCGGACAAGCCTTGCCGTCATATGCGAGGCCCTGGTCCGTGTTAGTACTCAGCATTTCCGAACATCGATGCGTTAGGCTAGCATGATGAAGCCGATGAGCGGGGTCCGAGGTCCGATACGCGAGAGAGACCCATGCCATGTTGCGGGGTCTCAGGACAGGAGGTCTGTTATTCGTCTGCAGTCTCGCATGTCGGCGGGTATGACCATGTAATGGTTTCTATTCCGACGGGGATATTGCAAAGAGTTGTCAATTGGCTACGTTGGCGATGCGTGATATAAGCTCAGCAGCACTTAAAACGTTACCCCTAGCCCAGGGCTAATTCCCTGCAATGATTTGAGGCCATGTATTGAAGCAAAGTCTCTGAGCAACCATGGCAACGACTACAAAGCGTCCCAACTTCCTTGTCATCGTCGCGGATGACCTAGGATTCTCCGATATTGCGCCGTTCGGTGGTGAGATATGCACGCCACATCTGGATAAACTGTCAGAGGATGGAGTTCGGTTCACCGATTTCCATGCCGCTGCGGCGTGCTCGCCATCTAGAGCCATGATCATGACTGGCACAGATCACCACATTGCTGGTTTGGGCAACCTGATTGAGTGGACCAACATCTCTGGGCAAAATGATCCCACTGGCAAGATGTCTACTAATGTTCAACGAGGCATGCCCGGATACGAGGGGTATCTGAACGAGCGTGTTGCAGCCTTGCCTGAAATTCTTCATGATGCCGGATATCAGACATTGATGGCTGGCAAATGGCATTTGGGGCTGACGCCTGAGAGAAGCCCCAAGGCCCGCGGCTTTGAGCGAAGCTTTGCTCACCTGCCTGCATGCAGCAACCACTATGCTTATGAGCCGCAGTTAGAATCTGGAGAGAAGTCACCCGAGTTTCTCACGATGAGCGTCATTGCTCTTCATAGTGAGGATGGGGAATATACCAAGCTACCTGAGGGATGGTACTCTTCAGATGGCTATGGAGACAAAATGGTCCAGTATCTCAAAGAGCGCAAGGAAGCGGATGACGACCGTCCGTTCTTTGGATATCTCGCATTCACAGCCCCGCATTGGCCGCTACAAGCACCACAAGAATACATCAAGAAGTATCGCGGCGTGTATGATAAAGGCCCTGATGAACTTCGACGTACGCGTCTTCAGAGCCTCAAGGATCTGGGCATGATTCCACAAGACGTTGAGCCTCACCCTGTTATCGCAGAGGAGGTCAAAGAATGGACCGACTTTAGTGAAGAAGAAAAGGCCCATTCTTGCCGTACCATGGAGGTCTTTGCTGGCATGGTTGAGTGCATCGATGCCAATGTTGGCAAAGTACTCGACTACCTGGAGGAGACCGATGAGCTAGACAACACCTTTGTTGTCTTCTTGTCTGACAACGGTGCCGAAGGCGCTGCGTACGAGGCCTACCCCATGGTTCAGGGATCCATGATGCAGCACCTCAAGAAATACTATGATAATAGCTTGGACAACATTGGAAACGGGAACTCTTTTGTCTGGTATGGTCCTCGCTGGGCTCAGGCCGCTACTGCGCCGAGCAGACTATACAAGGCATATACAACAGAAGGTGGCGTACGAGTCCCTTGCATTGTGAAAGCACCCAAGACCTTCCGTGGCCCTCATACTGACGGCCGACCTATCTCGGATCAATTCGCAACGGTCATGGATCTGGCGCCGACCATTTTGGATATGGCTGGCGTTCCACATCCTGCTCCGAGCTATCGTGGCCGCGAGGTTGTCAGCATGCGTGGAAAGTCCATGCTTCCGTACTTGAAGGGCACAGAGCCCCGAATTCATGAAGCGGACTTCATTAACGGGTGGGAGACATGCGGCCGTGCTGCGGTACGTAATGGTGATTGGAAGATCGTCTACATCCCCAAGCCTAAAGGGCCAGAGCGGTGGCAGCTTTACAACCTTTCCAATGATCCTGGCGAGGTGCATGACCTTTCAGAGCAAGAGCCCGACAGACTTGCCTCATTGATCAAACTCTGGGACCGCTACGTACTTGAGACTGGGGTAATTCCTCTCAGCCCAGAGCTGGGCAATTGGATAGCGGCGATGGAAGAGCAAATGCCCGAGAATGCGTGGATTGAGTATGAGTATTGGAAAGAGGGGGCACGTGATGATCCATCGAAATTTACGAAACAAATACCTAGGTTTTCTAGGAAGGCAATCTAGAAATAATTTCGCTAGAATGGCGGGTGCTGTACCTAGAATCGCAACTAACACCCACGAGCCTCCCTCAACTATCGATGAGATATAACATGTGACAATGTGCGATATGTACGAGATGAACTATAAGCACTTTTCTGCTAGTAACTAGCTTCGAGAATTAGAATCATTTTTTCCCCTGTGGGGGTATGGCAAACAGAACGCGTGCTCTGGGGTGTCCTTGAATCTCCTTCGATACGATGATCAGGTATTTCTCACGTTGCAAAAAGAGTTTCAAAGTAGACCCATGAGGAATAAAGTTAAGGTTGGACGAATATATCTTGACTACCTCAGCAAACATTGAGATCTAGCTTGCTCCTCCGCCACCTTGTCTTTGATCGGGCACGTTCGGGGTGATCCTGTTGCCTGGCCACTAACAATCATGGTCGGGCAGCTTTGCCCTCACCTTAGCCATCTGGGCCCTGTGTTCCAGAGTGGCGTTGAGATCCTTGGAGGTCTGAGGCCCCAGAACGGCAATGCTACCACCTCGCACGCCGCTGCTTTGAACGGTAACCGGCCTGAGTCTCTCTGGCCCGTCTGGCTGAAACTGGGCATCTGCTCCGTCATGGAGGTTGCCGCCCCTCAAAAGAAGTGAATCCTCATCGATGTTACTGTTGGAGATAATATCGCGGTCCAAAGAGCCTTGGTTGCTTCCCGAGATGCCTTCCTCAGATGGCAAGGCGCCTATCATAGGGTCGGGGGGACTCTGTTTGGTTGGTGTGAGGGCGAATTGGCTTCCAAGAAAGAGAGTTGGGGTGGGAGTAGAGCGGTCGTTAAAGCTGTGAAGCGGGGTATTTGGTTGACTCATGTTATATTCTTGACGGACTCTCACAACGGTAGTGTATGTATGCAACTCAAACAAAGAATGGTGGCTCGTATAATGGTGGATTGAGCCGATGTGGACTGGGATCGAAAGCAAAGCAGGGAAGGAGGCCTTTTAATGTGTGGTGCTAGGAAATGGACGCTTTCTTCGTCATCCAGGTTTATCAGGCATTATGCCTCATGCGCAGTGCTCTGCTGCAGGTGAGGGCGCCTCTTGAGGCACGTAAGACACCACTGGTTCAGCTCTCTTGAGTCCCCAGTTATTTAGGAGCCCTGGATGATACCTTTGGGCACCCAAAGGGTTGCCCAGACGTCGTGATTAGGATGGCTACTGTGCAAATCCTCGAATAGCCCCTTGTCTCTGCTAACAAGCAATACCTCCAACTGCGGCAAAAGTGTGTGAGCCATCGAGTATCTCTTAACCGAGGATTCTCCCATCAGCCAGCTGTAAACATGTTACCTTGCTGCTGCATTGCAAGCGGTTTGCGGCGACACCCCAGTTGCTATTGGCCCAGCCTCCGACGTCTTGCATTAGCCAGCGTGTAGACGGGCTGCGCTTGACGCCAGAATTGGTGATCAATCATCTGCATGGCTAGAGAGGTGGTGCTGCTACCCAATCAGTTGCGGGCTTCAGTCGCGCTCCGAGACATTGCCCTCAGCTCTGAAGCTAGTCAATAGGTAAAGGAGGGGGGGATTCAAACAAGACCAATCGCATCCTGGCGTCAATGATGCCAAGATGCGGCACACGGGGCTAGTCCTTGGGCCAGAGATACGGCTGAGTTGCCGCCCAAGAATCAGAGTATGCTATTGACGATCGCATCTCACCGTGCATGATACTAGCGATATCTAGCATAAGCTGCATACGGGTGTCGCACAAAGAACAAGGTTCTTTGAGTACGGCTGCTCGCCTCACTTTCTCTGGTCCATCCTAAAAACATGGCTGAAGCGATTTTGCTGCATCATTACCTTGCTATGACAGAATGTCTCAGGTCAGGATACGAGAAATCCCGAAAGACATTGCCTGAGCAAGGATTCTGGAAAGAAAAGAAAGAACCAGAAAAACAAAGAAACTGAGACAGGAGTAATGGTCGGTAAAAACATGACACAATGTACCGGCCAGGCCGCCTGTTTTGGACAACCTTAGACTTCTATTGCTTCACACCAGGGGCAATTACCAATCGATGTGAAGACCAAGGTTCTTGGTGAAATGCTAGCTAAAAGCAAATTTACACAAGCTTTTCTCACGTGTGGACATGCCAAGTTGGCCGCGTTGAGGGGAGAGTTCGGGAAAACACAAAGCGCCCTCCAGATTAGCATGTCAGAACTCAATAAATAAAATCCTTCAATTAATGGAGACCATTTTTCAGCTAATCCTGGTAAGCCGACTCGCGAAATTGAAAAACGATATTACGGTTTTCCCGTTCTATCCCGTTTCGATAGTGTTACTCTCAGAATCATATTCCCTAGCAACTCTAATTGGGCCGTGTGGGAATCAGTCGGTGTGATAAATACAGATGCAATAATTGTCTCAATATTATGGCATGATATTGAACTCAAATTCCTGCAAGAGAATGACTAGGGGGGACAGTCAACGGCACTGGGAGGGGGCAAAGGTGCGGGGTGTGAGTTGTCTCATTCCGCTCCGTCGTCGGCTTTCATCTCCAGCCACTGCGACCTAACAGCAGCGAGAACCGGATTGCTTTCCATTCGTTGATGTCAACAGGGACTAGGGAGGTATCAGGCGCTTAGCTTTGGGCATTGTCTATGCATGGATATTAGATTAGGTGAAGTGGTATACCTCTTAAGTGGGTTGAAAAAAAGGAGACACAGAATCGGACAGGCTCCTTTCTAGCCACCAGATACAGCAAGATGATTCTAATTTTTATGAAAAAACTCAGTAGGTAGTTTCCAGCCTTAGGTAGTTTTGTTTCCCCTTTTCGGAGCTTAAAAAAATCCCTATTTAGTTGGTAAACCTCAATGTGAGTACTTGGTGTAAGGGTGAGAGTGTACTCCGTTGGTGGTTTAGTGTCTCACTCTATTACAACCCGCTTGCTTCCTTCAATTAATACCTTGGGTGATTTGAAATTTGGCCATGCGAGGACCTACGAATTTACTCGCTGCCTATGAGACAATCTTGTTTCGTATGGGTGAATGATTGCTTGGAGTGTGTATTAATACATGTCTACACGCACGCTCGTCCCACCGATTGCATCAATGAACAGACCCTCTGAAGCTTGCCGAAGCTTGTTGAGCTACACTGTCAATTGTTTGATCGCCAGTCACTCGCTCTCTTTCTTGAGGCTTGAAGTGTAGATCAGGAAATGTTTACCTTGTCCCTATCAATCCAGCATTGAACCCTGTCATTACCAACAAGAAACGTCCAATATAGTTTGACAAAATCATCCACCTCGTCAGCATTATACTGTGACATCAGTGAGCTGGGACGCAGAGAAGGCACAATAAGTGGGAGTTTGCAACGGGATATCTCCAGCCATTGAAACGCCGACTCGGCCTCCCATAAACCGTGACGCGCAGTAAACATGATGCCCCCTGTACATTCCGCCGAGCCAAGCACCATAATCTCGTAGATGTTGCAAATAGTATTCACGATCACTTGTGTACGCCGAATGCTTTCGGTAAGGACCCACTGATGCCATAGCTCTGTGGATGCATTGTACTCTCTGTCAAACTCATTCTCAGCAACATTGGATGAGCCTTGGCCCAGCAGTCCATTCTCTCCTCGGTATGATCGTACGGCCTCCTGCATCAGGGTGACCCACTGCCGAAGTATGGGGAGCTGTCTCTGGCCAGAGGCTCGGGCACCAACGGAGCCATCGAAGAGCAAAATGAACTCATAGATGAACAGAGTCTGGACGCGTGCCAGGTGCGCCTGGAGACTCTTTGCGCCCTGGCCGACAATAGACGGGCGCTGATTGACAAACGTAGACAGTCGATCCATAGCAATCTGGATAATCAAATCTTTTACTGCTGGCGCACGACTGATGTACGTGGCCAGTGTTGTGAAAGCGTCTTGAAGGTAGGTAGGCATTCCTAGCCTGTATAGCCGCCGATGAATGAAGCTGTTGTACCCGTCCTTTATCCAGTCCACCAGCATTCCTTCCACTGCACGGATGAGAGGCTCAAGCTCAATGTAAGTGACACAAGCTGCTCTTTCGTCGCAGTGCTGCATCTGCCATGTCTCATCCTGCAAAAACCAAGGCGTCTGTATGCTCGAGATGTCGTCGTTTGCAGCAATTATGGCTTGTTCCACCAGGTTACTTTCGGGCGAGGGTAAAATGGGAGCAAGTGTTGGGATTAAATCTGAAAACTGATTGTCGTTGCCGGCTGCTATCGCCGTTGACAATCCTCCAAAGTCCGGGTCGTAAAGAATCTGGTCATATTGTTCAAGCATAGGTTCATAATCCACCCGAAGATCATTACGGCGGTCATGTGTAAATGGTCTTCTCTTCGATTGTGGGTAGACACAGGATACACCTTTGTCTAGACACCGCTGGCATTCAGGAAGCTGCTTGTCACACCTGCGCTTGGAGTCTGCACAAGCCATGCAGGCTTTCTGACGCGGCGTTCTGGTCATACTGGAGAGAGCGAAAAAGAATCAACAAGATCCGAAGTATCCAATGTTGATAGTATTTAGTACAAAGATCAAGATGAAGTTCTTGTCGACAGTTGTTCGGATGCTGACAAATCGAACTTGCGAGAGCCTTAGCAAATGATAATAATAGCTCTTCAACCACCCCGGTTTATCTCCTTTAAATGTCCGACCCCACCCAGGCTCTCATCCATTGCCTTTATGAAAGATTAAAGTGACAGATGGAGCGAGGGTGAAATCAGTAGACGGTCGAGACTGATCATGGCGGAAGCAGATATAAACCCAAGTGAAGTATTCTACGTAGTAGGCCCCTGTCATGATATGTGCTACAGGGGACATCTTGGGTGCGAAAGCCGAGATGCTTCCTATCATGAGAGACAATACATGAATAAGCTCAACAGGTTGAGGCGAGTTTCGTCAGACGTATTTTCAATGGGAGTCTTAGTTGTAGTTCACCATGGATATCCATTTCCTTGGCAGGACGCATTGGGGGACGTCGATCTCTGGATGGCGTCAATAGACCCCGGACGCACGCAATACCCCGCATTAAACAAACCACTTGGCAGCGTTGTAGTTCCTGGCACAGAGACCTTTCACATTCCGCTAGCGAGGCTTGGAGAAACTCTGTGGCGCCAACTCGACGCTGCGGTCCTCGTGTGACGCTTGTTCTTGGCCTGTCAAAAGAAAGAAGGGCGGCCAAGGGTGACAGCTACACGCAGAGATCCCACTCGGGTCCCGGTAATTACGAAAGAAATGTCAACGCCGATCTACTCCAAGGCTACCGGCCGATCCGGTCCCAAGACCAGAACAGGTTGCAGCACCTGTCGTCGGCGGAAGGTTCGGTGTGATGAAGGGCGGCCGACCTGCGCGAATTGCACACGTCTCAAGATCTCATGCGGGTTCCTTGATACTCACTTCCGGCCCGGGAGCAGTTCACGAGGGAGTGCCAGGCTGAGACACCCCATTCCAAAGCCAAGATCACAACCGGAAGTCAGCAGCTCCTCCTACGAGGTTGCCGGTGGTGGCAGTGCAGATGAATTCTTAAATTACGTGTCGATGATCGATAATTCGGCTTTCGCACCTGCTGGTTTCCAGAACGAAGAGGGCGTGGCTTCAAATTATGAATCGGCGTTAAGACCATTACATGAATCGCAAGAATCCCGTCAAGACTTATCCGGAGAGCTATACCCCTCACGGCAGGTTCCTGGATTGCCAGATATACAAGAAGCAAGCCTCTCTAGTTTTCCAGACACCCTGGCCTTTCAAGATGTTTTTCTATCTTCGATAAGTTCGACAGAGATGAATCTAGGCAGCTGCTCTGGCTTGCCACAGACACAAACATCTGATAATCTGACGTGGATGATACCGACTGAAACAGATAGCTCACTTGAGCAAAAGACTTCGGCTCTTTTGGAACATTTTACACAGGCATCCAATCCAATTGCCGTCATTGTACCAACACATATTGAGTGGACAACCGCTTCGCGTACCCTTCTATCTATGGCACAAAATTCTCCAGCTCTACTTGATGCAATATGTGCCCATTCCGCTCTCCATCTATACACATGCAGGAAGGGGAATGAGATGCTAGATGTGGCTTATAGCCATTACCAATCTTCGAGCAGCCAGGTGACTGTCTTTTTCGAGGAATCTCATCAAAATACAACGGATCAACCAACCAATAATCCAGAGTTGAAGAAGGCCTTTGCCGCCGTCTTTCTCCTCAGCCACGTCGAGCTTATAGCGCAGTCAACGCCAAAGGCCTTGACGTGGCCATTACAGCATGTCCATGCAGCTCACACACGAGTCCGCCAGCACAGCGAAAGCATCCAGGGTTGGGCAGGGACCAGTCGACGCTTACTGACTTGGATGACTTTGCTACAAAACAAAGCTGAATACAATGGGGGCAGTCCCTGTGCGAATCGTAGAGACGATGAGACTTTCGAACACAGTAGCAGCTCTTCTGAACGGCAAATGGATGAAAATGAGGGTCAAACCAAAGATGGGACTGTTTGGGGAAGATCTAACCATGGCAACGGTGTCTGGGGAACAGTTGTTGAATCACCTTCTCCAGCTGAGCTTCTAGGTGAAATTATTAACCAGCCAGCTCTTGAATTCCACCTTCGAGCACAAAGCTTTACTCCACAGATTATTGCTCTAGACAAACATCACCATAAAAGAGGCACGCTAGAGACCGACTTCGAAATCCTCAAACGTGGGATTTCTATAAACGCCAGTCTTCATTCACTCTGGGAAGAGAGACCAGCCATATTCCTATTGCTCGAGGACCCGATAGGAATATCAGATATTCTTCAGCCATCATACGGAAAGGTTGTGTTGCGCAACCTCCGGGTATACAGCGCAAACTTCTGGGCACATTACATATATCTTCATCGTGTGGCTTTCGTAGCCTACCCAGCCACGGATGATGTGACACGGGCCGTTTCTCAGATCAGCGAGCTAGCAAAGGCTCTTTCAGCGGGTCTTAGCCAAGAACAAGATGGAGATTGTGCGCTTTACTGCCAAAACTCTCCGTCGTCTCTCAGCCATGACGAAATCCATTTACCGCACTCCATGTTTTGGCCATTGTTCATGCTTTGTCTCGAATGCCCCTCTCATGAACGCGATCAGTTCTTGAATATGGTACGACAGATCTGCTGCCTTCCCAACTTTGATAAAGGTGTACTTTTGCTTGAGGAGGTGCTACGGAGGCAAGACGCAGCCAACGTTAGGATTGATCACAGGGATGTTCGAAAAGAACTGTTTGATTCGGAACTAAGCGTCATTTACTAGAAGTAGACTATCAATATTTTTCGACATTATCAAACCGAGTCAGTCGGCAAGGTTCCGCAGTCCTGTTCATCAGTCCAACTAAACGGCTCAAGCTCCTGAAAAATATCAAACGAGTCAGAGTCGGGCCATATAGACTGCTCTTCATGGTTATTTGGTTCACATAGAAAGCTCTGACTGGTGCCGGCCGGATCTACTACCCAAGGGGGTGCATCAAATGGTGCCGGATGAGGGTATTCGTTGGATATCCATGCCCATGTAACATCTTCGGGGTTGAATCTCTCGCTTATATGCAACGGAGGAGCCATCACGCTGGCATCAACCGACAAGTTCGGTTCACTACTAGGTGTGGGTTTTCCCTTGGAAACCGCATGCTCTCTTCGTTTCCATGCTTCCTGGACCAAGAGACAAACAGATTGCCTCAATGGGTTCTTCAGCATCATGGGCGCCGGGGTATCTTGCATTAGTTTCATCGCTGCATTCCACGCATTTTCCGAAGTGGAATCCCAGGCTTTGTCAAGGCGTAACTGGGCAAAGACGATGCAGACAGCGTGCCAATAGTTGTGATTGAAGAGGTGCCAACTCCACTGACTTGTGGAAGGGTGAAGCCTCCACTTGTTGAAATCCTCGATGCACTTGATTGAAACCTCGTATGACTGCTGCCTGAACGGTTCAGCCTCCGCGAGACTTGATAAATGGAACAGGTGCACGTGGCGAATGATGAGCTCCATCTGGTCAACCAAGGCATTCACTCGGTACTTCATGAAAGCTAGAAGGTCTGTTTCGGGCTTGGAAGTTCGAAATGTCTGCTGAAGGATCTGCCGTTTCAACTTCTCCGTTGCCTCCAAAGCGTCCGTCTGCAATTTATCTCGCTTCTCTCCAGGATTCATAAGTAAGAAGACCAGGCCGTGTATCTTTCGACCCAGACGCCATAAATCACACAAAGCGAGCGCATAGCTCGTCTCAGTGAAGCCTTCTCTTGGGACGGGGGCCCCCGTCATATCCGGGCTAATATCTTCATCGTTGATGTTGCAAGGCTCCCGAGTATCAAACATTCTGGGGCCGAGTGCCAATTGAGGCACGTCACATTCGCCTACACGGTGATCGAGGAAGCAAATGTGCCACCATAGGCGCCGTCGCATCTCGGTGTCGAAGTGTGATACATTAGCAAAGTTGGAGCCATCGCGATGAAGACCGAGGGACATGGAGGTCCTAATCAAAACGCCGGTCATAGTCCATGTAGACCGAGAACCGTAATATTGCCCGGCCATCTCCAGGTAGATAAAAAAGGCTTGTATGACATGGATGTCAGTAGTTTCTAGGACGCCTGCATCCGACAAAGCTCTTTCGGTATTGCTTAATAACCAAGTCGTCATGGACTCTTTGCTTTCGTCGAAATTTTCTTGCACCTGCGATATATTAGCATCAGGCGACCATCTAACGGGGCGGTTTTATTACTTCAATCTCATCCAGAGAAGTGATGGCGGCGAGAGATATAGCGTACATCAGAGCACGAAGGCCCTCGGACAGAGAATCAAACTTCCCCTTTGCCTGCTTGATGACTTTCCCCATGCTAGGAACATGTAAGATTTTGATGAACGGGTCCACGTTATCTACGTAAACCTGCCACAGATACGGCACTTGGGAGGGGAGAGGTTGGCGGACTGTGTCACTGCCTCCCGTCTGCATGCCAGAGAAGAATGGCGTGCGGCTTGTGTGATCGAGGTGCATCGTGTCTTGTACATTTTCGTTGTCAAGAACATCTCTCATATTTTTAATCTGTATTCCGAGTCAGCATCAATTGATCTGTCGTCCCCTCGGACACGCGCACCTGATGGTTGAGCAAAGCCCAAAACTCGTTTCCCACGTAGATACATCCCGTCTTGTCAATATAGAGCTTCCCAAAATCACCGGACATGTTCTCTTCCGTAGGATTTCCGCCCGCTGTTTGATGGGTGCCATGACATGTACAAGAACATGACTGGGTAGGATTGTCTGGCCTTCGTGGTGCGTCTCGATGGGTGCTGGCCTCCTCTACAAACTGTTCCAGGTGCCGCAGCCGAGCAAGCAACTCTTTCCTGCCCTCCAGAGATGGCGCAGCTGCAGCGCCTGGAAGCCCGTGCTGCCTTGTTGGCATGCGGCCGGAGACTGGATACGTACATTGGAGGCCGGACTTGGTACAATGCATACAAGGGCGGCATCTATTGCACCGATACTTGCGGCGGCGGCAATTGAAGCAGCTCCACGGGCTGACCGCCGGTGGCGAAGAGTTCTTGCTGTCACACCGGCTGGGTTCCATGACGTGATTTGATGCTTGATGTCCGGATCTATTGCACTGTTGGAAGTGTCTCAAGGTGAGTTATTCGGACATGAGCTGCTTTGTGGTTACGTTCAGATGTGTCAGCTGGTCCGACCTTCAGGTCCGTTGCGGAGTTTCATGGGGCACCTTTATAGGGGCAACCAGCCAAGGATTGGTCAAAGCTTTGGTCCGAGTTTTGGTCCGACTCGGCGCTCAAGTTTCCATGTATCGTGATGTAATCAAGCGAGTCTGCTGTAAGTCATGTGGAAAACGCAAAAAATATAAGAAAGAAGGAACATAGCCGTGAATGAATTACGACCCATAAACCGACTCAGACAGGCAATATCAAGAACAAGAACAACCACCATGACTACGCTCCAGCCACTTACTCTCTACGCCATTCGCGCCGGAGCTAATCCCTGGAAGGTTGCGTACATCCTCGAGGAGCTTGGCCTTCCCTATAAGATGGAACAAGTCGAGTACCCGGACTTGAAAAAGGAGCCCTTCCTTTCACTCAATCCGAACGGGCGCGTTCCTGTTCTAAAGGACCCAAATAATCAGGATATGGTGCTTTGGGAGGTGAATGCAATATCCCAATCGAAGAGCTAGCCGTTCAATACTGACTCTTATTCTCTAGTCCGGGGCTATCATCGACTATCTGATTGATGTCTACGATAAAGAATTCAAGCTACACCACCCAAGCGGGCCCGAGAAGTACGCAACCTGGGCCTGGGAGCACTTCCAGATGAGTGGACAGGGTCCATACTTTGGACAGAAAGCCTGGTTCGAGAGATACCACGCTGAGAAGCTGCCATCTGCGATAGAAAGATACCGCAAAGAGATCAAGCGGGTCCTTGGGGTGCTCGACTCTCACCTGGCAAAACAGGGGACAGACTATCTGACTGGAAATAAAGTGACCTATGCGGACATCATGTTCATCCCGTACTTCAAAGGGCTCGTGGTTATTGCTCCTGAAGTCAGTACGAGCGAGTTCAAAAACTACGAAGCGTGGCTTGAAAGGTTGATGTCACGTCCAGCCGTTGCCAAAGTCTGGGCCAATCAATCAGAGACCCTTGCAACTGCGGCGGCACAGCCCCCTTCGCAGGAAGTCATAGACTCTCAGTGAAAAGGGTTTTTTTTTTGTGGAATTGATCTACTCTCGGGGGAGGGGGACTACGTTTCGTTATGGACAAGATAAAAAACTCCGTTCTTTTACTATCACCTCTTGCCTATAGTTAAAGTTGGGCTCTTTATAAGTACGAATAGCCTGGATAGCGTCCTCTATAAGCGGGCTCATTATTGGCCTATAATGCTAGCCATAGCCTTTGCATCCTGTTTGAAGGAGAATACGTTTTGTTCGCAGTCCTGTGAGATAGAGTCCTTCTGAGCAGTTGTCAAAGATTTTCCCGTTGATATCAGCCAACTCCTCTGATTCCTAATCACCGGATTAGTCGAATGTTTCCTGTTCCTCTTGAACGGGAACCAACGAACCTTGGAAAGAGTTCGATTATCACTTGCAGCCACGGGCGTGAAAGCGTAGAAGAGCGCATAGCCGACTTGCTTAATTCCAGCGTCTTGAATCTCGTTGGCTATACCTTGTGTAATATTGTTGAATAGATCAATGCTGTGCAAACTGAATTGTTCAGGCACGTCGTTCATCTTAGGTCTTCTCGAAATACAGTATACTCGCTCCCAGATGTCGGACTGCATGTACCAATTAGCTCGATTCATATATATCTTTGCGAAGTCAGTGCGAACTACATGCATAGACATGACTTTGAGCATGTAAGCTCCGGATATGCCGTTCGCGCCAGCCACTAAAGCGCCTTTACCGTGATATTCTTCTCCGTATAGGGGAAGACCGTGGTAGATGCCTTTGATTTCTATCCTCGTTTACTGTACTCGCACTCTTCGGATCGGGACCACGGGAGCCAAATTCAACGATGCAGCTTCACAGGCCGCGTGACCAATGTAAGAATAAGACTCTACCTATGTCTTTCACAGTGATTTTCCAATTAAGGGATAAGATATATAGTGCTGAAGGACAGAAGGCCCGCTAAATAACCAAACAACTTTAAACCCCCTGTTTTAGTTGCATCTCAATGTTTCATTTCTTTATTAGCGAAAGGGATATAAATGTACTACTATGCTTTAAAATTTTCATTTTGGTTTTTTCAATAATCCCGGAGGAAGGACTTGGGAAGAAATGGGTCCTGCACGAACGCTGAGCTGCGGACTGAGAAGACACACAAAGTCCGTAACTCCGTGTACATCTGGGAAAATCTACAACAGCGGCAAGGTTATGCCGTACCAATGCACCTTGTGTCGGACATTGGGTTTAAGAGATCGCGTCTTATGTCCGCCACCTATCTCCGTATATTTTGTTGATCTTTCGGGCAAGATATTGCTCTCGAGATCTTTGAGACTAGAAATAGACTCGGTCCATACACATTGTCATAAATTAGTCTTGTCTATATACGCTTATTAGCTCCAGTTTGAAGCCCTCTTATTTCCTCGCCGGCATCTGAGAATATCAAACAAAATCGCAAATACAAGCCATGCCTCCCGCTCGGGGCACTCCGAATATCTTGGAAGGACCAGGTATGTACCGCACAAACGCAATGGAATCGGGAATCCTCGAGAACACTGACTGGAAATAGGAGATTATGATGTAACTTCCATCGTTCACTCGGATACTTATCCAGGAATCGATCCAAGAAATGTAGACCTCAAAGGCACTGTCGTTTTCATTACCGGGGGGTCTAAAGGCCTCGGCCGAGCCATGGTGTTATCGTTTGCCAAGGCAGGGGCATCCTACATCGCAGCTGGCGCACGATCCGATATGTCGCAGCTGGCAAAAGATGTTGCCGCTGCAGCAGCGTCAGCGAAGCGGCCCCAGCCCAAGTTTTTAGCCATCAAGTTGGACGTGACCAGCGAGGACAGTGTCCAAGCTGCCGCAGATTCCATCAGGGCAGAGTTTGGTAGATGCGATGTCTTGGTCAACAACGCCGGCTTCCTCGGCAAGTCCACCTTGATCGCCGATTCAGACCCAGCCCACTGGTGGAGCATCTTCGATATCAATGTTCGCGGTCCGTATCTTGTCTCCCGCGCATTCATCCCCCTCGTGCTTGAGAGCGAGAAGAAGACCATCATCAACGTGAGCAGCATGGGTGCGCATCTCACAACTCCGACTGGCAGCGCCTACCAGATCTCCAAATTAGCTCTGGTCCGTTTCTCTGAATTTGTCGATGCGGAATATGCTGGCCAGGGGCTCGTGACAATAAGTATCCATCCTGGAAATAGTCCCACCGATATCGTTGGAGATTTCTCAAAGCTACCTGAAATTCTCAAGCCCGGTGTGTAAAAAGAAACACCCTAAACTGATTACTTCAGAGGCTGATAATATATAATAACAGCATTCACCGAGACGACAGAGCTTGCGGGAGATTCAGTAGTCTATCTCACTGCGGAACGGAGGCCCTGGCTTAGCGGGCGTTATGTCAATGTGACTTGGGACCTACCGGAGCTTATTCTAAAAGAAAATGAGATTGTGAAAGGAGATAAGCTAAAGGTAAAGTTTATCTATTAAATAGACAAGTCTTTCGGGCTAATTTATCCCAACCTCTTCGATCAAAATAAACACAGTCATCATTGTAACAAGAGGATTTATTAAACCTTCCTACCGCCTGGGAGAACGAATTCCTTTTTCTCCTGGAAATTTGAACACGGCTGCGTAAGGCATGAGCGGGCTGAGATAGTTAGCATTTCTATCCTTCATTGATTCAACAATGAAAGAAGGACAACTCTCGACTCATTCAATGCCAGTTCGTTTGCTGAATTTGCAGAGTATACACAGGTTGGAAATCTCGATGGTCCCTTAAATGGCTGATATGAGAGTCTGTTGGTGGCGTGCCTACACAGTTATATTCCGAATTTTAATGAATTACCTAGAAAGGTTATAGAGACCAGGGTTTTTTTTGTCGCCTCATTCTGACTGCCCGTTATTTTGCCTTCAACTACAACGTGGGCTCTTATTAGCCAATCCGTGGATCATTTCAGACGCTGGGTTGCATTGCCTATACTTGGTTTTGCGTCAGCGCTGTCTCAAGTGGTCCATTCGATGATCACACTTTTGATATCATGGGCACTGTAAGACGCCATGACCTCACAAAAAGCACCACAAACATGCACCGCAACGGAGGAACGTGCAGGGCAATTAGTAAGCAACTGAATGTGATGGCACATTGGGCTGACAGGCTGGAGACGGCTTTATCCACTTTGGCCGCAATCTCACAAGCAAGACCAATCAAACTGGGCGGTAAGCATCTCCAGCCGTTGACAGTATTGCATGGGGCTGACTGACTAGCAGCGGCTAGTCTGAGAGAATCGATGGAGGGTCTCGAACACCCATGATCCCTCCCGCAATGCAGATGGTCAGCTATTTTTATGCGCTCTGGTGGAGGACAGCCGCTGAACACTGCAGAATTAACGGTGACCAGACTGTACCAGGAAGGTATTGAGACAAGGAAGTGCCCAAGCTTTTCTTTCACGTCGTACCTGCGACCTTTCAGGGACTGATTTCTTGCATACTAACAGAGAAGTCGGGACAATCGGGTCAGGAGGGATTCGGCTGCTGGTGCCGTGCTGCGACATTTAGCGCCTTTTTGCTGCATCTCGACCCAGCCGCAGATTCAGCCGCAGATGGTTAGACATGAAAAGAGCGTAAGGCAGACTCGCTGCCTGCAGAGAGATGGCGGACTACGGCGCTGAGTTATCAGACACTAGTAGTTCTGGCCCGGACCCCTTGCTGCCCACATCACGAGAAGATCGCGGGGGGGAAGAATCCCTCCTAGTCTCTCCCACTTCTTTAAGTGACGACGATCTTCTGGATAGAATCAAATGCAGGCTTCTTCACCGGCCTGCCTACTACCTATTGAACTTGCCCCTCCCTAACGGCTCCAGTCGTCAGGCTTGGTTGAGCAAGACGTCGGCACCCGACTCCCACAGCAGCGATGCCCTTCGACTTCAAAAAGTACGACCAGAAATGTGCTGCACTCACCGCAGAAGAGCTCCAACGTGAGTGGCAGCACTACACCCGACTCATCACCGGCGCTGCCACGTCTACCACCGTCTCCGGGCTTGCCATCCCGCTCACGGCAGGTGTCTCGACAATCGGCGTTGCCCTCGCCGCCCCTGCGATCCATAACGCTCGAAGGAAGCGAGACATCATTGAGAGGCACCTTAACAGGCATAATACAACACATCAGACTAGGAAACGAGACGTGCTGGGTGGTGTGGCTGTCAGTGGAACGATCGGTGTCGTCACCCTAGGCGTGGGAACCTTGGGAGCTGATGCTATCGCCGCTCAAGGTGCAGAGCATGGCATCTCTGCCATCGTCGAGAACGAAACAGCCATCAAGGTTGTGTCCCATGTCGCCTTGGACGGTGTAGGCCTGGGTATCGAGCATGCACACACCAATCATCTAAAGAAGCGAGATGCAAGGAAGGCCTTTGAGGCCGCTGGGGTATTCCAAGCCGTCAATGAAGCAAAGGCAGCCGAGGCTGGATATACCATCCAGCCTTACAACCCTCAAGGTGTCGCGGCGGAGAGCAGCGCCAGCCTCCCCTACTACGCTCCTCCTCCTCCCTATTCATATGCCTCTGGCTCATCTCAAGTTGGGATCCCAGAGAACTATGCAGTCTCTACCATGAACCCCGATCCCTACTACGGGCTTGATTCCAAGGCACCCATGCCGCCGTACTACCAATCAGAACCGAGTCAAGAGTTGTATGCTGGAACACAAATAGAAGAATTCGCGCCACCAAGCATGCCTCCACCGACCGTTTCTGGTATATACGATATGAATGCCATGGGGGCAGCTCTCCCAACCGTGGGTGCAGCCGTGCCTGTTTCTCACGCCCTGGGCTATCAATCTAACCAGGGGTATGATGCATCGCGTTCAGCCTCATTTGGAGACCAAGGAACATATGTGCAAGCACCGGTACAACCTTTAGATTTCTCAGAGCTGCCTGTTGGAGCTCCGACACAGCCACCAGTTTCGGCCACTCCAGCTGTCGTCATTGCAAGTTCCGCCAGTTCTGGCATCGTTACTTCGCCACCGGTATCAATCGGTACCTCTGTCATCTCCTCACTGCCTCCTATTGTAAGCGCAGCGGAGGGTTCTGATTCCCAGACGCAACCACCTAATGAGTTCATGTATCCCCCACCAGCAGCACCGCCACCAGGACATGCAAATTCAGCACAGTCAAAGCCTCTTCCTGACACTCGTGGTTCGCTCTATGCTGGTGAAGCATCGTCTACATCTCTATCTACCACGACGCCTGTCTTCGGCCAAGTCTTTCCCAACGCCCAGACAGAGCCACAGACTCCATACCAGCCTGCTCGAGGGACCTTGACAGGCTATTCGGTACATACTATTGAACAGCCCTCATTCCCACCCCTGAGTGCCCAGGGAGCCGAAGCATCAAGTTCAGCAGATCATCACACAGGGGTTTCTACTCAAACAAATCATGCTCCGACTGCCAGGAAATCCGGTATACCTTTGATCCCTCAAACGCCTCAGCCAAGTTCTCACATAGCAATTGGAGCAGTCCAATCCTCTCCAAACGAAGTACAGGCACCTTCAAGCTTTCATCATCCTGCGTCAGCTCAATCAGGCTCGTTGCAACGTCATCTCACTACTCCGGTTGCCCCTAAACCTCTGAATGCTTCCCGAAGGGCGTCAGTTGTTCCTCTTCCATCACATCCACAGCAAAACTTTTCTTCTCCACCGACTGAAGCCCAGCAGCCTCAGTACATACTGCAGTCCGGTCCCATATATGGACAAGAGACTTTTCATCGGCCGCAGAGCAGTATGCCTTCCAATAACTTCGCATTACCGCCAACCCCTCAATCTTTGCCTACCTCACCGCCAGTGTTCCCAACAAATAGCACCAGTCCAAGCTATTTCCCCCAGGGGGCTGTTGTGGCCTCCAACAACCTCATGTCTGAGACTATTACGGAGAGTAGCCATTCCTCCTTGCCTCCTTTCAAGCCAAACGACAAGCAAAACTTCAACACTCTCACAGCACAACCTCTACCACTACATTTGCCAGTTAACTTGCCAGATACGCCCATGGCAAGCCCAACTTCAACCGCGGTGTGACCATGTCAATTGCGAGTTTCTGCGATTACCTATGTTACTGATTTCGAGCGTTTTAGCTAATGTATTTTTTTTTTTTATTCACGATACTTAAGGATATGCCAGACAATTTAAACTTTCACATAGATAGTTAGATACCATAGTTGCATTTATATAAATAATAGAACCCATAAAGCTTCCCAGAGGTTCATATTTCAAGAGACTGAAGGTCCTCTTGCTAAGCTAGAAAGGGCCATCATACGTGATTCCTGCTTTGTGAATAAGCAAGTTCCCGTTGAAATGAAGAGTTGGGTCCGACCTCTCTATTTTTTTCCCCGATCTTATATGCTTAATCACTTCCTACAAGCTGAAGTTGGTGATGTTAAAGACCGGGCTCATATTGCGTTGCCCCTTTGGTATCATTTTAAACGAACCACTCACATTCAGTTTCATCTTTATCTATTGAATTGAAAGGATTAGTCTTTTTTAACTTATCTCAGCTGCTAAGAATTTCGTTTCACAAATAGGGTCCCGGCCATCAGGGCCATTTGCATGTCCCTCAGCCACCGACCTTTCTACCCACTGCCTTCTCGTCGCGCTAAGAACGAAGAAACTACAGACAGGAAAGGCGAGTTAACAGAACATAAACCATGTGGAAGCCCAAAATTGTAAACATGTAAACCTCAAAACTATTCAACAGGTAGCGTACTAATAGTGGTAGGTGTCTTATCCCAGACTCCAATCAGGCACACTTGCATGGCCTCGCAGCCCATGGATCGAGAAGATTCAGGATCTTCTCCACGTCCAGGCAATCAGTATCCATGAGCTGAAGCGAAAGGTCGGCCAGTTCCTGCGGCGGGGGCTGTTCTCCGCTACTGGCAGCCTTGATCAAATTAAGACCCAAAGAACACAGGGTGCGGACGGTACGAGCCTTTCGAACCAGATCATTAAGAAATTTCAATTCGCGCTCCGTAAAAGTTGGGATGTGTGGTACCTCACCGCATCCGTCATCTCGGAGTAGAGGAAGCAGAAAGATGAGGCCGACGTGGCCGCCACACATCATGTTCAGCCTCCTTCCCTGCTTCAGGAAGTTCATGATGGTATTCGAGGGAAAGGGAGACATGGAGGCGACATCGGGAGCAAGGACCGAAGTAATGTGACCCTCCACAGTTAGGAGACGGTAGAGGTAGAGCTTGCCCATCCGAGCATAAAATACGTTGAAGTCTGCTTTACGGAGAGTCCCGTATGACTTAATCACATGGCAAAACAGTGCTGCCTGGGAGCGTCGGTCTTGGCCTGGCTGAAAGGTTTTGTCGAGATCATCTGGTATCTCGCTTTGAATGTCGTGGAGGACAAGGGGGAGGTTGAAGATGTGCTGGGGACTGAGCACTCTTTGCGCAACGGATCGTCTTTCTGAGCTGATATCGCTGAACTTGATGCCCCAAAGTGTGCAAATACATTGCTCTAAGACAGAAATTCCGCTATCTTTCTTTTTGATTGGGAAAGGCCGGACAACCACGCCACTGCTAGGCTGTTTAGCCACCTCTTTCTTCTGCTTTTTGCGGCTGCCCTTGCTAGAGGCCTCGGGGTCGTCATGATCTTTGGTCCTCTTTCTTTTTTTAGACTTTTTGGTGGTAGACGTATTATTTTGAAGGTTCTCTCGGTGCTCTGCTGCTGCGCTTCGTCGCAAGGCTCGAATGGCTCGTGAACTTTCAGGGCTGCATAAGAGAGCAATATTCATTAGATTCCATTCTCGATCTGGGGATTCACTTTTTTTTCGGTTACTCACCAATAGGGCTCCTTTGCAAGACCATTGGCAACTGCGGGGTTGTCGGCGCCCTGGGGGGGTTGATTCGAATCAAGCCCAATGAGAAGTCGCTGCGCGTGTCGATAGGTGTTGTGAAGTCTCAGGCGTGTTTTGTCAGTTTCATTTTCTGGCCGGCTTTGCAGGCCCATTGACTTCATTCGTGCCACCTCGTTGGACAGGAGTGAGCGAAACTCGGCCTCCAGGCTTTCCAAGCTGGCTTTGTCCATGGTGGAGATTTGATCTGTTCTTCACGAGATTTAACCTGTTAGGATCATGACTCGTACCAAGCTTGCAGGGCGATTTCGACCTACCAGAGATCATATCTCACGTTTAGCCCTTGCAAACTTGGTTACCGCGAGGCGGCGATGTTTTTCTTGTCGTCGTTGCGGGTGTCGCAACTCCGGTGCAACTTGCAAAGCAGAAATTGTGCAATGAACGATGGAGAAAATTCAGGAACTGATTATTTCGACATGATACCGCCACCTTCGTCGTATTCGGCATACAACCAGGTGGTGATGAGAGGATTGATTGTGCGTAAGGGAGGAAAAGCCTTGGGGCAAGTGAACCTGAGGCTGGAAGGAGCCTCGCGGGTGAAGTCGACACCGCCTTCGCGCTCTGTGCGGCAGAATAACAAGTGCCAGTCAAGTCTGAAAAGTCTGTCCCTGGTTCTCTCCTTCTTTTCATTGCACTTTCTAGGTTAAGTTTATCATTTATATCGCTTCCTGTCCCAGCTTTGCACATTCTGAGACTGATAAGACTCCAAAGTGCCATATTAATGTCTTCAACTGCTGGCCAGTGGCTTTGCGTAGACGGCCCTTCGCGCCAAAGTAGCAAAGTACACCTTCTAAATCTTTCCCATTTAATCTACAATCCTCTCAGATGATGCGAGATTGAAGAAGGAATATGCTAAGATGCGAAACAGAGATATATCAAATGAGGCTGTAGGGTAGGCTAACAGGCCTCACCGGGCTTAAGGGTAACACCGCTGCCTATTCCGGATTTGGATAATGCTTCAGGCTTGGCATTTGATGTGGATGATTTGATGATGTTGGATTTATGGGGCACCGCCTTTCCCCCATGATCCATCAAGGGACTGCCACTTCCAAAATCCATCACCGTCTCTATCAACCTCCATTGGTAAAATTCCAAGAGTAGAATGCTTTTGCACCCACACAGAGACCTGGCTATCCACTACTGATATACGGGCTCAACAGGCGAGCGATCCCACATTGGACCACTCACCAGCCGGCAATTAAGGTGCCCTCGGCAGAAACCCTCACCTCAGTTTACCTAACTTCACCTCTATCCGTTTACAAGCCGTTAAATCCACATGCCAACTGACAAAATGGCAAGGGGTACAGGAGCTTCCCGGAAAGCAAAAGCTAATGCCAAATCAGAACGACCCACACGGACCTCGTTCCCGTTCGTCATCGCAACAGATCTGGGCAAGACGAGGGCCCAGGATATGAAGATGATACGTAGCCACGTTGTCCGGGGTAAAGGCAGGCCGAAGCGAGGATCTGCTGTTGCCAAGCCTTCTGTTGGGACCTGGATCAAGGCCCAGGCTGAGCAAAGCGTGTTACTTCCATCCCAAGCGGCTGAACCCGATCGTACTTCGAAAAAAGACCCTTCACCACCAGACTCATCACCCCAAAGCTCGTTTCGAAGTGGGTCAGAGGATGAATTTGCTATAAGAAACAGGAGAGGACTATTCTCAAACTCATGTCCTGAGCAAGCGCCGTGGATAATGCGCTCGCTCAGCTTCACACCTGGAATGGATCCGAAAATGCTAAATAAAATCTTTCATTGTAAGCTGTACCTAAAACATCCTTCTTGTCCCTTGCCCTCTCTTAAAGTTCTCATCTCCTCATAATACTTCCTCAAGGATAGAGCATTGAAACAAGTCCCCTTTTCCCAAAGACTGACACACTAATCCATTAAAATCAAAGGCTTTTCTACTCTCAACTCCGGAATGTATCCACCAAAATTCTGCCTCGTATACGACATCTTCGACTCTTGCTGGCTCAAGTTCATGATCCAGGACCTTCTTTTCTCGTACACAGCCCAGTTCATTGCCGAGGCTTTTACATCTTGGGAATATGGCGGAGCACTTGGTGCAAGAGCATCCAGTCTTCTATCCCAGGTGCTTGTTACTCTTCAGCAGGCTATTGAGGACAACGAAACTGCCACCGCAGATGCTACAATTGGAACAGTACTGTTCCTGACACTCGCCGCTGATATTGCGGGGGATACTAGTGGTGCCATGAAACACTTGCGAGGCCTCCAAAAGATTGTTTCTATCCGGGGAGGCGTGAGAAAGTTGAATAGTACCCAGCTCCAAGGGAAATGCTACAGGTAAGTGTGGCGCGTCTTGCGATCATCACTTATCGCTCTACTACCTATTCTGAATTGATTCTCATACGTGGATAGAGCTGATCTCCAACTTTCCATGATTTTGGGCTCGAGACCATGCTTCTACGCAGACGAGATGACGTGGGAGCCATTTTTCAAGTCGATTAAAACAAAGACAATCCACTGTGCTAAGCTCGAAACTTATTTGAGCCAATCTGTCGGCTTCCCCGACCCGCGACTCTCCGCCATCTGGACCGATGTACAGGAGCTTTGCGCTATAGTCGACTTATCTATCCTCACACAGCGAAAGATTCGACCAGAATTGTATCAAGAGGTCTTAGTTTCCATTCAGTACAGATTACTTCATCTAAGCTATTCGAAATGCCCAACAGATGTGGGTGGTGATCAAAAATGGAAGGATATGCATGAAGCAATCCGATTGGGGATTCTAGGGTTAACCACCACTCTCTTCCTGTATAGGGAGAAGGTTGATACGAGCTATCTTACGATTGTATCACGCCTTGATGCAAGTCTACTTCAATTAGAGGAGCCAGCAGATGACAGGGCTTGGGAGCTCAGAGTATGGCTTCTGTTCATGATGTCAGTCACGCTCGGTGGCGGTGGCGATAGGTTTGATGGGCTACTGGTGCGGGGATTGGAGGCGCTCCGGATCAAGTCTTGGGCTGCAACTAGGCAGCTTTTGAAAAGCTTGCTGTGGATTGATCTGCTTCATGATGAGGTTGGAAGGATGGTGTATGGCCGCTGTACGGGCGAGTCGTGAGCATGAACAGCACCCGACCAGCTTTTTGATTTCATACAACTTTCGCCATGCAAGTACTACTGAGACAATCATGAAGTCAAGTTTCAGCATCTCTAAACCTTTAGGAATATGCTTTTTGAAAAAGCCCCCTTTGTTACTATACCCTACCTATCTAAAACAAGTATCTCGGCTTCAATATCACCAATAAATCAACAGGCTCCTAATCGTTTTCGCAATTCTGATTAATTTGTGGTGGAGAATCTGCCAAAAGCTCTTCTTCTAATCATTCGACTTTAAAGCGCAAGCTCCCAGAAGACGGCTCGCGATTCAAGACTGATATCCTGGGCCGATTCGCCCATAGTTTAGACACATCGCAGGACCAATACTCTGAAAATGAAACTGCAAACACGCCAGAAACAAGCCATGCCTCCTTGAGTGGTAACTTCTGAGAGATGTTCACCTCTTCGCATCGCGAGGGGACAGAATTATGCTTTAGAATCGGGATGAATGTGCGAGGGTGAATTAAATTTGAGTTGGGGTCAGCTCTCAAGATCTGAGCTTCACTAGCAACCAGCCCTTCGATGGTCTCATCACCCCCTTCTTGAGATACACTCATCTGTCTCATAGAATCCGTAAGATCAACAATCCCACCCGCCCCAAAAGTGGATTTGGCAAGATAACTCTTATTTCCCTTCAGGCATCCTTCAGCAGCGGAAGCATTTTCTGAAGACAATTCAGGAATGTGGTGACCAGCTGCTGTGAATGCCGGGATCGCAAACCCTCCGTCTATGAGCTGGAAACCATCGGCCAACACAGTTCTCTCAGCTTCTTGCGCCCAGCGAATCCGATGTATTCGAATATGCCAACCTGGATTAGATTGTGAGAGTGGGATAAGACTTGTCTCAATTTGGAGGTCTACATTTTTCCACGGCCTCCATGAACTGGTCAAGACTGGTCCTTCTGTTCCACCAATGACTACCCGTTCGACACAGGTGTTTATCGGGTTGTTCCGGACCTTCCAGCTGTCTCCATCATCGTTACTCACACATAACGTACTATCGGGAGCCAGCTGTGCCAAGGATGGGCCTGTCGGCACACTGAAACCAAAGGCCGAAGAGTACGCAAACTTGCAATATTTCGCGTCTTTGGCCTTGTGTAGCTTGTTGGTCATTTGAGCGGAGGAGAGTAGGTAGTGATGCTCTTGAGTGTTGTTCAGAATATGATGAGGAGCTTTGATTAGCTGAGTCGTTTGCAAGGAGCTCCCAGGGTACGGGGCTTCTTCGCAAGTCCAGAATGGATGATTCTCTGGTAGACTTAAGACCACGAAAGTTTTCAAGCACCAGAATACAGATTGTGGCGAATTGTAGTCTTCACACAGGTACATATTGGGGTAGGTGAAGCCAATGTTCAAGATACCGTCCGAACTGAAGATGTCGGTATGTTTAGACCACCATCTGAGATGGCGCAGGACTAGCCCTTTGACTGCTCCCAACTCATGGACCGGGTTAGGTAGTTCAATCCCTGCCACAGCTGCGGCAGCCCAGAAAGCACTAAAGGCGAAACGGTAGGTCAAGCTTCGCCCGAATGGGATAGCAGCTCCTGTAGAGTCTGTCAGCTATATTTCACCCAATATTGCTCTTGATTCTGATAGGGTTCTAGCTACCATCTTCATTGAAGTATCTCCAGTAGTTCGTAGCAAATTCTTTTGCTTGCTGAGTGTATCTCTCAACTCGGCTGTCATCTTCGACTGCGAACCTCACGTACATCAGCTGAGCAAATTGCATCGCGAAGCTTCCCGAATAGTAATCAGCTTGTTTTCTTTCCTGGGACCACTTCCCGTCGCTGGACCACCCGTCCTCGATATAAAAAGAGTCCAGGAGGTCAAAATCTGCGTCCATGATGGCTCTGACCTCGCTCCTTGGCACGTTAAAGAGTCTCACGAGTGTCAAGTTGACAAAGATTCGAAACCAACGCCAATTGTTTGGTGGCATGTCGTGCTGGTTTATTTGCGACATCCACGCCTTTAGGTTGCTTTTTGCCTTGTCATCTAGTAGAGGCAGTAGATGGTCTGGTGCAGTGAGGAGGGCGAGACAAATCGACTCTGTCTCGACCATCCGCTGGTCAAAATCCGTCATGTCCCCCCAATATTCCACGCCACCGGGATTAACGCCCGCTGCTAATCCCCTCATCCATCTCAGAAGAACCAAGTTGTCCCTCTCGTCGTTGATAAAGGCTCCGATGGCCAGCAACGGTCTTGAAAACCCTTCAAGCTGCGCGGCAACATCATCAAAACCCGCCACTGTTGCTGGTCGAATCTTAACGCGTGCACCTTGATCAGAGCGATAACTTTCGAGGGGGCGAACGAGAGCTTTTGCAGCTGTCGCTATATCAGAACGGTTCAGAAACGAGTTGTCTGTGAAACCTGACAACGAAGGCATGATGATGGAGACAGAGCCGGATAATACTGCAGATCTGTTTCAATGCTGGCGGGATTCGATACGTTGGCGATTCCTCTATATTTCCTATTTGGCAGAGTTTGAACCTTTATAATCCCAAACGTGTACTTTCGAATTTCTAACTCCGCCCGGAGTTATTCAACCGGATCTCGGCTGAATGGATGCCCCGCCAAGTAGCTTGGCTTGGTACTTTTCTTGTACGGTCGGCTTTTTATTCAAAGTATTCATCCATTAACAAGTCTTACATTCCTAGTTTATTATGGAAATTCAGTTCTTCTCCTATTTCACTTTACAATCTTTCACTATTACGAACTCATTTCGCATAACGTTCCATGAGCTCGAGCGTGCTGAGGTACATGCAGACCCGCCTTTCCCGAAGTCTGGAACAAGGCAACAGTTCCCTCCTAACCATACATTTCCCTAAAAGAGCATATTAACTATGTTGCCAATCGTTAAATATTAAGGTGTATTGCGATTGATTAGTTTCTCCTCCAGAAAGGCCAGGACTATGCAGAGTGCTTTCCACAGTGTAATAGTTGCTAATACTCAGCCCCGAACATTCCATCATCATAACTTATGATGCGATCCATATCCATGAATTGCTGATCAAGGAGCAGTTGGGATATTGAGCCAAGATCAACGATTCCTCCAGTGTATGCATGGGGTTGTTCAACCGGCTGTATCTCGCCTGGTCCTACAGCCGATTGAATCGATAGCCGAATGGAATCCCCTGCCAATTCAGTTGCGACAGGTACATCTTGATGCTGCAATCTTTGTGGTTGATTCCTCCTCCTTCTTGGCCTTTCTGTAGATGCCCCAGGCGTATGAGCTGCATCGAGACTCTCGATATTCTCCATTGAATATGTGAAATCTAGAGGCTGCGAACTAGAGGATTGGTAACTTTTCTCTTGGTCCTGAAGTTGAACTCTACCCATCGGCGACACGGGCAATGGGGACGAGTGATCTATTTCATTGGTGTATCCTAGAACAGAGAGCTGGAAGTAGGGATCCTTGGTAATGCCGGAATACATATCAGTCAACTTCTGGGCATACTTTTCGGCGATACTAGTCACCTGAGAGGGGTCGGCATCTATGGCATTTGGCCCAACCCATCGCCGGGCCATAGCCTTGAGGCTGTCTACCAACGACCAAAATTGCGGCGCAAGGCCAGCGCCCTTGCTGTGCCTTGAGTGCAATAGAAGTGCTCTCGAAGCGACATACAGACAGAAGGCAAATTGGGTGGAAACCGGAACCGCTGCAGGGGCATTTTTGAGGTAGTTCTCCGCGATGATTGAAATCTCGACTGCAGCTGCGTGACATGTATCCGCACTACAAAGGCTGGGCAGACGGTTTTTGAAAGGCCAGTGAGAGAGCGGAAAGGCGATCAGTTGATGCAGAAGGATCATAGAGGCGTTGTGTGTGACATGGGCCAATGTGAGGTTGGGATCCATTCTAGAGTGTTGACGTGTCACATCAACCTTCCACTTATGAGGAAGAAGCATCTTCCAGTGAATGAGACGAAGGTCCAGCTCCTTGAACCGAGTAAGCCAGCTGCTAAGATCTTTCAGGTCGTGCATATTGACCCTTTGTTGCAAAAAGTACGTTGTGACTCGACTCAAAGACTCGGTTGCTTCTATTGAGTATGCAAATGCTCCTACTGTAGACATATCGACAAGTTCAGCAGGCGCTCCAGGAGAGGTCCCTGTGTCAGACGGTGTTTGTACAGGTTGATCAACAGGCTGAGATCCAGTGGCGGGATAGTACGGAGGAAGCAGTAGGAGGGGGTTCCCGATCCTGCCAGCAGACTTATCCCAAATCCCAAAGTAAGGAGTAACAACGGCATCTTCCTTCCGCCACTTGATGCCATCACATGGTAAGCGGCGATTGACATCGTCAGAGGTAAGACTCGTGTTCCATCCCGTCATCACAGAGCAAAGACGGTCAAGATTGAAAACATTCCAAAACACCCTCCGCCTTTCTTCGGCTTCCGTCCAGTCTTTGGGGGGAGATAGAGATGCAAAGGGCTGGGACAGACGCAGCCTATCGGTTTCATCGTTCTCTGTTGCCAGCTGAAGGTACTCGACATTACGGGTCAGTGCACCAACGATGGACCATGCCTGAGCAGCAAGACCACAACCAATCTGCCAGTATATAAGCAATCGCTACATATGAAAAGGTGATCACAGTGTCCTTACGTCATTAAAGGCGACAATGAGAAGAGCTTGTGAATTCTCAACAGTCAACTGTCTCATTGCAGTGGCGACAATGCTGTCCCTCAGCTGCTGCATGTGAGATTGGGAAGGCAGAAAACTTGCAGCTACTTCAGAATCCTTAATATACTTGGTCGCCGCCAAAATCATGGCGTGAATGATGATTTGTAGATCTTTCTGTTCGTCTACATCGGAAAGCCTTTGGCGAAATCTAGCTTCGTGAATCATTGGGATCCAAGGGTGTAGATGTGTAAAATATGCATCAAGGATGAGCTGCTGCTCTTCGTCTGTGTGCGTTCGTGCATGTTCAACACCAAGTCCCGCATGGTAAGATAGATCACCATCCAATCGACGACGCTTCCCTCCGCCAGTTCCTGGTCCAGAAGATTGGAGAGGCGGAGATCCAGGTGCTTGTTCTCGACTTTCAATAAACTTTTGGAACTCTTTGGTAAAAAATGAGAGTAGATGATAAGGACTAGCATCTATGTCGCTCTGAGATGCGGCGGACTGAGACCTGGTACGCTCTGCATCGCTGATGCTCTTCTGGTGAACCAACTTCTCCAAAGCATCTAAGCTATTACATCAGTGACTCAGGACATCCATTGAGCAATAAGTATATGCGGCCTGTGCGTACCAAGTCTACGATGCAAGTTGTCAATAGCACCGGTTTTCATCCCCGGCTTGGCACGCTTGGCCTCATAAACACATTCGGTCGCTAGGTCATCCAATCACATGCTCGTCAGCAACCCGATTAATGAATGGAAATGGAACAATAAAAGAAGTCTTAACTAGTACCTGTCTTGCGGCAGTGCTGGCATGTCGGAACCTCCCGAGAGCAGCGCAACTTTCGCCGACGGCAGCAATTGCATGCCAGGGACGCTTCCGTGGTACTCCCATTGTGATCCTCGTGGTTTTCCTGAAGGTTGCCGTCTACCTCCATGTTGGTCGTGGACCTAGTACGAGGCTCAGAGAGAGAGACAGTCTCTGTTGAGGGGCAATCAAGCCGGACTCGGGGTGCATATATGGCTCCACGGTCATTCATCCGAACTCCCAGTAGAGATAGTCCGAAGGCCGATGTGTAGCATTTCCCCGCGGGGTAAATCCCCCCAATCAATTCTAAATCCGGGGGAACAGGCACCGAATGCTGAGAATTGGATATAGGGAAAGAAGAGAAGTTCACGTCCCTTTCAAGTATGCTTAAAGAAGCATCTTAATTTAGCAATTCATTGGAATTGTAATCACCAGACATCTCTGGGGCTCACGTTTGACTTTATAGTTCCTAAACCCCCTTAGCGAGACTACCCTGCCGTACTAATCCACCGTGAAACATTGTATTTTCTAATTTCTAAACTACGTTGGTTGATGATAAACATAAGACAAAAAATGAAAAGCTCTGACAAAGAGTCAAAATCACTGAAGCCCATCCTCGTTTAACACGCGTAGAGACCGTTTCAGTCAAACACTGACTAGTAGAAAGAACCAAGGCAAAATCAAATCAGGGTCCACGGTAATTTTCAACAATTGGTCAAGTGGTCAAGGACAAATCACCATACCATAATATCAATCACCAAACATTCCAGAGTCTGAAGACTAGCTGTTCCATACCATGTCTTAGCGGTGTGACTCGGGGGGGTGGGACCTCATGGGTAGAAACGGCATTACCTAGCCTCTAATAAATCACCGTTGGTCATGTAGAACGTGGTCCAACTGAGCCTAATAAACAGGTAGAAACGGTTAGTATACGCAGCAGCTGTACAGTCTTACCGCCAGAGCTTGGACGCTTGCTCTGCCATTACTTGCATATTTGGCACCACCCCAGGCCATGGTCACTCGGATGTTCTGCTTTAACTCATCGATAATTACATGGAAGATCATGATGCTCGGACCCACTAAAGCACACCTCATTCTTCTTGGTCATTTTAGTGTCCATGTGTCATGAAACCCTGCAGCTGACCCCTCATTTTCACCCACGCCATCCCACTCCACACCACCGACCAGCAGGTTTTTCTCCCTTTGTCATCACATTGACCTTGCTTGGCTTCGTAACATGTTTGCGCGTCAAGCAGAGTATCTCATGGAGGCCGATTCAGATGGAAAGTACCGCTTCAGGCTCCTCTCCCTCTCCAGGAGTAGCCCCTCGAGGTAAGCCGCCTCTGCGTTCCATGGTGCCCCCAAACTGGCGGTGAATTGTCTGTCTGATTGCAATGCCTTACCCACCCTATTAGACTGTCCAGAGTGCAAAAAGAGCCGGCGAAAATGTGACCGAACCATTCCCACGTGCCGGAAATGCATCAGTCGGGGGGTTGAATGTCCTGGGTACGACCCCTTACAGCTGAAATGGATCCAAGGGTTAACCAGAGAAAACGGCAAGTTTTCAGGGCAATCCATTCCGGAGCACTGGAAGAGTAAACCGGCGCAAAGTAACACCATCCCAAGCAATACCACCCCATCAGCAGCGCCCAGCATCCCCGCAGAACCCCCACCTCCTGAGAGCGTGCAGATCGACAAGTCACTTGTGCCTATTCACAGCCCCGTCATTCAAGAGCAGCAGGTAATGCAGGCTGCTCTGCCGCATCCATCTGCGGAATTTCATCTCGTCAGGGAGTATTCGTCATCTGTACTCTTTGAAAACCTCCTCAGTCACTTCTCTTCGCAGGTCGTACCTCGATTGACTTGGATCGACCTATCAGAGCATCCTTGGCGTAGCATTATTCTCTCTTTGGCCCAAGACTGCCTCTCATTGCGCCTGTCAATCGGATGCCTCGCGGCTGCCCACTTGTCCACTACCTCACTCGCGGCCAGCACTCAGCAAGCTCATCTGCTCCAAATGCGCAACTGGTTCCGCGATGCTTGTCTCCGGATCCTCAACAGCATGATGCGACAAGAACTGCAGACAGATCAGCCGGTAGTCTCACTGAATCAATACCGGCAGAACTCCAAGATTGTCCAAGTTCTAGCCACGATGCTTGTGTTGTGTTATTCCGGCGCCGTTGTTCCAGGTTCAACCGACTGGGCTCTTCACTTGGGTGCTTGTCGCACTGTTATTGATACGTATCAGTTACGGAACTCTGAACAGACACCGACAGACCCAATAGAACGCTTCTTGCTGAAAGAAGTGGCCGATCTCGAGACGCTCAGCAGCATCTCCGTCTTCAACAGACGCCCATTATTGGATGCAGACCCATCTCTACAAGCCACACATAGCAACTCTTTCTGGTCTTTTACTGATCTGATTAATGAGATCACCGTAGTGGAAAGAACGCGGCATGCTCAGCAGTCCCCTCCCCCTCCAGATATGCCTTACTGGCACAGTCGAGCTGAGCAGGCGTACCAGACTGTCCTGACAAACATTACTCAAATCACCAACCAACATCAGCAAACCTCGCAATATCGATTAGAATCGGCTTTGCGCTCACACTATTACGCCAATATTATCTACAGCTACCAGGCTTTTGAGACACCGCGGGATGTCCTGGCTGAAGAGACTGTCAATCATCTACTAAATCTACTATTCAACGATCTCGAATCCACCTTGTCTGGACCAGTGCATGAGTACACACACACAATCTTTTTTCCGCTTCTGATTGCTGGCACAGAGTGTCGTGGCGATGAACAAAGGCAAGCCTTGATAGGGAAGCTCTTTATGGACTCCCTTACAAAGACGGGCATGTGGTTTAATCACACCGCATTGAAGTTTTTGCATTCGTTCTGGGAACGGGCGAATGATGACAAAAGCAAGAGCTGGATACATTATGCCCGCGAAAATGAGGGAGAAATAGGCACATTCATTGCTTATTGAACTTCCATCGTTCATCGTTGGCATAGGTCTAAAAGATGTAAAGCTGTTCTGATGCACTGAAGGGACATCCGTTACCCTCTTCTATTTCAGACCGGGCGACAGGGCATTCATGCTTTCGTTTCCCAGTAGCATTCAAACATAAGCGTTTCATAATTATCTTTGTCTTTCCTTACTCAGTTCACGAGGCGGCGGATTCCACCACGATATGATCCTGGCACATAAATTTCCTATGTTAGCAGTCGTATGACGCCTGTACAACATCTCCCACACTTTGCGGGTCAACCTACAGTGTTTTTCTCTGTAGTGTTAAGATAAAAAATCTAGGTAGACCAATAGTATGTCTATCATAGTCAAGGGTAGTGGAGACGTTAGAATTGCTGAAGCGCTTGAAGCAATTTCACTACTGCGAGCGCAAGCTTCAGTTATAATCAACCCGTGCGCTGCCCACCATTTGAATGATAGAATGAATGAAAGAGTGGTCGAAATTGCTCTACTCATTAGAGCCGTGTATACCTATTAGATGATGTTCCTCAACTTTTTGACACTCCCCAATCTCTTCTAGAATAAGCACTCGCGAGAGATAGATGCACACAAATAAAAGGGTTTTCAATGAAACGCCTACCTGGTTCCCTTTGACAACCAATTGCAGGCCCTATATCCACTCATTGGCCACCGTCTGCTTCATTTGTATGCTCCGTCGGCGCATCGTGTAAGAGGGCTTGCCTTTCTCCTGTCTCGTCTCCCTCAATCCGGCCAACCCCTCTCAGATAGAACAGCAACAAGCCTTGGCCAAATGCGTAGATACCACTGCTAACACTAATCCACCCGATAAATGTATACCAGGACAGTAAGCTCCAATTTTCGTCATCAAGTAAAAGACGGTATGGCCAAGCTACTGCCAGGAGACAAAAGATGATAGTCTGCGCTATCAGTCCGCCTTGGACGTATAGCGGCGCTCGGTCGTGAGTCTCGCGATCTCTTCTTAACTGCACAACAATCCCTATTGCTTGAAATACTGGCATCAAAGGGGCCAGAAAGAATATATGGAAAAATTGGTAGACAAAAAGAATAGGCGACGTCCTGCTGCGATAATCAATTCCCCCGAACGCGGTCTCTACAAGAAGGGGCCCGATCGTGAAGAGCAGAAACCATGCATAAATCAAACCAGAGCGTCTGGCAAAGACTGTCACGTCTTCTCGGTTTTGTGACGGACGATATCGAAGACAGAGAGTGAAGCTGGCATCTGTAAGTAGCTGTTCACTAGGAGTAGAAGGCGATTTGTACATTATCAGCAACAGAATAAACACGGTCAAGAAGTGAGCAAAGTTCAACCAGTCGCCGACATCAAGAGGAGTGTGAGAGAATATACCCTTGTAGGTCGGGCAAATGAGACACTTGGTGTTGGTAGGATAGATGGCAAAAAAGTAGGACACAGCAAATTGCTCGGTGGCCACGACAAGATTTAACAGGATATACACGATGGAAATCGGGCTACTATCTTGCTTCCGAGCTAGAAAGTAGAGGTGCGGCGCAAATGCGAGTATTGTCAAGGCAAGGAGGGTGCTTGCATCTGCTGTTAGCCTGCCAGCTGATCCATCTGAAAGAATAAAAGTTACCTACATGTGACCCCAGACAGGCAGATGATAGGAGAGCATCTTCACAGTAGCATCTAGAGCCGCCACAGATGTCATGGGCGATGCAAAAACACGGTTATCTTCAGTTGAAGATGGGGAAACGAAAAGAGGGGTTTGCGGCAGTGCACGGATACGAAACACGTATATGCTAAAAGGATTTCTAATCTTATGCATCCCTAGTAGGATCGCCATGCACCAGAGTTGATTGGATCGATCCCGACAGTGATACACCAGATCTTCACCACTTCAGTATCCTTGGAGAAAAATACTGTATGAGTGAGTACGTTGAGGGTGAGTGACCACCACTGAGAACCGCGCTGATGCCACAACATTAACGAAGAATATGATTAATGGGATAGTCGGACAGAGGTATTGGGGTCCATTGATTATATTCTCTACGCTAACTTCAATCTCACGCCTTGAACTCCTCAATGATGCCCGCCAGCAATTGTACTGTCTCGTCGGGCACCGCCAAGAATGGGCTATGCGATGTATCCATGGACTTAACTATCCATTCAACGCCGGAATGCTGGACGAAAGCATCCTGTGCAGGAAGTGGCAGAGCCTTGTCCTGGAGACATCTGATGTAGGCACGACGACCATTATAGCCTGCCTCCTTGATGCCCAAGGCTGAGGGTGGTTCGCTGAATGCCTTGAGCGAGTGTGGTTTGACGGTTTTCAAGATCTCGGCTACTTCAGCAGGGTCACAATCGCTGTAAAAGGTTTCAACCTCGTTTTGTGTTCCGACAATACCCTCCTCAATCTAGGTACAGACACATCAGTATCACAAGCGCCAAAGCCCCTTTGGATTATCTCAAGAGAACGTGAAAAGCACTTACTCTAGGCACATGCCACGGTGCCCATCCACCTCCGAGCATAGCACTAACAGTGCTGTCTGCTTCTTGGGGAACAAAGGCAGCAATATAGACGACTCCCAAAAGACCACCCTTCTCACCACGCGCTTCACGGCCCTTCTTATCATATCCCGAAACCGCCCCACATCCAGGAAAGCCGGCATAAGAGTGGACGAGAAGGACAACATCCTTACCAGCCTCGATGTGTGGCACGAATGCATCTCTCATCATCTTCTCATCGTCGGTGACACCATTCTCGGGATGGCCTGGGGTGGTCAAGCCATGGGCCTCAGCCTCGAATCCCGCAGCCTTCAGGCTCTTGATAAAGCTGTTCATGTATGGTGATGCATCATGAAAGGCACCTGGACACGCGATGATGGTGGGTCTTTCGGCGGGGGCAGACATGGTGTGCAAATAAGGGTTTTGTGACGTGATCAAAGTAATATATTTCACCGTGTCCGGATAGAACAGAGAAGGCAGATCAAGCGGCCTAGGACGCTTCGTACATAAATACTCACCTCTCGGCCGACACCAAACCAACACCACATCAAAAGAGAGGCAATTTCACGTAAAAACGGGGCTCGCCATGCATCATGCGAACTACAAATCCAATAAGTCCTTTGTCAGAAGAAGGGGCAAGCCCCCATTCTACTGGAACATCAAGCTGGCGCCTCACGCTAGTCGTGATACAGGTGCGTGCTTCAGGGTTCCTTCGTTCTCCTGCTCTCATTCTCCTGACCCAAGATGATCCTATCGGATACCAGTAACTCAGACCTTGGTGGAGAGGTTTTTTTGGGGCTCAATTCCTAGGCACAGGTGGAAGTGGACCTGGCAACTAGATCAGGCCATTCGGATTACAAACATGCCTGGCAACGATCAAGCTTGCAAGCCTCATCCCTGAGAAGCCGCCCGTAATGATTCAGCGGGACCACTCACCCGGGCCCGTGAATGCCGAACATATCCGACCTGCAGCATACCTTCCCAGTGTTCAAGTATTAGTGCGTAAGCAGAAGACGAAACTCGGTTAAGCAGGACGACAAAGGGGGTCTGATGGGGTTCTCAAAGCGATTCAACCCTGTTAGCGTCGCACTACAGCAGAAACTCTCGCCACTACATGTTGGTTTTCTTACGCTAGGACACATATCAGCTCCTCGTGTGATGGTGAGACGTGTGGGAGGCTCTGTCTTCCTATCTACACGCCGGATCCGCGCTGAGCTGGTTTTTCAGTTACAGGGATGGTTCCAGGATGGCTTGAGACTATTTATACTCTTGGCTAATCGGTAGCCACGCTTGACTTCCCGCCCCTTTGATTTCAATAGTTCATGCAACTAAGCCCAGAGGATCTACCAGCTTCCTGGACCAAAGGAAGCAGGGTTCCTTCAGCAGAATGAGGCGGAAATCAGTCACATCCCAACATTATACTGGAGCACGCTTGACTCGAGATTCCCTTTCACCTTCTGGATTGCGATTGACTTTTGATTAGCGTCCAGTGCGGCCCGCAGCCTCTTTTGAGGGCTGACAAGATATTTCCCTTGTTCTGTACCGGTTGTTGAATTTTCCCCTTGCTATCACATCTCATATGACTAAATGTTCCAAAGCCGCGACTTTCGATAAGGCTAGATCAGCATGTCAACTCTCCCATCACCGCCCGACGGCGTCGATCTTACGGCCGACAAGAGGCCAATGGTGATCGGAGCATCAGTTGCCACCTGGATTCTCGCAGTGTTTGCCGTTCTGCTTCGCATCATCAGTCGGAGGATCAAAGGCCTCGATCTGTGGTACGATGACTGGCTAGTTGTTGCCGCTTTGGTGGGTGGTCTTTTGACCAATACTCTTCTATCACAGGATCTTAACAAAAGCATCATAGATTCCGGCCGTCGTCCACGTCTCCGGGGTGGCGGGATATGGTCAGTGCAGCCCCTTGACGCGATGATTTCTCTGCTAACATTCTAGAAGCTGTGAGTCGAGGAGTTGGCCAGCATGTCTGGGTAGCCAGCCCAGAAGGCACATATGCCTGGGCGATAGGACTGTTCATCGGCGAAATTTGCTACACCTTGACGCTACTTCTTGTCAAGCTTGCCATTCTTGCCTTTTATTGGCGGTCCTTTAGCATCAAAAGATCAGTGAAGGTGATTATTTGGATCCTTGTCGCGACAACTTCTGGTTGGGCTTTCAGCCTGGTGAGTGAACATCATCCCCTCCAAAGCTAAACTCGAAGGTTACTAACTTGTTTACTTTACTCGCCTCAGCTCGTCGCAACGTTTCTTCAGTGCATACCGACCCGCGCGTTTTGGGAGCGATTCAACCCCTACAACCCCCTTCTGCCCTCCGAATACCATTGCGGCGTCGACTCGTTACCTTTCTTTATTGGGAATGCTATTCCCAACATCGTAACGGATATCGTCATGATCATTCTACCGATTCCTTATATCTGGTCCTTGCAGTTACCGGTCCAACAAAAGTTGGCTTTGGGAGGTGTTTTCGTTGTTGGTATCTTGTACGTGGGCCAAAACAGACAAAAACAGCAACTCATGTTGCAGGGATGATGGTTTCTAATATGGACGCAGTGTTACGGTTGTTTCCTTGGTACGATTAATACAGGTCATCAATCTCGATCTAACAAATGTGGATATCACTTGGAACTTTGCAAGTGTCGGAACGTGGACAATTGTCGAAGGCAATGTCGCCATTCTATGCGGTAAGCTTGGATCGATCCACGCTGACCACTTACCAATCGCCTTGGCTAATCTCCGAGCTCATCCAGCCTGTCTCCCCTTCCTCAAACCAATTATCAATAAGATTACATACGGCAGATTCGGCTCAACCGCTGATAAGAGTGTCAATACCAAAGGCAGCTCAAAGCCAGAGCAACGGCGCCAGGCCAGTGGTGCATGGGGAATGGACAAGAACTACGGAAGCTCGACAACATATGTTAGATCAAACAAAACGGACGAACGGCCTTTCACCAGGCTTGACGGCGACGAGTCAGATCAAGGCACTTCCGGAAGATCGAATACGGATCTCGAACTACAGGATATAGGGCACGCAGACGGATCCCCGGATGGAATTGTAGTGGTAAGGGACGTGATAATGGAGACTGAGCATAATCCTAAAGGCGTGTATTAGTGCGTGAGATAACGGCTATGAACAGTGAAAATTAATGGTACCCTTCAACTTACTACTACATCGTGCCGCCCATTAAACGTCTTTGGTATTTGAAATCGGTGAACTACCCTCGAACCAGAATCCGGCACGATTATAAGTCGACTTCCAATCTGCATCTTCAGCAGAAACCTCACGCGCAGACCGTCTGGTAACACTCGCTCGCAGCTTCATCCTCGTCGCGGTTATAGCATTGGCCTCTGTAACCTTTCGTCGCCAGCTATGGGGAAAACTTTACTAGAGGTCGTATGATGGTTGATTGATGGTGTCTACAAGCACCAACTCAGAATAAGCTGTCTCTTTCATCTTTTACCAGGCTATTATACGGGTTATATGTTGCTGGAGGATGAATTCTCTTCTGCCTTCGATCAAATTAATTCCGCAGCCCCGATTTCAGGAACCACAACTCAATCCAGAGGTTTGTCTTACATCGACGGGGTTGTTCTTCAGAACAAATTCAGCGCTGTGAGCAAAGGGGGACTCAGATCACAGAGTCTTGAAACAAGCGTTCATGAAAAGGTTCAGCTACGTCTATGCCACTAGCGGAACTCAACAAGGAGACCAGTCTTAACTTCTAGTAACTTCTAGCTTTGCAATGAAGGGATGTCGCTGTGATAGCTCATCCAGACTGTCACGAACTGCAATTTGTTTCTGCGTCCCGAGCTGCAGTTGACAAGAATGGATCTGGACCGGCCACAAACAACCCACCTAAACTTACTACAGTGTTTAATAGCCTGATAGCAACAGGTTCACGCTCCGTAGGGATCCCGTAGCTTCGAGCAGATTGATGCTCGGAATTGGGTATGCGGTGGACATGGTTTGGGTCACGTCCTGCTCAGCCGGCCACATGGTGAGGAATCGCCAGCTATCGGCCTTGGCAACATTTAATATCTGGGGTTACTTGAAGGGTCAAAGAACTTGACCACTCTCTCGTACACCATCTCTTCTTCTTGGACAGCCGCGGGGGGGGGATAAAGGGAATCGTTAATGGAATCCTTGACTTGAAAGGTGGTAGTGACCGGATGCCTCAAGACCGGCTCGATAAGAAGCTCCTCCAACCAGCATGTTAAAACAACGGTCAAATAACTTGGCAGTACCAAATTATATTTTCTTGTCCATTTTAAAGAGCAAATGAGAGCACAGAGAGATATGATTTCTTAAAAGACCTGCTACAAGAGCGACATAAGAGATCGTACAGCATAGCAGTATCCTGCTTGAGTTGACTACAGTGAGTTAATCAATTTCTCCCCCCGACCAAATCAACATTAAATGTTTATGAAAAGGGGTGAAAACTAGCACAATAACGCCGACTCCGTGCCCCACCAACACCGTTCATCCAAGCTATGAGTCCGCTGGGCTTGTGGCAATAGGCAACATATGATAGCTTGAGCCAGAGGATCCCTAGAGACCGACATTCTTCTAAGACCGTCTACAGATATATTTACCGTCTTGGTCAAGAACATATATGACACAAAGCTTTGGTCTGCCTCAAAATGTGCTACCAAATGTTCAGCGTTGGTTTATTTAAGCAAATTATTTGCCTGGTTTCATATTCATGAAGCTTTGCAAAAGACAGGACGTCTTGGATCTGCCAAACAATACATAGCTTCAGGTTGACCAACACCGATATCCACAAAGTTCCTTCCGCCACATCGTTGCAAGCAAGAGAAAGTCTCACTTCGGAAGTCTAGAGGGTTCACTGCCCAGAAAGAACAAGTGTACAGTTTCGAAGACAGTTTAACTCAAGGAAGGATATCGTTCTGGAAAGCGTGGGCTTTGTCTCTTTTCTTGATAGGTTGAGGCCCATTTCTTAGCCATTGATCAACTCCACGCTCCGTCCGCTTTAGTATTCATCACTCTGCAAGTACGGCATCTGATACACGGGAGTCTCTCAACTTTCTCCCTAGCTATTGGTTTTTCCAAAAGAAGTCACGTACTCGATCTTTCTAAACTCCTCCTTAACAAGTTGGGAACCGATCATTGCTTGATATGGTTGTTCGAATCCTCCATGTTCTCTGCTTCCGCTTTCCGTATACTTCATTTTCATGCCCATGTGTCTTTCTCTTCGGCATAATACAAGATAGTGAGTTTACTTTCTTGATCGGTGGCTGCAAGCCGGACATCACTACCCCTGGTGTTCCTCAAAAACAACGCCCACCACCACTGGACAACCGGATAGCTTTACCTGAATTGCAATATGGACAATCATTCAGCAACACCGACTTTGAAGTAATTTCAGTCTCTAATAGCTGTCAGTGCTGGACTTGCACGAGCGGGCCCTAGGCTTTAAGGTTTGTTTGTGAGACACACCCTTGCGCGTCCTTGCAGGGTGATGCTGGCAACAATCGTGTGGCGACAATGGGGCATTGACTACACACAACGTCAAACCTACCGACTATATAAACCCCCACGAGAAGCTCTTTCGTTGCATTCTCATTTCCAGGTTATTGAATATTTACAAGGCCTACAATCAATACTCCAGTCAACTACAGTGTCTAACGTTCACTCGTGTTGGTGTGCGTGTTGCAGCAAGAAGTAGCTAAGTATATTGAATTTTAAGCTCATTAAACAATAATATTGGTCTGATGGCGAAGTAACCACTTGTTGCATAAGAATGTCAAAATGTCCCACTTTCCCACACGGGCCTGACTCCAATGTCGTGCGAAATAGTCGGGTGCTTAGTAGGGGGTCTGGCCGATGCTACGGATGAAATGTTAATACTTGATGTGTCCCAAATGATGTGGTAGGATTTCAAGAATCTGTACTTACAAGTTACCGGGGGGAGAGTAACGGACAACAACCCAGTTGGTTCCGTCGGCGGCCTTGGCAACAGCCATGCCAACCTTGGTGGTGGACTTCCACACAGCTTGGGCTGTAGTTGATTGCTGGTTAGCTACCTATCCATTCATATTTTCCAACAATGGAAGACTCACTGTAGTGTCCGAAAGCGCCGAAGTTGCTGCCATCAATGACCTGTCCGCTGTAGAGGCTCTTCTCGGAGAGGAAGGAGTTGATGGCGTTGAGGAAGGGAGAGCCGTTGTCGGACTGCATGTACAGGTTCTCGCCCTGGCCGGAGCCGCTGGAGTGGGTGAGGGAGGCCAGCGTGGCAATGGTGTTGGCCCACGACTGGGCATCGGAGGAGAGGGAGTCGTCCCAGGTCAGGGGGGAGTTGCCGACGGCAGCGCGAGCGGCATTGTGGGCATCGAGGGCCTTCTGCTGGTCGTCGGAGAGGTTGCCGGTCGAGGGCTGGGGTGGTGCGCTGGTCTGGGTAGCAACTGCGGCGGCAGAGGTGGCGACCTTGGTAACCAGAGTCGTGGTAGGGACGGCAGCGGCAACGACAGCGGGGACGGTGGTCGGGACGGAGACTGAGGTCGGTGCAGGGACGACTGCGGGCTCGGGGACCTTCTGGACCGGTTCGGGCTGCTTCTGCTTGTTGTCCTTGTCCTTGTTACCGCCGGTGAAGTCGACCTTGGTCCAGTCGACACCGGAGTAATCAATCGTGGTCCAGTCAACGCCAGAGAGGTCGAGGTCACCCCGAGGGGCAATAACACCGGCGGCGGCGTTGGCCACAAGCGTGGAGAGGGCGAAGGCAGCGAAACGCATCTTGGGCAAACGAATTCGAGTTAATTGAGCGGAAGGGGTCACCAGGACTATTGCTGAGAAAGAATGGTCAAAGGTCAAAGGTCAAAGATCAACGATCAAAAGAGCGATTTCGATGATAACGATCGATTTGTCAAGGGAACGACTGTGAGCTTGGGAAGGAATGACAAGCTGCAAACTGGTAGTATGGGGAAGAAGAAGGCAGAGAAGGTCGACCGAGCGGGTGAGAGCGTCACCAACCTTTAATATTGGTGTGCTGGACTACATGAATACGGGCACTCATGCAGCCAACGTGCATCTATTGGGCCAGGGGCCATGGTGAAGAAGGAGATGAACAGACGCCACGAGCAGGGAAGTTCGGTAGGGTGGATCGTGGTGCCTGTTTCACACAGGCACTAATTAGCCGGGCAGAGGAAAAGCAGGGGCCGAGCGATGTCTTCGCTCGTAATGGCGGGTGGAAGCATGCTCTTGGCGGCTGGTGATGAGCTGTTGCTTGCCGCCAAGGTCACATCCTGGGTGCCACCCCCTGAGATAACTGGGGCACGACGAGCAGATCAAGCGCTAACAATGGCAGTGCAAAGGTCTGTTGGCAGCTACCGTAGTGCCTGCTTGCATCAAGCCAATTTCGAGACGTGTTTGCCCTCTGTTGGACGCAGAGATGCCCTCCGGCCTCTCCTGTCCAGGACAACCGGAGGCAAGGCAAGGAGAGGGAGACAGGAGAAGACACATCACCGGGAGGATTTAGAGTGGGAGGGAGCCTGAACACGACCTGCCAGGCCAAGCCAGGCCAGTCCACTTTTTAACCAGCTATTTAGGCGCTTTGGGCAACGATTGTCGTCTTGGTGCCATCCAATCAGCAGCTCGGTGATGCACAAGAGTATTGCGAGCTTGCCCCATTGTGCCGTGGTACCTGCATATCTGTTGCGCTATTGCAAATCTCTGGCGGGTAATCATAACTCAATGGCGAAATACTACATTAATTGTGAGGTAGACATGTATTCGCTTGGATATCCACGTTGTTGGTGATGTCCTCGGACGCGTCGGTAGATGGTGGAGAAGCCCCCACAAGGTCTCACCAGCAACCAAAGATTCAGTTCGATTGTTGTTATGTTATGGATTATATTCTTCATTGAGGGCATTTATCCAAAACCTTCCTGCATAACTACCGCTTCTGAGGACGTGCAAAAACCACCGTGATAACACCCGTATCCTCTGCGTAGCCTTGGCAAGAATATCTAGTATAGGGTAACATAAGTATTTGTACAGGGAGCATAGACATGGTCAAGCTTTCTCTCTCCACGGCCGGATGATCCGAGACTTTTACCTTTCACCACTTTTCTCAATATCGTCGCCGATTTGGAATGATTTTCACTGATCAACCCTGTTTACTAGCTTGCCAAGCGATCGCGTCGTCTTTCGAAAATCTCTCATCTCCAGGATCCGACTGCCACGTTGATCTGCGATGATCATCTATCGTGAATTGATGGGTCAGCAGCCAATGAAATTGGGTGATGAAGTGTCAAAGTGCCATCCCCGTGAGCTATTCGATAACAGCAGACTGAAAAATGGACACCTTGGGAGAAACGAATATGGATAGCAGCCAAAGTCGCTCAGGGAACACTCTGAGTTGCGGGTCACTCGAGACGTGGCAGATGAATGATTCCCTACACGAGTACAATGATCCTGGCTTTTGGAAGTCCTCTGCTGGGTTGGTGTCTCATCGCGTTATATGCGCCTGATAAAAAGCTGATGGCTCAACTGGATATTATGCAAACTGAACTGATGCCAATGAATGAGGGACTAAAATAGCCATTGCATGCACTATTAAGATGGAAAAAGATATCTGGCGAACTGCGGCCTCTGGATTCATTGTTTTGCGCCCATGAAATCCACTTCTCCAGTCCTGCCTACAACTCCCGCTCTATGATAATAAGTCGTCGCCCTAATGTAAGGATCGAGCCTCCAGTAATTCAGACGCAGCTTCTCAGCCAACTCATCCCGCTTTGCAGATAGACTCTTCGCCTCGGGTGTATTAGGGTGGAGAGCCAGCCATTCTGCGGTGTGGGTTTCAAATTGGTTTGCTAGATCGTTGCGGTCCTCTTGAATCGGGGCCTTTTCCTCCTCCTTCCCGAGAAGGTGGTCATCTCCGTGACTAGGCTCGATATAGTTGTACTCCCATTCATCATTGCCACCATACTCGGTCTGTAGGTTGTCCTTGTCGATGTGCTCGTGCAACTCGGACTCGTTGCGGGTGAATGTGACCTTGGCTGCTACAACGGGGTCCAGCCAACCCTTGACAATTCTCCAGACTCCTATCTTCATGTTAGAAAGAGTGATCCAAAATCAGATAGAGTCTCGGGCCAGAACGTACCCCAGAAAACAAAAGGAGAATTATGGATGATGATGGCGCCGAGCGTCTCTGGGTATCTCGCCTCAAAGACGTGCGTTAAGAACTTGGAAATCTCGAAGTCCATGTTCTTTAGACCGAAACCTGTCATATCGAAGAACAGACATGCTTTGTCCTTGGGGTGCTTCACCAAAATCCTGATGCTCTCGATATTATGTAGGATGTAGTTCTGCAAAGCTTTGCTTGTTTGCATGTTTGGGTCATGTAGCCTGGCCTTGACGACATAGACTGGCCGCTGCTGCTTGTCAACTCCTCTTACGTAGCTCTTTCCGGATCGATATTGATGCAGGAACCCCTTATCATCTTCTGAGAGCGACTGGTTCAACGCAACAGATTCGCCGCCTGCAATGATGTGCTCGTCAATCTTGACTTCCTCACGCCAGTTCATATCCGAGACCATCATTTCAATGGCCTTTTCCACGTCCCACTTGCGGGCCCGAAGGAAACGGAGCAGAATGGAATCAGGATGGTCCAGCAGGATGATCCTCCAGAGGCTGTTCCTGAACAGTTCAGACGGGACGCTGACCAGGTACTGCTGAAACTCGTCGCTCCGATGAGGGGTCTCACCCCAGGCACCCACCTCATTGCTGGCGTGCGAGGTGTCGCAGAGGCGCAGGATATGCGCCCATGCCTGCTGGAGTTTGCGCTCCTCTTCAACTGTGAGGTTTCCCAGCTCTCCCGTGGGGCGATCTGTGGTCATGATGGATGAATGCGACGCGACCATGCGACGCGGCGATGCAGTTCTTGGTCCAGCGCCGTACGGCTTCACACGCCACTAGCCAGCTGAAGCCGACAGGGAGGGGATTGGACTAGAAATAAAGTGGCCAGGTTAGCACCATTGATGAGTGGACAGCTCAGCAGCGAGCGATGCGTTGCATTGGGGGCGGTGAGGTAGCGCTCCACGATGTCGCGTGCCGCACACTTGATACGGGGACGGAGGTGAAGAGGGATGTGAGAAGAGGGAGATGAGAAGAGGGAGAAGGATGGGCAAATGTGAAGCGGCTGGAGGATTGTTCATCCAGCAATCCTACAGACTCACTGTATACGAGGCCAAGGACGCTGCCCTCGGGTACGCGACACGTTCAATCGCAGGTGATCTCGTGCTTACGAAATCAAATGACGATGATGATTCAATTGGCACTGGAGCAGGCTGACGGAAAATATTTCAATCCTTGCTGCTGGACCCCGCATAATAATAAAGGGGCAACGACCCCTCAGACACCGCAATTGGGTGCAAAAATGCCGATGTCCAGCTCAATGCCAATCGTAGGGAGAAGTGCAGATTTCGGTCAATCTCAAGATGCATCTCGCAGAAAAAAAGGGTCTCAATCTTAGAGGAGTCGATTATCAATTCAAGAGTTGTGCTTCTAGTCTGTCTGTGAATTCTGCCCCAACACCACAACGCTGACGACAACAGAGGTATGGTTGGCTTGATCATATGACCCTGCCAGCCGCGGCTTTCTTCGCCTCCGTCGCGGCATTCGAAATGTTTGTGAGATTCTGGAAATCTGCATCTACTCTGTCCAGATCTGCCGGTGAGCTACTCATGACCAAACTTACCACAACCTTCAAGACGCCATGCAACAGCAACGTAAATATCGCACCAAATTTCAGCTCTATAGGCATCTCGTAGGCATACATGATGGGTTTCAGTGATTGGGTATACGTCCAGTCCCAGGACTCGAGGCGGGCGAGGATGTGAGCCTTGGAGATTTCCAAGTCGTTGACCTGGCGAGATGTCTGCATGCGGGAGACTTGATCCAAGAACTGCAACACCTGCGACGAGAGCGCGGCCAGCTCCCCGCGAGACTGCTGTTGCAACGAGATATCGAAAATGCCGGTGTTAGTGTCGGATGCTCTATTGATCGGCATCGGCTTGGCATCAGGTCGGCCCGAAGCAAACAGTTTGATTAGAAAACAGTCCAAAGCAGGAAGAGACACGTTGCTGCACGGCTCGAGCTGGCCATTTGGATTTACCGTGGGACGTGCGCGATACTGATGCATGATACGGAGCCCGTATATGAAGTGCCTCATGCCAGCAGTGTAGTTGCCGAGCATCGTCTCTATGCTGATGAACATTTGGCAACACAACAGCGCCGCGCAAACGGACTCATGGGTTGGGCTGGTTCCTAGGCGAGATGCGAGGCTTGTGACTGACGTGTTATAGGCATCTAAACCGTGATGAATACGTACGAGCCCGCCATTCCCGTCGTTGCGGCTGTAGCGTTGTTGCCGCGCATCAAACTCATGGTGTAGAGATTGGAGAGAAACAAGAGCATGTCGGATGGCTGGATCCGATAGCTTGGTGAGTATCGCGCGCGCCTCGGTGTGATAGCCGATATTGCGACGATTGGATTTAGCATGGAAGCTGTGTGCTAGACTGTTGATCTCGTCCACGGAAACAACGGAAGCTCCTGGCTGGTACATGGACAGGGACGCAGGCGGGGAGCTGTGAGTCGTGACTGTTGGTGGCGATGGTCCGACGGTTACAACTTGAAATATGGATGTGTATCCATCGCAAACGCGACCCGTAGACAGGCAACGGTTACAGGACGGCTTTGCCTCGTCGCATTTCACTCTCCTGACCCTGATCCAATGTCAGCTTCTTGAATCAAACGATAGTTCACCATTGCCGTCGGGCCAAGGTTCGCCACATGCACGCCCAGTCTCGGCCCCGAACTAGCTCACCTGCACGTATGGCAGCCCGTCTTTGTCTTCGGCCGGAATCTTCGCTTGGCGTTTGGCCGTGGCTTGCAGGGCTCACCAGGGCCATTTTGAGTCGTCTCCATTGACATTGACTAGAATGCCCGGTTCATCTGAGGAAAGGAACGCCAGTCGCTACACTTTTGTTGCGGGACTGTCGGATTGGGATATCTAAACGATCAGTGGTCTTCATAGGAAGGAAGTCATGAAGGTGATATCCAAATCCAATGTCTCGAGACTACGCATGAATCGAGGACGCTGACACCAGAAACAATGCCGCTCTATCCAGGGCCACATCAAACTAAACTTATTTAGGGAGAGCGAACGACACAGCCAATCAAGAGCGGAATGTTGGCCCCCAAGCGCTGACATGAAGTGATGAGTCGGTGGATTTAGGATTGAAATCAGCGACGTGGCCGTACAAGCGAGGGTTGCATCATTGCTCTAACTCAGATCGTAGGGTTGGAACGATGCCATCAATCACGACGGGCCACACGAACACCGTATGGAGCTATAATACCATGCTGTAATGAAGGAATAAGCCCGGTGTATAGTATTCCAATTGATACTTGGAACTTTCCTAGGCTTAGGTGACTGTTAGATTAGCATCTTGCATTAACTAGACTGTATCAGGAGTGTTGAACGGTAAGCCCTTGACCGAGCTGTGACGACAGGAATGCTGGGAATGGCATTGCACCTTTTTTCCTCGCTCGTCTAAAGGAAGCATAGCGGAGGGGAATGGGTGGTGTCACCGGTAATTGCAATACAGCTCAGTATTAAAAGGTCTATCGCCGCCTTCTTGTGACTCTTGTGGCAGCCATCAAATTCTGATCATGCTCCCCAACGTAACCTGATATCTGAGCTGTACATCAATCTCTTTCGTTGCTACTCCGAAAAAAACATCTAGAAACATGTGGTCTGCACTGGGCCTGGCAACTGCTTTGCTGTCGCTCTCTTCTCTGGTTGCTGGTGAAGTCAAACCAACCTTATTGACACAGCTACCTCAAGACTGGAGGATCGAAAACATCGCCATCCTCTCGAACAGCACGCTGATTATCCCCAACTCGTATACGGGAGAGCTTTTTGGCATTAATCCTCTCCATGGCGCGTCTGGAGCAACTCCTTACTTTGTGACTTCAGTGGCACCATACTCTTCTGCCATCTTTGGGCTCGCATCTCCAACCTCAGACACTATTGCTGTTACAGCAAATAATTTTAAATGGAACACAGGACAGGTGGTCAACGGAACCAACGCAGTTCACCTGATCACACTTACAAAGTCTGGACCGAAGGCGGAGGTTTTCCCTTTCCCTTCGGCGGGCTGGCTTAACGGCCTGACGCCGGTTCCTGGTGCTCCGCATTATCTTCTGATTGCCGACTGCCATGCCGGTTCCCTCCTTCGCCTGGACACACGGACGAGATCAATCAAAACAGTGAGCACGGATCCGCTGTTCGCCACTGTGCCGTCGCCAACCCTCTCCATCGGGATAAACGGGGTTCACGCCCTCGACCGGTTCGTGTACTTTACAAACACTGACCAGCGCCTGTACGGGCGGCTTGCCATCGATAAAGAGGGTCTTGCGGTCGGAAAACCCGCCGAGGTCATTACGACTGGTATCAATGGGTCGACATTCGACGACTTTGCATTGCGGAGCGACCACACGGGCTTTTTGGCCACTGGCATGGGGATCAATGGAATCGAAAAGGTCACGGAGAGAGGGAAAACCGAGATAGTTGCCAGCTGGGAGTTTGGGTCGTCGGAAATCAGCCAGGCGTCATCCGGTGTATTTGGCCAGACTGCAAAAGACCGTGGGACGCTGTACTTTGCAACAGCCGGCTCGTACTTTGGCAGTGATATCCCGGCCACCGGAGCCCAAGTGTTCACGCTCAAAAAGGGTTGTTGACAGGGATCCATTTGAACAAAAAGGGAAGACTGGACAGGGATGGGCGTTCATCATTTCGATGGCTGGCTCTAATTCGAGGGTAAGGCTGATGATGATCCAGTGTAAGTCAGGTCTAATTGGATCATAAATTGGAAGGATCTTTAGTGTCAGTGAGCCCCGGCTGCTCAAATGCCCGTGCAATTGAAGGGCCTCGCCTATCTGTTCTTGTTCAACATGTTCGTTACCAGGTCAGGGCCAAGACCCGGTGATTATGGGCAACAATTACCGAACAGCAGCGCGTGATCCCAGCACGGAACAGGCCGAATGGTTATTATGGGCCGATGGGCTGTCAAGAAAGGCAGAATGTGACTGTGGGCCATGTGAAATGAAATTGCGCTGTGCCTGCAGGATCGCAACACGGCCACTCACGTTCGCGGACGGCGTTTCAAATTTGCCGTCCAGGGGCGCCGCTCTGCTCGATCAAGACTAAGTGCCCAGACTTTCTCCCACTTTCTAAAGTTTCTCCCCACCCCCAGAGCGCCGTCAGTGGCGTTTGCCCTGGTCCCGGCCCTTTGGGCTGATGCCGGTGGTGAGATGAGGGTTTGTTGACTGTGAACAGGGACCGGCGGCGGCAACGGGGGCAGAAAGAGGCAATTATATATAATCAGCTCGTTTTCCCCATCTGGCAATGTGCCGTGATGTTTTCCCGGTTTCGCCAGTCGCTCTTTACTTACCACCAGTGCAACCTCAGTCCTTCGTTTATCTAATATCCAGGTTCACCTAATCTACCAAAATGCATCCTTCTTCCTCTCTGCTTGTGCTCCTCTCTGCCTCGGCTTCTCTGGTCGCCGCCAGGACAACCACCACCATCGACAAGGCCGAGGCTTCGTGCTCCGCCGCGCTTGATGAGTACGTCGAGGGCATTCCCACTGTCCCGACAGCCCTCCTCGACGCTGTCGCGACCAACACCGGCATCCGACGCCCCCAGGCAACTGGAGATGTGTGCAACATTGCTTGGCCCTCCGAGGTCCAGAGTGACATCCGGGAGTACGGCTCGTCCGTCCTAGCCTGGTACTCTTCCCACGAGCAGAGCATCTCAACCCTCTTCAGCCAGTGCCCCGACGCTACGGCGTATGGCTATGTCTCCTCCTGCGCCGATCTCTGGGCTACGTACAGCGCCGTGCCCAACTCTGCCTCCGCGACTGCAACCGCCACGCAGACGAAGAGCGCAAGCAAGACCGCCAGCAAGTCCAAGGCTTCGGCCACTCCCACCTCAAGCAGCGACGATGATGCTTCGACCACTTCATCTAGCGAATCGTCCGTTACTACTCCCGCCGGCTCCTCAACCTTCACGACCGCCACGTCGACCTCGGCTTCTACTGCCGGCGCCGCATCTTCGTCAACTCAGGGTGGCGCAGCCCCCAAGGAAACTGGCATGAGGATCGCCGCCGTGGCCGTGGCCGGTCTGGTTGCTGCTGCCGCTGCCCTGTAAGGATGAGGAGGCACTGCACGCGTAGGCTTGTATATACTCATTAGCAGCCGTTATTCATTACTCGTCGGGGTGGATTATCGCGCTCTGTACATGAAGAATACGATTGGTAATTCATAATGTCTGGACAACGTAGCTATTCATTTAATGATTGAAAGAAATAAAGCCATTGTGAAGCCTCGATGGGTCGTTTGCTCAGTGCCGTGATTATGAGTGGCCGTGGAGACTGCAAACTGGGAACGCGGGTTCTCCAATTGTGTCGCGTGAGCTTATATTGTTGAGAATTATTCTGACACAGCCAGTTTGCCATATCAAAGTACCTAAAAGGGAAGTTCTTACCAGCTCCAAGTAGAAAACCAAAGGTTGTCCCCTACGGGCGCCCGCCTCCTATCAACCACAGTACGTTGATGAAGTCTTTGAAGAAGTACACGGAGTTCATATTGAATCATTACTTCAATCTTGAGTATTTCCCAACAATGTCTGCCCTCTTCAACGCGCTTTCTCTCACCAATCCACCGGCCAATGCGAAGAGAGACCAAACAAAGGCCCTCATTACTGGGTTGGGACGTTCTCTGGAACATAGACTTGATCAGGCTTGACAACTTCACCACCTTGAACCTGCTTATCCGTGTAGGCAGGGTACACCAATAGCTTCCTGCCGTAGTCGATAACGCTCAACGTTGTCCATGCTCCTTCGAGGCCAAAGTAGTCCCTCCATGTGCTTGTGACGGTGAATATTCCAAACTTGGACGGACCGCCGATGGAGCGGGACGCGGTCGTGTTGTTGGTAGATTCGACGATGTATTCCACGGGGGTGGGCTTGATTCCCTCGGCGTGGGTGTTGACGCGGAACGTCCACGTGCAACTTGTGTCGTTATCGTTGCAAACTCGCTTCATCGACTCGATGGTCCACTCCTCGCCGAGCGGGTTTTGGTCTCGGACTGCCGCAGCGTTCACGCGAGCGAGAGCGGCAGAGATCAGGAAGATTGGGTAGTAGTGCATGGCGTCCGCACGCTTCACAGCCTTCAGAACGAGTTGGAAACAGTATTGAAGAAAAGCTGAATCTGGGAGAGAAGTTGAGCTAGATTGTTTGCCAGTCGGTGTAAGATATAGCTGCCTCTCGTGGGACAAGCAAACCGACGCGACGATGGCCGTATTCAGTCTGTTTTGTGTACTCGCTGGTCAATCGTCTCACCGCGCACAGTATCACTGAGGGACACAATTGTGACATCGGAATGCGTGACCTAGCTCTAGCCTCCGGACATCAATCACTTCACACAATCATGACTTTTTCGGGTCGTGCTTCTAGGGCATAGTCTCAAGCTGGAGTGAAGCGGGAAGAAGCTAGGGGCCTCCTGTTATTTGGACTCTGGTTTTGTGGGTTGGTGAAAAGTAACAAGTCTTTCCAAGAGCCGTGCCACCTAATTTGGTGAATCTTGTGATCCTAAGTTTCCCTGCCATGTAATACTGTTCACAACGTGAAACGATTCAGGGGAAATTCGAACAATGTGAATGGTTCAAGAGGCGATGAGGTACCGTCAAATGCAAGGGACCTCGCCATCACGGTTACACGTAGAGGAGATTCTTTCAGGTACCATCTAACAAATGGCCAGGGGCCTCGTGAACCAATGATTTATGGTTTCATTTATTTAATTACCTAGACCGTGCAAGGTGATTTGATAATCACTCTGCTGCACCCTGAGAACACCGAGCCAAACCATGCGGGCAATCTACCTAGTCAGGCCAAAACTCCAGAATTACCATCAATTAGTCACCGTAACATGAATAAACACCAAGTCTTTTGCACCCGTCCGGATCTTCACAAGTCTCATTCCAGTTTTGAACCTTCGTATGTCAAGCCCGAGATCGAGGCAACTTCACATCTTCCAAGCACCGGGGTGGCGTTCCATGTTCTCCTTCAACTGACAAACATCCTTGAGAAGATTGTTGTACACGTTGAGCTTCTCTGACTCCTTCATGACCTCGGCCAAATTGCGGTACGCTTCGTCGATGTTGCACTTGAACACTTCGCGATGTGCTTCCAGCTTCCGCTTGAACTGCGCACAGTCATTCTGAAAGAATCCCGCCAAGTCGCTTGTTTCGTTCGTGTCAAGGCAGCTGCCAAGTTCCGCCGCTTCGTTGGTGCCGACCGCGATACCGTGAGAGAAAAGAGTCGAAAAACGAGCCTGGTAGGTGTCGAAAGTCACTCCTATTCCGCCTCGAAAGGCATCAAGGTTCTCGACTGCCCGCTTCAAAGTCGCGATTCGGGCATCCAGGTATTCCTTGTGAGACTTCACTATGTCGATTTGTGAAGTCAGTGTGTCGAGGCGTTCCTTGAGCTGACTGCTCGTCTCATTATTGATGAGATACCCCGGAGAGATCGTTGTTAGGTCTGAGCCGATGGGGTTGGGAGTTGGCTTCGGCGCCTCGGTTGATTGCGCTTGCTCGGGCACATTTCTTGAAGATCGAAACTTGATTGTGCGTCGCTTCCAGTGGGCCGGTTTGTTCGCAACGGCGTCGTTTGTTTCGTTGTCCGATGCCTGGCTCAAGGAAGAGGAGTTGGCGCGGGCCTCGCTTTCCGACAGGTTTTGTCTCGCAATCCTCCAGAATTCTTCGCTTGTCAGTGAGCTCTCTTCCTTATACGCCTCACGGAGAGGACCGCCAAAGCTCCAAAGATAGGAAAGCCTCATGTGGCTGGCCTTCGCTGACTTCGTGATGTCTCTCATGTGGTTAAGCACAGTAAGTCGTGCCTCGATGTTGGAGTTGGGAGAGATGTTGGCTTCTTCGATTTTGAGAATGTCGTAGGGGAGCCAGCTCTTTCCAAGCCAGTCGAAGTTGAGGCGAGTTTCAATTCTCCTCGCCTCCCTCTGCTCGTTCGTGCCTCGGAGCTCGTACGGCATGGCGGCTGGAATTTCCTTGGCAGATAAAGAGGAACAGCGGCCGTGGCAGTGAAAGAATGGGTTGGGAAGCAGAAGAATTTGCCAAGACTCAGTGAAGAGAGTGGAAAGAGTTGGATTGCGCGCGTTTGTGTTTGTTTTCGTGGCCTGGAGAGATCACGCGTGGAGGTGAGAGCAAGGTGAGAACGTGCTGAGATACGTTTACTTTTGATCTTGCACATAGGCGCGTGGTTTCGTCCTTTGCTACCCTAAGCCTTTCAAAAAGCGGCGCTCTTTCACAGGCCACTACTACACTACAACCACATTTTCTCGGAGTTGGGAAACAATCAGTTTTCGTAATAACGTCCGGGAGCTGTATAAATATAAGATGACACACGTATTCACACGAGCTGCTTCACCCGATGCTAGGTACTAACAGTCATTCTAAAAATGAATGTTAATGAGGAAACCTTTCCTCTATCTCATGCGTTGTCTTTATTTATTTATTTATTTTTTTCCCAATGCGAATGATGAATTATCAATTCACCTACCAATCTCATTTTCGGTCATCAGTGTGAGCTCTCAACAGTGACATTCCGTCGAGCGCTGTAGGCAACCTGTTAGTTGGCTTGATCATATCCAGAAATAACTTCGTGAGAACCTAGAATACCGCAAAATTCCATTCAACTATTGGACGATTTCCTCCGATGTTGAATTTATCGCAGCTTCTGGACAAAGGACAAGAGTCGAAAAGCAGAGGTGCGCAGAGCCCACATTTGCGCTTTACCTAATCGAGTGCGACAGATAAGCACCGTTTCTTATCGCTGACGTAATGGGCATTTTGCCCGCAAACCTTTCCCAAAGCGGTAGCAATAAGCAAAGGGTATCAATTCTACAACGGGAGCAACGGATTCACGGCAAACAGTTCATTATTCAGGCTCCTTGTGCGGCTTAAAGATTTCATCGGGCCATGGGAAAGTGACCTTGGGAAACAAGGTGCGCTTCCTTATCTACGCTTGAATTCGACTGTGCTTCGAATACAACCCTGGACGAAATGGCGTCGCCACGATTTGAGGTGGCTCTTATCCAGTTCAAGCCCAAGGTACACACACCACCACCATGTCATAGTTCCTGTCCGTTGCTTGGGATGACATTCTAATGTTCTTGGTCAATAGCGTCTCGACCCGGAGCATAATTATGCATACGCCGCTGAGAAGATTCGGGAGGCGGCAGCCTCCGGAGCAGCCCTTGCTATCGTCCCCGAGTACCATCTGACCGATTGGGTGCCCGAGGACCCTTCGTTTGCCTTGTCCCCCGAGGACGCTCTGGACTACCAGCAGAGGTATCAGGCACTGGCAGAAGAGCTTCACATCAACATCTGTGCCGGCACTATAGTATCGAAATCTTTCGCGTCTGACTCCCAGGACACGAATGCGCCAGCTGTGCTCAACAAGTCCCATTTCATAGATCATAATGGCAAGCTTTTGGGAACTTACACCAAGACCAACATCTGGATCCCTGAACGTCGGTATCTGACATCCTCAGTCGAGTTTGCCAAGCTGAGCGGCGCCGACTCGTCCCATAACCCCCATCAAGCGATTGATACGCCGCTTGGTCGGGTTGGCATCCTTGTCTGTTGGGACCTTGCTTTTCCTGAAGCATTTCGGCAGCTGGTCCTTGACGGTGCTAAAATCATAATCGTCCCGTCTTACTGGACGTCCGGTGATATGACCCCTGATGGACTGGAGTACAACCCGGACTGCGAGAGATTATTTGTGCAGAATGCTCTGGTCACTCGCGCTTTCGAGAATACTGCTGCAGTCATATACTGCAACGTGGCAGGCCCGGCGGAGGAGGGTTTCTTCGGGTGCAGCCAAGTCACGCTTCCAATCGTGGGGACGGTGCCTGGAAGTTTCAGTGACAGCGAGGAGGGAATGCGACTTGTTGGCGTTGACATGCGTGCGGTTGAAGTCGCTGAGAAGAACTACAAAATCAGGCAGGACATGGCTGGCAAGGATTGGCACTATGGGTATGAGAAGGTTGATATTACATCTAGACGGTGAATTAGATAACCAAAAACCGATATCATAATGTCTGTTCACCAACAATACAAAGAGGCTACGAATGGCTGTGCTAAATTGTGTGAAAATGTTACCATGAATCAGTTGACTCAAATTGGACGAATGTGGTTAATTTTTGTGAGAAACTTATATTCTGTAACGATTAGAAACATCCAAGCTTTCTGTGGATTTGGTCTCATAGACCGCTGTGTCAAAGACTGAGCATATGCAAAGCCTCGTAACACGATAAAAACACGATTCATAGCATTAAACAGACTAAAGCAAGAGTGAGAATAAACTATTTGAATATGTAGGTTGTGCTATCAGACGTGACGTATCTAAGAAAATCAAAGACAGAGCACACAACCTTGGGAAGGTGAAAGTTCCAAAGCAACCCAACTATGTGATGCCAGAACTATTCCGAGCTCTTTTTACGAGTATCCTCAGAGGTCTTGGAGTGAGGGTCCGCCATGTCTGCATGAATCACCGGCAGTGCCTCTCCCAGAATCAACTCGATATTCGGCCCTTGGTATGTGTTTCTCTTGAACAACCAGAGGCCGGTCACAAAGATGATGAAGATCCCAACAACAGCAACCACGTAGTCTAATACAGTGTTAGTAGAAGGCGATAACCCTAGGCTGACAACTGGAACAGTAAGATCTTACTCATAGAGCCGGCATCAACCGGGATTGCAGGCGGGAAGCAGAAGAACTATAGTTTATGATATCAGAAATTTGATTCTCTCTCTCTCAATATCTGGCAGGATGGTGAACGAAAGAGCTTACAACTGAGGTGACTACCACGTAGACGGCAGAGGTATAATTTAGTGTATTCCCCCAGATTCGGCCAAGGGAAAACTCGGGGGGCTCGTCCATGATTATCTTTCGGCCCCTGATCAGTAGTATAATGACAGGGGCTGCGTATGACAGGTTTAGGAACAGCGTACAGCTTGAGATGTACGCATTGAATGCAACCTCGGGGCCTTTAGGAGAATTAGAGTCTTGACGTCAACAAAACTGGAAGGTTGGCATTTCTTACCGAGGTAGATCAGACCGAAAAGAAGATTAAAGACTGCCTGGACGAGAATGGCCCGGACAGGGACATTGAGCTTTGGGTGGAGGTGAGAAAGGCTGGTCAACCGGTCAGTTAAGTGCCTAGGCATGGACTAGGCCGGAGTGCTTACTATCGAGAAAAGGGAGTCCCGTTGTCTCGCGCCATGGCCCAAATAAGTCGACTGCCAGAAGTCACACAGCCGTTGGCACCATTCACGAAGCACAGAGCAACGGCGACGGTTAAGACTGTTGAAGCCGCATAGCTGCCAGTTGCTTGTTGGATCATTTCGGTCAGGGGACTCTGCGTTGCTGACGCCAGAAGCCCATCGATATCGACCGCGCAGAATAACATGACGAGAATAAAAACAATGCCGCTAGTCCTTGGTGTGAGTGGGAGGGACAATAATTAATGTTTCTACAGGATGGGCTGGACTCACGTCACACCGCCAACCATGATGGAAGCAACCATGGCCTGGGGAGCATCCTTTGTAGGACGGGGCATTTCCTCTGTCATATGAGCCACGGCATCAAATCTATTCATGAGTTAGCCTGTGGAACTAGCAATAATCGTCGACCGTACTAACCCTATGAAAGAGAGAGCGGATTGGAGCAGTCCAAGCATCCAGGCTGTTCCATCGCTCCATCCTGTCGTGTTCGAGAAGTTGGTGAAAACGAATGTTGCATCCGTCTTGGGTGAAGTGGCGAGTAGCACAATGCTGATAACTACAACGCTGGTTACAGACCAGTACACTATGTAAAGATTTTTTTCATTAGACACCAAGGCAAGGTCAGTGGAGGGAGTAGAGCAGTAGGCTTACAAGCACCCTCGTTCCACCGGTTTAGGATCGGATATGCGAAGAGGTTGAGAAGAACACCGATGATTGATACCGCGACAAACATCAGATAGGTACCCCATTTCGTGATTTCGTAGGTATAGTGAGAGCCAGCAACAGCCGCCGCGGCCAGGAAACGAGCTACATATGTTAGCTTCAACCCGCCCCAAACTTGATGAACGACAATGCCCATTACCTCCAAAGTATGCAGCAGTCGTATTGAGTGTCAGCCAGCCTGCTATATTGATCCACCCAACCAAGAAGCTCTGCACACGGGGGGTTTCAGTAATTGAAATTGGGGGATGAGAACTACAAGTGCAATTGCCTACCATACTCTTCCTCCACTTCTCGGAGGCCAAGGCATATGCATAATGGTATTGTCCGCCGGCAGTCGGCCAGCGAGAGGCCAGCTCACCCAGACTGGCAGCTAGACATAAAGAGCAGACGGTGCAGAATAAAAATCCGTAAACGAAGGAGACTGATCCGCCCGACGGCATAATAAGACCAATGGAACCGGCTAAAGAAATCCATGTGCTAGATGAAGAGAAAGAGGTTGCGTGAGCAAACTTTCTGAGTACTCAGGGGAAATGCATCAATCATACTTGAGAATGGCGAAAGACATGCCGACCATTGTGATTTTGGAGAAGCGTTTTTGGAGGTGACCCTCCTGCTGTCCGTTTTGGGATGCCATGATGTTTGGTACAAGGTTTCAGGACACAGATGAGGAAGTAACCGGCGCATGAACAGTGGATGAGGAGACTGGCATCCATTTAAGTAGTTGACGAGGCCATCCGATCAATGTAAGAGTGCTGATAACAGGGTTGAGGTGAGTTCCCACCGAACATGGCACAATCTGTGGAGTTTTGCGGGGGGTCACGCTTGACTCGTGCCAGGTCGAGGCTAAACTTGAAAAGGTAGTGTTAAGCAAAGGAAAATGCTTCGGGAGGGGTTTATCAAATTGCCGCTATCAGTTTTTGTCGGCTCAAGTAATTACGAGAAGCTAGTTGATAACAAACGCTCCACTTGCAACTACTGGTTCGATTAATTTCAACCTGCAACACATTACACATGATGCGGAAGAGCGTATCAAGGTCACGTAACGGGTGTGCCGTCTGCAAGTCCAAGCGAGTAAGCAATAACTTCTCTAGTGTAGTTGCTTCTGCTAATGATTCTATGTTGGTGGCAGCTCAAGTGCGATGAGGCGAGACCGAGCTGTTCTCGCTGTGAACGGCTGGGAATTACCTGCCCGGGGTACCAGAAACCTCTGAAATGGACCCGGTCGTCTAGAATGAGCCAAGAAAAGCACTGTGCCTCGGAGAGTTCCTTGGGTTTGAGCATCAGCCGTGAGGTTGAGACGCCGATCTTACAAGAGCACTCCCCACCTCTCGGGTTCTTGGAACAGCTTGATGACATTTTTGACACCGGAAGCCTGGATCTGTATGACCACAATACCGTTGATTCGCCTTTCTCATTCGTGCCTTCTTCAGAGGAACCGAACTCTTTCCAGGACAATGAATCTACAGTGGCACCGCGAAGTAAACCCTGGGAAAGCTCTCGTGATGGTTTGTGGACGGACATTTTTTCACCGCTGGCGCATGGAGGCACTGGCCATCTTCAACTTCAAACATCACGGCAACGGCAGACACACACATACTCTTGCGACCAGACGCCGATACCACAACCGCTCCGGGACCAATCATCCGTCTTGGTTGAGTACTACTTCAAGGAGGTTTGTGGCCTGATGTCCTGCTACGATAGCCCGATGAACCCCTACAGGTCAGAGATCTCCAACGTATGGTCTCAATCTCAACCTCTTTACTACATTACTCAAAGTATGGCCGCCGCTTGCTTGTCGGAGGTTTCGCCAACTATGTCCTTGACCGGCCGCCAGCTCCGCGATAAGGCTGAGGATAGCTTGGTCAGAGAAAGCATGGCTGGTCTAACAGATAAGACATCTCTTCTTGCGGTCGTTATGCTGGGCATGAGCCGTTCTTGGCACGATGCAGGGCATCTCGGCCAAAGGGAATATGACATTCTGGCCAAGGCTATTGAACAAATGGATCAACACCATGACAGTGTTCCATTGGCCGAAAAACAGAAGCATTTTTTCTTCTACAACTCTCTGGTATACTGGAAGCTCTTGCTATCATTTGTCACGGACTTGAATCTGGTCCGACCTGAAACCACGATTTTCCAACCACAAGTGGCGGAGCCCACCGCCGCAGTCGATCGATATGAACCACGAGTCCCTCACCCGCAGACGGGTGTAGGAATAGAAATACAAGAGTTGGTTTCCCAGGTTGGAGCTTTAGTAAGGAGAGAGCGAAAGAGGATCCGCTCTCGTAAGTTTGCATCAAGAAATGATATCGATACGGCTGAGGCTGCCATCCAGGAGGCTACAAGGCTTCAAGCAGATCTTTGCGCCATTGTCTTGCCGAGGGAGGCCACTGTTATCGACTCAGGCGATGATGTGACACCAGCAACTCATCTCCTAAAGGTCGCAGAAGCATATCGATGTATGGGGTTCCTCCAGCTTTTTAGAAACTTCCCTGATCTCCTCACATTCTCCGCGTCTTCTGGCACTCAAGATCAGGTCTTCCAACTCGAAAATAAGACCAATTCGCTCCCTGGCGCGAGCGATCAATGTCTCACGGATATGTGGTTGACATGCTTAGCACTCCATATTCTTCATTTGGTGCAAGGCATCCCAGTGTCCTCTCGCAGCCGATCTATCCAACCGCTTCTTCTTGTAGCAGTTTGCAGTGAGCTTTCACTTTGCCGCTCTTACGGTACAGTAGCTAGTCCAGACAGCGTCTCTGTAGAAAGCATTGCGTCTAGCCCTGTTTTCCAATCATCACCAAGCATAACAGACATTCTACAAGCAAGAAGGGACATTATATCACGGCTCTCCTATTTTGAAAATATACTGGCTGCAAAGCCGGTGAGGATGATGATACAGCTGGTCAAACAGACCTGGCGCAGAATGGACGAGGAACAGCAGGATTTATACTGGATGGATGTCATGATGGACGGAGGGTATGAAACGTTGATAGGATAACCGTCTTGCCAAAAAAGATGCTATAGCCAGTGAAAAATTGAACTTGACGGGATTTTGGTCATATTCAACTAAGTTTGAGTCGTGGTATCGCCACTGTATTTTGAGTGAATCTTCGCATTCCAAAAGTCGGGTAAGGTACTGCAAAGCCATCCATGGGGAGCGAAATGAGTAGAATAGACGCCAAAACCTTCACAAAGCCACACAACAACACTGACAACCGTCCGCTCTTGGAGTGGTAGATTATCAACCGGTCCACTATTACTACCTATGCTTTGATGCGGCTTGGAATGCCTCGAGGCTCACGTTTGATAGGCTTTGGTCTTAGTGGTCTTAGCCGTCTTGAACAAGGTTTATCCACCAAATTAGCTGCTACGGTAAACTCATGTTTTTAGTTGAACACTAGATTTCGGGTAGATCATTTGAAGGATATTGGAATGGTGCCATTATATCGTTGTTGCTCGTTCGCCACTAAACTTCACACATCGTGGCACCATGCTTTCGGGGCCAAGTATAGCTAGATAATAGTTCTCAATGCTAAAATTATTTACAACCACTCGGAATGTTTCTTCAAGTCTCATCACTAGAGCCATTGCTTTTCTACCATGGATTTCGAAAACCTAATATAAAACACGTACCGGGTTTCATCGATCGGTCCTCTAGAATCTCGAATTTAATCAAGGTTTACTAGATAGGGCCTCGAAGCAGGTTCATGCTGATATTCATCCGAACTGTAATTCTATGGACTGAATTCGTAATGTGCACTGGAGATTCCAGACCAACACGCCAAGATTACGGTAGGATACCGTTATGAACGCTACCCGCATTGGTGGTCCATCGCGTGGATGAGGCGGCCGCCCTCGACATAAGGACACGAAGGAATTTTACGTTTGTTTTGGAACGGGGATAAACCTTGATGTTTCGATATCTGGTCTAACCAGGAGGTTTAGACGAGTAGTAAACCTTTAGGCGCCGTGTCAGCAATTATTTTCATTGGTCTTCTGCAATGAAACGGGACGGGCTGAACCACCTTTAGCTCATAGCTTAAAGTATAACGGTACTGTGGCATTCCTTTATTGGCATGGTTTCGCAATCCTCGCTGGTTTAGTAAAGGTGGTTCATACATATATATTTCACACTGAAATATCTAGAACGCCTTAGGAATGTTCTCCATCGTGAGGGCATCACGGAGATGAAAGTGAGTTTCTAAGGCGATTGAGCCATCCGCGCTACCATCGGCCAAGCATAGGAGGTATGGAAGGACCTCTTTCTGGGAAGTTATAGGATATGCAGAATTGCAACTCTTCTTTCGAGTTGAAAAACTATATAAGAGGCGGTTGCCTCGACTCGTCAGAAATGAATTATAGCAACAAAGACAACATCAACTGACTGGCCTACCATACCTACCTTGATCAAACCTCAATAATCAACATGAAGTTCTCACGAGTTCTCTTCTTCGCCTCTCTTGCTCTAGCTGCACCTGCAGCTCTTGTTGAGAAAGATGAGCCAGCTCTTCTGCTTGACGAGCGCCAAAACGACCCAGTGTCAGCCGTTATCACTGCACTCAATTCAGTGACAAACACCATCAACACCAGTGGTGGCGCGATCCGTAAGCAGGTTTCCAATCGAATGAAAACTTTCAGGTGCTAACGATTTACACTAGAATCGGCAATCAATGGAATCACTGGAAATGTTGATGCCCAAGTCCAAGTCCTTATTCGGGCCAATCTGGATGCCATTCTCAAGGCCCTTCAAGGCTCCATAGCTACTATTCTCGCCTCGACCCTTGATTCGACTGGTAATATTACCGCAGCCGCCTCTGGCCTCACCCAAGCACAAATCAACAATCTTGCAGCAGCGATCCAGGGTGCCGTTGCAGCTGTCAACCGGCTCAGGATTATTGTCACCCTCACTGCCACAGACCTCACCCCCGCCGTGTTCGATTTAGTCCAGGGCCAGATCACCGCCATCCAAAACACCATCCAACCCTTCATCACCCCTGTTGCCGCTTTCGCCAATGCAGTTTCCAGATTGAATGCCAGACTCGGCATCTATGTTCTGGGACTAAGCAACGTGACATCCACGCTTGTCAGCACTATCCAGAACTTGCTCAATGGGCTGGGCCTTGGGGGTCTTGGAAACCTTCTAGGTTAAATGGTTCTTAGTATTGACTGCTAGGAAAGTGTTTCAAGTTTTGAAAATGAGCTTGAGATTGTTGATTTGATTTCATGCCTGGCTGCATTTTTCCGCTTCGACAAATCTAACAATTTTATCATATAAAGGTGTATTGGTCCTTATTTCCAAAACCAACCACTACTTTCCCTTATTGTAATGCTGCAGTAATGATTTGAAGTTAATAATATGAATTGATGAAATGTCTTCTAGAAATATATTTGCCTATGTGAGTGGATTAAAAAGCAGCCGAAAGCATTGATCATCGTGTGCGGACTCTTTGAATAAACTTGAAGCGCCTAAACTAGACATAGTCTCTTGTTGGAGCATTTCACTCAACACACACAAGAAGACTTAATTGGAGTATCCATATGAGAATGCGTCGAGATTTATATACTCACATCCTACGCTTGGCATCAGCAGGGAACATCAATAGCCATTTCTTGTCCCCAGCATACATGAAGCAAAAGTTGGAGTAATTTCTGTATGAATCCATGGCATTCTCTATTCTATTTTGATATTATTTTAAAATTTTAGGCCACTATCTGGAATCAATAGCTTCGTGGCAGGTCCAGCACCCTTTCTGAAATAAAGTTGAGAATCATCTCTCGACTTACTGGAGCGATCCGAGGCACAAGACACTCCCTGAACCACCGTTCCACATCGTATTCCATCGCATAACCCATGCCGCCATGGGTAAGAACAGCCCGCTCACAAGCAGTAAATGCCGCTTCAGCAGCAAGATATTTTGCACTGTTGCAGGCAACCCCGATCGCGTGCGGGCTGACTGCAGCTCCGGTTTTGCTGTTGTCATAGAGTCTGGCAGCATGGTATGTAGCCAACTTGGCCGCCTCCAAACGCATGTAAGCGTCGGCAAGGGGATGGGAAATTCCCTGGTTCATGCCAATAGGTCTGTTGAAGACGACGCGTTCCTTGGCATACCCTGCTGCCTTGGCCAATGCCGCATATCCCAGACCCAAGGCCTCACCAGCCAGTAAGCATCTCTCTGCGTTCATTCCGTGGAGCACTATTTTGAAACCCTGGCCTTCGGAGCCGATAAGAGTGCTCTTTGGAATCACATAGTTGTCAAAGAAGACTTCGTTGGCATCCACGGCTCGGCCTCCCATCTTCTTAATCCTTCGCATATCCAACCCAGGCTTCGTACGGTCCAGATCGATAAAGAAAAGCGACAAGCCCTCGCTGGGCTTCTTGACCTCCTCAAGCGGAGTGGTGCGAGCGAGCAGGATCATCTTGGAAGCCACCTGAGCACATGTAATCCAGATCTTTTGACCCGTGATGCTGTAGCCATCACCGACGTCCTTCGCGGCCGTGGACAGACTGAGCGTGTTGAGCCCGGCGTTGGGTTCGGTCACGCCAAAGCACACTCGTGTCTTACCGGATACGATATCGGGTATCGACTTGAGCATGTCTTCTGAGCCAAACTTAGCGAGTGGCTGTGTTGCGTAGATATTGGCGTGAATGGCTTGGGCACCCGCCATACCCGCACCGGACTCGGTGATAGTTTGCATCATCATGGTAGCTTCCGAAATGCCCAGGCCTGATCCGCCAAATTCCTCAGGTAATGCCACGCCCAGCCATCCGTCCTTGGCTAGTGCGGCATGGAAGTCCTTGGGGTCGGTCTCGGTTTGGTCGAGATTCTGCCAGTAGGTATTGGGAAAATTAGAGCAGACCTGGCTGACCGACTCACGAACCATGAGTTGGTTTTCAGTGAATCCTGTCGTGTCCATGATATGGCGAGAGGATGTGCTGGAGAATGTGCGGGCTGCGCTTCCGTTTGCACCTCTGGAGATGAGCCGAGCTCCAGCTCCCATTGAAGGGGCTACGCATCGTGTGAGCTTGAATGAATACATTTTCGTGCTCTGAATGAACTATTCAAATATTAAATTAAAACATATAGAGCCAGCAAACCAACGAAGGCTTTGGGATGAGGCTGATATATATTTGATAAATTCTGGTTTCACGATGTCGCTCCGCAGTCTCGGCTACTTAACAAGAGGAGAGGCTCGGTAACTCGGCTTCTTCATCTGGCAAATGAGGAGAACACCAAGAAAACGGCTTCTTCTCACATTACGGCAATATCCAACCGCCCTCCGATCGGCCGTGACACAGGCGATAATTCAAGTTGCTTCCATTTCCGTGAGAAGTGTTTCTGGGACGGCAACGGGCTGGGTATTGGCCAACTCAATTCATACAGTCATTTTCAAGTTCAGTAAAAGACATATCATCCACCATGGCGCCGGTTTCGTTCCTCACCAAAAGGCTAGGGCAGGCTCTCCCACCAACACTTTTCTGGCATCCAAAATGCAGTGGCCTCGGGAAGATCCCGCTCAAATCGCCCAGTCTATCTGCTCCCATGCGTCGCTATTACTCTTCAGATAAACAAAGCAGAAACATCAACCTCCCGCTTGACGGAATCACAGTTGTGAGCCTCGAGCAAGCCATTGCTGCACCATTCTGTACTCGGCAGCTGGCCGATCTCGGGGCCCGCGTGATCAAGGTGGAAAGACCAGTCGTGGGCGACTTTGCGCGCAATTACGACACGCGGGTTGATGGCCTCGCTTCGCACTTTGTTTGGACAAATAGGTCGAAGGAAAGCCTGGCACTTGATGTCAAGGACCCCAAGGCCGCCAAAGTTCTACAATCCTTGCTCAAGACGGCCGACGTCTTTGTGCAGAATCTCGCCCCCGGGGCTACAGACAGGCTCGGTCTCTCATTTGAGAACCTGCACAACATCAATCCTCGTCTCATCGTGTGCAACATATCGGGGTACGGTCCCACGGGGCCGTATAGAAAGAAGAAAGCGTATGACCTTCTCGTCCAGAGCGAGGCGGGCGTCTTATCTGTCACCGGAACAGACGCGGACCCTGCTAAAGTTGGTATTTCAATCGCAGACATCGCAGCCGGCATGTACGCTCAGCAGAATGTCTTGGCTGCTCTGATACACCGTGGAATCACCGGCAAGGGCAAACAAATAGACATATCTATGCTCGAGAGCATGGCAGAATGGATGTCTTTCCCCATGTACTACACATATAAAGGAGCCGAGCCTCCGAAACGCATGGGGGCTTCGCACGCAGCCATCTACCCATACGGCCCATTTGAGACCGGCCAGGGCGGTACAGTGATGCTTGGTTTGCAAAATGAGCGCGAATGGCAGAAGCTTTGCTCCGTGGCGCTGGGAGACCCCCAGCTTGCCGTTGACGAGAGGTTTTCGACCAATTCGCTTCGGTCCGAAAATCGCGAGGCTCTTAAGAAAATCATCTGCGAGATCTTCTCCAAATACAGTCCCGAGGAAGTTCTCGCCCTCTTGGACGAAGCAGGGATTGCAAATGCCAAGATGAATGATATGAAAGGGCTATGGGAACACCCACAGTTGAGAGCAAGAGGCCGTTGGACAGAGGTTCACAGCCCAGTAGGAAAATTACCTGCCTTGCTACCGCCCGGTGTTGCAAGTGTTGATGAGGTTAAGATGGATGCGGTACCGGAAGTTGGTGAGCACAATTCAAAAATTATACAAGAATTGGGGTTCAATGAGGATTTTCTAGACCAATGATCAGGTTCGTCATCGGGCAGAGGTTTTAAAGGTTAGAATCTAGAATAAAAAGTATGTGACGAATGAAATAAATATCACAAACATTTCTTACATTATGGTCAAATTGAAAACGTACTTATGGCGTTCCCTCGCTGCTTTGTAGAATTGTAACTTGAAAAGCTTGTACACTGCTAAGTTTCTCAGCTTCATATTCTTGATAGAGGAGAGACCTTTGTAGAGTTGCCGATTCGGCTATAAGAAGTAGGTAGTCAAGAAGTCTCTTCATCGGAGGCACCGATATGGTTATGATTTGTCTTTTCTGTTGAATTACTTAATCATTTATAGTGGTTTCTCTAGCACATCCATCTCGAAATCATTAAACTCGGTCAGAAAGGCCCCAAGATCTCCCGTAGACTCATTCCCTTCCCAATACCCATTCCACATGAAAAGGTGTGGATCTTCAAAAACATCGTTCTGTATCCGATTTGTTACTGAAGAAGATTCTAGTTGTTCCAAAGCGGTCTGGTTCATTTGCTGATGAATGCCTGTCGGCTCAGTGATCTCATCGCTTGTTCCCTTTAGCTGCTTCATGATCGAGTTATCGACAAATTGCATGAAAACGTCGAGAACGTTATTGTTGATCCTCCAATATTTTTGTATCTCTTGCAAGCCTAAGAGACAAGCCTGGGCTCGGTTCTCAGCTATTCGCCGGGCGACTCCCGTTCCCCTTCTGATACTGACAACATGAATGCAGAGCGCGGCGAAGAGACTAGTGATTCTAGCAACAAAGGTCATTAGTTATAGAACTTAGATTGGTATGCTATTAATCCATACAAGTGCATTTGGCCAAAGCGAAGTGCCCCGCGGGTCAGCAAATCTTCGGCAATTCGGCTGATGCGAGTCGCGGCATGGTACGCCATTTCAGCACTATCAACAGCATCTCTCTGCCGCATGAAGCTGTTCCGGTGAATTAGAATTCGAAGATGACTGGAATTCCAGTTGTTAGTGATGACCTGCTCTATAAGTGCAATATTGATAGCAATATTGATATACTTACTAATACGCCAGATGTAAGAGACAGGTCCAAATGGGTGCATTGTCAGAATCAATGCCGTTCTTCACGTCTTCGGGCAGGCTCTCGAACCATGAATGCAGCGCGTTGTCCAGAACTTGCACATCGTACTGTTGGGGAGAAGATCGTCCGGGGAGGAAATATAAATCAATCACGCGACCAACTATGTAAAATTAATTTCCACTCCAAAACATGCGTTATTGGCATTCAACGTACGCAGTTTCGCAATTTCGACCATCTTGATCACATAGACCGTATGGTTCGGCTGGCAGGATCCAAAGGGGAACCCTTCCGGGTCTACAACTTCAGAGCTCAGGTCTGAGTCGAGAAGAGGTTCTGTGTCGCAGTCTTCGTCCCTGATCCTGCTCGGTAGCCCCAGTGAGGCGGCAGCTTGTCTTTCTCGAACCTGATTACGTTAGTGCGTTGATGGGGGGAAGCATTATGAAAATGGAACTAACATAGATGGACCACCAGATCCTCCTACGTAACCGCGTGGGGCTGTGGCCCTTGGCTGTGAATTTGGTGCTGTGACATGAAAAGTTAGCTACGAGGGATAAACTTTGAACTCATCGTCACTCACGAGCGATGAAGGCCTTGGGACTCAGCCAGAGAGATGACCACCCCGAGCCAGTATCTCACGTCTCTTATATCAGTCGGGCCTCCTCTCCAAAAGCTCATTAAGAACACAGACTGGATCAGAGTGATCTTGTCTTGTTCCCAGTCGGCACTATACAGTAGGCGAGTCTTGGTATAGAACCTGGCCTTAGCTTCCGCACGATCTTGGAATCCGATATTCGAGATGATTTCATCTGTGCAATATGTGCTGCCAATAAACAACATGGCATTCAGTAGGAGAGGAGATAGTGTCCCATTTGCTAAATGCTGTGCGGTAAGACGCCGATCTAGAATGGGGAAACATGGATGGAACCAGGTGAAGTAAGCTTCCAGTACTGGAATATAGTCCTTTTGATCTGGAAATTCCAACACTTGTTCCTCACGAAGAAGCCTCAAGGTACTGGCCGGTATGTCTTCGGCGGCATTATACGAAGACGGTGGAGTGGTGCCATTGTTGCTGTTTACTTCTGCACGGGGCAAGACAACGTTCAAAGGAGGTTCAAGATGTCCGCGACGCCCTTGGCCAGCATCATTGTTGGAAGAGCCTTCATTACCCTCTTGTCGAGGGGGTCCAGGCATCAGTGTGATGAAGTTGGACTCTCCATAGAAGACGGTCGCCTCGGGGGACGTGATAGAGACCGAGGATGCTGGCACATCTGGTGGTGTCAGAGCCTGGCTCTGAGCTACCCTAGCTTCAGATTCTCGAGTATGTCTCTGATGGTGCTCCTCCGTGGGCCCTGCTGTAACTATAGACGACTTTCCCGCAGCCGAAGGTGTCCGTAGAGTCCCCGCTGGTGTTGCCGGCGACGCTTGGCCGGTTGCCTTTCGGGGCTTGCGAGGGTAACTTGCCGACTCCGTGTAAGTGATAGTTCCTGTAAATCGATCTCTACCGGCATCATTCACTTACCGTCCACGGCGTGAGACAAAGATCTCGCAGATCACCGATCCCTTCTCGCAATTGGAGCACGGATAGCGCTCGGTCACGTCGCAACGCACTCGACGCACATTGCATTCACGACAAGCACGCTTTGCACGCGTGATACGTGCAGGAGGTTTTTCGACCTGAGTAGGCATCTTTGGTAAATTGCTCGACATGCTCTACCAGAGTGAGGCGGGAAAGCCTTTTGCCCTTGAAGAACGTCACAGAAATTAACTTCGGCTACTTCGGTTACTTCGGCTTCTTGCCGGTCTTGCTACTACCCTATAGTATGAATACCCTATAGTATCAACCAAACTCCAATCTACTCCATGATTCATTCCCCATCAATCGTAGTGGTTCCAAAGGGCTTGTCTTGTTGAGAATTGGAGAAGAAAATGTATTTTAGAGATTCCGTGGGCTTTACTGCTAGAAAGTTCAGGTATCCAAGATTGTAAGACTCCACAATCAATTTGCTTGGGAGATTTCCAGAAGTGGAGTAAATCGAATATTTGATTGCTGAGCCTGCAAATTTTGTACCTGTTTGACCAGCGTTGGCATCCGCTGTCAAAACATGACTGCATCAATCTTTGAGCGATTGCTCCTGTGAACGTGATAGCACGTCAATGATTCTTGGGTACGGCGCCCGTTCATGACAGCGATTGACGCAGCGCAGACGTGTCACCGTCCATGATTGGGTGAGATCCGGATCTGGAACCCTGATAAGACGCGTTTTATGGAGTTATCTAAGCGATATGCAAAGGGTCTTCCCAATCCAGAAGCTGGTCATCCTATAAGATTCCGTCATCTGCTCCCTTTAAATTAATCTTGCTTTTGGCGTTGGCCGTTCCTCCTCAGGCTGGCGGAAAGGTCAACGAGGAATCTGTTTCCTAGTCTCACCAGCACCACAGCACTTGGTGCCATTCTTTCCTTTAAATTCCGATTCTTTCTAGCAGCCTGAACCGGGTTATACAGTGCAGCGATGGCGGGGGACACTGAGCGCAGGCCCTTGCTGGGCCAGCGTTCCCACTCGTCATCAACAAACAGTCAGCTCGGCGATGCTGCTCATGGCCCAACTCGCGAGACAAGAGGCCAAAACATCATCATATTGATGCTCTGCATCATCTTGTTCTTCGCAAGCTGGGCGAATGGCTTCACCCAAATTCCTCTCTTGCGCCTGGTGGAGGACAGAATTTGCCATGAATACTATGACATGTCCATGTCACCTCTTGAGCCCATCGATGAGAATCTTTGCAAGGGAGAATGGATCCAGAGCCGCCTGGCTTTCATTCTGAGCATCAGTTCTGCCATCGGAGCCTTGTCAGGTTTTCTCGCAGCATTTCCCTGGGGTGCTGCGGCTGACCGGTAAGCCCCAATCCCTTGTCGATCCGAGGCACGTTCGCTAATCTGGCTTCTGAAGCATCGGCCGCAAGCCAATTCTTACCCTTGCCTTGACTGGAATGGCCCTCGAGGTTGTTTGGGATATTCTTGTCATCTGGTTTCACAATATGCCTATCAAGCTTATATGGCTTGGAGGAGTTTTGAATATTGTGGGCGGCGGGAACGCGATCATTATTGGCATGATTTTCAGCATAGCCACCGATGCGACGACTGATGAGGAGAGGCAAGTTTGCAATATACATCTAGAGCCCGCAGAATTTCTACTGACTTGTGCTCAGAGCCGTGGCCTTTTTGCGCCTTCACGTAGCAGGGATGGCAGGATCGTTGGTCTCCCCAACTCTATGTGCCCTCGTTATGGAGCGAGCATCGCCCTGGATTTGCCAGTGGATTGGGGTATCGTTGCTTATCTTTGGGAGTGTTGCAATATACGCTGTTCCCAACCCTCCCAAACCGTCACACTCGCCCTCGCATGACGAACAAGAATCAGACTCGGATGATGAGGATCCGGTGAACCGGAAGAGGGTATCCAAATTACTGAAGATGATATCTCTTCCCATAACGCCTTCTCTACTTATATTCTTCTTACTCACCTTTCTCTCAATACCGGTGGCGTTGGCTACACAAATGTTCATGTCCCAGTATGTCTCGAAACGATATCACATCAAGCTGTCAAGTACGGGGTACATTCAGTCAACATTTGGCGTTGGGCACATCATACAGGCCTTTATTATTCTCCCTTTGGTGTCTCACCTTTTGACATCAACAACCACGCCGGCCATATTCCGGGTCAAGGACGAGAAACTGAGAGATGTTGTTTTACTTCGGGGTTCTTTCGTCTTTCTTATTGTCGGACTCATCGTGGTCGGTTTGGCAACGGACCTAATTGGCTTCATGTTCGGTCTGGTCGTGTTGGTGCTCGGTTCGGGGTACGCCAGCCTCTTGAAGAGCCTAATGAGCCTGTATGCCGACGCCAAGCATCGATCCAGGCTCTTCAGTCTCATTGGCATGGTAGAAGTACTGGCGCGCGTTTACTCAGAACCGGCCCTTGCTGGACTCTACTCGCTTGGGCTACGTCACGGAGGTGGTTGGATTGGCATCCCGTATTTTGGGGTGGCACTTTTTATCGCAGTTTGTCTTGCTTTGCTTTCATTTGTAGAATTGCCAAAATCAAATGAGGCTGTGACTGATTAGACTTGAGAGCGGTGTGGGGATATAGAGATAACCATAGAAGCGGCAGATACATACGAGTATGGGCATAGAAGTCGATTGGTTCTGATACAAATTACTATTGTTAGCGAAAATGAATGATCAGAGCATGAACGCAAACACGTCTTGGTATAGGTGTCAAGGGTTAGTGTGATCTATCTTATCCGCAACTTAGACAGTAAGTCACACCCCAAAGGATAGAGATCATTAGCAAAGTAAAACGTATACTCTACCACAAAACATTCTCATTCTAATGGAAATCAGCTTATTGAATATAGATCTGAGATGCTATGATGAATGAAACAGCTAAGTGTACATCCAGTTCCATCCCAAACATGCGGGTAGCTCTCAAACAGACGAGATCTCGTATTATAAAACCTCAAATTCAAGAATCAGCTGAGGTACTCCGGTGAAGCCCGCGGGCATAGACCATGTAAAACTCCAATATTCAAAAGTATTGGATGGGCTTAATTCGCCACCATTGGCACCTGCAAACTTTGTAACATACGCCATGTTGATGTTTCCAGAAGGCGTCATTGAAATCCCTTGCATGTGTTTGATGCCAGCCAACGTTTTTCTCCCCTTGAAGGTAGTCGCAATAATTTGGAATTTGCTGTCAGCATTTCCGCTGGGGTAAGAAAGCACCACCTTCCCTGGCGACACTTCAGTCTGTAGGGCTTTCTCCGAAGGGCGTAGCTAGAGGCCTGATTAGTACCCGAATGAAACGAGATGGAATGTACATACAGTTAGGAAGGCTACTTCATCGTCGGTTATCCACTGCACTACCACAGGATTGGTGGTGCCAGCTGGGCCGCCAACCCCGGTTTGGTTGAAGGACATGCCTCCGATGGTCAATTTTTCAGACATCCAGGTTGTGATGTTCCTTGTATCGAGATCATAGGGTGGGTAATAAGCTTGAGCGGTGAATGTGCGCTCTTTATCGAACTTCTTGAACTGGTCAAAGAAGTTATCTGGCAAGTGCTTGGCTTGTGTGTCTGCCAGCACTGCAACAAGCGGTCCCCAAGCATAATCAGGTGAGTGGCTCATTAGATGGGGCTTCCATGTTTACTTGTCAACACTTTTACATCACTAAAAGGCTTATGAGAGTATAGAGAAAGACGGACTGACCTGGCTGATGAGAGAGGATGCATTCTTTCCCAGATATGCCCAAAACCATAGGGCCATGATGCTAACGTATCGATTCATGTCGTATCCATAGGTACGATCCCATGGCCCAGCCAAGTTCTTCATAGTCGGGTGCCAAAGCTGACTGAGTGAATCCCATGTTTTCTGGAGCATCACAGGTCCCATCCGTGACATGGCAGAGTCTTCTGGAAGATACGTGCTCCAGAGAGTAAGGCCAAACACCGAGACTCCCGTGTATGTGGCGCTATTGAACTCGGACAATGTGTTCGTCTTGTTAAAGAGCGCGATGATCTCGTTGGCGTACGCTTCACCTGCAGAGGTCATGTTCTGATCATTTGTTTTGCGACCAACCCATCCTGACACGAACGCCCTCATGATAGCCTGAACTGGTTAGCCACTAGTTTCTTCTGGAATCTGGCCTTTCTCAACGGGAAGACTCACCGGATTGCTATATGACGGGTAGAGATTATCGCCATTTTGTCCCCCGTTTCTGTACGAGTCCCCTATCGCTGTGTGAACGAGCGAATCTAGGATGAGCTTCTGAGTGTCCGCAGAAAGAAGCTCGGAGTACTCCTCCAGAATGATGATAAAGGTTGTTCCAACAAATCCGCGCCAATTTGGGTCCCATGAGTTGTAGATTTTGGCCGAGTAGAGCGGCGAGCCGACCTCAGGCTCCTCTGGATACTTTTGGTACGTTCCATACCATTGCTGTGTTGTGTTTTTGAATTGGCCCCTAATGACATTCCCAATAATTTTCTCGGCTTCCGCGACGTCATTGTTCTCGTTCCTCGCCAACAGACCAAGAGCGTACCAGGCGGAGCTGCGAGTTTCGTGGCGCAGAGCCTCCTGAGTATTGAGATCATAGAGATATCCCTCGTTGCTGTCGTAATTCATGTCTAGCCATTTCATCGAGTCGCCGAAAAGCTGTTGAACGTCCGGACTCCATGATGACGGTGTGGCAGCCAAGGTAGTCACGCAGGTCGTAGCCAGCACCAAGAGGAATGGCAACATCCTGACAGATGAAAGGTATAAGTTTAGCCGGCGCGGGCCTGTTGGGTGTTTATCCTACCGAATGGCTGGATTGGTTTTCTGCGGTTGAAGTCTTTTTGGAACAGACTACGTCTTGCTTGTCTACGGGCCTTGGTCCGGTAGATATATGACTAGATGTGGAGAACGATGAGCAGATCATTTGCTTGCATGCGTAACCCCTGAGCCGGCTAATGTTGAATTTAACGTACTGAGTGGGAACTCATCCCCGAAACGAGCGTGATCAGCATGGGGTCTTAGACTAGATTCTGGACGATCAACTTGTTCACCTCTGTTGATGTTCCATTGAGGACCTTACTGCTGTCCCTATTCTGGCTACCAAGTGCCCAGTATCAGTGTGCTATGAGTGCCTAGACTATGTCAAAAATTAAGCTCTCTCACTTTAGGCTTGGCCACTAGAAATGTTGGAAACATCCATTCAAGTTATTTACGGCAGGTGACATAGTGCCAAATCATACGAGCCGTTAGCTTGATAGCCTTTTTATCCGGAGGTGCGGAGGTAGAGAGCGATGTCTGCATCGCTCTCCACATGCTCGATCGAGCAGTCGCCGAAAGTGTTCCTGCTTACTCGTCGAAGGCCGATATGCAAATCTACCATCCCTTCATCTCGCATCAAGATATCAGAAATGGGGTAAGAAATCCAGCAATTGGTTTCAGACGTGGCGTGGACTGACTCATTTTTAGACAAGTGCCCGCAAAAGACCGCTGTATCAATGTCTGTCCAGTCAAATGCCTAGATAAATGACATTTCGCGAAGCACAACTCCTTCTGGAAATTCTCTAAACATGCTTTTGATGGGAGTCATTCTATTTTTGGCCGATCGCAAATTGAGACCCTCCGTCAGCGAGATCGCTAAGAGGAAGGTCGGCGACGACTTCTTCCATATCGTTGATTGAATTCTGAACAATAGGAAATGATTCAATTAGCTCAGCTCCCATGCGAGGATACTAGGTGCCCTAGCCTATGAAGACCTTTGAAACTCCAGGATAATTACCAGGCTTCGGCACCTGTAATGCCTTGTAATGCCTTGATGCCAATGTCAGGATATGAATGTGTTGTGTGAATATGGTGTGGATCGCTTCAGCTTTTCTCGGATCACTTGCCGGGGTGCCTGTCCCTTACTTATGCCTCGAAATGCTGGGGCTGGTCGTTCTGAATCTTCAAACATAAGCCTGCTCTGGCGTAAAGTGCTGCGAATTAAAGTTGACTGGCCAGTAGGGCTGGGCGAGGTTCCTGGAGTGGAAACGCCTTGATTTCTGCCAGTCTCGCTGATGATACATTCGACGTGGTCTTCATCGTCTATGGCAGCAGTCAGAGTGTCTAAGGGAACGGTTGAAGCCCCATATACGCAGGCTAGTTGGCAACTTGGTCTCACATTTGGCTTCACCATCCGGAGGTAATAGCTTCAGCCTGCTTCTGATGACGAGATATCCGCGGCCCAGAGCCAAGTTTGTGCCGCAGGCCATTGTCATTCCTCATTCTTCTGACCGATGTGGCTGTACGGCAGACGAGGTGAGGGGTGAACAAAACTCGCAGAACAAACCGTATCTACGCTTATGGACGGCCCATGCAGGTTGATAAGGCACGGAATATAATGGCCGAGGAGATACCGACAGTATGGTACGTTGGCACATGCATGTCTACGTCACGGGTAAGCATCATACCGTTAGGTAGTTGCTGGTCATCAAGTCTGCGAAGATGGCCGTATCGCTACCACGAAGGCTACTGATAGTTCCAGCAGATCCATCGACTTCTTACACAGTCTGCACACCAAGCATTGAAGATAGGGTTCATCAAGGGTAGAGTTGTATACCAAGAAAATGCGAGAGTCCTGGAGGGCCCAGCTGTATCTACATTCGCGTACAAAAAACAAGGAGCTTATCTTCTTGAATTGGGCCTCGTCCTCCACTGAAGCTGGAATGCTGTAAATTTCAACCACATGCTTTATAATCCACAACTATAGCTGCACGCCCGCAGAGTAGCATCGTTTCGTATTGAAGGTCGAGGCACAGGCCTCCCGTTATGCGGTCGCGACTTCAGTTGAGCGCCGAGGAACGCTCCAGGAAGAGTGAGGTCGCAGATACGAGAAGGGTGACGATCGACGCGGCGTAGTTCAAAGAGAGCGTCAAACTGCTTATCAATCACACTTTATGAGGGTGCTGGTATCGCCAGGTGGTTTTGGAGTGAGGCACAGCAGATTCCGTCATTCCGCGAAACGGAGCGTCCATGCCACTATGCATTTCGAGGCTTTACGGCCTTAAGTCTCAACTATCATGTTCGATAGAAGGAAGCATCGTGATATCTATCCCGTTGCTCACAGAATACTCACCCTCGATTGTATATAGCCAATGTCTGGATAACAGGCGATGGCCAATGTCACAGCCTGTTGAATTCATCATGGCGAACATTCGGATGCAGGTTACTCGTGTACAAGATAACTAGGTACGTTTGTAATCCAGATGGAACTTTTCGGCAACTACGTGTCAGCGTACTTTCGTCAAGGCGGTCAGCTGATCGTTATATTGTGATACCACTGCAGCAAGCTGCAGGACGTGGTCATGGTTCTTTTGAAACCCACCCTGCCACGATTCGACACCTGGCTTCTTCCTACTGATAGGGCAATTCAATTACGAATAACGATGCTGAACAAAACTCGGTGTGCATACAGGGATCAATGTGAGGCAGATCATGGAGTAGCGTCAACTACTGCGGCTGAACGAAGTCGTGGGAGCCGCGTATCTCTCTTACTTCGGGGCCGAGTAGCTGCCTTGCCATCTTGTCACCCCATGTAAGAGTTGCATTGTCATTCCCTAATGCTGCATTTGGATGTGCGCCTCGGTGGGACTAATAGATAATCCTCCGACAATTGCGTGCTCGACCAGTACTCTGCTCCAACTGGCACTCCTATACTTCGACTGGTACTCCCATGCTTCGACCATTACTTGTATGTTTCGATCATTGATCCCATAGTTCGACCGTTAGATGCTCCATGCTTTCCTTTGCCAAACGGTGAGACCTCGTAACTTCGTCCTGTTTCGTCTTGTCATTCATTCTTCCCCGTGGGGACCAACTTCTAAGTAGATAGACGTATGAGAGGTACAGTGATACGAACCATATCAATGTACCTAACACTTGGTCCTACCAAAGATCCCCAATGCTTATTCTTCCCAAACATTCCTGCCGCTTATCTTGTACAAGGAGGGGTGGTAATGAGAAAGTCCCGGTCATTGTGACATAGATGGTGTAGGTATATAACGTGCCGGGTGATGAGGGAGTCGTTTTCGCCCTCTCTTGCCAGCTGTTTCTTGTTCTCTTCTCTATAACGCTTGGTCTCTACCAGTAACCGAAAGTTTTCACTTTCTTACCTGTCCAGTTACGATGGGGTCGCCTACTTGGCTCACAATTGTAGCTGCAACGGCGGTGCACTGCGTTGTTTCCCCTCTACCAGAGGTTTCTCTAGAGCTCTATGTTGTTCCCTACCTTCTGGGCAACTTGATTCTATACACTTATCTATGGAAAGAAGGCCTGCCCACCGTTGAGATCATCTTCAATTTCACAACTATCAATGCCTGTTTCCTTTTCACTTCTGTCATTCTCACTATCACCAGACGGCTTTTCTTCTCACCGCTCGCTAAGTTTCCTGGTCCTAAGCTTGCTGCAATCTCAGGATTTTGGAATGCCAACGAAGGGCGGCTTGGTCGGGCCTCAAGAACACGCAAAGCCTTACATGATCAGTTCCAAAGTGACATCATCCGAATTGGCCCCAACGAGCTGTCTGTCAATCGTGTTGATGCTATTGAGAGGCTCTATGGAAAAGACTACAAGAGAGGAACCTTCACCCCGGTTTTCAACATCTCCGGTGGGGATAACCTCGTGACACAGAGAGACAATCAATTACATAGCATCTGGAGGCGCATGTGGTAAGTTTTTTTTTTTTGCTCACTCCAGTACCTGCCATGCCTTACTGAGGTTGTAATACTAGGGTGAGAGCTTTCAGCAGAGACAAGTTTTCCGATTATCTAAACCGAATACAAAACCATGTGAACAAGGCCGTTCGTCTTTTACATGAAAAAGCTGGAAGTCCGGTCGAATGTGGCAAGTTCTTAGACGCCTTGACATTCGATGTGTAGGTCTAAAAATGCTTGGTATCGAATCGAAGATTTTCTAAAGCTGATGAGATACAGAATATCGGACATAGCTTTTTCTCAAGATACCAGATTCCAAGATGGTGCTGGTGATCGTTCACTCATCGATGGAATTCATATCTTCGTTCCCATGATCCCGGTATGTCACAAACAATAATACCTGCCATGACATCTCAGCCCTAACAGCCTTCATGGTCAAGGTGTTGGGCAATTTACCGCATCTGCAACAGATTTGCCGGTACCTACCCGAGCCGCCTGCAGGACGAATATTCTCCGAATATCGTGATCAAGTTCTAGCTGGACGCAAGTCCCTCAAGGGACAGCCTAACGACATCTTCGCCCATCTGGAAGTTCCCGATGCATCAACTGGTATCAGAATGAGACCAGTTGACCTCAAGCAACACATTCTCTTTATGATGATAGTTGGGGCGCATTCTGTTGGCACTACACTGACACGGACTCTTGCTGCTCTCGCTTCCCAACCTCATGTCCAATCATCGATCAGGCAAGAGTTAAATGAGGTATTTCAAGGCGAAGGAACTGCTCCAGTGGAAACTATACGGAAACTCAAGTACTTGGATTGTGTGGTGAGGGAGGCCCTGCGCATGTTTGGTCCCGTCACTGACGGTACCGCTGTTATTGTGCCAAAAGGGGGCATCACACTCGAGAGTGGCAGCTTCATACCAGAGGGTACTCAAGTTTGGGTTGGACAGTACGTCATAATGTTCAACGAGGAATACTTCCCTAGGCCCCATGAGTTCCTACCAGAAAGATGGATGAATCTAGGCGATGAGGGACATGGGAATGAGGGCGAACTGGTCAAAGATCGTCGAGCATGGATTCCTTTCGGCTATGGACCCCACTCCTGTGGTGGGAGGGCTCTTGCAATAGAAGAGCTGAAGCAGATTGTGCTGAGAATTGTCATGGAGTTTGACATTCGTTTCGTGGAACATGAAGACATGCCGTTTCAATATGAGCATTGGGCAGACAGTTGGAAGGATTACTTTCTTACGATGATTGACGAGATAGAGTTAAGGTTTGTCCCGAGGTGAAGGAGTTTAGTACTATGACATAGCTGAGTTTGTTAAGTAGCGATCTATGATATTCTAACTGAAGCAAGTCAATAGGCAATTCAATAACGCAGCGACATTATCGTATCACAGCACCCTCTTTTGCACAAATTTCCGTATTCAAATCTATAGGTATCCCGTGATATAACATGTACAACATCTACACAAGCACCCTTTCCTCAAAGTCAAGTGTACGTATATAACTTGACAATAAATGAGCAAATCGTGCCCACTCCCAATCTTACTCGTTGGCCTTGCTCAGCACATCTTCAAACCAGTCGAGCAGTACCTGGCCCTGCAGAACAGATGCACCGATCGAGCAGTGTTCTCCCGCGCCCTCATCTGCGGTAAAGTAGTGATACAGCGCGTTGGAACCAATAGCATCAGCCAGCATCTTGGCTTGACCAGGGAAGAACTTTTCTAGTTGCACATCGCCAATGAATATCGGTTGCTGGATCTTATCTGCCACATCCGTCAGGTTGCACGCCAAGGCCCTGGTCATCCATTCAAATGGTGTCCTGGCGTTGAAAGACCACATGCCTTGTTGTACGCCCCAGCGCATGATAGTAGGAGTGGAGGGCTGAGCAACTGCCTCCTCTATCATCGAGTTGAACGTATCCGCATCGCCTGAATAAAAGACGTCTTTCAATTCCCGAGGAAACTGGTTGAGCACAGACTTCCCAAAGTCATATAGCCCATCAACGGCAAATACAGCAGCAATGCGTTCATCAAAAGCTGCGGCTCTCGGTGCAAGATAACCCCCAAAGGAGTACCCCATCAATCCGATGGCCTCAGAATCTACCTCTGGATGCTGGATTGCGAAATCGACAACAGGGGAGACGACTCTCTCCCATTCGGAAATGAAGCCAATGTTCTGACCGCGTCGGACTGTTGGCTGGCCTGGTCCCTCATAGGTGATGACGTTGATTCCACGCTCCAGAGCAGCCTTTCCGATTAAATGATACATTTCTTCCTGGGAACCGTCGTAGCCGTTGCACATAAGGATGGTTGGCCGAGGGCCAGTCAGCCCAGTCCCAAAGAAAATTGCAGGAATCGTAAAGTTGCCGTCCTTAGCTTGCAGGTTTATGCGTTTGCCTGGGACAGGGAGAAGAGCCATAGCAGCATCAAATGCGTTCAGCTGCTTGTCCCAGAGAGAATTGATGCGTGGATCGCTCCAGTTGCCGTGCAAAAAGAAGTCAGCGGATCGGTAGTAGCTGGAAGCTCTGAACAAGGCGTTTCTTGCGGAGACTGGGTGTTTTTCTTTATCGATATTCCTTGCAGTCTTGTCGACGTGAGTGGCAAGATCAAAGAAGGCATTGGAAAAGCTTTCGAAGTTGCCAGGATCAATCTTCTTGGCCGCCACAAGAACTTCGCCGACATCAGCACCTTCGTATGGAGCTAAAGACATCACACGAAGAAGTTCAAAGTGGAAGTCATCGTCTGCGCTAAGTTGAAGCATTGGGTCTGTCGTTGTGTTTTTCAGGTTGGTAGTGGGTTGAGCAGATGCCTGGATTTGATTAGAGGTTCCAACTTTCTGAGATTGTACTCGATCAGGGCTGTGACTTACAAGACAAACGTTGAACAATCCAAATAGTCCGAGTGCTTGGTGTGACTTCATACTGTCGTAAAGGGAGCCGTTTTGGTCAAGAGGCAAGGATAGCAAAGGAAGCGTCAGTGTTTTTGGTGGGATAATATCAGTAGTAGAATAGGATACCTAAAGGCTATTTATAAGAAAGACTCTCGAAGAATTACAGCTATTTGACATGTTCTCAGAGTCAGGGATGCAGAGGGGGTGGATTTGTTGCTAGCTGCGAACGAGGCACTGGTTGGCGCTCGTTTAGACGGAAGTTGAACGAGCAGAGCCTCACAGACAATGACGAAGGTGGCTCAGCTAAGACCGATAAGCCAAATGCGCAAGATTTGCTTAGTGTTCCATCTTACTGTACGAATTTGGGCAGTCCAGCTGCAGGTTATGGATCAACAAAGATCCAGTTCATCTTAAACGAGAACGAGAACGTGACTCAAGACGGAAGCACGGCCACAATCCCGAATTTCAGCACTACTGCATCTTCATTATGAAGCTAATAGGCTATGTTACCATGGCATTTATGAGCTCTCCAGCATTCCAATAGGCTCACTCAGCAACCCCTGCCATTCTGTTGGCAGCTCTTGAAGAATTGCCCACGCTTCTCGGTGCCCAGCGTCACCAATGTACCACATCTTACTCAACCAGCGTAACATGACGAAGTAATGCACAAGGATCGCCAGGGCTCTCGGCCGCCGCTCTTCCACGAAAGCTACAAATTCATCGTCGAGAAGCATGGGCAGGATAAGTAACCTCAGGTGCATCTCCGGGCACAGCTCTTGAGCGTGTCTAAATCTCCAGATGGCACCAACCACACTTATTGCTGTGCTGTACACCAGATGCGTCCCGTCTGACCAGGCTTCGGTACGTTCCAGTGGCTCACGATAATCCAATATATGAATTAATTCCTCTGAGTGTTGCAGTTTTTGCCTCTCCTCCACGACATAGAATGCGCCAGATGTCATTTTCCATCCAATTGATTCTGGGTTCTCCCTTGCCAGCTCCCTGGCTCGGAGAAACACAATATGGGTAGCTCCTGTCATACGCAGCCAATCTACTGGAGGCGCATATGGCTTTAAGGCTCGGTTTTGGAGTCGGTGAAAATCGTAGACTCGAAATGCGCTGGATGCGAGGCACGCATAATCAATATTATCTGCTGTTAAATGGCTGAGGTCTCTGTGGTGCGCGTTGAGAGCTAGATGAAGATAGGTAGATGTGCATTTCTCCACGTCGATGGCCTCCTTAGTCCAAGAAATCATTTCTTTATGGGACTTGTGTAGAGCCGATAAAAGGCAAATCGAATTCAACACAGCATCTGATCGAAGGGCCGCCTGGCACATGATGGGACCCCAGATGTCCCGGGTGCTTTCGCCAATGGCTATGCTCTTTCCTGTCTCAGTGCTGTAATGATAGAATAACTCCAGTTCCACCTTTCGACGAGATTCTGATTCTATGCTCTCTGACTCAAGCAGTTTCTTCTTTTCTAAAGAGCGTTCTGGGGCATCTCTCGGAGCGGCGGCGACTTGGGCGTACTCGCATACCAAATCCAGCCGCTTACAATTGGAGCATATCGGTTTGCCTTCGTCACACTATATTCATCGTACATTAGCGATGGTGAACCGCGATGAACCTCATCTTCATCGGGGCTCATACTTTGACGCGGCGGGTTCTACATCGCTGACACCCTGTCCTGGTCTTTCTGTGGAATAGCTTGGCGTGCCGCTTACGAGCCGGCTCATTGCGGTCCTCTAAGGTGCCGAAATTGGGTGTTGGCATGCTTTCAAGGTAACAAGGTGATGGAAATGCTTTGAAGATCCCAGTGCCCGAGGGAGCGATGTTGGTGGAAGAGGATCACTACTGCGAATGAACGAGAACGAGCGAGATACAGTAGCGTTTTATCACTGCTAGCGCTCACCCAGTGCCGAGTTTTCCGGGGACTGGCCCATGAAAAGGTCCAAACAGTCGCTGCTTACCAAGTGATCGGCAGCGAGTCAAAGGAACGGATGCTGGTGCCGAACACAAGCCACCAATTCAGCATAGCATCATTGATGATGCCCCACCAGAAGAAGAAGCCATAAACGAGAACGAGGAGGCAGCCAGACGAAAGGTGAATACGGGTTGTAAGACCATCGGAGGTCTGCCCAAGAGCTAACAACGGCGCGATATGATAAAATAAGGCCTTCTCTCTATATGATTGTATTTCTTTATCCTTATATCAACATATTCAAGTCAAAATTCCTAATTTTCCAGGTGGAAGATCACCCTTTCCAAGTGTGTCATGGCCTTGAATCAGATCCTTACAGGCGGTATCGGCCTCGCAGCCGAAGCGATAAAACACCAAAAGAATAAGAAAGCTGCCAAGAATGCATCCGTGGACGACTCGATATTAGTATTCGGCGCAACTGGTTCCTCCAATTTTCAGCAGATGAATGCTGGGAACGAGGGAATGCCTCAACGGGCCAGCAAGGTTTTATCAACATACACTATATCGACCGACAAGCTTCACAACGATCTTGACGGTCTTGAGAAGAGACCATCAGTGGAATCAGATCCAACCCGCGCTGTTATACCGAAAGGCGTGGGCAAAGATCCTGCACGTATTTCAACCCTTGTCGAGGCATTCCTCGCAGTTCACCGACCACTCGTACGCCAGACGCCAGCGCCTTTGCCATTCGCCGTCATAATTCCACAGCGGCGGCCTGAATCAAGGCAGAGAGGATTCGTGCCTGCATATGCACCTTGTCTTGCGCCTTGTGGTATCAGTGAAGACGCCTTCATGCAGTTTCATGAATTCTATAATGAGTCTCTACGCTACTCGAACGCCATCAAAGTTGTTACTGTTGCAGCTGGAGCAGCAGGTCTAGTTCCCAGTATCACGGCTACCGTGGTCTCCTTGACAATTGGGGCGGCCGCGCAAACTGCAGCTTCATTGCAAAGCCGCCAGCGCACGAACGATTTCTTATCACATATGAACTTGGAGTACTTCATGCCTATGGGGCTTGTCTGCCTCATTATGAGGTACACAGCTCCTGAACATTACAGCGAAGCTACAAATCTTTACCAAGCCCATACCCAGGCAACGAACCAATCGCGCTGGAACTTCAACGTCGACCACGGCCAGATGGGAGATGCATCAATGCCGCTCGCGGCTCCTCTGATTTTCCCAAAAGTTAGCTCAGTACAAGATCAAGGCAAATCAACAAAGTTCGAGCGGGCAAAACAATTTATCCAGGACTACGGAGACAGGAGGGCGCAAGCCGAATTTGCGAGGAGCCACCCAGACTCACAGTTAACCAAGGCTGTAGCCAGCCAAGTCAAATTTCAAAGCTTTTTGGGGGATCCAAGGAATTTCTCCAGCATCTCTAAGAATTCATTGCAGGAAATGGCTCATGACAGGTTGATAGGTCAGGTAAGTCTGAGCATTATGAACTTCCAGCTTACTCGACCATCGCTAATATCTCAGAGCAGGGAACCAGATTCTCCGTTCCTCAGCGTGATGTGAGATTCAGAAGCAGAGCTCAAATGGGTCATCAAGAAGGAGAGCGATTTCAACATGCTGGCCTTGGTACCCTCAATCCGCAATCGAGGGAAAGGGTTGATTCCACCAAGGATGTCCTCTACATGATGATTGTCCCTCTTCCCACCCAGGAACAAATCAATTCCGCATATGATGAGCCGCCAGCATACTTGGCAACTGAGGAGGTGAGATGGTGAGAGTGATTAGCAGGCTCATAGATTCATTCTTTTCAGCTTTGTTGCATCTTGAATTTCAATCACCAGGCAGATCTATTGATGATCAAACCTGATATTTTCTATTTGTGATAATAATTAACTTTCTATTCAATTTAACTTCTTCCAGCATCCCTTCTAAGTATTTCATTCAGCTCGTCCCGCATTTTACAATTGTCTAGAGCAAAACTTGCTGCCAGCTCCTCGAGCTCGTCTCTGGTCTTCCCGCGGAAGAGTTCGGCAAGCTCGCGACTGACATATTCGCTTAGAAGGCATTCTCGGATGACGCGCTCGAAATGCCTCTCAAACGTCCATATCTTGGGATATCGGGCGTTGTGAAACTTGGGGTCGACCATGGATTTGAGCGACTCCAAGAATGGCCCGTAGATCGGCTGGACCTGGTCTTTGTTTGCAACACCCCAGAAATCGAGACCAAGACTCTTCTTCTTGTCCACGAATGACTGGATGAGCTTCATGTACGGAGACTCGGGGTCTACATACGTCATGGCCTGATAGCCAATGTCTTTGTAGAGCCAGATGGACCAGTGAACACCGGTTTCGCGGTAAATTGCGAGTTGTTCCTCGAGAAGAGCAAACCGCTTTTTGTTTGTCTCCCTCGCACTGTCCCCTTCCTTCCGCTCATCTTGGTACACGGGACCAAATTCCCCATTCCAGATGGGTACGTTCTTTTGCCTCATGAATTCGACTTTGCGCTCAAAGCTGGCGCGGAGCTTGTCTTTTTGCTCTTGTGTTCCTTCGTATTGTTCGCCGAATGGGAACCCCATCATGCTATAATCATGGCAGGCGTAAACGGTATTCGGCAGCGGCTCCTCTGGGAATGCTCTGAAGTCCATCGAGTATGTGTTCCCGTCGACCCAGAGGATGTGGTCGGGATCTATAGCACGGATGGCCTTCTCGGCACGAGCGTACCACTCGATCAGACGAGCGCCGTAGAACCCAGATGCAGTCTTGTGAGGGTCTGCAGGCTCATTCAGCGGGTTGTATCCCGCAATGACGGGGTTCCCCACGTAGTGTTTGGCCAGTGCTTCCCACAATTGGATCGCGCGGTCTTGGTGATCCTTGAACTCCCAGAATTGGGCTCGAGCGATGCCCGAGTCGCTGTGCCAATCTTGATTCTGGCCTCCAGGGGCAGCGTGAAGATCAAGAATGACATAGAGATTGTGCCGAGCGCAAATCTCCACGCATCGATCCACCAACCGGAATCCTTCCTCCTTGATCACGTCGGGGTTCATATCATCCATAAAGTGGCGGTAGTTGATTGGGATCCGAATACAGTTCAGCCCCAACGACTGGAAGTACTGCGCATCGGCGTCTGTGAAGAAATGGTGAAGGAATCGGTCAAAGAAGAATTGGGCATCCGCCTCGCCCAACATTTCGGCCAGTTGCTCTCGGTGCTCATGCTCGTGGCCAGCATATCCCGTAATGAAGTTCTCCATGTTCAGGAAGCCACCCAGGCCGGCACCCTTGAGAATAACGACATTTCCCTGCGGGTCCTTTACTTTATCCCTATCCACCCGGAGCATCACGCACGGCGGATTGGTATGAACTGTCGACGCCATGATGGATTGAGGTGTGAAGCGTCAGTAAAGCTGCACAAGCGAGAGCAATCAGGTCTCCTAGACTTAAATAGCTCTCTATGGTTCGTAATCAGAAGATTTGAACAGGATGTCTTTTTAAGGCCCCAAAAAATGTGAGGTCATAACATCCAAGCATCATTGTAGAGTGGAGAGTTCACGAGGCCATCCTTAGAAGCGACACTCCCCGACACCCACCTCTAGCTAGGCTCTTTACAATTTATGGCCCTAATGCATGCTTCTTGATTTTAGCCTCATGTTACTGGGGCAGACCATGAAGTGCCGCGTGGCCGAATGATCAAAACGATCTATTGTTTCCAAATTACGACTACCGATACTGTGCACTCTACATAGCAATGGAATCCGTGGTGTTCATGCACAATACGAGAAGACTAGTGACCTCAAATTCAATACGTGATATTCAGTGTTCCCATGCCATGTCATTAATAATACATCTTGTTTAGAGGACCTTCCAGCTCACAATAATACATAACAGCCTAATTCAAGCAACGGATATGCCGTGCATTTCCAAGGACTGCTTCAAGAAGCGGTTCCACTCCCTAAGATCCGATATCTCCCCTTCCCATTCGGAGACGAGCCGCCAGACTTGCCACACAGCGTCAGCCCAGCACTGCGGCAGAGGGTACTTAAGCTTGGCTGCGCCAAGAAGGATCACAGCGCTCCTCATGCATGTGCGGATCATGAACCAGGTCCCGTGGTGACGGTGCATGAACCCCGGTAGATTGACGTAGATCCGGTGGATGTGAGCCTCAATGCCCTTCTTCCCTAGCTCATCCACAGCCCTGGCCAAATCAGGGCTGGAGACGGAAGCAGTAAGACGGGCCATCAGAAACGGCCAGTAGAGCGCTTCGTAAAAGTTCACAAGGTGTCCGCGGAGGACGAAGACGCACACGCCATCTCTTTCAGAAGGCAAATCCAGTGACAGCTCAGGGGGTAAACTCTCGACCCATTGTTGGGCCTGAGCCTCATACTCGGGGACAAGATACTGCAGCTCTTCGAGAAACTTCGCGTTGGAGCCTGAGGTGCGGTGCAAGTCCATGATCTCATGAGAGACGCGGCTGAAGAGACGCCGTAGGGATATCTCAGACAGGTAGAATAGCCATGATGCTCTCTCGTGGTCATCGCTCGTGTCTCCAATGACTTCAGCTGACACAGGGGGTGTAGGGAAAAAGGAAGGGTACAGATTAAGCGTTGATGCAGAGGGGTTGAAATCGGGCAAGAGGAGCTCAGAACGGAGCTCCCTTTCTGACTTCCACGCCGACCAGTACAAAGCCTGCTGTTGCGTCTCAAGTCCCGCGACGTCCATTGAGCCCACAGGAGTTCCGGGTGTGCCCGTCGTGCAGGCACTGTGGGCCGCTCTGGCCAGTATGGGGAGGTGTTGACATGCACCAAGGGCCTGAGAGAAAAGCCTCCAAGCGTAGATTGGCTGGTGCACATGCATCATGTAGATGCCCGATAAAAGCAGGCACTGGGGTCCGATGAGGCTCGGCTGGCAAAGGAGACTGCCGAGCCTCTTCTGACCCGCCTGGAAAAAGACGTACGACTCTGTGAATGGCACTGTATTAGGCCCGGTTTCGGGGTTCGGTCGGAAAGGGGTGGCTATCCTCCCCAAGGCACAGATCAGGAGGGCCAAGCATGACTCCGGGGACCAGTCGATGCCTTCCGAGAGCTTGTTTAGAACGAGCTTCCGCGTGCGTTTCTCCACAAATATTGGGTTCTTGCAGTGTACGTAGAGGAAGAAGCTGTCAAGTATTGCGTTGATTCCACTCGGCTGGATGTCGAGAAGGTCTCCTAGGCTGCTGGGAGGTGTCGGTGCCAGGTCCGAGGGCCCATGTGCCGGTGGATTCGACACTGGTTGGTCTTGGAAGATTGACCACTGCAGCAGGCTTTCAATTTTCTCCGGCAAAATGCTTCTTAGAGAAACATCGCCGCTGTCGGAGGACTCTGGCCACTGATCTCTTGGGCTTGACGATACATTCTCACCATCGTGCTTCTCGCGACTTGGAAGGGGCTGGAAGGGGATATTTTGGAAGCCCTCCTGGATGGCATTTTCCAATTCATCCAGTCGCTCGAGGATTTTCAAGCTCGCAGGGTCGAACGACGACAAGTCGACAGGGGACTGCACGCATGTAACCCCGGCTTTCAGGCAGTACGAGCAAGACGGCTTGAGGTTGTCGCACTTGGTCTTGCGTGCTCGGCAGACCTGGCAAGCTGTGATGGCTCTCTTTCGGGGGTAAAACGCTCTGCCCCGACCAGCAGGTCGTTTCCGGGGAATGCGGGGGATATCATCGGTGTCCAGTGCCGCGGGTCGCTGCTCTTCTGGGGTCGCCATGCGTCTTAGTCAAGAGGGAATCAGAAGTGTGGTTTCGTGTCACAGTTGAAGGGGGGCTGCGTCTCTACCTATGACCTTATATCGCGGAATTGCGCTCTTAATGAGCCCTCGTCTCCACACGAGAAGACTCCTCGGGGAATGCCGCTTATCCCTTCTAGCGGGTGTGAGGTTCCCGCAATACCCCAGCTTGACCCCAAACCACTACGGCAGATTCGTTGGGTCGCATGACTCGATGTCGCTGTGGCTGAACGGATTAGTCGGTGGGACTCGCGATGTATTCATCAATGGTGCCATCCAGAGACATCTCGTGTGGCAGAAAATAGTATATAGAGCAGGGACTGGTCCGCCAGCTTCTCTATCGGTGCCGGCTTCTACAATCCCTACTCTTCACCGGTTGAGAAGACAGCTTGCAAGAAATGGCACCCAAAGATCTAACCGACGAGCATGATGTTGAGCACATCGATGAGAAAGGAGTACAGCCAATTGAAGACGAGCAGCTGGCCCAGGACCGCGACCTCACGCTCAAAGTCGTCCTACGCCAGCATCCATGGATTCTGTTCTGGTCATTCTACTGGGCGACTGCCGGCATTGCATGGTCTGTCACCATCAACAGGTCCCTTTGGCTGGGCTAACACAACCGTGATAGGGGTTTCGATGCTCAGATCAACGGGGCTATGATATCCGTGGCCGCCTTCCGCCGCGATTTTGGGTAAGCGGCAGCTCTCTCTAGACTAGCAAAGCACTGTTTCTAATGTATGTTCCCCAGTTACATCAGCAATGGCGAAGCGATCCTCCCCGCGAATTGGCAGACGGCCTTCAACAGTGTCAGCAGCGTGGGCCAGTTCTTCGGTGGCTTTCTCTGCTCTTGGGTTTGTGATAAGATCGGACGAAAAGCCTCGTTGCTAGTCGGTCTGCTCATCACAACTGGCGCAATCTTCGGAGAGATATTTTCGACTACGAATGCCGCCTTTGTTGTTTCAAAGCTGATCCTCGGCTTTGGCCTGGGCTTTTATCTGACCTTGAGTCCTCTGGCCACCTCTGAGATTGCCCCTACCGTCCTCCGAGGTATTTCGACTGCTGGTGTAAACTTGGGTATCGCCATCGGTCAACTTATATCCAATGGTGTTGTGAAGGGTTTCGGGGAAAGAGAGGACAGATGGGCGTACCGCGGCCCCTTTGCTGTCCAGCTGTTTTTCGTTGTCATTCTCGGGCTGGGTCTTCCATTTACTCCCGAGACACCCTGGTATCTTGTCCGACGAGGAAAGATTGAGGACGCTAAGAAGTCCCTGCGGAAGTTGTACGGGGACAGTGCCGACATCGATGCCAAGGTGGCCGGCCTTGAGCGCACTATTGCAGAGGAGGCTGCATTCCAGTCGGAGACGCCATCCATGCTCCAGTGCTTCAAAGGAGTCGATCTGACCCGGACCATGATCAGTATCGGGGTCTTCGTCTGCCAGCATTTTTCCGGCATCGTTTTTGTGCTTGGGTACTCGACCTACTTTTTCCAACTGGCGGGTGTGAGCAATGCGCAGAGTTTCAACCTTGGCGTGGGAGTCACGGCCTGCGGTGTCCTGGGTAACTTCTGCAGTTGGTTTTTTGTTAACTCATTCGGGCGTCGCAAGATATTCCTGACCGGCATGGTCACCCTCGACGTCCTTCTCCTGCTCATCGGCATCATGGATGTTATCCCCACGAGCGGCGCGCAATGGGTCCAGGCCGCTTGCACTGTTCTCTATGCCTTTGCGTACTTTGGTACTATCGGTGCGATGGCGTTTACCATCCTCGGTGAAACGAGCAGCACGACGTTGAAGGCGCCCACGATGGCTCTCGCGACGGCAACACAGGCTGTTGTGGGGATGGTGATGAATATTGTCATTCCCTACCTTGTCAACCCCGACGAGGCTAATCTCAAGGGCAAGGTCGGGTTTATTTTCGGAGGCCTGTGTACGCTTGCAACCGTCTGGAGTTTCTTCTTCGTTCCGGAACTCAAAGGGAAGTCCTACTATGAGATTGATCGCATGTTTGAAAGCAAGATTCCTCCCAGGAAGATGGGTTAGGTGCGCTATCCATGTTCCGCCATAATAGTCAAGCAAGCCGGAGCAAACATGGAGTGTGTCTTTAAAAATCATGTCTTGGAAGTAGAGAATGGTGCGCTTCATCTTGCTCAGGCGGCAGTGGACAACACTTCTTCAGCTCCAATACTCTATAGGAACGTATGTCAAATAGCAATAATATCTATGTATAAAAGTCATATCTTCGTTTTCGATTCCTTCTTCGCAAGTACCGAGCGCAACGCCACCATGAACGCCGCCGTGATTGTAAAGGAAATCCCGGGGAAGAGTTGAAGACCGAGATAGTTGCGCGACTCTCCCAAAATAGCACCAGCGATGGGAGAACCAGTCAAAGAAGCAATGCTCTTGAGAAACTGCACCATTCCAACGCGCGTCCCCAGCACCTTCAGATCCTTTGTAAACGACGTCAACACGACGGGAGCCACAGCTACCAGGCTCCCTGAGAAGAAGCCGTAAAACACGGAAAACGAAATGTTCCCCGCCCCCGTGCTCACCGCGGGCCAGGAAAAGACCACGATCGTGGTGGAAGCCGTGATGAAGACGAAGGTGTTGACGGGGCCCAGCTTATCCGACAGAATCCCCAACAAGATCCGGCCAGGAATCGACGCGGCGTTCATGATCGCGACCAGGTACAAGGCCACAGGCTGCCCTTCCAACCCATGGGAGAGCGCATACGTCTGGATGTAAAACACCGGCACAAACCAGGCAAGATTGCTGAAGAAAACCCCGACCGAGTACAGGCAGTAGGGTGCGCTCCTAAAGGCCGTGCGGTCTACGAGGGACCGAAGACTCTGCAATTGACGCTGGCCGCGGTGTCGGGGACGCAGAACGGCCAAGGAGAAGCAGCACATGGCACACGAGAGAAAGCCCAGTATGCGGATAGTCCAGGGAAATCCGATGCGAGGCTGCAGTTCTTGGAAAATGAGCGGATATATCGTCCCACCCAGGCAGCTTCCAATGCTGGCTGTGGTCATCGCCTGGGCACGCTTGGTCTTGAAGTACGGAGGGATGATTGCAATGGCCGGGATGGTCAGGAAACCAGCCCCAAGGCCGACGCAGATGGCGTGGGCAAGGATGACTTGCCAGTACGCGGTGCAGAGACTGGTCATCATGAAGCCGAAGACGACGAGGAATGCGCCGATGTACAGCAGGAGTCTGCAATGGCCTGCATCATACAGGGGGCCAATGATGGGTCCAGTCGCCAGGAGGAGAAACATCTGTATCGAACCAATCCAAGAGATTGCTGAGGCTGACGCCTCTCGGAGAAGCTGGGTCTCATAGAAGGTCTGGAAAGCGCCGAATGCGTTGATGAGCCCCCTAATCGACCGGGTGTGAGACCATAAGGATACCAACAGAGAGCGTATATTGCACTTACAAGCTGTTCCAGTAAAGAAAGCAACACCCTGCTACCTGCAGCCAGGCCAGTAATCCACCGTCGACGTGTTCGCTGGCTTCGGGCTCGTTGGCTCGTGGCGCTGCGACAATCGGCGCCGCTCCGATGCCATCATTATCAGTCGAAAAGTTCTCATCCTTCCGGCCGGAGTCGTTCGCTGGGACATCAACCCTCTTCTCGGACGACCTGATTGACATTTTACATGTCTCACGCCAGAGCTTACTGCGCACGTCCTGGCCAAACGGATGGTTGTCGAGGAGAAAATTCCCTTTATATTCCCGGACCAGGCAAACAGCAAACACACCAATGTGGATTTTTTATAATTATTAAGCTCGGTAGATCGCTGGTTGGCAATTCACATAAACGGAAATCGACCCGAATAAATGGCGTGCGATATCGGTTGTGAGCCGTCCGTCATTATCAATCACATCGCGACACTGAGCTCTTACGGTGCTCTGTGCATGTCCTGTCAATTGGAGAGCTTGATTCTCAGCCGAAAATGACAACCTATGATTAATCGCAAGTTTTAGCAGAAAGCAGGGTGCACAAATAGCGGCTGCGACAGCCAATTTCCGATCCATCTCGATCCTGTGCGGTGCCGTAAGCATGGAGGTGCAGGCCCTTGGCTCTGGAAATAATCCCAATTGAGGCTCTCGCACTGCTGTTTCAGGCCGCACAGTCCCCTGGAAGTTGTCCAACCAGGAGACTTATCATTTCTCAGAGACGAGTTGGCTCTTGCATTCTGCGATGGGCTAGGTCTGGACCCTTCCGCAAATTGGCATACGTCTGATTCTCGTGGGTGGAATTTGAAATGTCAAAAGAATGAGCGTATTTCTCTCATTCCCATTTCAATCATTTTTTTTTTCTCATGGCTTCTTGTTTCCCCGGGCAAAGAGTCAGCTCAGTTGCGCCTCAGGTCGAGAGGCTGCGCCCAAAAAAAAGGCAAACACCAGACATTAGTTTACTGGGCTAAGAAATGTCTCAGGCAATGGCGGACGTGCATCAGAGATAGGAGTCAGCCAGAGCGATCGATCAATCAATCGGGCCAGCAGTAGGCGAGGCGAACATCGATACAGTCTTGAGATAAAAGCTGCGCGCCATATCAGGATGCACACACTCGGTGCTGATTCACGCAGCCGCTAATCAAGAGACGAAGAGCCGGAAACGAAAAAGAGGTAGAGTAAGAAGTCAGGCTGCGTTCGCTGCTCCGGACGCGTGCGAGTGTGGACGGTGCTTGAGGTGCTGCCACAGCCTGACTAACAGACCGACCGACAATAATACATACTGTGTGTCAATGTGCGTTGGCTGCTGCCGGTTGTTTCTTCCTTCCCCTCCACTCACTCACTCTCTTCTCACCTCCTCCATCTCTCTCTCTCTGCATCCTGCGCGCGGCAAAACTCCACAGCCTCGCCATCGAAAACACGCGTCGCATCCATCAAATTCATCATTTTCACAGCAGGAAATCAAACTCTCACCGCCATGCCAGTGCGGAAATCACTGCGAAACAAGCAGCGCAAGGCGGCTGCGGCGGTGCCCGGCACCAGCCCGTCTTTGACCGCAGACACCAAAACATCCAAAACATCCAAAACACGCAAAAACACGGCAGGCCGCGGCAGGCCGGGCAGGAAGCCCAATGCGGCCAAGAACGCGACCAAGCCTGCCACCACCGGGCCCGTCAGCATCGGCAAGAGCCTGAAGAAGTGGCTCTTTGAGGACATCGTCAGCCACAAGTGGGAGGGCGACAAGATCCTGCTCGAGGTCCGCTGGCAGGGCACCGACGAAACCAGCTGGGAGCCTGAGCTCAACATCCACCGCGACGCCAAGAGGGCCCTCGTCCAGTACTGGAAGGCCCAGGGAGGACGGCCTCTGAACCCCCAGGACGAGGAGCTCTTCGCCATCTACGCCCTCAAGGGCGTCAAGACCGACTCCGAGGGACAGCGCTTCATCCAGGTCGAGTGGGTTGGCTTCTCAAGACCCACCTGGGAGCCTGAGTCGGCCATCAAGGCTGCCGCGCCCGATGCTTTGGAGGCGTTTCTGGAGAAGAAGGGGGAGAAGTAGGGGTTGAGAGCAAGTGTCCCTGTTGTATCTGATACAGCGACTCATGGAATGAAGCATAGTGATGGATGGTTGTTACGCGTTACGAGCAGTGAAGGCAGGGAGCCCAAACGTCATGTTGACATTGATGTGGGAATTTCTAGTCAAGTGCGATGAATACAAGGACTTGGGTCCATGGTCTACTTTTGAATTTGTTATCGAGTGTTTGATGCACGACTCGCTCGAGGGCTGCCTGTCAAAGAACGCCAAACCAAACGACCGACGTGTCTATACAGCTGTTCAGTCGCGTCACAGGCTGACAGTAATCCTCCTATTGCAACCTCTTTCGCAAGCACCGCGGATATTGAATCTCGCTTGATTTTCCCCATGTTTTCGGGGATTTCAATACCAGATAGCTAAAGCCACAACGCGAAGAAACCAAGCTGACGCGAAACTCACTTGGTGCTACGTAGGACCGAATCTTCAACGCGTCCTTGAAGACAAGCGTTCTTGACACAATCCTACCGATCGACACGTCAACCATCCACCTAGGCTGTGAAGCCCCGTTGGCTCAGTGGTAAAGCGTATCACTAGTAATGATAAGATCACTGGTTCGATTCCAGTACGGGGCATTCCTCAGGTTCATTTCCTTTTGCCATGTTCTCCTTTTTTGCCCTTATGTTCGTAATGTCTATCAAGTGTCATGTTGTGGTGATCAATTAATTGTATTGCTTTTTTTTAGTGAGAATTAAGTGAGCGTCAGCAAGATTTGAGTTTTCAACGGGTAATTGATAAACTTTTCCCGACACAACTGGTTTTGGACAGCTGGAATGACACTTCCTCTGCGTGACCCTTCCAGGGATTGAACTTCTAAAGGAGGTTTGCTCATAGCTCTCTTATGGGATTTAAAACTCTTATGAAGATGCAATGATAAAATTCACAACTATATTTCAATTTGTCACCCGATTGATCTATGCTATGCGATTCGAAGAGGCGGATCGTCAATTGAAGATTATCATGCCGGGTTTAGGGTAGCCTCGTCTTTTCGCAACCGGCTCCTACATCTAGAGCACGCGGTTGGCTCTAGCCACATTTCACCTCGCAAGAAATGACAGAATTCGTATCCGATGGGTAGCATCTTACTGCGCCGCTACTGGCGCCTGTGGCCACAGAAGAGGGTGGTTGGAAGTAGCTTTCCCTCACCCTGCTTCTCTTTGAGATGGTGCCAGCGCAAACCCCGCACCTGAGACACCACGATGCCGTTTTCTCACTGGTTATGCATGCACCAAGCCGAGAGTCAGCATAAGAAGGGCCCAGCCCTGTTCCATGGGGGTACTGCTAGGGCTGCTAGTGTCCTGATAACCTCTGGCCCCCCGTTTGCCGTTTTGGCGGTACATGGCCGTAGCGAACTGAGGTAGCCATGGGGAAAATTTGCCCTGGATTGTATCGCCTGCTGGCCCATTCCTCGAGCCCAAACGCGGCCTCGAGAGATTCCATCGTCGATGCCAGCTCCTGACATGAATTGAATTGGGTCGTATTCTGCCAACGTAGGATCAGCCCAGCTCCACTGCAGCTGAGAGCGCCATCAGCCAGGCCTGGTTATTTGCTCACCTCCCCTCGGCCTAGAACCAATCAACACTACACTACTAGCCCGCGTCAGATTTATGTAAATACCCTTGTACAAAGTTGTGTTCTCCGTAGGTAGGCCAAGCTTTTGGGGCTGGCTGGCCGCTGGTGGCGTCTTGTCCCGGCTTGATATGCAGTCGATCGCTTATGATCCCTCCCGGCCAGCCAGCCTCTCCCCTTGGAGGATCCTGTTCCTCGCAGAACGAGTTTTCCTGCCGACCGTCACTCTGCAAACGTACGTTTGACATGTGTCACGATAGATGACGGGGAGAGCGAACCGCAACAGCAACCACGGGACCATCAATCGAATCAACGACTGCTGACATTCCAACACCAGCCCAACCCCAACCCCGGCCGACAAGATGGTTGGCCCCGCGACCAATCCCATCAAGGTGCTGGGCGCCGACTGCAAGCAGGGCGGCTCGTTCTACGTCTGCGACCAAAAGGACGTCAAGTTCGTCGGCTGCTGCGACCTCGACCCGTGCAAGACGAGCGACGGCCTCTGCCCCGACAAGAACCTGCGCAACTCCACCTTCGACAAGTACTCGTACAACAGCATCGCGGCGCAGGACTGCGTGAGCACCGACCCCAGCGTCCAGTGGTGGGCGTGCGCCGCCATCGATGTCCCCTTCATGGGCTGCTGCTCCGACAACCCGTGCAAGCTCAACGGGTGCCCGGCCGACAAGCTCTACGCCGCCCGCCTGAGCGACAAGCGCGAGAACCAGAAGAACTTCCTCCCCGAGGGGGCGGACGCCGGCGGGGGGCTGTCCACGGGCGCAAAGGTCGGCATCGCCATCGGCGTCATCGCCGGTGTCGCCCTGATCGCCGCTCTCCTCTGGTTCTGGAAGCGACGCCGAGACAATAACAACGACGGCGGCGGCCGGTACTCGAGCACGGCAATGGGCTTCATGGGCCCGTCGCAGCCTGCGTCTTCCTACGACGGGCGGTCGCATCACCTGGGTTCCCCCTCCTACCAGAAGGTCGTCTCGCCGCACCTGTCCCCGTACCAGCCCTCGGAGCAGTACGACCCCGTACAGAACTATCTGGCCTCGCCGTCGCCGCCCATGTCGCAAGATCAATGGAGGACTACACTGTACAGCGAGGGTGGGCGGACGCACCAGTCGTACGGTCAGGCACCGAGCGAGCTGTCCTCCGGGGAGCGAGGGCACATGGGTGCTTGGTATCAGCAGCAGCCGGCACAGGAGCTTGCGACGCAGGATCACATTGTCGAGCTGCCAGGGAATACTGTCTCTCCCAGTCGTGTGAACAGGGAGAGATATGGGGATGGGGATGGGGATGGGAATACCGGCTTGGGCCTAAAACTACAACCGTAATGAGGGGAGGATTATGTTTACGTATTGTTTAATTGGCATTGCGTTTGAGCGACATCTAGGCCGATACATAGATATAATATAATAGGGCCATTGTCCTTGACAGCGAGGCAACCTTTGGCTCTTTGTGTAACTGAGGTTAATTCGACTGATGGCACCCAGACCAGTAAATTTGTCCCCGTCAAGTCTGTAGTTTGCGGATTATGTTTCATGTAAAATAATTGGCAACCCACCAACAAGCACCAGGCGTGGTGGCAGAGTGGTCTAATGCGCAAGACTAGAAATCTTGTTCCTTCGGGAGCGTCTGTTCGAATCAGGCCCACGTCGAGCTTTACTTTTTGCACTTTCAGCTTCTGGATTCTCTGAGCATTCGTGCACTCAATCGGTTGTGTGTGCTTTTTGTTTCGAATTAATTTTCTTTTTCCTGTATTCGTAGTGCAAAGAAAGGAGAAGTATGTGCCAAGTCCAGGAAGTTGTTGTGACATGTCTTCAATTGCTCGTTCTTCTCTGTACCATCTACACCCTAGCTTTCCTGCCTCTCATGTTGTGCTTGGCAATGATGAACTATGAGCTGCCACAGTTTCTGTACGCAATTGCTGGAAGAGTGCGTTGGGTAGATGGTAGATTTGTTCCAGATGTTAAGCTCGGTGGCTTCCTCATTGTACCTGACCTTGGGTAACATTCCCATGCGGCTCCTTGATCAGCCACCTCTCACGGACAACGTGCCTTTTAGCAGCTGCCATTTCAAACGACTAGAAATAGTCATCTACATATAATTAAAAAAAACACTTAAAAGCTAATTGCTGGATGCAACTGCCCGGAATGTGGTTGCCCAAGGACAAAGAAATAGAATGTTGGAGCCGTATACCGGTGTCTGGAAGGCATGTTTTCAGAGCCGATTGAACGCTCTATCTTGGAACGTCCAATCGAATATATTTAATACTTCATCATTGCTTCACTCACAGTATCTTTTGGCTGAAGTCTTTGATTTATTGGAGCTTGGTAAACAGGTTGGCAAGTATGTTTGCAGCTGAAGTTTTTACTAACTGATAAACACACTTTTCCTCTTAGATCTATTTGTCTAATCAAACTATAAAAAGCAGAGGAAGGCGTGCTTTTCGAATCAAATTCAGTTTAGATTCTCTAATAGTCATTGTTTGAGAAGAGGAGGGTTGCTCTCAGGCGCCGCATGGAATGAAGAATCGATGCAAACTACTTACGGCGTGTATCTGCCGAGGATGATTGTGAATTATGACGAGATGCTTTGGATTTCATCAGGTATTCCAAAATATTACAACCTCCATTCACTTCCTGCGTGAGAAGATTTATGTTGTGAGTATTCTGGGACACCTGTTGACCTCGGCTGTTTATTTATAGGCATGTAGTTCTTATTCCTGTATGGGAAAACTGGGAAAACATCTTGTGTATAGTGCAGTAGAGAAATCATTACTTATTGCGCCACAAAGGATCATGCGTGCGTTATGGGTCAACGAAGATTCGATAGCTGGAGGTTGGAATGTCACTGTCCCCAGTTCATAGTCCCCAGCACATAGGCTATCCGCTGCCTGTTTATCGGTCGGCCGCTCACTCATTTTCCCAACACGTCGAATGGGGTATTGGAATACCCGGGAATTGAGGGCCAGTTGATCTGATTGTTTTCCTCTTTTGAAGCGGGCGCAGTCGAAACCAGAACATCTACCGTCTGCGTCAAGGCCTCGGCATCAACCCCTACACGTCTTGGCCTGCATTAGCGAAATGCCCTGCAGATTACGTAGTGTTGAGAAATGAAAAACGCGCCAGGGACAATAGCTCCGGCCGCCACTTTTTTTTTTAGCGAGCCACTCCCAGTCTCTGTTCAGCCCCGGCCTCTGGAAACTCCCGTCACCGAACGCCGTTTTCCAACGCATTCGACCTGTAGGTTTGTAATGGACCCATGTGCCCAGTCTAATCCCGTGTAAAACCGAATGGCGTATTCACGAGAGCTTGTCTTAGCACACCTCCACCTGTCGCCATCAGTCCACTGTGCTGGATTGACTATTGACGTGGACTCCAAACTGCCCCTCAAGT